GGGGGGGGGGGATTTAATTCATGGAGATTACACGGAGGGCAATTAAAATGTGTGGGAAAAGCTCTTTTACGCGTAACATGTCATTCTTTTTGGGGTTTTTACAGTGATTTTAAGGAATTACCATGAGACCCATGTAAATGACTCAGAAAATTCAGTGGAAAATTGTTGTGATTGTATTCGTGGACGAAGACAATGACACATGGAGAGAAATATTCAAGAAAAATTACGGAACATTTCACGTAATCCGCAAGCGAGAATCGTTTTCAGTGAATTTCTATAGGAATATAAGAGAATAAATCTGAAACCTGCAGTAAATTTTCGGGTCTGTCACCGAAAAAATATGAAAAAGTCACGTAATTTTTCTGGAAGTTGTAAAATCTAACAGAAACTTCAAGACTTATTATGCCTCAGAACATGAAAATTCTTGGATGTTTAAGAATTTTTACGAAAAGTTCCGGAAAAATTACGGAACGGGTTGTTAAAATCTCCCCCTCACGGTGACTCATGGCTAGCCGTGAGGCGTCGGACGGACGAGTAGTTTTTACGGAACAGATCGTAGAATTTACGTGATGATTGATACTCTTTATTGAATTTTATTTCGCTCCCAGATTACGTTTCAAAACGTAATTTTTACGTCTTTTTTCTGGTAATTTTTATTGAATATTTCTCTCCGTGCAGGAAAAATTTTTACAGAAAATTTCCTCATTCATATTTGAATGTGTTCATGCACGTCAGTATCTTCTCCCTTCCGAAAATTTGAATTTCCCAAAAGTTTGCAAAGTGTCAAATCCGAGAGTACATTCGAAAACCGACATATCGATAATAAACCCGAAAATATTTTACGTGTACCGCAGGTGAAGAAAGCACTGACGAGGCAACTTCCAGATTCGGGACGCGTCGATGGCAATGTCGTTTCGACAACTCGGCTGGGCTTGTCTCTGACACTACAGAGGCAATACTTTAACGCATCTGGCAGCCTGAGTCTCACGTGCAGATCAATCTTACCGGGTGTACCAGGTGCATTACACCGTGATACTAAGGTCGTCGTATCACTCAGAGCTAACAACGAAAAACTCGCTCAAGAAGCGCCAACAGATTCTAGCTCTCATGTATCGGTTGTTAATTCACTATTCATTTTGACTGTTGCATCGACAATTCTATGTTGAAGGCATTTCGCCTACGATGATCGGATGAAAGTGACTGTACTAAGATAGAACATTAGAGATTATTAAATTTTCTTAACGACTGATATACTGTGAACATGTTGAAGACCTTTCAGAGGTTTTTTTTCATTAATTAAGGGAAAGCGTCGGTGAAATTGACAGGTTTTCACTGGGCCTTGGAACCCATGGAATTCATTTTTCCAGTTTTCACCTTCAAAATGCTCTTTGCGCCGCAATTTTCATACGATTTTAGCTTTTTTAAATGTTCGTAACACTCCATACGGAGAGAAATATTCAGTAAAAATTACGGAACTCACAGTTCACTCACCGATTACAGAATCGACTCAGAAAATTCAAGTGATGGTATCGTCATTTTTCACAGGAGATTCAGAAGGGGAGGGTAGGGCAAAACGGACCGCAGGGCAAAACGGACCTCTAGGCTAAAACGGACCACTGATAGAAAATTGGTAATTTTTGTTTTTTTCTCGTTCCTTCAAATCAGGAACACTGAATGTGTTGAATTAAAAGTGAATTTCAGGATCATAATTGTCGCAGGGCTTTTATAGACAAGAAGTGTCGTTGAACCGCAATTTGATCAGATTTGCTAATCACCTCAAACCACAAATGATTTTAAATTTTTGTCTTTGCTTCCATTCGGAAGCAAAAACTATCAAAAAAATCCAAAAATTATCAATTTTCTGGCAGTGGTCCGTTTTGCCCTAGCGGTCCGTTTTGCCCTGCCCTCCCCTAAATATTACGAAACGCTCTGGAAAAATTCCGTGACAGTTCCGTAAAATTTCCTACAATCACATTTCGCTCCGGAATTACGGAAAAGATACGTAATTTTTATTGAATATTTCTCTCCGCGCAAAGAATGAAGTAAACACCCGTTTTATTTTATGCGCAATAGATCATGAATAAATGAATTTTGAATTTCATAAATTTCTCGCGTCTCTAGCCCCTCACGGACGGGGCCCTTCTGTTACTAAGTCTAACGTGGGCTCAATATTACCAAGATGCAATAACTTCTGATGGATGGAAAATTATAAAACGAAAATGTAATTGAAGCTACACTATTCAGCTTTCTAATAGCGTTAGTCCGATGGCATTATCTGTCATATTTTTGGAGTTATTTATTTTTTAAAAGAGTCACATATTTTCGCATGGGTCTATATGACATATGGACCTCGTACTTGAGGGGCTAGAGTATGACTACAAATTCATTGTGTTTAGTAATGAATATTGTAATCATGCGTAATCTAATTTTTATGAGCAAAAAAAAATGGCAGTTTGAAGCGAAAGGGCGAGTTCAAAAGAAAATTTATAAAATTCAAAATTCATTTATTCATGATCTATTGCGAATAAAGTAAAACGCATGTTTACTTTATTCTTTGCAGTGCAACGGACATTTTTAAAAAATCTAAAATCGTATGAAAACTACGGCGCAAGGAGAATTTTGAAGGTGAAAACAGGAGAAAATGAAGTTTTTCGGGGCAAAATCGATCTAGTTATTCCCATATTCTGTGATATATCACAAACTGTTCAATGGGTTCCACCGCCCAGTGAAGGCTTTGGAATTCCACCGCCGTATTCCTTAATTAATCATTCATTTAGCTCTTGGGCTCAATGAATACATCGGCAAAGAATGTATTCACCAATGCAAACTTCCAGTGATTATCCGTTAATGCTCTTACAATTTACTAGCAACTCACAGATACCGCAGATAATCCTATTCATCAGGGTCACAAATAATAAATACATCATGGTTCAGCTACTTTGAACATCGCACAAAGCTCCTGCACTGATTAATCTCTTTATCACTACGACGAGCTGGCCATACTCTAAATACTTCAATCTGCATTATCATCCTCATGCATCGTAAACACGTCATATTGTTTTTAATAAAAATCAAGGGACATAATTTCGCGGAGATTTTCCCTCTTCATAGGAAAAGGAGACGTATAAAATCCTTAATACCGGGAAATGAAATGGCCGGTTTTTTTTGCCATGAAAAAGGAGAAACTCAAAGTTCTTCGAGTCCTCTGCTCCCAGTTGAATCCGTCGGATTCAACCTTTTACGGCTTCTGGATTTGCAGATAGCCTACGTTGCCAAATTGAAATTGGCACACTGAGCATTCTTTGCCCATGCGCATTCAGTTACTCCTGTAATTACAGTTTATTCTCTCCTTCTGATGAGATCACTCATCGCGTTATTCTATTTCTATCTCATTAACCAGAATTTCGTTAACATCAACCTTTACGGAACAATCTGTATCATTCTCGTTAACTAATTATTTTGGTAAATGAAACTGACGTCTCTCGGTGGGCGGTGTATGGAGGAAGATTGAACCGGAAATTTATTCAAATTTCATCCATTATTCATTGAAGTTTGATAATTGTTCATTTTTGGAGGCGGAAAATTGGGGTTTTCCGCGACACTTTTTCAATATTCACAAATAAAAACAGAACGAAGGCCACACGACAAAAAAGAATGTCTGAATTTCACACGACTTTTGTAGACATTTTTCAGACACTAAAAAACGTCTGAATAAAATGAAAATTTGTCTAAATTTCAAACATGAATTAAAGTGTTTGGGCACCTGTTTGTCTGAACTTCAGACATTCGATTTTGCTGTGCGGTGGGTGTTTCTTACTCTATTTCACGGCCCAACTTTTTACGATCGTCTACAACTTGTACATTTCTTATTACCCCCCAGGATGAAATACCACTTATGCAGTTTTTTTTCTCCTGATTTTGTTTCTTTCATAGTTCACGTTTTCTTTTGATAAAAATAATTAATTAAAAACCCTAGCGGCCATGCATGAAAAATAAAATCCTCGAAACAAATAAAATTAATCGAATAAGCAGTTTCCCAGGTGCATACGTGACAATGCAAGTGAAACATTGAAAATTGAACAAGCTCCACTGGCAATTTTTATCCTGAAAAAACAAAATTTTCAAATTATCTCTTTGAGGTAATATAGAATTGCTTAAAATGCAGGATAAAAGGGAGACTGGCTGTTATAATCCATGCATATGCATGAGAAATGTAATTATGTACAATCGTGAAAGGGAAGAACGCATAGGGGTACACGAGGTGAAAGGGGGTGGATGGGAATGGATGAAGGGATAGAATGGGAAATATACATATTGAAAGGTGTGAGTTAGCCCAGAAGGCGGTATGTAGAGACATGTATGTATCAAAGCAGTGTACATAGTGCTTTAGCTGTTGGAATATGGGGGAATACCAGTTGGCAGCCAGTGGAATTGTTAGCCTCTGGCTGTTTAACTCTGTAGCCCATGTGCACACCACCACCTATTCAGCCCGGGGGGGCCCTCTTGACTCACTCGACTGGACTTCTAACTTGCCCAAGGCTCGGCTCACAAAGCGGTATTGCTGTTTGGTTATTCCCCATACTGTGAAAAATATTCGGCATCGAATGGTGCACCTCCGTGGCTACGTTTCCCGGTGATTTTTCTGGCTATTGTAGCCCTTAGTGGATAAAAAAGTTTTGAACGATTGGGTTTTTCCAGAAATTTTTCACGTGATTTTGGGCATTGAGTAGCTATTATTGTGTACATAATCAATGTAATCGGTTCTGTTGAATAAATTTTCATTTAATGAAGAATCTTTGCTTCTTTATGGGCCTTTCCTCAGGGAGTTTTTTTTTCTAATGGTTTTTGTGGAAAAAGAGTTGATGGAATTTTGCAAAATATATTTCGCAGAGTTTGTAATAATCACGGGCATTCAGTTGATATCGTCAATACCGTCTGTACGAAAAATCATTAAATTGAATACATTTCTGTGGTGAACAAAAGTTATTGTATTCGTTTGATAAAAAGATCCAAAAGTCCAGTTCATTTGGAACTTTTCAGTGGTGATTCGACGTATTGAAAAAAATGGGATATCGCTATGTATTCTATTGTGGCCCTATCCCCAGGCATTTTTTCATTATAGCCGTTGTGATGAAAAAACTCGATAAAATTTCAAACGAATGGGCTCTATCATTTCAAAGAATTTTCACGTGATTTTTACTTCTACTGTAGTGTTTGCAGAAAACGAAATTGATGCTACCTTAACATATTAGCAATCAATTGAATAAAATTTCATTATGGCCATAGAATTAATTGAATTTCACTGATAAATCGAATCAAAAGTCCAGTTCATTGAAATACCATTTCGATGGTCATTCGACATATAAAAAAAATGCGATATTGGTTCCTTTATGCTCCTGTCCCCAGGCATTTGTTCACTACAGTCTCTGTGAAAAAAGCCTCGATGAAAATTCGAACGAATGACTTTTCCAATTACAAAATTTCTCCCCCGACTCCACAAGTTTCGGAAGTCAGCAGTATTCATCCCGTAAAAAATCGATATAATCAATGCTGTTTCCCTCAAAGAATCATTCCATTGACCAAATTTTAATTTAAAACGAAGAATTCATTGAATTCCTTCGGTGAATAGTCCCGAGGTCCACTCTATTTAAAACTCTATTTTATCCCCCGAGCATTGGGTGTCAGGTGCTCCTAATCCTCTAGTTGATTTCTTTCTGAAAGAGAGCTATTTGAAAGGATTTCTCTGTTTTCTCCCTCCCACCCCAGACGATGGAAAATAGATCCTCAGATAGAACTGAAAAACCCCCAATGGAGGGATCGGTGAGTGCTGGGGTATCAAGTGGTGGACTAATCCATTTTAAATATCGGGATAAATTGCGGGTGAGTGTGACGAGTGCAACTAAGTCCTGGGTTGTGTCTTCAAGTGGGTATTTCAGAGATGCTGAAGACGCGTCTCTCCGTACCTTTTCGGTAGATGATGACGATGCTGACAGCTCTTATCGCACTATTCACTTCAATGCACCTCAACGCCTTTTCTCAGTGGCCCCTTTATAATGCAAGACTTTATGCATTTGCGCATTACATTATTCTTCGGCCTATGCGAGGGCTATACTTTATGTACCAGTGAGTTTTGCATTGATGTTATGCCTTCAACATTTCTATTTTGTTAGAATGACCTCTGTTATGGGAGGGAGTGATAACGATGAATTTATGGGTTTCAATGTTTTATGCCCTCTCAAATTGATTTTTCTTTTGTTACTGCTACATCGCTGGGTTTACGGGCTTTTGTTTATCTACATCGAACGCGTTTTTCCTCTCATCAGCAATGCAGTTGCGTCACGCATTCAGAGTGGTCCCTATTTTGTTTTTTCAATTAGCCAGGTTGACGATCGATGGCTTCATTAATTCTGATTAAACCCGAATATTCCAATTTCCTTCAGCTCATTACGACTAGTGGTTTTCAGAATATCTGGAGGGCTTATCTTCGGGTTAAATTGCCCAGTCATACTTCAATTACTTGAACTGCTGACGTTATCTTTCCGACGGATATTCATTATCACTAGCTTCGCGGGAATGAGAGGAGAGATTCTCGGTTTTTCTGTTGTTGGTTTAGCGAGGGGTTTTGAGTATCTGCGGGAGTAATTGCCGGGTGAGAAGGGAAGCGCCATACGTGCGGTGGGTAAGGCTGGAGACGAGAAGTAAATCGACTGGGACTCTACTATGAAAAAAACATCTGATATTATATTATTTGTTTTAATAGTAAATTATGGCCCGCGGACAGATAAACCGCCGATTTTAAGCCTGTTAGGAAAAACCTGAGAAGGAATCCTGCAGGAAATCCTATAGGAAATTCTATCTAAAAAATCCTATAGGAAATGTTCGAATTCTCCATAGGATTTCCTATGGGAAATCCTATAGGTTGACGGGTGATGCTCTGCAGCCATCACTCGTCTAGGATTTCCTATAGGATTTCCCGTAGGAAATCCTATAGCAAATCTTATAGAATATCCTCTATCTATATCTATAGATATCTATAGATATTTCCTTAATATCTATAGATATCTATAGGATTTCCCATAGGAAATCCTATACGAAATATCTATAGAGGATATTCTATAAGATTTGCTATAGGATTTCCTACAGGAATCCTATAGGATTTCATATAAGATTTGCTATAGGATTTGCTATAAGATTTGCTATAGGATTTCCTGTACGATTTGCTATAGATTTTCCTATAGGATTTCCCATAGGAAGATTTATTTTTATTTTTTATAGGAAGATTTTTTATTTTGCTTTTAGGAAATCCTATAGCAAATCCTATAGCAAATCTTATAGCAAATCTTATAGGATATACTGTAGGAAATCCTATATGATATCCTATAGCAAATCCTATATGGTATACTATAGCAAATCCTGTAGGACATCCTATAACAAATCCTATATGATATCCTATAGAAAATCCTAGAGGATATCCTATAGCAAATCCTATATGATATCCTATAGCAAATCCTATATGGTATACTATAGCAAATCCTATATGGTATACTATAGCAAATCCTATAGGGCATCCTATAACAAATCCTATATGATATCCTATAGAAAATCCTAGAGGATATCCTATAGCAAATCCTATATGATATCCTATAGCAAATCCTATAGAATTTTTTCATACGTGATAATCGTCGCGAAGGTTCATGGTTTACGATAAAAGATAATTTCGACTGGATTTTTACGTTTTTTACATTTATTACGTAAATTACGGATTTTTTACAATGTCATGTAAAAATTGCGGTTATCGACAGATGCCCAACCCTGCCATCAGTGATGACAGAATTATTCTATGCACTCTCTAGTCGATAAGGCAGGCATTGTGCTATGATCAGCTGGTCAATCAACTTGTACAACAATGTGTCCCCTAACCTGAGTCAGTATCCCCGGTTTTATTGAAGTTTGAATCCAAGAAATACAGTATTTTAAATGGCAAATCTCTTCCGATTGCCAATAGCCAGAAACTTAATAGTTCAAGTGTACAAAAACCAGTCGAGAAACATAATGACAACCCCAGCGAGAGCTAAAAAATTACTGGAGTCCTTGAAGGACAATCCGTACTTCGATAAGTATGCTGCAGCCATCACTCGTCTCCAAGAGACAAATCCAGAGGAATTCGTTTCGAAAATTGAGGAGCAGCAGAGGAAGGATGAAGGTAAAATTCACAATAACAACTCTACCATCATGCACGAAAAAAGTTAATAGAGAAATTTAGCGAGTTCGTTGGAAAATTCTATTGGATTTCTATTGAACTTTCTATTAGTTTTCGGCCGATTCTATTGAAAGGTTCAATAGAAAATATTCAATAGGAATTCAATAGAATTAGATTTTTCTGTATGACTTATTCTATTGAGATATTTTATGTAGAATTTCCTCGGCTCAAATTTTCGGGGTCAGATTACAATAACTTCCTTCGAATCGGGAAGTTAAAATGAGTTTTTTTTTTACTTTGGAAATCGTAGTCATGACTATACTATTTCAGAAATTGAATAATATTGTTGAAACATGAAAAATTGAGGAAGAACTCAAAGTGTTCTTCGAAGTGAGGAAAATATTCAATAGAAAAGTCAATAGAATTCCATTTTTCTATATAACTTATTCTATTGAGATATTTTCTGTAGAATTTCCTCATCTCAAATTTTCCAAGTTTTTTTATTTGATTTTATTGTTAAGAAGAAAAGAAAAATGTAATGAAAAAAACTTAGAAAATTTGAGTCGAGGAAATTTTGTAGAAAATATCCCAAGAGGATAAGTTACACAGAAAAATCGAATTCTATTTTTCTACTGAATATCTTCAAACTAACAGAAAGTTCAGTAGAAATCCAATAAAATTGTCCACTGAATTCGCTAGGTTTTTCTATTAAACTTTTTCATCCGTCATTTCCTGCAGTTGCATTCCTTTTACTCTATTTCGATTGCAGATAAAAAAGAGAGGGCGAAGGCCTTTAAAAACGATGCAGCAGCCAAGCCAGCCCTGAAACCAAGCATGCAGAGGAGTCAGGCACGTCTGTCTGACGTCATGAAGACTGAATTACTCGAGGACAAAGGCAAGGATGAAATAACAGATATTTGGTTAAGCTATCACAAAGAACGTGACTGTATCTCTGGTGCAATGGATTCAGAGAGATTCAATGCCATGTACGAAGTGTCAATGAAGTATCCAACATTTATTCTCCCATTACCCAGAGAAAATGGATACGAATTCATTCTCACTCAGTTTTATGGCACCGAGGTGCACATGACACCTCTACTCTGGTACCAAACTCATCAGGAGAATGCACCTGAGTGCATGACCATTGTCCACTATCTCGAGTTCAAGGACTCGAAGAATCTGGTACTCATGAGGGGACAGTTTGACACTAAATCGATTAATGTGCAGGAGGCACAGTGTCTCGCTAATCAATTGCAGTTGTATTACTCTGGAGAGGAGAACGAGAGATTCGCATTGCTGAAGACTTTTAACGAGAGGCCTGATGAGTTCAAACACATGGACCTCATCTCCCAGATGGAGAGTGTCTCTTTGTTTACTGGAATTAAATCAGAAAATAAAAAATCGTAAATCTGTAATGAAATAAATCTGTTGATCTGTGAATAAACGTTTAGAAAATTTCACTGATTTTTTCGTTGCTTCCTTTGGAGTTCATCTTTGCTTTTTTTTTAATTCTAGTGGGATTTTTTCTGAAGCCCTGGATGAGAGTGCAGACGAGATTGTACTCGAGTTTTGAGAGAATGTCTGCGTACGTTAGCACCCCAATATTTTACGTGAATGCTGGTACATTTCAGTCATGATGACAATTAGAGTTTTGTGGATTTCGGTTGATCACAGATTTTTTTTTAATGGTAGGTCCACATATCGGGCATTTATACTCTGCTGCGATGGCTGATGCTGTGGCTAGGTACAATAGAATGCTGGGGCGTGAGACATTTTTCAGCACTGGAACTGATGAGCATGGGAATAAAGTCAGAAATGCTGCGATGTCGAGGAATTTATCACCAGACAACTACTGTTATGAGATTTCCCAGTTGTTCAGGGGAATGTGTGATGATTTTCACGTTGAATATTCGAAATTTATCAGAACTACTGATGAGGAACATCAAGAGGGAGTTCACAAATTTTGGGTTTGTCGTCTTTATTAATTTCCATTCACATTTTAAATTTTTTCTGTTTTATAAAATTAATTTTACAGACGAATTTACACAATTCTGGTCACATTTACCTCGGTAAATACTCAGGCTGGTACTGTATGTCTGACGAGGCCTTCGTCCCCTCGTCTGAGCTGGAGGAGCTCAAGAAACCAGATGGTAGCGCAATAAAAATCTCCTCAGCATCTGGAAACCCTGTGGAGTGGATGGAGGAGGAGAACTACAAATTTCGGTTGAGCTCATTTCAGGATGACCTGAGACACTGGTTGAGGAATGAGAAATCCGTTCAGCCAGCGAAATACCACAGGATATTGTCGAACTGGGTGGAGGAAGGTGCGTGTCTCGAGGATCTCAGTGTCTCCAGGCCAGCAACGAGAGCACCCTGGGGTGTCAAAGTCCCCAATGATGATTCCCACACTGTTTATGTCTGGCTGGATGCCTTGATCAATTACTTAACAGTCCTGGGGTATCCTGAGGATAATTATAAAAAATTCTGGCCTCCAACAGTTCAAGTACGAAGCTGATCCAAAGAAATTATTGAACTCACGTGTGAAAAAAATGAATAGAAAACCTGGCGAATTCACTAGAAAATTCTATTGGAATTCTATAGGAATTCTATGCGGTTTCTACAGGATTTATATTGGAATTCTATTGAAAAATTGCATTTTTTGTGCTGATTCTGAATAGATTTTTAATTTATAGTTGAATTGTTCTCTTGAGATTTTTTCTATAAGAATGCTTGGCCATCAATTTTCTAAGTTTCGTCCAATCGGATTCTGTAATGCAAAATAAAACGAAATCTAGTGAAAAATTTGGGCCCAACAATTCGAATAGAAAAAATCTCAAGAGACAAATTCGAACAGTAATCCAAAACATATTGACTTTTCTTATCGCATTTCCAAAAGAATCGCAAAAAACAAGTTGAATTCTTCAATTGAATTCCAATAGAAATCCTATTGAAACCCCATAGAATTCCTGTAGAATTTCAAAAGATTTTTCTAGTCAATTGACTAGGTCTTCTATTGAACCTTTTCATGCGTGCTCAATTAAGATAATTCTTTTGATAAATTCCGTTGAACAACTTTAAGGCAAATTGAGTCTTACTGTTCTATCACGTAAATAATAATTATGAAAATATTTTCAGGTGATTGGTAAAGACATTTTAAAGTTCCACGGAGTGTATTGGCCGGCATTTTTAATAGCAGCGGGTATGGAGCCTCCGAGGACTCTCCTGTGTCACTCCCACTGGACAGTGAACAATGAAAAAATGTCTAAATCTAAGGGGAACGTTGTTGCACCATCGAAAGCAGCAGAAACATTCACTCCCGATGGTCTCAGGTACTTCCTCCTGCGAGAGGCTGTGCCCCACAGTGATGCAAGTGAGTTAAAACCCCTCACTGAGAGAGAAACCAAACAAACCAACAAGTTCTCAAACAAGTTTTGTTTGGGCCAACAGTGCAATTTTCAATTAAGGTACTTCCTCAGTCCCTTATACCTGGTAGACATTTCGCAATGTACTGAAGACGCAAAATTTTGATCGTATGTTGTTGAGCACATTCAAAAACGATTCCCAAAATTTCAAGTGTTTTCAACGCCAATTTTTGAGATATGAATCGTCAAACACTCAATTTTTGTGTTTTTTCAATTTTTGACGATGCATATCTTAAAAATTGGCGTGCAAGCGATACTTGAAATTTTGGGAATCGTTTTTGAATGTGCTCAGCAAAATATGATCCAAATTTTACGTCTTCAGTACATTGCGAAATTTCTACCAGGTATAAGTGACTGAGGAAGTACCTTAAGGAGATTGGTGTAAGTGACTAGTAGTTCATCGTAAAGGTGTGATAAAAAAATTCTTGAAAATGTTACAAAATTTTTGCCAAAGGATTTATTATTTCGTATTTCCTCCCCCCATGGTGGCGACTGATAGGCCGCCATATGCCAGGGTGATAATATAATACATTATTCATATCTCCTCTATTGGACTCATGCCTCAATATTAATTCAGTAGTGAATTGGAAAACGGAACATAATGTTCAGCAGATAATGGAGCCGGGCCTTAATAATTAATTTTTTGTTCGTGATTATTGAATAGTCACGATTGTGATTGTCGAAATGACAAACTACTATCCTTCGTTTCATATAAAACGACCATTTACCGAAAGCAAAATACGTATGGGAGCATCGAAGAAATTTTTTTGAAAAGACTAAATCTATTTCTGCGACGAAAATTTTGAAATGAAAATGCAATGAAAATTTTTGTAATGAAAAACTCCTTTTCTTGATAATTTTCAACAAACGATTTTGTTGGCACAAGTAAAACTCGTTTGCGAATCTGCTGTTTTTCTCTCAGTGCTCCCAGAAGTAGAAAAAAACTGAAAAACTCATATCAGTGGTCAACTAGATTACAGCGAAGAGAAGATTCGAAAGATTCTCAACGCAGAGCTGGCGGATACCCTCGGAAATCTGTTCAGCAGGTGCATGGGGAGGGCTGTGAACCCTCGCGGAGTCATCCCAGAGGCCTCGATGTCCCACAAAGACGTCTTAGGTACGGAAGAAGCTGAAAACCTGGTGGAGAGTCTCCATTGTCTGCCAGCACTAGCCCAGGAAGCCTACGAGGCCTACAATTTCCATCAAGTTGTCGACGCAGTCATGGGGACTCTGAGATGCGCCAATAAAATGATTGAGCATCACAAGCCTTGGGCTCTTGTCAGACTCGACGACGATGCGTCTCTGGATAAACTCGAAGCTGTCCTCGCACTTGGACTCGAGTCTACCAGAGTCAGTGCCCTCATTCTACACCCAATCATCCCCAGACTCACCGAGAACCTTCTCTATCATCTCCAGATTCCCACAGATTCCAGACAATGGAGAAACACCGAATTCTCGAGGAGTGGGAGAGTTACAGAAGGTTTTGCGCAGAAGAGACTCAACAGTCTGATATTCTTCAAGCGGATCAAGTAAATCCTTTATGTAACATTGCTTTCAATAAAATCATTTTTGCGGAACAGCCGCGTGCAAATGAATTTTCTCTTGAACTCAATTTATCGAGAATACATGCTGATGTCAACTGTATTCTTACTGCTTTGTTTCCTCCGAGGGTAATGAGAAGTTTAGGGAGAACTGTGCGTGTTTAACACCTCCTTGAGTTGTTAAACACGCGCAGTCACGCACTGAGACGCATGAGCTTTCTCAGTGTGTGTACAGGTATTATTATTATTAATAATAATACCTGTAATAATAATACGAACAATAATAACACTAATAATAATAATAAAATGTAATAATTATAAAACTGAAAAATCAATTATTTGAGATAATAAAAATTCATCCAAAATTTTCCGGTATTATTATTACAGGTATTATTATTATTAATAATAATACCTGTAATAATAATACGAACAATAATAATAATAATAATAATAATAAAATGTAATAATTATAAAACTGAAAAATCAATCATTTGAGATAATAAAAATTCTTTTCAGTATAAATATAATAATAGTTCAGTTGGGTGGCCGCGAGAGAACACCTCTGGAAAGGCTCGAACTTTTCGAACGCTGGAAGAAGCATTAGGAATTAATATCCGTAAGAAACCGAATTTTAATGACATTTCAATTGATGATAGTACTACAACACAAAAAAAATAGAAGAAGAGAAAGTAAAATAAGAATTGAAAGAAAAGAGAACGCATTCGAAAGCAAATAAAATTGCTAATTTATTAGCAACAAAAACAAAATGCCATTGTCCACTTGTTTTGAATGAGAGATCTGGAATAAAGGGTATTGTCTTAAACATTGTCAATGTCAGTACGATAGGGGAACTGTTCCGATCAACGATTCCGATTATCATTGAATCGATCAAATTTCCGTAAAGCGTGAGCCCTTTGAAACAATCTCCCATTGTTCATACACGTGACTGAAACGTTCGTCGGACGTTGGAATTTCGTTAAATAACATGAATGTATTACCGCCAGTTAAAAATAACTGCATTAATTTCATTGTTGCATGCAGAAGTGGAGTGATCGACGTTTTCAATGCAGGTTTATCAATCAGAATCAATATTAGCATCCTCGTGAGAAGTGACCTTCCCCGCTAGCTCGGCGAGGCTCACAGGTCCGTCGATGTCAATAATCTTCTCAACTGGCCCCTTCCTCTTTGATCTGTACAAGGGGTTCTCGAATCTCTTTCCGTCCTCGTAATCATCGTCATCGCTGTCCATGTCGTCCTCTGGTATTACTGCACTTGCCAGTTGCACCTCACCCTCTGGTATATTCTCAAACCTCGCGAATCCGAAATTTCCCTCTTTGTCGGGATCGTCGTGTGGCAGACTTCCCTCGCGAATTGATGCTCGAAAAATGGAATACACTCTAAAAAATAAAAAAATATAGGGGCGAGTGGGGCAAAATGAAGCAGCCGACAAACGTCTATTTGACGCAATTCAAGCAACAAAAATTTTTTTTATCAAATTTTTTTATTGTTAGGAGTACTGATGAGAATATAATTTTTTTAGATTAGATTAGGCCGATTACACTTTTCTTTTTTCATTTCATTTTCCCTTTTCTCCCTCTGGGTCTCCCCCTGGGCCTTGCTCTGGGGGTTGGATTTTGCTGTTTCATTTTCTTTTCAATTAATTCAGTGTACTGAATGGAAAATTCTTATTCTCATCGATACTCCCAAGAATAAAAAAAAGTTAACAAACATGAAGTGATGAAAAAAAATATTTAATGAAAAAATTTGTATTCCTTGACATGCGACTGTTTCATTTTGCCCCACTGCAGGTGAGTTCATCCAACATTCGACTTCTATTTAAAATTCTGTTCCTCTTGGCCGATCCTATATTGAAGAATTAGTAAAACCGCAGGTTTACTGTGCGTTTTTTAAGAAAATGTCTAATAGAAAATATTTTATAGAAAAAATCAGCAGAATTTCGTCTTTCTACACAATTTTTTCTATTCAAACATTTTCTATAGGATTTCTTCGCCACGAATTTCTACGTTTTATTCCACTCGATTTTTCTGTTATTTTCACTGAAAAAAAATCAATCAAAAAAACTTAGAAAACGTGAGACGAGGAATTTCTACAGAAAATATCTTAATAGAATAAGTTGCATAGAAAAATCCAATTGTATTAATTTTATCTATAGAATCCTTTTCACTTGGCCAAAAACTACTAGGAAGTTCCATCCAATAGAATCTCCTAGCGAATGCGTAGGGTTTTCCCACGCAATTTTCGGGATATCAATTTTTTTCCAAAAATTCTTCCGTAAAGCGTAATGAAGGCCTTGCGAGACAATCATCAAACCCCAAAGTTCCTCAATTCCCCTCAGGAATCCCCAGAGATTTCCGAATAATCAAAATCTCAAAAGAACTTCATCAAGGTGATTATAGTCCCCCAATCAGCTCTCTAATAAGCCATCTCGTGGTCCATTAATTGATTAAAGGATGCGCAAATTGCCGACACTTGCCCAGAAATAACAAGCCCCTTTGAACAAGAACTATTCAATTTTTTTCCTCTCACTACCTGTGTTTTATTCAACACTTTGCAAAAGAAAACTTGCCCTGTGGATTTAAGCGACAACAGGTGTTCACTGGTCTCGTCTCTGCAAACTCTCACATACCGAAACTATTGCAACACAGGCACTCGAACTATTCCACCCCACTCATCCATTCACCCTCTCCGCCCTCTCCTCATTCCCTCTCTTCCACCCCTAGTAATTGCACATTTCTCTGGTCGCAACCTGGATGAAGTGGTCCAACTGTGCAATACTGTTATACATATTACTGAGAGCAACAGTGGGAGAGTTAATCTTTCGTCTCGAAGCAAAATATTAAAGCCAGATGTTGCCACTGGACTACATATCATTGAGTTAATTAATTGACTGGAAGATATTTTTCCATAAAATAGGGGAATCCCTTTAGTAACGCATTAATGGCGAACTTGCATGAATTTTTTTCCATTGTCTAATCTCAAATTTGGAAGCTAAATAATTTATTTCTCATTCACAAACGTTTGAAATATTGCTCATTAATTAATGATTAATTGTTAAAAGTCGAAGATTTCAAACGCCTTGAAATCACTGATGACGTCACACGGACGGTCGAGCGCAGGACCAATCACAGAATGGCTCGAGCAGACCTAACCCAGTCTTGAGGTGCACCTCGGCCAATGGGGGACGACAATTATGGTTATATTTTTCCATAAAATAGGGGAATCCCTTTAGTAACGCATTAATGGCGAACTTGCATGAATTTTTTTCCATTGTCTAATCTCAAATTTGGAAGCTAAATAATTTATTTCTCATTCACAAACGTTTGAAATATTGCTCATTAATTAATGATTAATTGTTAAAAGTCGAAGATTTCAAACGCCTTGAAATCACTGATGACGTCACACGGACGGTCGAGCGCAGGACCAATCACAGAATGGCTCGATCAGACCTAACCCAGTCTTGAGGTGCACCTCGGCCAATGGGGGACGACAATTATGATTATATTTTTCCATAAAATAGGGGAATCCCTTTAGTAACGCATTAATGGAGAACTTGCATGATTTTTTTTCCATTTTCTAATCTCAAATTTGGAAGCTAAATAATTTATTCCTCATTCACAAACGTTCGAAATATTGCTCATTAATTAATGATTAATTGTTAAAAGTCGAAGATTTCAAACGCCTTGAAATCACTGATGACGTCACACGGACGGTCGAGCGCAGGACCAATCACAGAATGGCTCGATCAGACCTAACCCAGTCTTGAGGTGCACCTCGGCCAATGGGGGAGGACAATTATGGTTATATTTTTTCATAAAATAGGGGAATCCCTTTAGTAACGCATTAATGGCGAACTTGCATGAATTTTTTTCCATTGTCTAATCTCAAATTTGGAAGCTAAATAATTTATTTCTCATTCACAAACGTTTGAAATATTGCTCATTAATTAATGATTAATTGTTAAAAGAGTCGAAGATTTCAAACGCTTTGAAATCACTGATGACGTCACACGACGGTCGAGCGCAGGACCCAATCTTGAGGTGCGCTTCGGCCAATGGGGGACGACTGCCCCCCACTCTCTTCGCACTTGACCAATGAAGCGCTACCTGACCGCCTTCGTGACGCCATGATCGAAAAATTGGTCTCGAAAACGAATGATGTTCAATTGATTATCATAAGACATCTTGGGAAGATTTCTCCATAATTTTTACCGTTCAGCTATCCATATGTTATGAGGAATGTTCGAATAAGGAAATTAGAAAAAATTGAGCTTCATGCAAGTTCAATAGTTAAATCTATTGCAGATTAGTTTTTTCAAAATTTTTGTAGAAAATATTACTCACTCTCTGTACGAATATCCGAAGGATGGGATGGCTATGAGGATGAGAATAATTATCACGAGTGGAATACCGAATAGTGGGCCCAGAGCTGTTGCAAGGGCAGAGCCCTTCAGTGGTGCTCCCGTCACTGCGTATGACAACACGCTTATTCCTCTTTCTGCGGATATAGAAACGATTTACGAGCGTAGTTGTGGAACGTAACAGCATAGCTTTTATTAAAGTTAATTCGGTGGCAAAATGTTTTTTTTAACGTATTTTTTTCCTTCATTTTGATCACTTCACTGCAAAATTAATCAATAATGAAGGATGTACACTTCAATCACTTGAGTCAATTCAAATTTAGAAGGCCTGAATTTTTCTATTCAATTTTCAAGTGTTTGAGGACATTAAAAAAAATTTTAAATAGTTGAAAAATTCACATTCTTGAATACTATGACCTCTCTCATCAAAATCGATTTCCATTATTTATTTATAATAACAAGGGAATTTTCTATAAAACAGTATTTTCTCGTAAAATATATGTTGACGAATGTACGAATGACGAAATGTACTATTGGATATCCTCAGTAGTCAAAATATTAATGTTCCATTCGAATAACCGAGCGAATTTCTTCAGTAATATCACACATTTCCTCATGCTAAATTGAAATAAAAACTAGAGAAGAAAAAGAAAACCACATTTGTACGTCATCTACAATTATTCCTTTAAAAAGAATAGAATTTCTCCGATAACCAATCATACCTGCAAAAACTCTCTGAAGTGTATCAACGGCTTCGGCACTTTTTATCCCCGTGTAAACGCCATTCTCGGTGACGAGAACTTCTACATTTTCATTCAGCGTCACTCTGACATGATGAGATATATCATCATAGCTTTTCAATGCCTCATTTGTAATTTCATTTAATTTCGACAGTGGAAAGGTCGCGTGATTAACGCTCAGGGAGAGTTGGCCGCCGCAGTAAGAGCAACAATGTCCCTCCACCTTCATTAGTACCAATTAACTGCATTATTATCAATGTTATTAAATTTCCATTAACAATGGAGCTGAGGAAATATTGTTTTAATAATGAATTCCATCGATCGCTGGAGATAACTCACTCCGATTGGGTATGAACAGGCAATCTCTTGGCTCAAACATCTTGGTCTCTCAATTTCGCAGATTTCGTTCATCAGGTCGTTAATGTTGGTGTTGTGACGACATAAACATTTGTCACAGTAAGGCGATCCGCTGTATCTGAATGAGTTCAATGTGTCCATTTTCATATGACTGTTTTTCAATAGTCGCAGGGAGAGAAATATTCAATAAAAAATACGTATCTTTTCCGTAATACGGAATTTATAAATGTTCACAGAAAAAAGAGTGAAGTTGAAGCTAAAAACGTGAAATTTTGTCCCATAATTGATATTGCTTCGAGAGAATTTCTGCGTCAAATGTTAACCCAATCGGTCAAATAGTTTTTGAGATAGAGTAATTTCTCAAAAATCGTTTTTTCTCAATTTCTCAAAAACTAGGTGACTGAATTAAATTTTTTTAGTTCAAAATATTCCTCACGATAATATCTATCGAACCAATTAACTATATCCCTAGAGCACTAGAACAGCCTGTTTAATTCCATAATTTCTTATTATTTTTAATACTTTGTTTGAGGGCATTTCTGGGTGAAGTTTTAGTTCAATCGCTCAAGTAATTTTTGAGAAAAACCAATTTCTCACACGGAGAGAAATATCCAATAAAAATTACGTATCTTTTCCAGAATTCCGGAGCGAAATGTGGTTGTCGGAAATTTTACGGAACTGTTACGGAATTTCTCCGGAGCGTTCCGTAATTTTTATCTGAATCTCCTGTGAAAAATTACGATACCGTCACTTAAATTTTCTGAGTCGATTCCGTAATCGGTGAGTGAATTGTGAGTTGCGTAATTTTTACTGAACATTTCTCTCCGTGCGATGAACAATTAGAAAGAGATATCTTGGTTATTTAATTCTATTGAGATGCTTTTTATAGAAATTCCCCGACTCGGAATGTTCCGAGTGTTTTTGTTCGATTTTTTCAATGAAAAGGGAAGAAAGAGTGAAAATAAACTTGGAAAATTCATGTCGAGGAATTTCTATCGGACATTTTCCATCAAGTCTTCTTGACAGGCAGTCAAGCTGAAGAATTCTCTATAGAAATTCAATAGAAATTCAACATAATTTGTTATGAAATTCGCTAAGTTTTTCTACGAAATTTTTTCGCGCATGTAGATAAAAATGAGAATAAAAATGAAACTTTTACTTGACACTCCAGTGGCTATTCGTGAATTCTCTCCCCCTCATGACCTCCTGCCAGTCCCACGACTCCAACGGGGCTCCCTTTCCAATTTTAACTTCCTTCACATTGACATCAACGGTGGGTAATTTGATACTCAATGAGCGATTGTAACTCGGCAGAATGACCATGTCTCTGCCGCAAGGAATTTTCTCCAAATGGGGAACAGCTTTATTTGATCCACTCCAATTTTCCGGATCGACCCACGAGAACGGACCCTTCCACTTCCACTCGAATATTTCAGGGTTGTTATTCTTATTACCTTTCCCTTTGGGTTCGGTCAACTAGACGTTTCATTGAATTACATTAATGAATTTAAAGATATCGGCGTTTTTGGAATGACCTCGTGATTGAATAAATTATTCGATTTTTGATCATTATCATTTTAATTTTAATACCTTGATAAATTTAATATTTAAATTAACATGCCTTCAGAAGGAAAGGTGACGTTTGGGGACACCCGTAGATCTATATGAGTATTCATCATATAAAAAAAAATTTTCTTCTCGTATACCCTTTCGGGTCTTTACGATTTGTTCCCTTCCCACCCCCAACCCCCCGTACCGCATTCACCGAAGGACAAGAAAAAAACGCATTTGAGGGAAAAACCTGCCCAGGTACAGTCGTCTCTTGCGAGACTCCCGCTCGACAATGAAACCGTGAGATTTAGAGTGTCACAAATTTTGGCCGCCCCAAGCGGAGATCGAACCCGGGTCTCCCGCATGCCAATCCCACACTCTAACCACCAGCCACCGCCGTCGGGATCTATCATATAATATGAGATGTCTCAAAGAGGTTTAAATTCATTAATAGCAGCCCAGGAAAAAAAAGAAACACCGTTTATATTATTGGGGCGTTGTGGGGTTCATACCAGCCGCGTCCCCGTCGCGAACCCCGGGTGATGGTAAGTGCTGGTAGGGCTTTCGATAGAATGCTTCTCTCTTGGGCTCAGTCAGCTAGACGTTTCCCTAAATTTTATTGAGACGCTTCCGGCGCAAAAAAAATACTGAAATACGGGGACGACTTCGCGCGATGAGTTCACTGATAGAACGGATTAGTTATTGTTAACGAATGGATTTTGGTTGGAGGTTAGGGTCTATTCGGTCCCACCAAATGTTCATTCGTTAATAGTTAACGAATGTATATTTGAGGAGCCTTGTTTGACTTGACTTTCGCCATTCAAGTGAACCATTCGTTAACTATTAACGAATATTCATTTGGTCATATTCAACTCTACCATTCGTTAATAGTTAACGAATTTCGTTTGGAATAAATGAATCATTCTATCAGTGTTCTTAGCCAAAAGGAGACGGAAAATTCTGAAAGATGGTTTGGAAAATTTGTTCTTCTTGTAGAAACGGGATGAAGCGTGGTGGGAATGTTCTGAAGGGGATGAATAATTTTGAGACAGATTTGAAAATACGCGGCGAGAGCGCCCCCATCTTTAAAGCTCCTTCCGACAGGGAGGGGGAATCCAAGCAAGATGGCGATGCAGTTATCAAACACCTCGTATTTTTAAACAATTCTTGAAATTCTTTGTTCTCTTCAAATCACCATTAATCGGTTTTATTCAGTTCTTAGAAAGTGAACAATTTTTTCGAGCTATCCTTCAGCTTCTTTCATCCTCTTTTGGCTGAGAATTCATGGCGCAAAGGTCTCCACGCATTTTAGTACTTTTTTTTACCTCTTAGGGCTCTTTATCAGTCAAAAGAATCCCTTCGGATTCGGTTAACTAGATTTTGCACTGAATTCTGATAATGAACTTGAATAGATGTGTTTTTGGGGGTTAGGACATGATTGAAGTGAGTTCTGTTTGTTCAAAGGCTGAAAAAGAGATTCAGTCAGTAGAATGCTCACCTGCAAGCCGCCATTGAGAGGAAGAAGGAGTGAGCCATCGTGTGGCAACTCAATCCCCGAAAAAGCAAAATCACCAGTCAAGGGTAGGCCCACGGAATGTTGAATCTCCAACGGAAATTTAATTCTACTATTTTTTGTTGGCACTTTATCACTAATCCAATTACCCTTAGTCATGAATTCCAAGTCCGGAAGCCAGACTTTTCGATCCCCTAATCTCCAAGAATCTCCTTTACGTACGCAAAATTCTCCCGCAAAAATGAATAAAACTAAAAGTCGCATTTTTCAAGATTTATTCCACTACATGTACATTTGAACTGACGGGATGATCCCGCATTACTGCCCACAGTAGGCGTTTCCGTGCCACTGGAGTCCCTATGGAATACCCCTATCTGTATACCCAGATACGGGGATAAACCGAGAAAAATAAAAGAAAATTGAAAAATAATGGAACTGATGGGACAGACAATTTTATCATTTTTGGTTTATTTTATTCTGACAAAAAATTATTACCATTTTGAGGTATTTTATTTTTCACATTAATGTGCAATATACATTTATCTTCGGTTATCTAGGACAAGGGAATAACCCCTTAAGTGATAAATAATTTTCGCATTCCGTAATTTTGTGGTATTTTCAAACATACAGGGAAGAACATTTCAGTAGTGAAATGGTGAATGCCAGTGTTTTGTGAATATCTCAGCATCTGCGGAACAGCGAAATTACAATGAGGATTGCTTTGTAGATCTCAGTTCACTCTACAAAAAAAACCTTCACACAAATTTCTGTATCTCCCTCAGATGTCAGGATATTTTTCCAAAAAAGATCTAAAACGAAAATTTATTCCACGCACGGAAAAATTTTATAGTGTTGGAGAATTCCATAGAAAATATCAAATGGAAATTATTTCAGTGAAAAATGTGTAGAATTTCATTTTTCTATACAATTTTCTAAGTTGTTCCACTTTATTTTTCTTCTCTTTTCATTAAAAAAATCAATAAAAAAACTGAAAAAATAGAGTTGAGGAATTTGATTTCTTCTACAGAATATTTTCCATTGAACATTTCTATTGAAAAAACGCGCACATAAGTATCGGTCAAAAACTAATCAATTGAGGTTCAATAAAGTTCGATAGAAATCCAATAGAATTTTCGAGGGAATTCGCCACGTTTCTCTATTAAATTTTTTCGCGCGTATCATCTTGTTTCGTCACTCTACTAGTGACATCCATTCTTCCACCTTCGACATACGTGAAAACTGGTGAAATTTCAATTTACAGTCAAGAGATAAGCATCTAGTATTGCGCAAATGATTTTTACACCGAGAAGTACAGACACTTTTCTTCCATGTGAATATTTTGTTTTGTTTTCATTCGTTTTCTGTTTACACAGACATTGAAAAAAGGATAAAAATAAGTTGATTTATAATGATCGGTTAGAATTGATCCCACAGTGGCCCGTCATCGGTGAATTTTCTGTCATCATTCAGCCCTCGATTGTCAGCATCGAAATCATCGTTGAGTAATAGTGGAGTTCTCTTGCCAATTCCAAATCCGTATGCGTGCGATGGTGCATTGCGTTTTGTCCCAGCGGAATCGTCGACGATGAGATTGGAATCATAACTTTTGGTGTCAAGAGGGAGGGCGTAGGCTAGGGGAACCCTCAGGAAGGAGAGCCTGGGAAAGGTGTTTCGCTTGCCAACTCCGAAGGAATATGGCGAGTTTCTCTGTAAGCAGAGCAAAAATTATGGATGCAGAACAATTTTTTGTAAACAATTTGTTTTTTGTTCTGCAACTTGACGAAATGGAATGTTCACTGTTAAAAATTTGCGTCTGAATTTTCCGCGTCAAATACAGAAAATTTTTATCGTGTCTCATTTTCACTGAAATTTCAGGAACTCTCGTCATCGGTGACATGACGCGTACACTAAGACAAAAATCTACATAATATCACAAAAATCATTTCTTGAGCGAAAAACATCGCATACGTATTTGATCAATTTATCTATCGGAATTTATCTATCGGAATTCTAGAAAATTCTAGACATTTCGAGGTAATTCGAGACGTTTCCTGAAATTTCGCAAAAAGTGAAGGAGTTTCTAGACGTGTCGAGGAAATTCAGGGAGTTTCTAGAAAATTCGAGGGAATGCAAGGAGTTTCTAGGAAATTCGAGAAAGAAGGAGAGACCATGGACGTATCGAAGATACAGCCGCCTGCAATTTTTGTAAGTCTCCTTTAGAATTTGAGATATTCTACGAGGACTGGCGCCAGAATAGAACTGACTTGAACCGTTTGACCACTTCACTACTGAAATGTTCATATTCAAGTCACGAACACTTCACCGAAATCTGACATTGTCTGACACATTATCCGGAATTCTTATCCAAAGAAATTTATCCTAGGGATGGGCGATGTTTTAAAAAACATTGATATTGTGAATCGATTTTTCTGGAAAAAACATCGATTATTTAAAAAATCGATGTTTTTCTCATTACACAGGAAATTTTTTTTTTATTTTAAAAATGTTGAAAATTTTTTTCAAAAGCAACAGACGACTGGACTTATTCACTTATCATTTATAGCGCACATACTGCAGAAAATAGTTACTGCTGAATGCGGATAAATTATTACTTTTTTCGTTCTCAATCAATCAATATTATTATTCGATAAAAAAATGAAAAATTTTATTTACTGACTCAAAAAGATCGATGTTTGAAAAAAAGAATCAAAAATCGATTAATCGGCCGTTGGGAACATCGAATGAAAAACATCGACGTTTGGGCGTGAAAAATCGATGTTTTCGATTAGGGGAGGGTGGGGTAAAATGGACACTTTGGACTTTTTTAAAATTATTCATAACTCAGAAACAAATTTATCAATTGAGCTCAGTTTAGGCTCGTCACAAAGGGAAATAATTGTTCTTTGTATTGACAAAAAAATTATTAAATTTCATCAACATTTCAACCCTTCAGTAACATTTGAAAAAAAAAGTCAAGTGTCCGTTTTACCCCAACCTCCCCTAATCGACAAACATCGCCCATCCGTAATTTATCCTCAAAAAAAGATGAAAAATTTGGCGCAAGAAATTAGTTTTGTGATATTCCGACGATATTTCTCTGAGTGTATCAAAGATTTGATTCTTCTTTTCCCCGAGATCGTAGGCTTCTGGTCAGTAGTCACCCCCGATCTCAGTCGTCTTCATTCAACTCGAGAATATTTATCTACAATCCCTTCCGATCGCCAACAGCTTCCCCACGTATTTTCACATTCCCCAAAGGACGACCGCAGCTAAGAATACCATAACGCCATTTTATAAGTCCATTGTTACCGAAAATCAAATGACATCAATGCCCTGTGGCACTTCAAGGTCCCCCTACTATCTCATTGTTCCCGAAATCCCCAAGAAGCCGATGATCCTCACGTTTTCAATCAACAATTACCATTGTCACTGTTTATGCCGATCTTAGATAACTCCCTTCATCCAAATGATGGCCCTAATGCTGACCTTCAATTATTAAACACCCTCTGGTTCCATTTAGATCCCATTACCCACGTCATTCTGCCCCGGATCGTTCATCAGAGATATTATAGGGTAAACAGGTCAATTTCTGGACGGGAGTTAGTTCCTAGACGATTTCAACTTGCATTGAATATTCCACAAATAAAATGAAAATTGTATTAATTATTCCACCTCTCCATAATATCACTTGCGTATAATCATGCGATCAATTATTTTCTTCTATTGATCAACATTTAATAAATTTAAAAAAATATGACCCAGTCGTCCAGAAATTGGGGGTTTCGGCTACATTCAACTATTTCTCAATTTAATTATTCTTTGTTTTGTTATTTTCATTTTAAGGCTCGGGTGTACAATCATTCGAATGTTATCTCGATGTTTTTTTTCATCTTTCGTCATCTGAAATTGTCAATTAAGTCCTGCCTAATGCAAAAAAAAGTAGAAAAAATTCTTAATTTTTTCAAAGAGCGTTTTTAATTTATATTCAGAATAAGTTGAATAACAAGAAATTGAAAAATGTATCTGATTTACGGTGACAAATTGCGGCCCGTCACCCAATATCATGCAGGGGAAGACTGATTTCGTAAATCTTTTCCCAGACTGCACAGAGACATTTATTACGGAAAAGGCTCTTTGAAAAAAGTTGTAATATTTTGGAGAATTTTTTAATCGCACTTTTATCACATAAAAATGGCAGATGGCTAAATACCACTGTTTTGAAAATTGAGATACCGAGCTGTCACTTCCCATGAGGAGTTAGTGTTTTGGTATCCACCATGGAAAATGACAGCTAATAGATAATTTGCCACAGCGAATCAGATAATTGTAATTTCCTCTTTTTTCAACTCATTCTGAATCTCAATTAAAAACGCTCTTTGAAAAAGTTCAGAATTTTTTCTATTTTTTTTCATCATTCAATCATAATTTTTGGGAATTTACATGATGTACCACTCAATTGACAATTTTGGATTACGAAAGACAAAAAAAATCCAGATACTATTCGAAAGATAGTACGATCGGGCCTTAAACAATTTTTTTCTGCTAATTAAAACATTCTTGAAGGTATGGAAGCCATCATATCCCCATTTCGGTGATTCTTTTATTTTAAATCCTACCACGAAACTCGAATTTCCTTTAACCGTCCAGCAATTGGCCTGGTCTACCTCCGGAGAATTGGAACTCGAGAGATTGTTGGAGAAAATAATCTATTCNTGAAAATTGTATTAATTATTCCACCTCTCCATAATATCACTTGCGTATAATCATGCGATCAATTATTTTCTTCTATTGATCAACATTTAATAAATTTAAAAAAATATGACCCAGTCGTCCAGAAATTGGGGGTTTCGGCTACATTCAACTATTTCTCAATTTAATTATTCTTTGTTTTGTTATTTTCATTTTAAGGCTCGGGTGTACAATCATTCGAATGTTATCTCGATGTTTTTTTTCATCTTTCGTCATCTGAAATTGTCAATTAAGTCCTGCCTAATGCAAAAAAAAGTAGAAAAAATTCTTAATTTTTTCAAAGAGCATTTTTAATTTATATTCAGAATAAGTTGAATAACAAGAAATTGAAAAATGTATCTGATTTACGGTGACAAATTGCGGCCCGTCACCCAATATCATGCGGGGGAAGACTGATTTCGTAAATCTTTTCCCAGACTGCACAGAGACATTTATTACGGAAAAGGCTCTTTGAAAAAAGTTGTAATATTTTGGAGAATTTTTTAATCGCACTTTTATCACATAAAAATGGCAGATGGCTAAATACCACTGTTTTGAAAATTGAGATACCGAGCTGTCACTTCCCATGAGGAGTTAGTGTTTTGGTATCCACCATGGAAAATGACAGCTAATAGATAATTTGCCACAGCGAATCAGATAATTGTAATTTCCTCTTTTTTCAACTCATTCTGAATCTCAATTAAAAACGCTCTTTGAAAAAGTTCAGAATTTTTTCTATTTTTTTTCATCATTCAATCATAATTTTTGGGAATTTACATGATGTACCACTCAATTGACAATTTTGGATTACGAAAGACAAAAAAAATCCAGATACTATTCGAAAGATAGTACGATCGGGCCTTAAACAATTTTTTTCTGCTAATTAAAACATTCTTGAAGGTATGGAAGCCATCATATCCCCATTTCGGTGATTCTTTTATTTTAAATCCTACCACGAAACTCGAATTTCCTTTAACCGTCCAGCAATTGGCCTGGTCTACCTCCGGAGAATTGGAACTCGAGAGATTGTTGGAGAAAATAATCTATTCACCTACCGACGTCGGTGGCCGAGTGGATCAGACGCAAGTCTAGTGTGCGAAAGGTTGTGAGTTCGATTCCCCGTGGAATCGAATTTTTCAACGGAAGGCTCCGGCGAGCGGGAGGTTGCTAATAGAGAAACCGCCTGTACCGGCATGTGGGTTTTCTGTGGTTTCCCCATGCTACTTCTGTTCTATAGGAGTGCGAATGCGGTACAGTGTAGAATCCACAGCCGANGGGTTTCGGCTACATTCAACTATTTCTCAATTTAATTATTCTTTGTTTTGTTATTTTCATTTTAAGGCTCGGGTGTACAATCATTCGAATGTTATCTCGATGTTTTTTTTCATCTTTCGTCATCTGAAATTGTCAATTAAGTCCTGCCTAATGCAAAAAAAAGTAGAAAAAATTCTTAATTTTTTCAAAGAGCGTTTTTAATTTATATTCAGAATAAGTTGAATAACAAGAAATTGAAAAATGTATCTGATTTACGGTGACAAATTGCGGCCCGTCACCCAATATCATGCAGGGGAAGACTGATTTCGTAAATCTTTTCCCAGACTGCACAGAGACATTTATTACGGAAAAGGCTCTTTGAAAAAAGTTGTAATATTTTGGAGAATTTTTTAATCGCACTTTTATCACATAAAAATGGCAGATGGCTAAATACCACTGTTTTGAAAATTGAGATACCGAGCTGTCACTTCCCATGAGGAGTTAGTGTTTTGGTATCCACCATGGAAAATGACAGCTAATAGATAATTTGCCACAGCGAATCAGATAATTGTAATTTCCTCTTTTTTCAACTCATTCTGAATCTCAATTAAAAACGCTCTTTGAAAAAGTTCAGAATTTTTTCTATTTTTTTTCATCATTCAATCATAATTTTTGGGAATTTACATGATGTACCACTCAATTGACAATTTTGGATTACGAAAGACAAAAAAAATCCAGATACTATTCGAAAGATAGTACGATCGGGCCTTAAACAATTTTTTTCTGCTAATTAAAACATTCTTGAAGGTATGGAAGCCATCATATCCCCATTTCGGTGATTCTTTTATTTTAAATCCTACCACGAAACTCGAATTTCCTTTAACCGTCCAGCAATTGGCCTGGTCTACCTCCGGAGAATTGGAACTCGAGAGATTGTTGGAGAAAATAATCTATTCACCTACCGACGTCGGTGGCCGAGTGGATCAGACGCAAGTCTAGTGTGCGAAAGGTTGTGAGTTCGATTCCCCGTGGAATCGAATTTTTCAACGGAAGGCTCCGGCGAGCGGGAGGTTGCTAATAGAGAAACCGCCTGTACCGGCATGTGGGTTTTCTGTGGTTTCCCCATGCTACTTCTGTTCTATAGGAGTGCGAATGCGGTACAGTGTAGAATCCACAGCCGATTGGATAGAGTGCCGAATGGGACCCAAAAAGGGACTCCGAGGCCGTAAAAAAAAAATCTATTTACCTTGATATTGTCGTCGAATCTCTTGCCAATGCCAAAGCTGTAAAGATAATCGGGAAATCGTTTGTACGCGGCCAGATAGCGGTACTGCGGCAGGCGTTTGTATTCCGTAATAAAGTCGTAATCCTTCTTAGGGGACACGCAGCCACGTTGATGAGCCTCTTGTAGTGGAGTTGCTGTCGGCTCATCAGCCGCGCTCGTTGCAATATTGATGCTGAGAGTTAATGCAAACATCAGTGTAATATTGAAAAGTTTTCTTTGAATCATTTTTTTTCTCGTCAATCTGCGAACAAAAATTTTAAACGAAAGATTTTTATTAGTCGTCAGGAATCGCATAATGTCTAATCGAGGATGTAATACACCTTTTCGACCAAAATTCACGTTTTTTTCATTTTTCTGGCAAATTATTGATCAGATTGACGCGGAATATTATACCGTTTTTGCGTTTTATCATTATTGACTGACTCACGAAGTTTCATGATACACGGAGAGAAATTTTTTAGAAAAATTCTAGTGCTAGCACGGGAAAAGAGGTGCAAAGTGACGACCAGGAAAAAATCCCAATGCCGGCACTAGAAATTTTATTGGAGAAAACGAATTTTTCCCCGTATTTCTGTGAAAATTTCACAGAAATCCCCAAAAATTTTACCAGAAATACCAAGAAATTTTACCTTAACAGCAGTAGAATTTTTCACAGCCGGTGGATTGTAATTTTTTCCAGTACTCGTACTAGAATTTTTCTAGAACATTTCTCTCCATGTAGTGCAATCATTTTCCTGCATTTTTTTCAAGTTTTGTGAATTTCCGAAAAGTTTGAGAAAAAACGCAGGAAAATAATTGCACGATCATGAAATTTCGTGAGTCATTAAGTAATGATAAAACGCAAAAACGGTATATTTTTTCACGTCAATCCGATCAATAATTTACCAGAAAAATTTAAAAAAACGTGAATTTTGGCAAAAGTAGTTTCAATAAATTGCGTAATTACCGAATAGAATGAAGGAATAATTATTTATTTGCGTCTTCATTTTAGCTCCATTACATTTTTAAATGAGCCAACCTGAATTAATTAGATATGTCAGGTTATTAAATAATTGGTAATTAATTTGATGAATGATAGCCGATAATTCGCAGACTTGATTGAAAAATCCGTAAAACGGGGGAAATTTCTTTGAATAATTTTCTCCTCTTTAATCTGGCAAAAGTGAATTACATCATAATTAATGGAAGTGTATAATTCTTCCATAGAATGAATGCAATATTGTCCTTGTTTGTCTTTTTGTATTCATGGTGAGCATCAAATTACTCCACTTTAAAGTAGCTCTACCCTTTGGACCGGCCGCACTGTAGATCTGGTTATTTTCAGTTGTTGAATTTTCCAATTAAATTGTGCGAAGAAAATTTGTAAAAATTCGTACCTAATTACTATCATTGAAATTGCATTTTGCGAAGTTTGAATACTGTAGCGAAGTAGTAAACTTGGATATGTGCAAAGATGGAAGTTTTTCAGGAGAGTTAAGGAATTTAATCACGTTTGTGAGATTTTTCGATTCAAGCAATAAAAAAAAATTTTTTTAAATTGCACTTATCATAATTCACTACTTCGCTACAAAATGTTTGACAACATTTTCTTCTTGTGAATAAATGATCGAACTTGCTTACTAAACGACAACAATTGTCTATGAGATGTCAAAAAACATCGACTTTTTCAGATTTAAGGACAACATTTCAGATTTTGGTCTTTAATCATCATGAGAATGTTGATTTTCCCGATTTTTTTACGTTCTTTCTCAAACCACCAAATCGAGTTTTCTGGAAATGAAGAGTAGAGCTACTTTAATGGAGAATAATTGTCTAGAAATACTCTGGAAATGGAGAATTCGTCATCCCCATTGCTCCCCCGAGACCAATTAATTGTCCCTTAATTATCTAAATTACAAAATGAAATTTTAATTATGTATGCTCAGTACTTGATTTAATCACACCAGTTGGTATTAGAGTGCCTTTTGGGAGCAGTCGAGGAAAGACAATCTGTATGAGGGCTTGATTGAATCTCCGGGTGGGGTGTCAATTTAATTATACCGACTGCGGTTTCTTAAGTCTCCTCTCCTCACTCGGTTTCTCTCAAATGTTGCTCTCGTAATTTCCGTTTTTATTCCGGTAATTGAATTCAGAGTTAACTGAACTTTTTACATACAGAGATATCTCGAGAATCAGTTGAAAAATTCAAATGAAATCGATAGGATCAAAATAATATACACTGTTAATAATTTTCGTCTAAATGCTCTGCGCTAAATTCCGGAAATCTTTATAATGTTCAAGTTCCACTGAAATTTCCGGAAATCTTATCATTGAAAAATCAAATATTTCATTGATTTCCTGTTCAAATGATCGGGAAATCAATAAAATAATTGAGTTTTCAGTTCAATTATTGTGTGAAAAAATCAGGAAATTTCAGGAAAAAATTTAAAATTCATGACATTTTGTTTCTAAATATTCATGTTCCACTGAAAATTCAAACTTTCGGAAACCTTATTTTTTTGGGTATGAAATAGATTTCTAGAGAAATTCTGAATATGAATAAACTTGTTACGATTCCAAACAAATGATTTTTCTTGTGAAAAATTGCACTTTTTAAATTATTTCATCAATCTTCCTCCAAAAGTCAACTTTCTCAGTTTTTTTTCAGATTTTAAAATGTTTTGTTAACGCTTCAATCTCGAGATTCAGACCTGCAAAGTTTAAATAATGAAAACACTGTAAAATGTCCGGAAACTTGGGGTCAAATGGGGCTGAAATGAAAGCTCTGATGTTCGACTACAAAAGTACAAAAGCGTTTAACTGAACAAAAACTACTTGGATATCCCCAAGTCTCCTCTCCTCACTTGGTTTCTCTCACACGTTGTTCTCGCAATTTCCCTTTTTATTCCTGCAATTGAATCCCAAGTTGATTGAACTTCTCACATACAGAAATATCTCTAGAATCAGTTGACACGTTCAAATGAAATCGATAATATCAAAATAATATATTCGCAATTATGAAAATTATGTAAATGAATGAGAAGTCTTGCTCGAGTGAATTACATTCAGAGTCTATTGAATGTCTCGTGCGTTTTCGGTGCATTACCCCTTCGGAAATACGAGATTGGATTAGCCTCCCCTGTTGCTACTGAATTCATGAAGCACTCGACAATTAACGCGTCTGGCTGGCCCCCAGGCGGCAATGGAGCAATCCTTCCCCCGATTTTTGAACTCCTTGGAGGTGATATAGAAGGGTCCATCGGCTATTCTCAGCGGCCAACTGAGCAACAGCCTTGGCTCGGGGTTTAACAACTCTAATTGTATGCCAACCCCTTTCTCCCATTCTTCAGGTACACGCGCTCGCATAAGTTTCCTCCCTCCGACATTTATATCGTTTATTATTCTCTTGTGACCTGGCTATCTCCCGGATGATAAATTCGGGGGAATTTTGGGGGATGATGGAGTGAGATTGATTTTCCAATTCATTGAGATTAAGGAATTTTGAGAGAACAACAGGAAAATTAATTTCACTTGGGAATAATTCTTTTGTAATTAGGTAATTTCGAGAATTTAAGAGATACACTGTTGAAAATTTTCGTCTGAATTTTCCATGCCAAATCCTGGAAATTTTTATCGTGTTTAATTTCCACTGAAAGTTCAGGAAATATTGACATTAAAAATCGAAGATTCCGTTAATTTTCGGTTCAGATGATCTGAAAATCAATAAAATACTTGATTTTTCAGTTAAATTATTCCGCGAAAATTCAGAAAATTCAGAGAGAAATTGAAAATTCATGTCATTTTGTTTCTAAATACTTATGTTCCATTGGAAATTCAATGAAGTTGTGAAATTTCCATCTCACTCCCACTACAAACTCATGAATTTCTTTGAATTCTACCTAAAACTTGAAATTTAACAATTTTATAACAATTTTTCCCCTAAACCCGATTGAATGTCAGTCTCATGAGAATTACTATCACATTTTCCATGAAATTTCCAGAAGGTTATTCATTTATTTCTTCATTCGATTTTCAATAGAGAGACAGCAGCATTGGGAAAGAATGAGCGCTACACGAATGCATCCCACACGCAGGAAACCAGTTTACAAAATGAATTGACGTTAATTGACTCAAATGCTCGCACTCTGTTCACATATTTATTATTTGATTCACCTGAAGTGTTCTGCGTGCATAACAAGTTTTCTATCTCCTTTCGATTCCAAAAAATTACTTCAACGAAATTCCGCATTTGCCTGAAGATCAGCTTTCACTGGAATTTTTTATTTAAAAAAGCAGAGATTTGCGAAAAAAATCAGCAGAAACTACACTGATAGAATAATTCATTTATTCCAAACGAGATTCGCTAACTATTAACGAATGGTAGAGTTAAATATGACCAAATAAATATTCTTTAATAGTTAACGAATAGTTCCCTGGAAATGCTCCTGAAATATGCATTTGTTAACTATTAACGAATGAACATTTGATGAAACCGAATAGATTCTAGCCTCCAACCAAATTCATTTGTCGACTATAACTAATCCTTTCCATCAGTGTAATCTCACTGGAATTTACTCATTTCAGCGTGCCACTTCATTGATGAATTCGCATGGCAATTAATGTTCAATTATTTAACAAAATGTAATAAACTCTCATCAATTTTTTATGTCAATTTTCCTCCAATCAACTCGCCAATAACTTGTTCGTATTCTGCGTGCACAACAAGTTTTCTATTCCCTTTCGATTCCAAAAAATTACTTCAACGAAATTCCGCATTTGCCTGAAGATCAGCTTTCACTGGAATTTTTTATTTAAAAAAGCAGAGATTTGCGAAAAAAATCAGCAGAAACTACACTGATAGAATAATTCATTTATTCCAAACGAGATTCGCTAACTATTAACGAATGGTAGAGTTAAATATGACCAAATAAATATTCTTTAATAGTTAACGAATAGTTCCCTGGAAATGCTCCTGAAATATGTATTTGTTAACTATTAACGAATGAACATTTGATGAAACCGAATAGATTCTAGCCTCCAACCAAATTCATTTGTCGACTATAACTAATCCTTTCCATCAGTGTAATCTCACTGGAATTTACTCATTTCAGCGTGCCACGTCATTAATGAATTCGCATGGCAATTAATGTTCAATCATTTAACAAAATGTAATAAACTCTCATCAATTTTTTATGTCAATTTTCCTCCAATCAACTCGCCAATAACTCAGAAATACTCATCGCAAGAGTAAAAATCCGGAAATTGTAAAAATCAAGCGTTCTTCTACGCTAAAAAAAAAAAACGTAAAAACAAACAAGGCGAGTGCGTTGGTGATATCGAATGCACTTTCACAGGTACTTTATCTCCGATTCCATCATTATTCCGGCGATATGAGATTAATGTCACGTCGATATTCTGTCTCTCGAAGTTCTCAGTTCACTTCCATTCATCCACCTACTTCGATTTTATATTTTCACGTTCAATTTTTCACTCTATCCAGCATTATCAGAATGTGTATCGTCTGACTTACCGGGAATTTCGTCATTCATTTTTTTTTCCAATGCATCAAACATTTCAATGAATATATTTACGCGGGTATGAACGATATACATATAGATAGAAAATGGGGGAAAACATTATTAAGTTCGGATGATTTCCCGGGTGTTTTGTTCTATTAATGTATTTTATGAAAAACTCGACAACTGATGCTCATTTGGAATTATAAAAATGCTATGAATAATTTTATTGTGGGTTATTCCGGGGGAAAAGGTGCTTTTGGGTCTTTGGGGAATCCGTACTGCTTTGAAATGAAATCCGCCAGATTGACATCACATGTTCAAGAAAAAAACACGTCATCAAAGAACTCGGAATGGCCGCAATTAGCCCGGATTTCCGACAAAAATCGAAGGGATACTTTCTCAAACTTTGTTCTGTGGGGGAGAAAACACCCTGGAGTTGAGAGTATTAACGAACCTCCTTTGTTATTGATTTTCAAAATTGGACATGAAAACAAAAGGTTTATATCTTCATAAAAAATCGCGGTACACAAGAGATAAAAGAACGAAAATTGGCTCGTTCCGGACAAAAGGCTTCAATTAAAAAAGTCAAATGTGTTGTTATATTTCCACTTGTCGTGTTTTATCAGTCGGTGAATGCAATTCGTTTGAAAGGGGATTTTTCCTGTCTCAAGCAGAAATGAAAAGTTGCTTATTTGTTAGACACCACTAAATGAATCGGTCGAATAATTTCTTTAGGCCGATGCCTTTTAGCAACAGTGAAGCAAGAGTATTTCCATTTTTTTTCGTTTTTTTTTACTTCCAAACGGAAGCTTTGCAATCGTTGATTCCTACGATCTGCTCGTCCTGAAGACATGATGTTCTTGGAAAATGTGGATATCTACGTGCGGATTTTTAAAAGTTTTTTTATAAATGTTCACTGAAAAATAGAGAAGTTGAAGCTAAAAACCTATAATTTTGTCTCGTAATTGATATTGGTTTGGGGAGAATTTCTGCATCAAATGTTAGTTCAACCGGTCAAATAGTTTTTGAGATAGAGTAATTTCTCAAAAATCTTCTTTCTCAATTTCTCAAAAATTACGCGGCTGAATTGAATTTTTTTCCGTCAAAATATTCCTCGTGACAAATCCATCAAGTCAAGTCCCAAAATACCGATATAACTAGGGATAGCTTGTTTAACTTTATAATTTTTAATCATTTTCAATAACTTGTTTGAGAGCAAGTTCGTTGTCTGTCAATATTAAACAACTAGGTGACTGAATTAAATTTTTTTATTTCGAGATATTCCTTACGATAATATCCATTGAATCAATCCACTATATTCCTAGAGCAATAGAACAGCTTGTTTAATTTTATAATTTCTAATAATTCCTAATAATTTTTAATACGTTATGTGAGGGCATTTCTGGGGGAAACTTCAGTTCAATCACTCAAGTAATTTTTGAGAAAAACCAATTCTCTACACGGAGAGAAATATTCAATAAAAATGACGTATCTTTTCCGTAATTCCGGAGCAAAATGTGGTTGTAGGAAATTTTACGGAACTGTCACATAATTTTTACTTAATATATTAAAATCACGGAATTTTTCCTGAGCGTGAAAAATTACGATATCGTCACTTAAATGTTCTGAGTCGATTCCGTAATCGCTGAGCGAACTGTGAGTATCCTAATTTTTACTGAACATTTCTCTCCGTGCATGAATGTTTTTCTGTAAATATTTAAAAACAATGCGACAGAATAGATTTTTTCACGTCAAACTATTCCTCGTTATAATATCCATGAAATCACGTCACAATATCCCTGCATAACTGAGAGCAGCTTCCTTAACGTGATAATTTCTAAACAACCCCAAGTATTCCAGAATTCCCGTTGAAACTCATTTATCTCAGTTTCATTCCACAACAATTCAAAACGCCATCAGAGAACGTAATGATAAATTCTCTTGAGAATCGACTCACCTGTTGCTGAGAACCCGGCCTGATAGAATTTCAAACGCCTCAGTTTATTCTCACTCTCAAACTCTCGATAAAAATTGATCTCCAACTAGTCAACTTCGATGTAACAACCGATACCAGGACGATAAATTAAATAATTGCCGGGGTTGAATCGAGGTGCGGAGTGTAACGAAATGGCCAGGACGGTGGTGACTTCCGCGCGAGAATGACGGTGGGGCCAACCATGTCCATCCCTTATATATGTATGAGAGGGACGAATTCGTCGCCTGCGACGGCGTCGCGACGCACACCGTTCCCTCCTGCATCCCCAACAGAGTTTTACTGTCCCGGGTGTCGGAAAAATGAGGTGAAACATGACGAAAAGAGCAGGATTTGCATATCTGAAGGGACGAGAGGAATAAATTCTCTATTTTTTTCCTCAAGTCTCTTTAAAATCTCGTCCCTTTCGTGCTCTTTCAATCATTAATCACTTTATGTCGCGCCGTGCAATAAGTCGAGTTTATCGCACGCTGCGCTTCGCGCAGCTTGCTCAAAACTAGGCTTCTGCACGACTTGACATAAAATATTATAGAACACTCGGTAATAAATTTCCTTTTCAACGAATGTGTAGTTTACAGGCCGAGCCGAAGGCGAGGTCTGTACACACATTCGTTGAAAACGAAATTTGTGCCCTTGTACTCTAATAGTATATTTCGTAATGAGTGCAAAAAAGTGTTTTTTGGCGAGTGGGAGGTTTATATAATCCCACGAGCTAAAAAAACATTTTTTTACGAGTTACGAACAATATTTTTCATCACAATGTGGCGGAAACTGGACTTTTAGGCACGCGGAGCGTGCCGAACAGTTCACTTTTCGTCACAGCGTGATGAAATGTACTATAACGATTGAGGGAAGAGCAACGAAAATTCGTTTGCGGATATTTTTGAAAGAATAATAATCATTTTTATAAATACAACGAAAATAATTCTCCATTTTTTCCCCGAGTCTCATTGATATCTCATCGTTTTCCCCCTCTTTCAATGACTGAACAATTAACGATTGAGGGATAAGGGAGGGAAAATTCACGTGCGAATTTTCAGGCAAAAAAAATCAAGTTATTTCGTTGCATTTATCACGCGGAGAAAAATATTCGATAAAAATTACGCATCTTTTCCGTAATTCCGGAGCGAAATGTGGTTGTAGTAAATTTTACGGAACTGTCACGGAATTTTTCCAGAGCGTTCCGTAATTTTTACCTGATCTCCTGTGAAAAATTACGATACCGTCACTTAAATTTTCTGAGTCGATTTCGTAATCGGTGAGCGAACTGTGAGCTCCGTAATTTTCACTGAACATTTCTCTCCGTGCACTCGATAGCTCAATTATTCATTCAATTTAGTTTATTCACTCATTGAGAATTCAACAGGCTCATTCGAAAATATCTCAATTATCCCTTCCGGTATAGTTGACTCACTGACATTTAAACGCATGTAAACCCCAATTAAGTACCGTCCAGCAACAAAAAAAAGGATGAAAACCTTAGAATGTCGCCATTCCCTAATTAACATAACAAAATTTTATTCACCACCAGCATGAACCCCGAGGATATGCCTCATTGGGGCGAGATAGGGGGTATATACTCTCGCATTTTCCTCTAATTGCTCATAAACGCGGAGTCCACCCCACGTGGCAATCGAGCTGTTTCACTGCAACATAGTCCTCCTTTTAATTCTCGTAAAAGTCTTAACGCACAGAACAAAAAGAGAATAAAAGACGAATAAAGGTGGAATAGAAACGTGAGAGAAAAAAATGATTCGAGGGGTAGGAAAAAATGAATGAAATGGAAATGGACATGGAGTGGGGAAATGACATTTATTATCTGGATGTGAACATTTTTATTTGACATTAAAAGTAGGTGAAATGGAATGAAGAATGAAGGAAAAATAATTGAAGGGATTTGACATTTCTCGCCATGGGGGGAATTGGCGGACCATTAAAAATTCACGAATATTTAATTGAATAGTTTATAATTAATTATGAACATTTTGAACAATTTTCTAACGAATTCGATGGGTTTTTCTATTAAATTTTTTCGTCCGTGTCCTTCTCAAAAAACTCTTGTTTTCTCACTGCAAGACAAGCTCTCGGGTCTATGGTGGCATCGACGTCGTACTTGAGGGGTTAATTGAACACTTCTGTTAAAAAAATGCACACATACCCCGCGGAATTATTCCGCTAGAATTATTCAAAAACTAATAGAAAGTTCAATAGAAATCCAATACAATTTTTTAACGAATTCGCTAGATTTCTCTATAAAATTTTTTCGTACGTGATAATTTCTAATTAATTGGGGACTCATCAGAATAATGATTAACTCACCTGAAGGACCATCAATAACTTCAAAAAATCGTCCAGATATTCAACAAAATAAATAGACTTCATCCCGAAACAACGACTGAATCACACCTTCTTAAGGATGTTCGACACCCTTTTAGCCAAAATTGACGTTGTTTTCATTTTTCTGGCAAATTATCGATGGGAGTGACGTGAAAAAATATAACGATTTTGTGGTTTGTCATTCTTTAATGGCTCACGAAGTTGCGTAGTGGTGCGATAATTTTCATGCGTTTTTTCTAGTTTTGTGATTCTTTTTAAAAGTTTAGAGTTTATTTTTTCACGTCAATTCCATCATAAGTTTGCCAGAAAAATTAAAAAAACGTGAATTTTGGCAGAAAGGGTGTAGAACATCCTTAAACCGATCATATTTCCCTATGAATACTATAAAATAAATCCGAAGAGTCATTCTTTATTCAGGTCAGCGTCTCGATCCAGGTAATAACACCATTCAAGTGCCATATGTTGTGTCGAGAAATATAAGAATAGGATTGAAACGTCGGAAGCACGGACGAATTTATTATCAACGATTCAACCCCCGGAAACTCATGAATCGGCGAAGTTCATTCACCACTTCAAAATTCAGTTATTGAGAAGAATGATGAATAGTAGGCTATTCCAAAGTTGTGATTTTCTTTTCTCCTTTTTTCCATTCTTATTCTTCGGTCGTAAATGCTTTATTCCAACTTTCTGACGTGGGCCGATGGATCAGGGGTGTAAGTACGGTATTCTTCATTTTCTTTTAGAGTCAACTATTGACGTTGCGTGATACATCGAATGTTTGAGGGAAAATGAGCGGCGCGTGTGGGGATCAGTGCTGTGCCAACACACGAGTGTTTAATTTCACATGTCGATGGTTGGTTTGATGAACCGATAAATCTACCTTTATGGGTCAGGTTGATTCCGCTGGTCAATGAGAATGATCTTTAAATAAATTAATTTCCATTCTCATTTTTATTGATATTTATTACTACATTTATTATTCATAAATACTAGGAAATGAGGCGCGCTTCGCTCGCGCATGATTGGCTACTCATTTCTGCGTATTATTTTTGATCATTATATATTCATTTATACATTAAAAAGGAATTAATGTCCGCTTTTATTATGTTCAGATTTGAAAAAAAAATTGAGAAAATGATTCTTTAAAAATTTTTACGGCGAAAAATTTACGTTGTTTATTAAATCAGGTGCAAGTATTGTTCAAGTGTGAAAATGTGAGCTTTTGCGAAGAACTGGCCACCAATTTTCATGTCAATTCTCTATCAAAAAATGGGTGAACTATTTTCGGTCAGCAATCTATTTCGCCCAGCCTATGCTAGACTTAGGAATATTTCAAGTTTATCTTAGTTTTACGAATAAAAAATACTATTTGTATATAAAATGTACAAAAAAAATACTGTAAAAAAGAAAAAAAAACTATTATTATATTTTACTGAAAAGAATTATTATTATTTCAAATAATTGCTTTCTCGCTTTTATAATTATTACATTTCATAAGAAATGTACAAACTGATCATACATTGTATATATGATGCATAAATTTTATTATCATTATTAATAACATTATCGTGATTTTATACATTTTATATATTATATATTTTTATATTTACATTATACGTAAATAAGTATTTTTAATTCATAAGCTAAGATAAACTTCAAATATTCTCAAGTCTAGCATATGCTTGGCAAACTAGATTGTTGACCAAAAATGTTTCACCCATTTTTTAATAGAGGATACAAGACAAAAAATCATCCAACGAAGAACAGTCCTTCATGTGTAATTCAATAATTCTTCAATAACCCTTTGGATAAATTCACTTGATTAAAAATCAACATTTATTATCGCCCGAAGAAAACAGCAAGAACTAATGAATTCAATTTATCAAAGTTCATTTGGTCGGACTTAACGTCGCCATTGAAAAGAAATCGCATGAACTGAAACGGAAAACAGATAAGTGTACTTACCCTTTTTTACAGTTCGTATGAATGCCCCAGAGAAAAAAAATGAATTCAGATGAAAAAGTGGGAAATAAACTGTAATAAAAAAATATTTATTCACTCCAAAGCATTCTAAACACTCAGAAATAATTAATCTAAGAATACAGAAAGAGTAACAAGTAGATACATGTGGCAATGGGAATGATATAATCGAGTTAGTGTCCCTTCTTGTACTCCCACTTCTTCCCGTCCTCATATCCTCCTTTCTTCCCGTATTTGCTCTCTTTCTCGTGATGCTTGTCATCCCCCGCACGCTGGTCGTGGCCCTTCTTGTCCTTGTAGTGGTGGCCTTTCTCGTGCTTACTCTTCTTGCCATGCTTCTCAACCTCTTCACCCGCATCGTAGTGTCCAGACTTCTCACTTCCGCCGTGCTCCTTCTCGTATTTGTGGTGGTATCCTTCGTCCTTCTCGTGCTCATCCTCGTCGTGGGACTCGTCGTAGAACTCTTCTAGTTTCTCGTATTCGTCCTGTATTTTATTTCATTTTTAGAAGCTATGATAAGGGTGCCAAGTGAATTTGAAAAAAGATTTAAAAAAAAATTTTTCTTTCCCTCCATCATTGGAGAAATATGCATTCATCCATCCGACGAAATTTCAAACCCGCAACCGGAACTAGACATCGAGAAAATAAATGCGGAAAATCCTCTGTTTCGCGTGACGAACCTCGAGAAAGCATGGGATCAAATGGGTACGGCGGGCTGAAATATCTCTCTTATTCACCCCGGTACCCCATTGTTTTTTGGCGCCATCACATTGACCACATCATTCCCCATATCTTCAAATTTTTTCAAATTTTTCTTGAGTTCCTAGGGGGTTGAAACGTTCAATTTAATCAAAACTCCATAAGAGGCCGTGTATAAGACTGATTTTGTTTATTTAATTTCTCGATATCCATGAGTTCTAAAATTTTAAAATTGTCACCGATGTCCACCATCTGTCTAATACTATTAATTAAAAAATTATAACTGTGTTGGTGAATGTCAATTTTCAAGGTCATCGCCAAATGCACTTGGCACCCTTAAATGTTCGAAACGAATTTTATAAAATAGATTCAGGAAGTCATTAGTACACTGAGAGAAAAAGAAACACATTGTCAAACAAATTTTGTTCGGGCCAACAAAATCGCTAGTTAAAAATTGCCAAAAAAGAATTTGTTGGGTTCGAATTTGAAAGGTTCAAACATGAATAATTGTTCTGCTTTCGACAGCAACGAAATATTTGGCTCAAGAGGCGGATAAGTCACAGCAGTCGGTGCCTTTTCAGAGTGAAAATGTCTCATATAGAGGAAAATTTCTCACCTGATATTTTATCCCTAAGTTACAAGATTGCTATCATACCATTATTATTGTTTCACTTAAGGGTTCATTTGTTGTCTGTGATTATTAGACAGCCGAAACGAAAAACTACTAAAAATATTTTTGAAGCTGTCGCTTTCCCACAGAATATTCAATTAATTTTTGAGACGCCACTAGATTTTTCCTATTTATTTTCGAAAAATGTTATGACTACTTCTGCAGATAAAATAGTAATAAAAATGGCTCAGTGTTTCACCATTTCGCTATTCAAATATTGAAGGAATAATGACCTTTTTATGCACCACATGATTGCCCTTCGTACTGTGTCCCTTATTGAATTTTCCCTCTTCATCAAACGCTGACTCCTTCTCCTTCTTCTCACCACTGTCATAATGCTTATAATAGGAACTATCATCCGAGTGTTTATTCTCCTTTCCTTCCTCCTCGTCGTAATGTTTATCGTGATCCTCTTTATCGTGATGACCCTTCTCACCTTTTTCATGCTCGTGATGGCTGTCGTAGCCCTTTGACATATAATACGAATGCTTTTTTTTAAACGAAGATAAGACATTTGAGTACTATTATCCTCCTAACAAGACATCAAATAAAATTGACTTGGTTGATTCCAAAGGGAACCATTTATTTGTATTCGGAAGAGAAAAATTTCCTTAGTTTATTTCTCCATGATCTTTAAAATATTGTTTCATCTTTTAATTTTATTTATTTTTTTTTATGAAATGACGAAATACAAGAATTATTTTAAAGAATTAAATACCTTTTTTTTATTTTAACGATGAAACGAATTAAAAAGTTGATTGATTAAAAATTCAGAAAAAGTTTGTAATTTCCCACGCACGAAAAAAATTCATAGAAAAACCTAGTAAGGTACCTCTCTGTATTATAAAAATCGAAATCGGCTTCTGGGGATAAAAATTTGGTACTCGAAATTAAGACTCCGTAATTAAGGGTCACAAGGGTCAGGAGGCCCAGAATAAGGTCCACAAAGGTCAGAATAAGGGTCACGAGGGTCAAAATAAGGTTTCGAGGGCCTCGAGGGTCCAAATAATGGTCATGAGGGTCAGAATAAGGGTCACGAAGGTCAGAATCAGGGCCAGGACGCCCAGAATAAGGGCTACAAAGGTGATATGAGTCAGATGAAGGGCTACGGGGGTCAGAATATCCATCACGTGGCAGAGAATAAGAGTCACGAGGGTCAAAATACGGGCCTTGAGGGTCGAAATAATGGTCACGAGGGTCAGAATCAGGGTCATGAGAGTCGGTGTAAGGGTCACGAGGCCCAGAATACGGGCCACAAGGGTCAGAATAAGGGCCACGAGGGTCCGATGAAAGATCATATGGATCAGATTATTGATCACAAGGGTCAGAATAATAAAAAATACGGGGGTCATATGTGGGTCACATGGGGGTAGCCCCCTAGTTGGCTATGAAATTTTTTCGTGCGTTTCATTCAATTTCCATTCAAAACCCAAATTACTCACCTTCTTCTCCTCCTCCCCCCCAGCTTCGTGGTGATCCTCATGGCCCTCTTCACCCCCACCCTCTTCATGTTTCTCACTGTGCACCTTAGGCTGACGCTTCTCCTCTTTCTGCGATCCAGCTACTACCTCAACCTGTCGATCCTCACCCCCTCCTTCGTCCTGGCGTCTCACTTTATCGTAAGCATCCGCTCTGAACACCGCAGGACTCAACTCCTGTTTTTTTATCGTTTCCAAAGCAACGTCTTGACTCCGGTCTCTCTCATTTGGATTTCTCTCCGCAAATTGCACATTTTCGTAGAAATCTTCATCGGCTTTGTCGTAATAAATGGGCTGAGGTGGATATACTTGTTCTCTGTGATCCCCATATTCGTACTCCGGTCTCACTTCCGGTTTGTTGACACGATGACTCTTCTTCGATTTCTTCTTCTTGCCCCTCACTTCGTAATTAGTGGCCCCCACCTCCTCCCCGGAGTTTCTGTCGAGGATATTTGCGTTACCAATATTAATACGGTTTCTTCTAACTGAATTCACCCGTTGCACCTCTGGATTAACCACTGGGCTTATCTCCTCATATCCGTTTTCGTAAATCTGCTCATGTACCTGAGCATTCTCAGGATTTTTTTCAACTCGATTCCCCGACGGATTGAGTCGCAGATAATTGGTGTAGTACTGATGTTTTTCGGGAGATAAAACAACCGGATTCACGTCGGAATTTAGTTCTCGGTAATTTTGAGGATCTCTCGGGGGTGCTGGAATGTTCAGATGCCTTTTACTCACAAAGTTATTGGAGTTCATCGCCGGCGGGGGATTACGCAGCTTGTCCGGGCCAAGTTTCCTGGGGAGGCCCTTGTCTTCCTGAAAGTTAACTTGCTCTTTCTCTAGAACAGGTATTTTCAGGGGCTCGTACTCTTCCAAACGGTCGGGAGGGGTTGGTTTTATGGCTTCGCTCTTTCTCTGGATTTGCAGTGGTGGATGCAGCGGGTTGGAGACTAGCAGATTTTTAGAATCTGATGAATGTTGGTCGGGTGAGGAGAGATGTTTCGCGTATTTCTGGTGGCTCTCGAGTGTTGGGTCGAAAACTACTATTGGGGATCGGCTCGAGAAGGCCGATGCCAGCGGCTAGGGGGAAAGAGGAACGATGGAGGTGATTAGAATAACGGAGGCTCGGATGAGGGCTTCGCCGGAAGCGTAATGATGGATCATCGACGAAAATTCATTCGGTTAATCAATTATGCATTTAGGGGAAAGTTCAGCTCGAAATCCAATTTATGTTTTTTTTTCTTGAAATATCTCGGGGATTAGTGGAATTAAAAACATCAAGAGATCTGTTTGTAGGCATCTGGTGAATTAGTTGGAAAATTCTATTGGAATTGTATTTAATTTTCTATTAGTTTGTGGCCGATTCTGTTAAAATGTTGTACAAAAATTATTCTCTTGAGATATTTTCTAGGGAATTTCCTCGGCCCCAATTTTCCAAGTTTTTTTTTGTTCTATTTTTCTTTTCTTCTCATCAAGAAAATTAAACAAAAACCTTGGAAAATTTGAGCCGAGGAAATTCTATAGGAAATATCTCAACAGAATAAGTTGGATAGAAAAATCGAGTTCTTTTTACTTTTTCTATTGAATATTTCCTATTGAAGAGAATGTTCAATAGAAATCCAATAGTATTGACTAGCCAATTCGCTAGGTGTTTCTATTTAATTTCATCATCCGTGTATACATTCTCGAAATCCAATTCATGTTTTTAATATAATATCTCGGGGATTAGTGGACTTGAAATTCATCAAGAGAATTTTTTGTACACAACTAAAATTTCTACAAAAAGTCTCTTGACAAATTTTGTTGTATTGAGGTTTGTTTTGGCTTGACGTGATACGTTTTAGACATTTGAAAAAAGGAAGACAATGCGTACACTTGTGAGAAAATTACTCCTGAAAACTGATACATTTTACCGACAAATCAGTTAGTTTCTGGAATATTCAATGAAATTGTAATATTCAAGTTCATATGGCAATGAAAATTGTGAAATGCAGGCAACTATTGTTCTGAATCCCCTCTTAAAATTCCAGTGTAACGATTTTTGAAGCCTCCATTCCACTGATCAAGTAATGTCTATATATATTTTTTTATGTGCTGTAATCTTTAGTTTACAGTAATTGTAAAAAAAGAGAAATTCATTATTTTTTTACCGTAATATACACAAATATATACTATATATATTATACATATATGTGTTATACCGTAATTTTTTTAACAAAAAAACAATGCAATAGAGTTCTGAATAAATTATTCAACGATTAAATTCTCATTGTGAAAAACTTTGTTGAAGCCATTCGTTTTTCCTGCATTATTATTCAGATAGAAATTAAAGAAAGTGAGAAACGTAAGGTTTTACTAATCTGGCACCCACGGAAAACAATACGCGCGCGAATCGCGCACCTTCTAGTTTTCAAAACAAAAAGATTTTTCAACTGTGTATATAATTTATCCACTTGAGGCTTCCGCCCCTTGAATGGAGCGCACTCAAACTGCAACTGATGTTTTTAGTCTCGGAATAATTCGAGGACGAGTGCAATTGAGAGAATCACGGCAAAATCTAATGCCTGAATTTCACACACCTTTTGTAGACATTTTTCAGAGACTAAAAAACGTCCGAATAAAATGAAAATGTGTCTGATGTTCAGACGAAGAGGTGCCCAAACATCTTAATTCACGTTTGGAATTCAGAGAAATTTTCATTTTATTCAGACGTTCTTTAGTGTCTGAAAAATGTCAACAGGTGTGTGAAATTCAGACATTCGTTTTTGGCGTGCTGAATCTCTCGTGAGATTTTTTCATATAACGAACATACAATCATCGGTGCAGAGTATACCGATTGTTTTCGATTTCGACTTTTCTGAATTACCATTGTGTAAATACACAGAATCACAGTGACACACTGAAGTCCCATGACTGATCAACTTCAGAATAAAGGGAATAAATCAGCTATAACTTCGGAAATTAATACCCTCCAGTAATATTCAGTGATTACACTCTGCAATGCCGAGAACAACTGTCTCATTACGACTAAACTGGCAACAGTCGTAGATCCATCGATCGCACTAGCTTCCTCCTTTCTCCCTCGATTACCCAATACTACATCGCCCGAAATTTCAATCATTTCGGGTAAATTTGACTTGACAAATCCAATGAAACGGGCGAGATGTTGGGAATTCACCAAGTTTCGGTGAAAAGTTTTAATCGTTTTCTTTTTTCCCTTTTTCTCACTGTTCACCGAGGGCCGCAGAAATTGAGTGCGCAAGCGTTTATTTGAGATGGCTAAATCATGCGGAATTCTCCGGTCACATCGCTCCCGCTCAAGTGTGACCAATTTGCCGCCACGTTTTCACTTTTGAATTGGATGACGAGGGAAAATAAGATATCACCTGCTGCTGGTGTGACTCAATCTCCAGGGAATCTTCACACTTGAGTTGATATCGATTTATATCACCTGATTCATTAAATATTTACTCTGATTTCGAAGGCCATAATTTACTATTTTTATTGAAATTCGTGGTAATTAATTCATAAAATTGTCCTAGAATTATTGCCAGTGTTTGTCAATTGGGAAAGACGTCAATTGGGAAAGGCCCAATAAAAACACTGTGGAGCTTCAATGCAGTTGCGAGAAATGGATGGATCATTGTCTCTTAAGAAACAGTATAGAAAGTCCTTTCATTCTGTAAAATGAATGGCTTTCGTCAATGCTGTCACTTGAAAGTGAGGAGGGTCGTTTCCACAATCTGATACTTCAATGAAATTAGAACTGAATTAATTAACTCAATACACTCGAAGAGGAAGGGGGAGGAAATAAAATGAAATATTTTTTTATTTTTATTTTTTCTATTTCATTGGTTTTATTGAAGTAATTCTCGATTTGAAACCCCTCCTCTAGCCTGCCTCCCCTCCTTTCTTTTCCTCTCATTGTTATCTGCGGTATCATGGCTGTCTTACTCTTAGCTGTGCCCTATTCGAGCTAGGACTGTACGGGAAACCATGTAAAACCCCAGTCGCACAGCCAACCGATTTTGCAGTGCCCTAATATATCCATCTGTCACACTGACTAGGTGAAGAGACACTAGACCGCTACACCGTACCTACTGCCCGCAATTTTTGTGCGAGCGAGGTGTTCCTAAGCGGTCACCCATCCAAGTACTAACCCAACTCAACGCTGCTTAGCTTGAATGTCCCCCGGAGCAACACCTCACCCACCTAACCATTACAGTCGGTTAAATAAAATGAAATAATTTAATATAATCTGATCTAGTGTTACAACAGTTATAAATTCTTTATTTTGTTGTTAGTGTCCAAAGAGACCTATCGCCCTCCACTCTTATGGACCCATTTCTTGGCCTCCGCATGTCCACTCTTCGAGCCATGCTTCTCACCATGTTTATGATGCTTCGAATGGCCTTCCGCAGCGTTGTGACCTTTGTCGTCAGAATGGTGATGACCAGATTTGTGGCCCTTCTTGCTGCCATGCTGGTGCTGAAAAATGTTTTATCAAAGGACGAAATATGAAATTTTTGGTAACAAATTTTCGAAATCTATTGACTTTTTCTTGTCGAATATCCAACGGAATCAGTGCAAAAAACAAATAGAATTTTTCAAGAGAATTCCAATAGAATTTTCTAGCGCATTCGCTAGGTTTTCTATTGAATTTTTTCATATGTGTTCCATTGATCTCGGGTCATCCTAAAATTAGAACTGTGGTATTAATCATCTCTTGCACGAATTAATTTAGTAAATCTGCCCCTCTTCTTGAACCCAATTGCTAGAGTGCTGTTCCCACACGAGAAGTATAACTTAAGAAATTTGTAGCTCAATACACCACGTCAGCAGTGAATGTTCCCCCGGACGTAAGCGTTTTTGTAAAGGAGACGAAATTAGGAAGATGAACATATACACTGAGAAAAAAAAATTCTAATATCTGAAACATATTTTCTTGAGAGAAGTAAATTATTTTCCATGGCTTAAATCTCAGAATGTGTGCACTTCACGGAACTCGAATAAAATCTCATTCATCACTATCGTTCCGCGTTACGTCATGAATATTTTACATATTACAATATTGGAGGTGCATAACGAAAAAATCATGAAAACAATAAACTAGAAGATTGACGATTCTTCTGCGCGATTTAAGTAAGTTCATTTGCGACAAAATCATACTTGAGTACAAGAATATCTTAAAGCCTGAGGCCTTCCTCGGGTCATGTGAGTTGAGATGTCTGAGAGAATTAAGCAATTGAAGAATATTTACTCGTCTCAAGAAAATATATTTCATAAATTTTTTCCCCAGTGTATGAACATAAATGTTGCATTCATGACGTAAAGAAGGAGATGAATACAAAATCGACGAATAGTATAAATTTGATTTGAAAATTGTCATCTTCAGTCCCCAAGATGATTGAAGGTTCTTCTGTTCTCAAGAAAACAACAGAATTTTCGAAGAATAGATGGAGCTTACCTCATTTCCTCCACCAGAACGTTGACCCTCATGATGCTTCCCTCCCTCCTCCCCTTCATGTTTCGCAAGAAAATAGATTTCAGATATTAAAAAATTTTTTCCCCAGTGTATGAACATAAATGTTGCATTCATGACGTAAAGAAGGAGATGAATACAAAATCGACGAATAGTATAAATTTGATTTGAAAATTGTCATCTTCAGTCCCCAAGATGATTGAAGGTTCTTCTGTTCTCAAGAAAACAACAGAATTTTCGAAGAATAGATGGAGCTTACCTCATTTCCTCCACCAGAACGTTGACCCTCATGATGCTTCCCTCCCTCCTCCCCTTCATGTTTCTCAAGAAAATAGATTTCAGATATTAAAAAATTTCGTCCCCAGTGTATGAACATAAATGTTGCATTCATGACGTAAAGAAGGAGATGAATACAAAATCGACGAATAGTATAAATTTGATATGAAAATTGTCATCTTCAGTCCCCAAGATGATTGAAGGCTGTTCTGAAGTTGACAACAGAATTCTCAAAAGAGAGAAGGGTTCTACCTTCATCATCTCCATGCCTCGAGAGGACTAAGCGTTCTTCTGTTCTCAAGAAAACAAGAGAATTTTCAAAGAATAGATGGAGCTTACCTCATTTCCTCCACCAGAACGTTGACCCTGATGATGCATCCCTCCCTTCTCCCCTTCATGTTTCTGCAGATATCCGCCTTGCTTCTCCTCTTCATCGCTCTCATGATACTCATCATAAAAATCATGCTTTTTCTCATACTCATCCTTCTTGAAGATGTTATGCTGTCCCTTGGTACTGTGGCCCTTATTGTGTTTACCATTCTCCTCGAATGTGGCTTCCTTCTCCCCCTTTTCGCCACTGTGATGCTCAGCATAGTGCTTCTCCTCCTCATGTTTCTCCCTCTCACGCCCGACTTGTTCGTCGTAATCCTTCTTATGGATGTCCTTGTCATGATGACCCTTTTCAGCTTTCTCCAATTCGTGATGAGCCTTGTAGCCCTGTTAATCGGATAATCTCTCTATAGTGTAAAAATCCAAATCGACTTCTGATGGTAAAAATTTGGTACTCGAAATTACGACTTTGAAATTAAGGGTCACAAAGGTCATGAGAGAATAAGGGTCACGAGGATCAGAATAAGGATCATGGGGGTCATATGGGGATTGGTGAGCAAAGCGAGCAGGGAGCGTAGCCCCCCAGCTATTTCTAATAATTCAATAATTATTACAGTTCCCAAATACCTCTTCATCCTTCTCTCTAGAGGTCTCATAATGTTCCTCTTTGTGATCATCTCCACCACCAGCTTCTACTCGTTTATTAATTCTCGTTGCTCCATCACTTGCAGCAGCGGCAGTATCCCTTACGTAAGAAAACTTCAGTGGACGTCTGCGATGAACAATGCTAGAGCCGAACGCACTCTCCAGTACAATTGCATTGATGATAAATAAAATCATGGGATATGCGACAATCATGATGACGACAATTGGGTAATTCTGAGCAATGAGAATTGTTTCGGAGATTCTTTCAGACTGGAAACAAAAGAGATATCTTGGTTCTCGTTATATGAACCTGGACAATTCGTCTCGATAGTTTTTCATCCAGATATTTTTGCACCTCTGTTTTTGAATTATTTTTACCAGTCGGAGTCACGTTCACACTAGCAAGAAGCCATTCAGGTGGGGCTTTCATTGCAGGTGACACTGGCCTACGTATCATCGATGAAAGTGGAACCGCAGTTGATGCGCGAGAAAAAGTCACTTCCTGATGGAATCCTGTACTTTCACGGGTTCAGGGTGATGTGGATGAATGCAACAGTGGGTGGTAAGTCTCAGACGGATTAGGGGGAATCGTAAGTCAATAGTAATGATATAATATTTTGCGATAATTTTGTATTTGATTGTAGATTTGAATAAATCCACCTAAAGAGGAAATTCTTATGCATTCGAAATGTTGGGCGTTGGACCACGAACAACGGCCTGAAATAATCGACCCGATGAAAGACGCCTTAAGTTTCTCAATGTGAAGAATTAATCTAATTTCATGACATGTAATCAACACCTCCTCACATCGCTTCGCAATAAAAGAGAAGAAATGCTGTAGTCGAATTATTCAACTTAATAATGCTTTAGCGTTTCGAGGATTATACCTTTGATTATTTTTCTTCTTTCCACTTCGAAGATTCAAAGAATTTTATTGAAATTGCATTTTGTAGTTCTTCATTGCACTTTCAAGACATCAATTATAAAATGCTCTCGTCAAATGAAGAAAGCTGAATTTATGAAGTATTTATTGTCGAATTAATTCTGGTTAAAGTCAACAGTAATGATAGAATATTTTCTCATAATTTTATTCTTCATTATAGATTTGAATAAATGCATATTTTATAGTTTTTTATTTCTTCCTTTTATCTTCCCACGGAGCATTTGACGGCGAACAATGGCCTGAAATGATAAACTCAATGAAAGACGCCTCAAGTTTTTCAATCGGAAAAATAAATTTAATTTCATAAAATACAATAAACAGCTCCTCACATCGCTTCGCAATAAAAGAGAAGAAATGCTGTAATCGAATTATTCAACTTAATAATGTTTTAGCGTTTCGAGGATTATACCTTTGATTATTTTTCTTCTTTCCACTTCTAAGATTCAAAGAATTTTATTGAAATTGCATTTTGTAGTTCTTCATTGCACTTTCAAGACATCAATTATAAAATGCTCTTGTCAAATGAAGAAAGCTGAATTTATGAAGTATTTATTGTCGAATTTATTCTGGTTAAAGTCAACAGTAATGATAGAATATTTTCTCATAATTTTATTCTTCATTATAGATTTGAATAAATGCATATTTTATAGTTTTTTATTTCTTCCTTTTATCTTCCCACGGAGCATTTGACGGCGAACAATGGCCTGAAATGATAAACTCAATGAAAGACGCCTCAAGTTTTTCAATCTGAAAAATAAATTTAATTTCATAAAATACAATAAACAGCTCCTCACATCGCTTCGCAATAAAAACGGAGAAATGCTGTAATCGAATTATTTAATTTAATAATACTTTTGCGCTTCGAAAATACCGGCTCCTCAGTAATTCCGCATTCCATCGGTTTGTTTGAAAAAAAACGAATGATTTATTCAGTGGAACCTTTCTCGACAAGTCCTGGAATTAGCTATTAAATAATTCTCTCTGCCGGATCTGAAAAAATGAGGCGAAACACCCGAGGAAAGCGGGAAAAGAGACGGAAGACTCCGTCGTATGCATTGATTTGTCGTTTCTACATGTTGACAAATCAGCCTAGAGAGCTAACAGGATACAGATAAGCAAATTAGAGCGATGAATAGGTGGTATTGATGCCCTCTGAGCACGACTGGACTGCGAGAAGGCCATTATTTCTACGTTTGAAGTGCTTTCCTTGACAATACACCCTTAAATTGGTCTTAACGTATATTTTTAAACATCTTTTCAATGTCTGGGTTGAGCCGCGGTAATTGAATTTGTATCATCCGGTATATAAGGAATGGTAGGCAGGATTACCACTCGGCCAATTTCAACCCCAGCGCTAGCCCATGCAGGGTGCCTACCCCCGACTGTTTTCTCCTCACGTGGGTCCTCCCTTGAGAATTTAGTTTTTCTTCTAATCGTTCTTTTTCTTTTATCGTCCTGTGAGTTGCGAGTGTGAGTGCCGTGGTTTTGGGGGGGTTTTTGCGTTTGGGGAAGGATGAGTAACGCTAAGGAGAAGGAGATCGAGGCCGGAAATGTGCCCGAGGAGGACGACTACTGCCTTCAACTTCCTCGATCTCTCAGCATCGAGGAGAAGAAGTATCTTCTGGCTGTCGAGAGGGGCGACTTGGCTAATGTCAAACGCATGCTGCAACTTGCTGCTAGACCTAATAAAGTAATTTCATTGATTGAGCTATTGCTATGATCGATGAATTTTCATTTGAAATTCTGGATTATTAGTCTAGCGCATCGTTTTTTTTCGATATCAGGGGATTTTTTAAGTACATTTTTAAGCAATTGATTGATGATTGTGAATTGTGGAGACTTCATGCGCGAAAAAATTTAATAGAAAAACCTAGCGAATTCGTAAGAAAATTCTATCGGATTTCTATTGAACTTTCTATTAGTTTTTTGCCGATTTTATGGAAATGGTGTTGAAATGTCAACTGAATTCGATTTTTCCATATAATTTATTGTCTTTAGATATTTTTTATTTCATTTTTCTTTTCTTCTCATCAAGAAAATCAAACAAAATACTTGGAAAATTTGAGCCGAGGAAATTCTATAGAAAATATCTCAATAGTAGAAGTTGTGTAGAAAAATCGAATTCTAGTCTTATTTTGCAATAACAATAAAGACGAAAATTTAAATATAAATTAATCAAATAAAATTAATTAAATGAATTAATGTCAAAATTGTTGAAGTAATTTTCCAAGCGTTTTGGAAATTATTTGCATTCAATCAATTAAATGCAAATAATTAATAATAATAATAATAATAATAATAATAATAATAATAATAATAATAATAATAAGACAATAAGATTAACTACAAGATTATTATTATTATTATTATTATTATTATTATTATTATTATTAATTAATCCCATTAATCGCATTAATTAATTAATAATAATAATAATAATATAATAATAATAAATTAAATTCGTAAGAAAATAATTACGAATTAGAAATTATAGTCCAACTCGTATCATTCTTTTCTATAATATTATTATTATTAATTAATAATAATAATATTATTTTTATTAATAATAATTATTATTAATAATATTAATAATTTCTTTATGGTTTATTAATAACCAGGCAAAGTCCATCGATGTTAACTGTGTGGACAGTCTCGGAAGAGGTGCCCTGACGCTTGCTATCGAGTCTGAAAACCTGGAAATGGTAGAATTGCTGGTAGTTATGGGAGTCGAGACTCGTGACTCCCTCCTCTACGCAATTGATCAGGAGTTTGTCGAGGCGGTTGAGTTACTCCTGGAGCACGAAGAACTGCTGAGGAGCTCCGAGCTCAGTCAACATCCAGGTTTAGGGTTCACTAGATTTTTTTAGTCGGGAGTAATCGGGGGAAAGGTAATGAATGAGTGGAGTAATCGGGGGGAATTGTTCCCGAACAGGGGCGAAAGAAATAACACACAGTTGGCAGAGAATCGATCCAGCCGCCGCTAGGTATCCGCCGGAGATGACACCCCTCGTGCTAGCTGCTCAGAGAAATAATTATGAGATACTCAAGTTGCTGCTGGACAGAGGGGCCACTCTACCCATGCCTCATGACGTCAGGTGCGGCTGTGATGACTGTCTTCGTGCTGCAACTGGTGAGAATATTTCAGTAGCGAAATGGCAAAACAAGTCAATTTCGACTGTTGACCAGTTTTCAATGAATATCTCGGAATCTAAGGGAGATAGCAAAATTTTTAATGTTACCTTTTTTGTAGACCCAGTTGAGAGCTGCAATAAATGTCATTACGAAAATTTCGCTATCTCGCTTAGATTCGGAAATATTCCTCAAAAACTCAACTGGGAGATGAGTCGACTTAAACCGTTTTACTTAGTTCGTTTTTACGTGAGAAAAAATTCCATAGAAAATCGTTGGGTTGAAGTCGAAAGATAATTATGGTAGTTATCTGGGTTGATTTGATTTTTATGATGAGTTTTTAAAATTTAGAATTTTTCATAAATTTTCTTGAGAGTGAGATTCCTGATGATAAGAAATTCTATTGAATTATTAGTGGAATTCTATAAGAATTCTGTCTGAAAATTCTATTTGTTTCTTGCGCTAGTTCAATGAAAAAGAATTTATGTTGATTTTTCCGTTAAACTCATTCTATTGGGATTATTTTTATAGGAATTCTTGAATAAGATTTTTGCTTCTGAATAGAAGTTTTGTAATCGTTCAAATTTAAGTTTTGGATTTTTCGTGTTATAGCGACCCAGTAGGATCCAAAAAGTCCGAAAATGCAATTATGTAGCAAAGTTTTTCTTCAATTGTTCCCTAACGAATGAATGGAATTGAATTTATTTTTTCCTCAAATTATTAATTGAAATAAAATTCATTTGTTAATTTAAAAAAAATTCAAATTGTTTACTTAACAAAATGACATAAACAGTGAATTACACAAGATAGAACGAAATGATGTGCAAAATAACTATAATATGTGCAATACAAGAGCAGTTCCCCACTTGTTTGATTAGGAGATCCTCTCAGACTGTCATCCACCCGAATTTCCGAGTACAAGGCATTGGCCAGTCCCAGTTTGATAGCCCTGAGCTCCCCAGATCCCCTGATGACAGCTTTTCAACTGAGTTGGGAGTTACGACTACTGGCGGTATCCGAACCCGAAAGTCGCGCCGAATATCTGAAGCTCCGAAAACAAGTGGAAAAGTAATTATGAAATTATACAATCATAATCGTCTACTGGCGAAGTTAGTTAGTAATTAGTTTATACTATATTGTTTTATTTTTTCACCTTTTCCGTCTTCAGGATAAGTTTAAATTAATTCGATTCATTTTTGTTCTTGATATATATTTTTTTACCCATCAATTCGATTTCTATCCCTGTCTTTTGATAGAATTATGAATGTAATGAATGGCATTGAATAGCAAAATCACGAATTGAAGACTGAAAATTTTTAAAAAGGGGACTCGTACGAGAAAATCGTATAGAATTTCCGTAGAATTTTCGTATATAATATTCGGATATTTCTCCACGGATATTTTTTATACAAATTGTTTCTATTCCATTTCTATAGGTTTGATCCTATACGACTTACTGCCACATTTATAGAAATATTTCGCATGGAGTTACATTTCCCTACGTTTTTCTCTGGAGCGTTTAGCAATCTTTTGTATTAAAACAAAAATTTATGTAAAAATTTATGATGAATGTAATGAATGGCATCGAATAGCAAAAATCACGAATTGGAGACTGACAATTTTTAAAAAAGGGATTATCGTCTAGAAAATGGAAAAATTTGTTTTTCTTCATTTGTGTGGATGGAAATTCGGAATTACTGTTTTTCCTTCAAATATGGGAAGCATATGAATATTTTCAAGTTTTATGATCCCATTTTAACGAGAAGAAATGAAAAAATGCAAAATAACGTGGGCGAGAAGAAATAAAAGATTTAATTTTTAAATATCTCCGGAAAGTTTTAAAATCGATATATTTTTTCGAATAATGAAAGAGTACCCATAAAATGGATTTCCATCCTTGTCTTTCGATAGAATACAGAGTAAATGACAAAAATTAAGAATTGGAAACTAAAAATTTTATGTAATTATGATTACGTAACAATAGGATTAAACGAAAACTCAATTTTTGTAATAACTTTCCAATTACCATTTCAATTATTAACTTTGAATAATAAAAACCAGATTCGCCGTTGATTTACTGCATCAGACCCGCACCACAGCGGAATTAAACACAATATTGAACCACGACCCAGAGGCAAGTGCAACAGAACCCGGCAAACAACTGGCTAAACTCGAACTCGCTGTACAATACAAGCAAAAGAGTTTTGTGTCCCATTCACACATTCAGCAGCTTTTGGCTGCTATCTGGTAAGTTTTTAATGAAATTTTCGATTGAACACTTGAACTTCACGTGCATGAAAATTGATTAATTGAATATTCTGAAATGACTCGAAGGTACGAAGGCGTTCCTGGTTTTCGAAGAATGTCCACAATGCAGAGAATTGGAATCGTTATCAAAACAGCACTTCTATTTCCAGTTTATTGTCTTATCTACTGGTTCGCACCGGAGTCAAAGACTGGAACCCTTATGCGACGGCCTTTCATGAAATTCTTGGTTCATGCGTCATCGTATCTCTTCTTTCTTCGTAAGTGTCAATTCATGTATGAGCGAAATCAAATGAAGAAACAAATTCACGCATTCACTCACATATTAATTACGCTCAGGTGTCAGTTCAGTTTTGACTTAATTGTTCAGAATCCAAGGGGGCGACGACATTTTTCAAGATATATTTTTCTGGCTCTCATTTCGCTTTATGAAGAGATCCTCAGGAAAATGCCCTCGAAGATATTTATCGAAAAATAAGATTGCAGATGAATTCACTCAATTCGTTCCTCCGTTTTTATTCCAGTGGATATTTAAATTTTTTTTTAAAGATAAACACATGTGATTCAAGCATCAACGATTATCTTCGCCATACACGAAACAATGTAGTAGAGAAAACTAGCGAATTCGATAGGCCATTCTATTGGATTTCTATTGAACTTTCAATTAGGAAATGAAAAAATTGAAAAAAATATTATTATTATTATTATTATTATTATTATTATCCGATTATATGTAATATTTTATTACATAAAATATATTACATATAATCGCATAAAATTTTTAGTTTCCAATTCTTAATTTTTGTCATTTATTATATCAAGAATAACAATGAGTCGAATTAATTTATTCTAATCCTGAATACGGAAAAGGCGGAAAAATAATATAGTATAAACGAATCAATAGAAAAAGTAAATAGAATTCGATTTTGCTATATAATTTATTCTATTGAGATATTTTCTATAAAATTTTCTCGGTTCAAATTTTCCAAGATTTTTTCATTCCATTTTTCATTTCTTTTTGTCAAGAAAATCAACCAAAAAAATAAGTTGTGTAGAAAAATCTAATTTTATTAACTTGTTCTATAGAATTGGCCAAAAACTAATACAAAGTTGAATAGAAATTCAATTGAATTGTCCAGCGAATTCGCAAGGCTTTTCCATAAAACGTTTTAATACGTGTTTTTAAAATAGTATTGAACGCTCATCACATTGTGAGATGAACCGCAATTTGCAACATACGTTGTTTCTCTTCCCCAAAACTCCCCGAGTCATTCCTCTCCTCCCCCGCTCCGCCGAACCTTTCCAACTGAAAAATTCCCTGATTACCCCCAAATTCTAAAAATAAAACAGCTTCTCTCCCCGCCAGTCCTTCTGATGCTGGTGTCGCAGCGCGCGGAGGTCCAGATAATCCGTTACCTCGGCACCGAGTCGATGAAGCGCCAACTCCAAGAGGACCTCCTAAAGCAACGAGGAGCAGGTCCCACCCCCTTGGAATGTCTCGTCGTCGTCTACGTCCTGGGTTTCATCTGGCAGGAGACCCGCGAGGTCTTCGGGGACGGTCTGAGGGCCTACCTCCGTGACCTCTGGAACTTCATAGACTTCACCAGGAACTCGCTGTACGTCGGGACGTTCCTCCTGCGCTTCGCCGCCTACGTCCAGCAGATATCCGAGATAAGCAACGACGAGTCGGCCAGGTACATCCCCAGAGAGCAGTGGAGTGACTTCGACCCGCAGCTGATAGCCGAGGGCCTGTTCGCAGCGGCCAACGTCTTCAGCGCCCTCAAACTGGTCCACCTCTTCAGCATAAATCCCCACCTTGGACCCCTGCAGATATCCCTCGGTCGAATGGTCATCGACATTGTTAAATTCTTCTTCATCTACACTCTCGTCCTCTTCGCCTTCGCCTGCGGGCTCAACCAGCTGCTCTGGTACTTCGCGGAGCTTGAGCAGCGCAAGTGCTACGTGGGCTATGGCACAGACCCCGACTGGGACATGGCCAGTGACGCCTGCCTCAGGTGGCGAACGTTCTCCAATTTATTCGAGTCCTGTCAGTCACTCTTCTGGGCGTCCTTCGGTGGCATTGGCATCGACAGCTTCGCACTCACCGGCATCAAGTCCTACACTCGCTTCTGGGGACTCCTCATGTTCGGTTCCTACTCGGTGATCAACGTTATTGTCCTTCTGAACCTCCTCATCGCCATGATGAGCAACAGCTATGCCATGATCGTCGAACACTCGGACGTCGAGTGGAAATTCGCGAGGACTAAACTGTGGATGAGTTACTTCGAGGAGTGCGGAACTCTGCCACCGCCGTTCAACATTTTCCCACCCCCCAAGCTCTTCCTCCGGGTCTTTGGTCTCGCCAAAAAACCGACGATTGGAAGGAACTCATCGAGGTACAGGGGCAAGGAGCATAAGTATGGGTCCGTCATGAGGGCACTCATCTGGAGGTACGTCGTCAATGCTCATACCGAGCACGAAATGTCGCCTGTTACTGAGGATGATGTGCACGAGGTCAAGAGTGACATCTCCAGCTGGAGGTGCGAACTCTTGGACATTCTCCAGCGCAATGGCATGGACATTGGCTCGGTGAATGTCAAGGATAATGCCGTTTTGGGGAAGAGGATGAAGGTGTGGGAGAGGAGACTCATGAAGGACTTCCAGGTGGGGTGCAAATTCTTGTGAAATAAATCCATAGGGAACTTTGGCGAGCTCGGTAGAAAATTGTAATGGGATTCTCTGGAAATTCTGTGGGGATTCTAATCAAATTCTAGAGAATTGTCGTTCATATTCAGTTAAAGTTAAAGTTAAAAGTTAATAAATTTCGATTTTTCGGTTTGAATTTTTCTCTTGAGATTTTTTCTATTAGAATCATTGGGCATAAATTTTATAATTTTTTTTCGCTGAATTTTGTTTTGCTTTACGGGATCCGAGTGGAAAAAACTTGGGAAATTCAGGCCCAAGTATTTTTTTACTCCAAGAGAATAATTATACAGAAAAATGGAAATCTAGTGAAAAGGAAATCAGATATCTCATAGAATCAACGCAAAAAACAAATAATTTAATTTCAACTAATCAAAATTTAATAGAACAATCTAATTTTTCTATAGAATTATTTCCATTATAAACATTGAAGTCGGTGCAGTAGTTTTTAAGATAGTGAGAAAAAACATAAATTAAATACTTGATTTTTCAGTTCAATTATCCTGTGAAAATTCAGAAAAATCAGAAAAATTCAGGGAAAAATTGGAAGTTCATGTCATTTTGTTTCTGACCATTCTCGCTCCCCTGAAAATTCAATCCAGTGGTGAAATTTCCATGTCACTCCCGCTGAAAACATGAATTTCCGTGAATTCTACTTAAAACTTGAGATTTCACGACCATTCTTTCCCTAAATCCGATTCAAGTCCCTCTCATGAGATTAACTATAATATCTTCCCTGAAATTTCAAAAAATTCCCAGTATCGACCATCTGCAACCAAAATTAGAAAATCGAAAAATTAATAAAAAAACAAGGCTTCCATTCGGAATAAAACCCGCAAAAAATGGCCAAAAATTAATCAATGACGGTAATTACACGAGTGCCCCGACCATTCAGAAAAAACCCACAATTTTGCATCTCTACTTCCAGGTGACGGCTCCTGTGGGGCTAGAAGAAAGCGAGATGGACGAAACTGAACCGACAGAGCCCCCGACTGATGAGGAAGCCCGGGAGAGATGGAGGCGCGTGGCAAGGCTCGCTGTCCTCAAATCGGCTGATCGTCGGCACTCGTGGGGGCAGATAGTCCAGTGTGCAGTGAAGAGTTCGCAAATCGGCAAGAGTAACAGCAGGGCGTCGTTGCAGAGCCAGAAGAGCCTCCAGAAGGCGATGGAGGAGGCGAGGAAACTGAGGTCGAGGTCGCCTCTGCCTGCTGTCAGTCCGATAAAGCTTCCCACTACTGGATCCAGTGATAATATCCTTCGTGTGCTCAAGGACATCAATGAAGACGACAGGTCACGATCGCAGTCTCCAGGGGCCTTCTCCCCTGACGTGTCCCCTGGGGGGAGGATCGACTCCAAGATGATGGCAACTGTTGGATATGAGAATGAGAAGGGAAGGAAGAGTCCGCAGCCCCTGCTTCCCTTTAAATCATCACCCCCGAAGGTCGTCAAACGAAAGGCCCCTGGGCTCGCTGTCTCTGGGGGCTCTGGAGGGCCTGGCGACACCGGTATGACTGCCAGTGCACCCACGACTCGTCCAGGCAGTGCTGCAGACGTCAGCAGGAGACCAACGAGCCCTAAACCGAGACCCAACACTCTGGATAAAGTATCCCCGAGACCCAAAACTCCTCCTAAACTCGTGGTGTCTCCAGAGAAACACCATCGAGGCTCCAGCCCTCGAGGGACAGCACCTGGAGGCGATCCGTCCATTGTCAGAAGCAGGCCGAGAGCTCCTGGGGTGCCTGCAAGTCCTAAAAAACTACCTGAGGTCACTGTCATTCCGAGTACACCTAACATGGCACCTCAGAGGAGTGAGGACAAGTGCAGACTGGTGAATGTCGAGGCCAAGTCACCGAGATTCAGGTCGCCGAGACGTGGGGGGTGGCTGTAAATTCGAGGGAAGGGGACAATGAAATCACTTGAAGGTGAATTTTTCGTGAGGACCTTTTCCGGAGAAAAAAATGTGCTGGGAAAATTTATGGAGGGTCTCTAGATTCGAAGATATTCATCGAAAGCTCATTCTTGAATCAATTATTTGGAAGTCCGTGGAGAGGAGTCCCTGGAAGAATTTTTTCCACTCAATTTTCGAAATGTTTTCCAACAATATATCTTTACCAATGTGAAATGGATGATTGTAGCAAAATTCGATTCTAAACATTGAAGAAAAAAAGACAGTCCTCTATACATATTAAAATTTATTTATTTTTCTGATAACTACATGTAACATCTCTTACTTTACTGTTTCTTTCCCTTAGGATTGAATAAAATGTGATAAATCTAAACTGAATTATGTTGGAATTTTCGAATACCTGTTCGTGGATGATGAAATCATAAGTTTTTAGTTATGAGTTTATTGTATGTGATTTTTACTCTCCTGGATTTCATGGGAAATCCTCGAGTTACGCAGCCTGTACGACTTTTGTCTGGACGACCTTCTGAGCAGAGCTAATTTTATCACCGAGAGATAGTGCCATCCCCTGGCTCTTAGCACGAATTCTGATGTGGCCGACTACAGGAGCATCTGGCTTATTCAGGGGCTTCTCGATCGACAGATTGGCGAGGGCGTCCTCTCCAAATATTGATTTTGCGTACATATTTGCTGCCATGAAGCCACATTGTCCGGATAATGCCTGGAGAAAGGAAGTATAAATATTTGGAGACGAATGAACCAGAAATAGACAGTAAGTTGTAAATTCCCTGATCGTAAATTCATCGAAAAAAATTTAAAAACCCCTCAAAGAACATGAATTGAATATTTGAGAAAAAAAGAAATAAAAATTGCAAAACGAAGAACGTTACGATGAAGGTTTCCATTGCTTTGAAATAATAATGAAAGAAAGAATGTTGGGAACTATTTGGCTCTACCTTCTCTGGAGTGAGACAGCGCATGTTGGTGGATTTGAGTAGGTGTACGAGGTACTCCCTGAGGTCTGCAATTGTTGTGTGGACTGACACTTTATTCTCCCATTCGAATTCAGCCCACATCTGCCGAAATTCAGCGTCAGTGCAGGTTGCAGGGACGATGTAATCCATTATGTCTATGTGAATGTCGTTGAGGACAACAACTGATCTGTCTGATCCAGCTCCAGATACGTCGTAAACTGGAATAATAATATGAAATGGGTAAAAATCAAGGAATTTTAATTATTTAAAAAAATGATAGAACGAGACAAATAAATTTGGCTTCATAATAATTTCTCAAAAAATGTCCATCATGCAGATGAATTCAAAATTTCCTTGTTCTCTTCACGTTTTTACTTGATTTAAGGATATTCAGGTACTTTGACTATATTTTTTTCCAGTGAAAAGCTTTTCTACTTTTATAATCGAACATCAGAGCTTTACCATAAATGCATTCCTGGTATCCAAGAATTTAAAACCATTAGAAATGATACATGAATTTGTTAAGAAAAATGGAATTAGAATTTAAAATAGCCGCACAGTTTTTGTAAATAACCCGAGAAGGGTTTGTACATAATAATAATAATAATAATAATAATAATAATAATAATAATAATAAAACCATCAGAGCTTTCATTTGAGCCTCATTTGACTCTAAATTTCCGGATATTTTACAATGATTTTATTATTTAAACTTTGCAGGTCTGAATTTGAATCTCGACATTGAACCATTAGAAAACATTCTAAAAATCTGAAAAAATATAGGGAGTTTACTTTTGGAGAAAGATGGATGAAAGAATTAAAAAATTGCAATTCTTGAAAATTACGAGCATTTTTTATAAATAATTTATAAATAATCAAGTTTCCAAATTTATTCATATGCAGAATTTCGCCAGAAATCGATTTCATGCCTAAAAAAATAAGGTTTCCGAAAGTTTAAACAATTTCAGTTATTTATTTACAAACAACGATTATTAAAAAAAATAATAACTCTGCAAAACCTAATTTCAATGACGCTGAATATTCATGATTTGTTTCCAATTTTCCTCACGCAATTTAATTGACAAATTTGATAATTTAAAATGGTCCGTACCAAACTGTGAAAAATACTTGGATATCCTTAAATTTAAATAGACCCATCTCGTTAGGTATAAGAGAATTCCCTCACCAATATTTCCAAAAATGATTCCATTCTCAGTGGATGCCACTTTGACACTGGCCTTGATACTCGCAAAATCCCTAGGTGCCAACACAATGGGCTGGGGCCTCTCCACAAGCTTGAGATCCCCCATTGTCGCCAGTTCCAGCGTACAATTCTGCAAAGTATCCTCAGTCTGATTGACAATGAGGACATCGAGCACAATGTCATACTGATTGACATGCACCAGTGCCTCAGCATAAACAGGATCTGAGAATCCAGTCAGCTGGGTGACCTTGCTGAGGGCACTGGGCGTTGGTGCATCAGCTCCACCACTGCCAGGTCTTCCTGCCACAGCGGCTGAGAGACTCTGCTCGAAGACGTCGCCAGTGCCACCAGTGAGATCAGCATTTCTGTTCAACTGCAGGAACTGAATGGCCTCGTCCACTTGGACGACGTTTCCAGGCTTCTCCTTGGCCTTCTGGTTCTGGGAGTCTTCTTCTGCCTTGGCTGCAAGCATCCTCCCGAGGGCGTCTCTGCAGCCCTCGGTGAAGACCTGCTGAACGAGGGGAGTTGGACAAGCCAGGGATCGAAGGCACAGAGAGATCCTCTCAGCGTCGTCGTGGGTCATTGCTTTGGAAGACAGACCGGATCTTCCTAATTGCAGAATGCTGGACATTATCAGCATTGCTTCCGCCTGCATTCTGTTGGTCTTCTGCTCGTTACTTTCCAATGTCTTGTACCTGGGGAATTAATCATTCGTAAACACTTATGAGTGTAAACAAATTTTTTGACACGAATGAAATTTCTTCTGAGACAAATGAAAGCTTTTGCTGATCCTGTAACTCCATTGTCATGAAACCTCAAGATGACTTATGAATGCAACAATTTGTTTTATGAATGAATAACAGATGGAAGTCGCTTATACTTTCAAAATTATAATTTTTTCCACGTAGAATTAATTTTTCATTAAATTTTGAATACCAAAAATTTGTTACGATTCAAAAAAATATATTTTTAGTGTGAAAATTCGATTTTTTATCAATGAGAAAGATTGTAATGTCCGAAAATGGTAATTTTTTTATTATTTCATAAAACTCTCTGCAAAAGTCCTTCCCCATTTTTTCACATTTCCCAAATGATTCCCTCCAACAAACAAGTAGGTAAGGGTGGGGCAATATGGACACTTTTGACTTTTTTTTAAATGTTCATAACTCCGAAACAAATTCAGCAATTGAACTCAGTGGAAGCTCATCCCAAAGGGGAAGAATTGTACTTTTCACAGAAAAAAAAATTATCCTCTTTTGTTAATAATTCAATGAGTCATCAAAATTTGAAAAAAAGTCGAGTGTCCATATTGCCCCACCCTCCCCTGACATACCTGAGTGCCAACTTGGACAGAGTAGTAGCCAAGGAAGCCCCAATGAAGAAATCCCCATCCATCATGTACTGCACCAAAGCCGGTCTCTTCTCCTCCTTCTTCCCACCGCCAGTGGTGCTGAAAGCGCTCTGTGTAGCATAAGTTCCATCAGAAGTGACGAGTTGAGCAGGCTGCACCTGAGTATTGCCTTCCTCACCGGGTTTGTCCCCAGCCTGCCTCTTGTTCTCAGCCTCCACGAGCGGCAGATCCCCCAGCGCCGCCCTGATCCTCCCCATGAGGCTCTCAATATCCTCCCTGGACATGGCATACTCCCCAAGAATCCACAGAGCGCCCCTGTGCACCCTCACCGACCGAATATCCTGGAACACCTCCAGGAGCTTCTCAATGATCTGTGGTCTGAGGTTCTCAAACCGTTGAATGGCCTCCCTGATGAAGACCAGAACATCAGTGGCAGCAGCCTCGTTATTCTCAGAGAGAAAGTCCACTAGCACCGGGATAACAGTCCCAGCGACATCCGGAAATTTGATGGAGCAAGTGTGCAGAGTCCTCACCAACAACTGCCTGTACTTGCCAGCATCCTCGTGCTCTCCCCCAGCAGTCCTGAGGATCTCCTTCTTCAGAAGCTGCACCATCTCCTCAATAGTCCTCGTGGTAACAAGATCAATAGCCAGAGCGAGGGTTTTAGTTCTCACTTCGAGGGCTGGCGAGCCCAGTACCCTGAGAACATCCATCACGAGGTCCTGGAGAACTCTCTCGTGCTGAGGGCTCTCCTTCAACGCAATCAGACGATCGAGAACAATGAGCTTGACATTATTGTCACTCTCCTTGACGACGAGGTCAATGTAGCAGGAGGCAGCTGCCTTTATCGCCGTTGGGGCGCTCGACAGTGTCACCAGGGTTCCAGCAGACTCGTAACGAACAGCTGCACTCGGGGAGTTCAGGAGGCTGTAGATGCAGCGAATGAAGCGAGCTCGTTCAGAGGGATTCGCCAGGCAGACCTTGTAGATGAGCTCCACAATCACCAGCTGGAGAATGTCACCGAAGGTGGGGACGAGGTCGAGGCAAGCTGCTAGGTAAGCCAGGGCTCGGCTCTGGTCAGCGTGCAGGAGCATCAGGAAGGCGTTTCGACGACAGGACATGTCCTGCTCGCCCTCGAGGTACTTGGCAATCAGCTCTGGGGCGTCGGGGATCAGGAATTCGAAGTTTCTGTAGATCGTGAAGATCGCCAGGACTGCGTTACGACGGACGTAGGAGTGACGGTGCTCCAGGCAGGCGATTATCGCTGGCATCAGGGGCTCCAGGAGCTCTGGCTCCTTCAATTTGCAGAGGAAGCGCAGGGTCGATCCTCTGACGTACTCGTTTGGGTGCTGGAGGTCCTTTCTGTAGGCGTCGCACACGAGGATCATCTCTTGGAGGAGCTTGCCGTCCGGGGAGGTCTTCGGGACTATTTCCCAGAAGATCAGGAGGAGCTTCTTTATCGTGTGGTCTTGCAGGGGCAGGACGAACCGGATTATCGTCATGAGCAGGCCTGGCAGGCGCTCTCCACTCAGGATCATGTGGATTGTTTTCTTCAGGGCCTCGATCTTTATGGGAATGTCACCCTTCTCCAGGTCCTGCTTCATCTGGAGCTCGTTTATCGGCTCCGAGTCCGCGGGAATGTTCATGAGGGTGTAGCATGGCTGCTCGACTATGCTGCTCATCTTCGGGCCTCCAGTGGTGGCTGCGACGCTGGATCTAGATTGGGGGTCAAGGTCGGGCGGAGGGGGCCATTTGAGATTAGACATTGTCAGGGTTTTTGAGGGGTGCGGCGATAAAAATTCAGGAGCGAAGTGGTGACACGGTTTAAGGTGAAACAGAACCCCTGTGTCTATACGAACTTTTAGAATTGTTTAGAATTTTCTCCTGCAATTAGAGTTTTTTATTTATGAAAGTACTTCGTTGACCCAACAATGCAATGATCGAGTCGATAAAGCAATTTCATAGATCTAAAGTAATAATTGTAGGAGAAAACACAATTCTAAAATTCAAATAAACAGGGGTTCCGTTTCCCCTTAAGTCGACTTATCTCTCAGTTGAGTTTTTGAAGAGTATCTCCGAATCTAAAGGAGATAATGAAATTTTCGAGATGACCTGTTTTCTAGAGAAAATTGAGTGCTACAAAAGAGGTCTTGACAAAAATTTAGCTATCTGTCTTAGATTCCGAGATATTCACTACAAACTTGCCAATAGTCGAAATCGACGTAAATCGTTTTACCACTTCGCTACTGAATTGTTGACTAGTTTCCGGTAGACTTCTGAGAAATTTTCATTTTGTTTTATTTTTATTTTGTAGAGGGCCAACGGCATGTGCCAATTACAGCAATTACAGGATGAAAATTGAATAGAGGTAAAAAGTAATAATGAAATTGATAAAATGAACAGTTGAACGTAATGCTCGTGACAGAAAGCATTATTTATGGGGGAAATAATTAAATAAGGGAGAGTGGGGTAAAATGAAAAAGTCGAAAGACGACTATTTGACGCAATTCAAGGAAAACATTTTTTTTTGTTCAATACTTTTTTTATTCTTGGGAGTACTGATGAGAATAATAATTTTCATTCAGTAGAATGGAAAATTATTGAGAAATTTTGACGGGAGAAAATTTTGTCAATGGACTAATTGAAAAGAAAATGAAACAGCAAAATTCAAAGTCGGGAGCAAAGCCCAGGGGGAGACCCAGAGGGGAAAAAGGAAAATGGGATGCTAAATTTCAATCGAATGAAAAAAGAAAAGTGTAATCTGCCGAATCTAATCAATTGAATTGTAAGATGAATAGAAAATTATTATTCTCATCAGAACTCCCAATAATAAAAGAAGTTAATAAACAAAAGTTGATGAAAAAAAATTTTGTTTTGCTTGAATTGCGTCAAATAGTCATTTTTCGGCTAATTATTGATACATAAACTTCGAAAATTCGGAACATTATTATATCGTTTATATTATAAAAATTACTAGATTACCTAATTTATTTAGATGACCTGATAATCTATATAAGGGAGGGTGGGGTAAACTTTTGGACCCTGTTCACTTTTTTAAAAATATTCATAACTCATAAGTCTATTTACCAATTGAGCTCAGTCTAGGCTCATCCCAAGGGGGAAGAATTGCCCTTTTTATTGAAAAAAAAATGATACAATTTCATTAACAATTCAATAAGTCATGAGCATTTGAAAAAACGTAAAAAGTGTCCATTTTACCCCATCGTCCCCTACTCCAATTTTTCGTTTTATTTTTTTGTAAAATTAAATACTTTCCAGTTGTTTTTCATCAGTTTTGGACTGCTATGTACATTATGTTTCATCACATTATAGTTCCATTGAAGTCAGTCATTGGAAATTCACTTTTTTATGGAAAACCAATGGGAACAATTTCAATTTCAGTTTCATTATTCCACGAAAATAAACGGAAATCATGAAAATTCAGGTGAATATATTCCTGAATCTCCAAAAATTGAGTTTTTCGAAACAAGCTGCACTCAATTGAACCAGAGTGAACTGGAGTGTTTGGTTATGACATGAGACAGGAACTAACCGAGAAATTCCATGATTGAAACAAAGGCTAAATGATGAACAACTTCTCCCATTAATTACTCACCTGTTTATATCGTCAATTAGTCAATTATCCAGTCCTTTAACATCGAAACTTCATTTATAATAGGAAATGTTATTCCGTCAGATAAGCATACGTGTCAAAACGCCCATGCACTGACTGTGATTCGTCGGCTCAGCACCACGTGGCGCCAGGCGTTCATTCAAAACCCCCGAAATACTGATCCCAGTAATTAGAATCATAAACATGCAGTGAAACCCTTCTCCTTTCACTGTTATCATATTCAAACAGTCAAAACAAAGAAGCAAAAACTATCATTATATTTTACTGAAAAAAATTATTATTATTTCAAATAATTGATTTTTCATCACGCTGTGACGAAAAGTGAACTTTTCGGCACGCTCCGCGTGCCTAAAAGTCCAATTTCGCGAGTGATATAATCCCACAAGCTAAAAAACATTTTTTCACGAGTTACAAACAATATTTTTCATCACAATGTGGCGGAAATTGGACTTTTCGTCACAGCGTGATGAAAAATATTGTTCGTAACTCGTGGAAAAATATTTTTTGCACTCGTTACGAAATATACTATTCTGTCTTTGCCCGTTACATTCCGATTGGCTGGTAGGTAGAGTTTGGAGTTTGAGAAAATTATGAGAATTAGGGGAGGTTGGGGAAAACGGACACTTTTGACTTTTTTTAAATGTTAATGAGGGGTTGAAATGTTGATAAAATTTAATAATTTTTTTTTCATCACGCTGTGACGAAAAGTCCAATTTCCGCCACATTGTGATGAAAAATATTGTTTGTAACTCGTGAAAAAATGTGTTTTGCACTCGTTACGAAATATACTATTCTGTCTTTGCCCGTTACATTCCGATTGGCTGGTAGGTAGAGTTTGGAGTTTGAGAAAATTATGAGAATTAGGGGAGGTTGGGGAAAACGGACACTTTTGACTTTTTTTAAATGTTAATGAGGGGTTGAAATGTTGATAAAATTTAATAATTTTTTTTTCATCACGCTGTGACGAAAAGTGAACTTTTCGGCACGCCCCGCGTGCCTAAAAGTCCAATTTCCGCCACATTGTGATGAAAAATATTGTTCGTAACGAGTGCAAAAAAGTGTTTTTTGGTGAGTGGGAGGTTTATATCACGAGCCGAAGGCGAGTGATATAATCCCACGAGCTAAAAAACACTTTTTTGCACTCGTTACGAAATATACTATTTCAGTTTTACAATCAGTCCAAGAAAAACTATAGCGAGGATTATTAACCGGTAATTGTTGTCCTGGGGCTCCGTGGGAGGTGCAGAAAACACTTATCTAGAACATTGGCTGCTCATCAATCCACAATTCCAAAATTATTGCCTTCGAATGGAAGCATTGTAATCGTTCAAATTTAAGTTTCGGATCTTTCGTGTTATATCCAGGGATATCCAAATTTGTAATATTTAACTGCCGTTAAATATTGTAGCCATCAATTAGGTAACATCACTCTTAAATTTTTTGAGTACTCAAGTATCATCAGTTCAAATATTCCAATTTTCAACTATTTTATCAGTCAATAATTGAGGTGAGAAGATTGATGATTATTTGTGTAATCGAAAGGCCCCTTTTGATAAATTTGAATTATTCACTTAGTGGTAAATTTACAGTTTCGTATTGACAAATTTTAAATACATCATTATTGGAAAAAAATCAGATTATTAATCCTTCGGCGATTGCGGTACAGGGGGTTGGGGGATGGGAAGGGAACAAATCGTAAAATCCCAATTTGCCCTCTCGTTGCTATGCAACAAAACATTCGGGAAATGTCCGATAATTTTGAAGGTCTTGGGGTATTATAGCTGAAAATATCTCAATAGAATAAGTTATACAGAAAAATTGAATTCTAGTGACTTTTTTACTGAATATTTTCTATTAAACATTTTAATAGAATCGGCAAAAAACTAATAGAACAGTTCAATAGAAATTCAATAGAATTTTCTAACGAATTCGACAGGTTTTTCTATTCAATTTGTTCGTCTTGTTCGTACGTATGTAAACAAATTCTCTTCGATTGTTCGCTAATAAATCAATGGCATTAAATCTTTTTGTAGAGACAACAATTCTACGCAGATTTATCCATTTTGCGTCAATCTTTGCACGTGTTTTTGAATTCCCGAGATTTCCCTCGGTTTTCGATAAAGATTTATCACTAATTTTTCTATTATGACTTCATGCCACTCGTGTCACTCGATCTATTCATAATTAATTATGAATTTTTAGAGGATTATTCATTGTGAAAGAATCAATTATCTTGACCTCTTCACTTTTTTCGATGCTTGCTATCTGAATTTATCAGTTCCCGGGTAATATCGGTGTTTATTTTTTCATTTCATTGGGTCAAGGCCACGAAACTTGAGTCTTCGTGTGAAAACACTAAATTTGGACCGTGTGAACAAAGAAAAACTCTGTTTACCACCGTATCAGTGTTGAAGAAAAGAGCGGAAAAATGAATTCCTTACTAGTGACGGTGTCAAGGCACCTTCCACATTTTCCAATCATTCTGATTACCCCCCTACTATCAGAAATAAACAAAATACCAATAGGATTTGTCGTGCGCATGCCATCGAAAAAAGCGAATTTACTCGACAAACACGTTCGAAGGATAAGGTGAGAACGTTTAAAACGGCAATGCACGTGAGTTTAATCGTCAGGTGTAGTTCAGCATTTCTCGAGGTGAAGTGAAAATTACCTTTGGGAATAAATCACTCAATCGAATCATCGAGATGTTATTTGAGAATAATTTTCGCAATGCTCTCGTGATTATTTTCACCCCTCTGATTATCGGATTTTTCGCGGGCTCGAGTGATGCCAGCAATCAATGCAAAAACAAAGTCATGAATATTGTGATAAAGATGTGCAGTGATACAGGAGGCAGAAATAAACGGGATCTTGAGGGTCTGTCGGCTGGAAGTTATTCAGGTGAACAAAAATTTCATTCGTCAGTGCAACTGCAATCGAGTTTGGAAGGGAATTTTTTTTTGCTTCCGAATGGAAGCATTGGAATCGTTCAAATTTACGTTTTGGATTTTTTGTGTTAGATCGACCCATTACGATCCAAAAAGTCCGAGAATGCAATTTTTAGATCGTGCCCGTACGTCTGTGAACAAATTTTTCTTCGGTTGTTCCCTAATGAATCGATTAAATTGAATCTTTTTTCTCTCAGATGTAGGTATTGTTGAGCCCTTTCAATCGCCATTGATTAAAATTCAATTCATTTACCATTTTGAAAAATTTTCAAAAATTTTTATTTCACGATAACTAAGAAAAATGTTCTGAATTGAAATTAATTGAAAAGAAATCTTATTCAATTCAATAAAGTTAAATAAACAATGAATCATACATGATTGAAGGAAATGATGTGCAATGCAATTTTTAGACCGTTTCCGTACGTATGTAAACAAATTTTCTTGAATCCGTTTTTTCTCTCGAATGTAGGTATTATTGAGCCCTTTCAATCGCCATTAATTAAAATTCAATTGATTTATCAATTTTTATTTTTACGGTTTTAACGTGAAACCTATTTTAATTTATCAAATTTTTTTTCACGATAACTAAAAAAAATGTTCTGAATTGATTGAATGATGACTTGAAAAATTCGTTTGGATGTCCTTTTGACCGAGTTCGAAGATGAAGGCGATAGTAATAATCGTTATTTTTATTCATTTGAGAATGTCCAAAAATTCTGTATTTTTTGAAAACCGGAATTCCCGGGATATCTTTGGATATCATGCTTCAAAAGAATTCAATCTTAGCTTAATATATTTGTTTTAATGCCATTAAGTCGAAGTTAATATATTGGTTGATTTGTTATATTGGTTTCTTCAAATGTGATGTGTCAAATGCATTCAATTATGTATAAATAACATTTTTCTATCAACATTTTATCGAAGGGCTGAGGGGAGAGATAGAACCGAAAAACGACAATCGGTTGTATAGAAAGGAATAATAAGAATAATGATAATGATAACATTCTTTTTTCCCCTAAAATGCAGGCATTGTTGAGCCCTTTCAATCGCCGTTGATTAAAATTCAATTCATTTATCAATTTTTAAAATTTGGAAATTTTTTCAAAAGTCATTTTTTCACGATAACTAAAAAAATGTGCTGAATGGATTGAATGATGACTTGAAAAATTCGTTTGGATGTCCTTTTGACCGAGTTCGAAGATGAAGGCGATAGTAATAATCGTTATTTTTATTCATTTGAGAATGTCCAAAAATTCTGTATTTTTTGAAAACCGGAATTCCCGGGATATCTTTGGATATCATGCTTCAAAAGAATTCAATCTTAGCTTAATATATTTGTTTTAATGCCATTAAGTCGAAGTTAATATATTGGTTGATTTGTTATATTGGTTTCTTCAAATGTGATGTGTCAAATGCATTCAATTATGTATAAATAACATTTTTCTATCAACATTTTATCGAAGGGCTGAGGGGAGAGATAGAACCGAAAAACGACAATCGGTTGTATAGAAAGGGATAATAAGAATAATGATGATGATAACATTCAACTAAATTGAAAATATGGAAAAATTAGTTGAACAGAAATTTTATTCAATTTAATAAAATGTAATAATGAATTATACGTGATAGAAGGAAATGATGTGCAAAGGTTACTATTCGGAAGCATATTGCTAATTTATTAGCAAAAATAATAGCTATACTATAGGCAATACAAGAGCAATTTCCCACTTGGTTTGTATTGAAGGGGATAAGTTTGTTCATCATGTTCGGAGAAGACAAGTGGAAGAGAGGACAGCAGAACCTCCAATCGTCGATGTTGAGGTGCCTCCGAATCCGGAGACTGCAGAAGTTCCGGGTGTTTACGTCGGCGATCCTCCCTCGCAGACGAAATTTGTCGGGCTTATTGACCAGGTGATTACCAGTCGACAAGTGCATTTAGAGAAATTCGGTTTATAACATCTTCCCTAAGACAATTTCGTGACTGATTTCCTCCCCGAGTGTCTAATACGTAATTTCTAATTTCTGTGTTAATATGGAAGGGAATAATTTGATGAAACGATTTGACGAGCAATTCTGGTAATTGATTAAGGATGTACGACACCCTTTCGGCCAAAATTCGCATTTTTTTTTCATTTTTCTGGCAAATTATTGAGCGGATTGACGCGAAATAATATACCGTTTTTGCTTTTTATCATTATTGACTGACTCACGAAGTTTCATGCTAGTGCAATCATTTTCCTGTATTTTTTCTAAAGTTTTGTGAATTTTCGAAATTTTTTTAGAAAAACCACAGGAAAATAACTGCACGATCATGAAATTTCGTGAGTCATTAAGGGGAGACGACTACTATGAGTTTCATAAGGCGTAGGTTATTGGAGTGAGACTTTTCATACGTTGAAGATCGATTACATAGATCTGAAAACGAATAATTAGTGCAAAAAAACATTTTTATTGTTGGTTTGCCCGAAAACGCTTAAAATGCCAAAAACATTCCAGGGCCTCCAATGTTTGAGCTACGAAGGATTTTTTTTTCCAAATTATCGGAAAAATATGTGGATTAACAATTACAAGCTATTTTTTTTTAATTCGCCTCTTACACGGCTAAATTTTCTTTTTTTGTATTTTTTTTACACAAATAGTGAATTTTTTTATATGAAAAAAAATCGAAATCAGCTGTATAGGAGTCGAATTCCAAAAAACTGGCTCGTAATTGTTGCTCCACACATTTTTCCGAAAATTTTGAAAAAAAAATCTTTTGTAGTTCAAAAATTGGAGGCCCTGGACTGTTTTTAGCATTTTAAGCGTTTTCGGGCAAACGAACAATAAAAAAATTTTTTTTTTGCACTAATTATTCGTTTTCAGATCTATATAATCGATTTTCAACGCATGAAAAATCTCACTCCAATAACCCACGGCTTTTAAAACTCATAGTAGTCTCCCCTTAAGTAATGATAAAACGCAAAAACGGTATATTTTTTCCCGTCAATCCGATCAACAATTTGCCAGAAAAATTCAAAAACGTGAATTTTTGCGAAAAGGGTGTAATACATCCTTAAGTAGTTAACATGAGTGACTAACAATTAATTCTGTGATTTCGCTTTGATTGTATCCCTGCAGCTTGCAGCATGAGACCTTTCCAGCGCGGAATCTCCAAAAGTCCAGTATGTAAAAGAATTAATCAGAAATGGTGAGATATCGTTGAGGAAATTGGATATCCAAGGGTCTTTTACAGTTTGGCACAGACTACACTATAGATTCAACCATTTTCAATCATCAAATTTGTCAATTAAATTCCGTGAGAAAAATTTGAAAAAAATCGTGAATATTCAGTGTCATTTAAATTACGTTTTGTATAGAATTATTATTTTTTTAAAGATTCGTTGTTTATAATGAATAAATAATTGAAATCGTTTAAACTTCCGGAAATCTAATTTTTTTAGACTTGAAATTGATTTCTGGTAAAATAATTTATAGAAAATGTTTGTGACTCTCAGAAACTGCAATTTTTAAATTATCTCATTAATCTCTCTCCAAAAGTAAACTTTCTAATTTTTTTTCAGATTTCTATGTTTTCTAACCGTTCAATATCGAAATTAAAATTCACGGAAACTTAGGGTCCAGTGCGACTACAAAACTAGACAAAACTAGAAAAGCATTTCACGGGAGAAAAAATAGCCAAAATACTTGGATATCCTTAATACCTATTTACGTTGGTGAAAACAGTCAAGAGGTCTCGGAGGTTAAAAAAAATTACTGAAATGCGAAATTAAAAAAGCTATCAAGTCAGGAGCAAACTTTGTACCACGAATTTTCAGTCAAGAGGGGACGGAAAAATCTGAAAGATGGCTTAAGAGATTTGTTCATTTGGCAGAAACCGTATGAAGTGAGTTGAGCGCCTTTTGAAGAGAATAAATAATTTTGAGAAATGTATAAAAACACGAGGTGATGGCGTCGCCATCTTTAAAGTTCCTCCTGGCAGAGGGAGGGGGTGGGCGCCGCCATCCAAGCAAGATGGCGGCGCCCACCTGTCGACCACCTCACGTTTTTGAACATTTCTTAAAATTATTTATCTCTCTCAAATCACCTTCAACTCATTCCGGGCAGTCCCTAGAGAATGAACAAATTTTTCAAGCTATCCTTCTGATGTTTTCATCCTCTTTTGGCTGAGAATTCATGACACAAACTTTTCTCCGCATTTCAGTAGTTCTTAGAACCTCTGAGGTCCCCTAAAATGAAATCCGTAGCGAAGCGATAAAACGGTTTAAATCCACTCAACTCTAAGCTGAGTTTTCGAAGCATATCTCGGAATCTAAGGGAGATAGCCAAATTTTTGAAATTACCTTTTTCGTAGCTTCAAATTCGCGCTCCAAAAAAGGTCATAACAAAAATTTTGCAATCTGCCTTAGATTCCAAGATATTCATTGAAAACCCTCCAATAGTAAAAATCGATTTAAACCGTTTTATCGCTTCGCTACTGAAATCAAATTAATTGTTGGAATGGAACAAAATGTGTAGGAATCTAATTTCGGTGGAGAACTGGGCTTCGAGTTGAGCATAGACGAGGTGAACGACCTGTATGAGGAGCTCGCCGAGAGATTACCGAGGGAGCTGAAGAACGATGACATACAGAAGATGTTCTTCCGTCTGGCTGCTGAGTGCTGTCGGCACGATGTCGACTCTTGCTTTGAATCGAATAAACTATTGAAATGCGTATGATGAATGAAGAAAGTTGCACTATTTTGTCATTCATGTTGATGTTTGTGAACTTGTAAATATCATCAATTAATTAATAAATAATTTATCGCATAATTTCCTCGATCTTTTCCCCTGGATTAATTTATGAGTGAATAATTGGAAGGGAAAACATCTAGATTGAGAGAGTCTGCAGCTCTGGAAGCATGCGTACGCCCACCCGCCACCCCCTCATTGCCATCTTTTTTATCACTTCGCACTCCCACCGAAATGCGGGGAATATTCGCACAATTAATTCTACCTCTCGTCTTCAAATTTTCCCTGGGGAAACCCAATTTTCTTTTGATTATTGTTGACGACCTGCGCCCCGCCCTGGGCTGCTACTCCGATTGGAAAGCCTTCACTCCGAACATCGACAGACTCGCGAAAAATGGGATTACTTTTGATAAAGCTTACGCACAGGTTAGACATAATTTTGTAATTGAAGTAGTCTTCTTCTTTATTTATTTTTCATTATTACTGTTTTCTGTTTTATCTCGGGGATTTTTTTGGTACAGAGTACTTTTTAATTTTGGGGGAGGATTTTATTGCTTTTCTACGGCAAACCGTCCAGTTGGACACGAATTTTCCGATTTTTTTCTTGGATTTTGTAATGAGAAACGAAGAAAATGCAGAGGGACATGTATGAAAAAATTCAATAGAAAACCTAGCGAATTCGCTAGAAAATTCTATTGGAATTCTACTGAAAAAAATTCTATTTGTTTTTTGCGCTGATTCTATTGGATATTGGATAAGAAAAAATCTGTAGATTTGAATTTGTGTTTGAATTTATCTCTTGAGATTTTTTCTGTAAAAATGCTTGGGCATCAATTTTCTAAGTTTTGTCCACTCAGATTCTGTAATCCAAAACAAAACAAAATCCAGCGGAAAAAAGATAATTTGTGCCCAATAATTCTAATAAAAAAAATCTCAAGAGAAAAATTCGAACAGAAATTCAAAATATATTGAGTTTTTTTTAACTGAGCGCAAAAAACGAGTAGAATTTTTCAATATAATTCCAATAGAAATCCTATAGGAACCCCACAGAATTCCTATAGAATTCCAATAGAATTTTCTAGCGAATTCGCTAGGCTTTCTATTGAATTTTTTTATGCGTGGAACAACTTACGAAATTTACTTTCGGGTAGTATTCATTTGAATTTTCTGTGAAAATATGAATATTCAGTGCCAAATTCTTTTTTTCATTCCATCAATTGACAACTCAAGAGTCCATTTACCGGAATTTTCCCAATTTCTATTCATTTTCATGGAACAATTGAACTGAAATTTATAGTTCTCATTGATTTTTCCATGAAATTCTAAATTTTCAATGACGAAATTCCTTGAAATTTCAGGAGAACTTGATGTAATAAAAATTTCCAAAAAGTGTACCTCAAATGTAACCAAAATTTTTTAACCGTTTAAAAAAAAGTTTAGCAGACAGATGAAATTCTCCTCGTTTTTTCAATAAAATAGTTTCTGTCGGACGATTTCTACGAAAAAAAAACGTATTTACGCTGTGGAATTCTTCAACAGAGTCAGCCGAAAGCTACTAGAATCCACCAAAATTTTCTCTCGAATTCGCTAGGTTTTCGAGCCCCTTCACGATTTATTTCTAGCAAGCGCTGTGTGCGCCGAGTAGAAACTCCTTCCTCACATCCCGCAGGCCAGACACCCTCGGTCTCTACGATTTCTACAGCTACTGGAGAGAGGCCGCGGGCAATTTTACAACTCTCCCACAATACCTGAAGGACCACGGCTACACCACAATGTCAGTAGGAAAGGTGTTCCACCCAGGTGATCCCATTACTCCACTATTTACTCATCAGAAAAGAAAACTTCAGTGAATTACCCTCGTTTATTAGTTCTACATTCACTACATCTAGTCTTAAAAATAACATATTTAAATATTGAAATAACATACTCAATATCGATACAACAATTATGCATTCAGGAGTCAGTTCGAACAATTCGGACGACAGTCCCTACTCCTGGAGCCGAGAGGCCTTTCATCCGTACACTAATCGGTACAAAGACACTCCCCTCTGCACCTCAAACGACGACAGATTACCCGCACGCAATCTAGTAATTCATCTCATTCTCAAGCGAATTTAATTATTATTTTTTGTTCAGATATATTAAGTCATTACAAAATGTGCAGGATTTATTTACACTTCACCTTTTGGGTTTTTAGGTGTGTCCAGTGGACGTTTCGTCAATGCCATTGGGAACTCTACCGGATATCGAGAATTTCGAGGCTGCCAAGGATTATTTGAATAATTATAAGAAGAATATCACGAAGATTAACGGGGAGAAACCATTTCTCTTGGCACTGGGGTTTGAAAAACCTCACATACCCTTGAAGTATCCCAGAGAATACTTGAGTAATAGCAGAAGCAAAAAATTATTCCTTCAAACGTACACTGAGAGAAAAACAAACACGTTGTCAAACAAGTCTTGTTTGGGCCAACAAAATCGCTAGTTGAAAATTGCCAAAAAAGAATTTGTTTGGTTCGAATTTGAAAGTGTCAAACATGAATAATTGTTCTGCTTTCGACAACAATGAAATATTTGGCTCAAGAGGCGGATAATTCACACCAGACGGTGCCTTTTCAGGATGAAAATATCTCACGTAGAGGGAAATTTATCAACTAATATTTTATCCCTAAGTTACAAGACTGCTGTCATATCATTATTATTGTTTCATTTAAGGGTTCATTTGTTGTCTGTGATTATTAGACAACCGAAACGAAAAACTACTGTCCCTTATTTGGCATAAAACAAAGATTTTTCGGGAGCAAAATACGTATGGGGGTATCGAATAACGAAGGAGTAGTGCGAGAAATGACATTTCTTGCGTGTACAGAGAACGCAATTTTTTTTCAACTACTAAATCTATTTTTGCGACAAAAAATTTTCACTCCGGCGCACTCTCTGTATGTTTAGCACAAAAAAATCCTGTTTTGATAATTAAAAAAAAAATATTTTTTGTTTGAGAACTTTGTCGTTTTTCTCTCAATGTAGGGGAAAGTGAGGCAAAATGGAATAGTCGAGAAACAACAGTTTGACGCAATTCAAGCGAAAAAAAAAATTATCAAATATTTTTTGTTATTAACTTTTGTCTATTCGTGGGAGTACTGATGAGAATAATAATTGAGAATTTTTGGCGGCAGAAGATATTGTCAATGAATTAAATGACAATAAAATGAAACAGCAAAATTCAAAGTGCAAAGCAAGGCCCAGAGGGAGACCCAGAGGGGGAAAAAGGAAAATGTGATGCTGAGTTTCAATCGAATGAAAAGAGAAAAGTGTAATTCGCCTAATCTAATCAATTGAATTATAATCCATTGAATTATAAGACGACTAGAAAATTATTATTCTCATCAGTACTCCCTATCATGAAAAAAGTTGATAAACAAAAGTTGATAAATAATTTTTTTTTGCTTGAACTGCGTCAAATAGTAATTTTTCGGCTGTTTCATTTTGCCCCGCTCTCCCCCAATAAAAATTCAGGTGTAAAATGCGAAAAGGATGAGTTGATTTCATTTTCAAAGAGATTATTTCTCTGAATATATCTGACATTCACCAAATATTCATCCTGAAGCTGGGATGACTCATTCGCACTTGAAAATTGAGTGAATTTTGGCATTTTCACGTCGCAGGACATCACTGCCTGGACAAATTCACACTGAACGATTATTATTGGCCTGATAACATCAGCAGTGTTGCGTACAACCCCTGGATCGATCTACGGAAGCGAGAGGACGTGAAGAGGCTGAATCTGACGTTTCCCTGGGAGAGAATACCAGAAAATTTTGGAAAGAAAATATTGCAATCGTATTATTCAGCCGTTTCGTACGTAGATGAGTTGATCGGGGGAGTGATGGGAGAGCTGAAGGCATTGGGACTTCATGATAATACTGTTGTCATATTAACGTCTGATCACGGTGAGAAAATTTATTATTAATTATCTCAATAACGAAATACTTGAGAAGAAAATGTCAGAAATATTTTTTGTAGGGAATTTCTTCAGCTAAGAAAATTCTCTTCTGACATTTTCCCCTGAGATGCTTCAGTATCGCGATAATTAAATCAAGAAGTCGATTTCGGACGACACTGTTAAAAATTTTCGTCTGAATTTTCCATGCCAAATTTCGACAATTTTTATTGTGTTCAAGTTCCACTGAATTTTCAGGAAATCTTGTCATTGAAGAATCAAATATTCCATTGATTTTCTGTTCAAATGATCTGAAAATCAATGAAATACTTGAAACTTGATTTTTCAGTTCAGTTATTCTCTGTAAATTCAGAAAAATCTGAAAAATTCAGGGAAAAATTGAAAATTCATGTCATTTTGTTACTGAATATTCATGTTCCACTGAAAATTCAATCAAGTTGTAAAATTTCCATCTCACTCCCACCGAAAACTCCGGAATTTCCGTGAATTCTACTTAAAACTTGAAATTTCATAACCATTGTTTCCCTAAATCAGATTCAATGTCACTCTCATTAGATTTACTACAGCATCTTCCACGAAATTTCAAAAAATTTCCAACAGTGCTTCACCCATCGCAATTTCTCTTCTGATCTCCAATATCATCAAGCCTAAAATTCCAGGATGGTCTCTAGGTGAACATTCTCAATGGGGAAAATACAGTAACTTCGAGGTAGCTGTCAGAGTCCCCCTGATCGTGTCCCTCCCCAATAGCCACCAACAAAGAATGAAACTAAAAACGAATGCAATAGTTGAACTAGTGGATTTATTCCCCACAATCGCTGAGTTATCTGGCAACCCTATAGAGCCGTGTCCCAAAAATCGCTCTGAAATCATCTGCAGCGAGGGAATCAGTTTTGTCCCCGTTATCAACGCAATTTCCCGCAACAAGGTATTCCAGAAATAATGATTACTACACTGAGATGATAAATTTACCTTTTCGAAAATGATACAGACGATGTTGATGATAATGAATGTTTAATGATTTATTCAAGACTATAAAGTGGAAGAGAGCTGCATTCAGTCAATATCCACGACCTGGTGTATCACCAACGTGGTCACCAAACAGTGATGAGCCACGTCTTCAGCACATCAGAATAATGGGCTACACAATGCGTACAAAAATCTATCGTTACACAGCATGGATTAAATTTGATAATCTCAGAATGACGAGTGATTGGAATAAACTGATTGCTGATGAGCTCTACGATCACAGGGTAGATCCCCACGAGATGACAAATCAAGCAAACAATACTGATTATCTAAAAACTAAAATTAAACTGAAGAAACTGTTGAAGAGTGGATGGAAACGAAGTTTGCCTCGATATTTTTCCCAATAGACAATCGATAGCTCATTTATTTCATTACATTTACGATGAAAATAATGAAAATAGAAAAAAAAACTATGATAATTGATAATAAACTAGTTATAAAAAATTCCGATTCCTACAATTCTTTCCAACTCTTTTAGAAACAAAAAAAAAACAGTTTTAGTCGATCTAATCCTCTGTCACAACTGAAAGCCTATTGGCCGTTTTTTCACCATCACAAGATATTTCTAGGTGTCAAAGTCAGAGAAAATTTACTGGAGATGAGAGAATTTTTTCATTACCTCCGTAATTCTTTGAATTATAATTGATTTTGTCAATAGTGTCAGCAGCCTCTTGCTTACTCTTCTTGAAACTTTGATGGTTTACTTTGAGCTGATGATGCCGGGGCTGTGCTGTTGGACGTTGCTGTGCTTGGAATTATCTGAAAAACAATGTTTTCAAACAAATTTAATGAATAAATCATTATTAAACAATCAGTGGCGTGCATTCTGTTCAGTATTTAATTAATTCCCTCTAAAGTCCATTCAATTAGTTTCCAGAACAAATGTTCCATTGAATTCAAATGATCAATAACAATTGATCATCTGATCAATCAAAAAATGAATGACGGTTGAAATAAAATGACTGTCGAATCACTGTTAGAAATTTCTTGAAATTTCAGTCGCAATGTCATCTGAATTTTCAATGTTGTGAGTTTGAATTCAATTTCAATTGAAAATGTTTCCCAAATTTCTCATTCATCTTGAAAATTCAAGAAAATTGGGTTTTTCATGTTAAAGAATCATTGATATTTCAATGAAAGAACATACAATTCAATTTTCAATAGATTCAGGCAATAAATTATCTGAATTTTCAACAATTTTCAAGGTTTTTCAGTGCCGCGTGTACCTGAAAATCGAGAATTACTTGAATATTCAAGAAATCAACTGATTCGTCAATAAAAAATTCTCCAAAATTTCCTGTACCTTTGTCATTGTTCAAAATTTCAATCTTTTTCACTTCAAATTTCAAGCCTAATATTATAACAATGAATGAGTAATGATATTGGAACAGTATTTGTCTTTTTCTGACCCCAAAAATTCAAATCATCAACGCTCACCTCAAGAACATCAGGATCACTGGAAGCAGTGGCCCCTCCCTGCGTGGCAGGGGGCTGCCTATACATGCTGGCATTCTGTGGAGCCCTCTGCGCCCCTCCAGCAATGCTCTTAAAATTCCCATACTGCTGAGCATAGAGCAACTGCTTCTGATAAGCTGTCATCTGTTTAGCCTGCTGATGATGCCTGGTGTAAGCCTCCTGAGCCAGTTGATTAGCCAGCGTATTAGTGGGATTGGAATAGCTCGCTGCAGGTGCCACCATGGATGGTTGTGCCACCCTGCTGGACATAACCGCCTGATTCTCCATGTAACTGTACATATCCATCAGTGCCTTGGTGGCCATCATCTTCTGCTGTTCAGGAGTCATATTAGGGAAGTCTTTCTGGTACAATCTCTGTAGATTGCTGAGCTCCATCTGCATGGCATTGCCATTGGAGAGTGTATTCATCATCTGTTGATTATACTGGAGCAACTGATCCTGATAATTGAAGCCCATATTCATCATTGGATTGACTGGTGGTCTTCCAGCCTTCTCCTGCTCGTACTCCAACCAGGCTTGCTTCCTCTCCTCCTCGTCCAATCCCTCATCAGCCTTATTCTCCAATAATGAATCGTGCTCGTGGAAATTAACGACAATATCCCTGTGCTTCGAAAATATCTCAGCGAGAAGTCGATCCTTCGGGCAGCCAATGGTCTCCGGTGTCTCCGGAGGTCTGTCCAGTGTGTATAACTCAGCCAGATCCGAGTGTGTGTAATGCCTCTCGATCTGCTGCTCATCAACAACTCGACAGGACAGAGACAACTTCGTCACCTGTCTGTTGTAAATCTTCTCCTCCATGGTGCCAGCAGCCAGCAGCCTGTAGACATAACACGGTTTCTTCTGTCCAAACCTGTATATTCTGAATATACTCTGAACATCGTGGGATGGATTCCAACTGGCGTCGAAGATGACGACTCTGTTGGCAGCTGTCAAATTAATACCAAGACCACCAGCTCTCGTTGATATCAAGAACAATCTGGCTCTTGTGTTGGTTGGCCTGTTGAATATTTTGCACCAGAGACTCCTGTTCTCGGTTGACGTCTGTCCATCGAGCCTGAAGTAGTCCAGCCCCAGGGACCAGCTGCCAGTGTGGCCATCAACCAACTCCGAGGGATTGTCCAGATTATTCTGCGTCTCATTATCAATCGTGGCTAGAAATCTCTCGATCAGGGTGAGTGAGTAGAGGGACTGAGAGAAAACGAGGACTTTGTCCCCAATGTTCTCGCTCTCTTTGAGGATCTCAAAGAGAATCCTCAGCTTTGCCGATATCCTCAGGTCCTCAAAGTGCTCGTCCTGCAGGAACTGGCTCCACCACTCTTGCTCCTGCACTGGCTCCTCAACAACCTCCTCAACATCAGCATTAGCCCTGGTGTGACGTTTAACAGGAACATCACTCTTTTTACTCTTTGAACTGCTGGTCGATGCAATGGTGCTGTCACTCTTGCTGCTCTCGTCGTCACTTCCATCGTCAATGAAATCCTTCAGTGAACCCTCTGAATCACTCGCCTCACGTATTCTCTTCTCAGCTGCCTTATCAGCATTGAGTTTAATGGCTATTGGATGTGTCCAGATACGCTGAAGTGCCTGGAAATCAGCGAACAGTGATCCACCAGCTGCTCTCTGTCTCCTCGCCAAATTGTCGATGTAATACTGATACAATTGGATCTGAATATCCGATAACTTGACAAATATCACGTACTCCTGCTTGGGAGGTAAGAATGGAGTCAGTACTGAGTAGTCGAACCGTTGGACACTGCCCTCCAACATCTTATGAAGTACATGAGCCCTCTTCTTCATCAATTTAACGTCGTACTCAGTGGAATTGTCAAACTGTCCATTCTGAATGGGATTGACGAATCTATTCAAGAATTCCTTCTTAGTACCGAGTAAATTCGGCTTGACAAATTGCACCATGCAGTGATACTCTGTGAGATTGTTCTGAAGAGGAGTACCAGTCAAGACAATTCTCCTGAGTGTTCTTATTTTGCTCATGGCCTTGCTGATGGCTGTCGTCTCACTCTTCAGCAAATGTCCCTCATCACAGATAACCAAGTCAGGCCCTGGCTCCACCAGACACTTGAAGAACGATTCCCTCAATTTCTTGTTCATCTTCTTCGTTGGATTCGACAGATTCCTGTACATCTCGTACCCAAGAATAATGACCCCACCCTTCCTCTGCCAACGTTCAAGCTGAAATCTCCTCTCAGCATTCTGCTTGAACTTGGTCAACTCGTATACTTCCACGTCGTCCCCATCGTTCACCTCGTTCAGCCAGATCTTGAACTCATTCACCCAGTTCAATACTGTGCTCAAGGGGCACACAACGAGAGCAGTTCGAACTCCAGTCTTTTCAGTGTTCACCAGAAGTGTGTGGGTCAGTGTCACAGCCTGGAAGGATTTTCCTAGACCCATGCAGTGCGCCAGAATGCAGCCAGAGCCTGAGGTGGATTTAGCTCGTTCCAGGGACTCGAAGCAGGCGTCCCACATGAATTTTATTCCCTGGGCCTGGTGGGGCTTCAGCCTCTTGACCAATCCCTCGTGGACACTCAGGAGTTCCTCCTTGGATTCCTCGTCGAAATCCAGAATCAACTTGTCCACCTTCTCCTCACCAGCCAGTCTAGCCTCGTACATCTCGTTGTAGAGCTTCTGACGCTCTGCCATTCTCTTCAGTCTCTCCTCCTCCTGCTTGGCAGCCTGCTTAGTGTCATCAGCCACTTTCGTGTCCTTGATGACTTTCCTGATGTTCTTTCTTCCTGACTTGTTGGGGGATCCCTGCGAGTTGGCAATCTCCTCGATGTCACTGTCACTGTCTGTCCCAGCTGTTCTCACTCTACGTCTCTTGGGCTTTGGACGACTCTTGAATGATGAGCTAGAGTCAGACGAGTTGTCCCCCTTCTTCGATCGTTTTTTCCCTTTCTTTTCGGGCTTGGAAGACTCCCGAGGGTCTTCCGAGTCATTCGAAGGCTCCTCGTCTGTCAGTTTTATGTCAGAGTCCGAGTTCAATCGACGTCTCCTCACTCTCTTCTTCTTCTTGGAGTCGTCCTCAAAGTCTGAATCCTCAGAGTCCTTCTGGGAGAGTCTCTGAACCTTCTTTTCGAACTTCTGGGACTGCTCCTCCTCGTCTGATGATGATAGCTTCATCGTTAAGAGTTTACTCTTCTTCCAGTCAGCTTTACTCGACTTCGAGGAGGTGCCCTCACCCTCAGGCGGCTTCTCCCTCGATTTACCTGATTTTTTCTTGTCTTTTTTTTTTTTCACCGGCTCATCGTCCGAGGACAATGTCACGGGCTTGTCCTCGTCTGACGACTCCATCAGGGCGCTCTTGGCGAGTTTTTCAGCGTCGTGTTGCAGGTCACCTGATAATTGAGATTTCTCGCGAGTCTCACGGTCCTCTTCGCTGCTGGAACTGTCACCAGTGTCAATCTTCTCTCCATTCACGTTGAGGTGGTCCACGAGGGTGTCCTTAGCCTCTTTGGAGGTCTTCTTCTTCGCTCTCGCTGTCGATGTTGTGTCTGATGAGTCTGAGGCATTTCCCTTGTCTCGCTTGCGGGTCTTCTCAAGGCCATCTAGAGTTGTCAGACTGAAACGAAAATGTGAATTTTTTTGTGTTTTAATGTTATCCGGAGAACAAGGTGAATAGGAGAGCGTCAAGTTCGTCTTCTTCATCCTGACGAGGGAGTGCTGAGGAAAATGGGATCACCTCAAGCCGAAAATACACATAAAATAAATTAAAATTCATTCCAACCTCTGAAAAAAATACCTTCGAAATGAGAAAAAAAAAACGGTTGAATTTCGGAAAAATGTTTACATTACCCTCCTCTCCCCTGAGGAATACCAAGAGAGGTTCAATAATTCTCTTCACTCAACACAACTGAAGCCTTTTATTAGGGACATCATCGTCAATAAATGATACAAGCCAAAAAACGTTATGAAAAAAATGAATTACAAGTACCTTTTGAGTTCTTTATCCTCAAGGTACTCTTTAGATTTTTTCAATGCCCTTGCATGACGCCTGAGAATATTATTCGAGAGCCTGTTCACCACCACCGAACATCCCATCCTGAGCTTTTTATCAGTCTTATAAAATTCTGAATTTTTAATGTTGAGCTTTCTCCTCTTGACACGTGGAGATGAGAACATACTGTCTGAATCTCGATCGCTGGGAGTTGCTGGCTTCTTCAATGGAAGTTTCTTCTTCTTCTTTTTATCCTCGTCTTCATCAGACGACGATGATGATCTCAACAGGAGTTTTTTTGCTTCTGCATCAAGGTCTTTCGCTCTCTTGGGCCCTGATTTTTTCGATTTGGGACTGGGCTTTGAGATTTGAGTTGGAGAAGTTCTACCAACTTCGGCAACTGAAGAATCTGATTTTGATTTTTCTTTCTTCCTGGATTTATCGGATTCTTTAGCAGAACTTTCCACCTCATCTCCAGATTTATCTGAAGCCCCAGCAGTTTTCTCTGTCTTGGAAGTGTCCAGATCATCTAGGGATGAGTTTGAGGCCAAAAGTGCCTCCTTCGCCCTCTTCTCATTCCCCTTGGAGGCAGTGTCATCCGATACTTTATCTGACGATGTGTCTGGCTCGAGAAGCGAGTCTTTCGTTGTCTCCTCGTGCGGTGCCTGTGACGTAGATTTTTCCAATGACTCCTCCACCTCTCTGTCGTCTGACGATGAGTCTGAGTTCAACAGCATCTTCTTGGCTCTCTCTTCAGAATCAGACACTCGTTTCTCATCGGACTTCTCTGATTCGTCCAACCCCTCAGCCACGTCTGATGACGATTCACTGCGCAGAAGTATTTTCTTGGCCATCTCATCAACATCAGAAAGCTCTGGAGATCCTTTCCTCTTGGACTTATCATCACCTTCAATTATTGTGTCTTCAAGCTCCTCAGGAGATTCTAAAGGGGACTCAGGTCGTTCGGTTCGTTCTTCAGCATCAGAATTCTCTTTAGACGATGCTCTTGATTGCTTCTTGGATTTTTTAACCGATTTATCGGACGTTTCCTCCTCATGTTCAGACTCTGATGAAGTTTTAATCAAGTCTCTCTTGGCAGCCTCTTCAGCCTCAGTTAATTTCTTCTTACCAGATTCAACTGATTGGCTCAGTGTGACTGTACCACTGTCTGATGAGGCTGAATCCAGTGAAGAATCCTTCGCAGGTTCTTCAACGTCAGGAGCCTCTCCAACTGCATCTTTGTCTCTGCTGAATTTATCCGATGGAGGACTAGTCTCAATCGCTGTGACGAAGGAATCCTCTGAAGTCAGCCCTGATTTTTTCTTCATTACTTCCTCAGCATCAGCTGCCCCTGGGGACGAGGTTCTCTCCTCCTTGGACTTCTCTGTTGATTTCTCCAGTGAGGATCGACGTTGAGCCTTCTTCTTCTTCTTCTTCTTCTTCTCCTCACCCTCGCTTTCCTCTGGGGACGAGTCGCCCTTCGATTTAGAATCCTTCGATTTCTTTGGTTTGACTGTTTCTCCGTCTGATGAGTCCACGACTGACTGGATGCTGTCATTTTCACCAACAGCTGAGGGCTCTTCATTCTCCCTGGGTTTATCATTAGAATTTGTCGTGACTTCTTCTTCAGAGGAGGAATCGGGCTGGGGGCTTGGTGCTTCAGCCAATTTTCCATCGTCATCTGACGAATCAACGTCTGAAGTCACTGGAGTCGACGCCTTCTTCTTTTTCTCGTTAGATCTGCTCATTCGTTCGTCGGCAGACGAATTTCGAGACAGGGTTTTGGATTTTTTCTTCTCATCAGCTTCACCCAAATTCCCATCCTCATCTGACGAATCAACGTCTGAAGCCACTAGAGCCTTCGCCCTCTTCTTTTTCTCGTTAGATCTGCTCATTCGTTCGTCGTGAGACGAATTTCGAGACAGGGTTTTGGATTTTTTCTTCTCATCAACTGTTTTAACCAATTTTCCATCGTCATCTGACGAATCAACGTCTGAAGCCACTGGAGTCGACGCCTTCACCTTCTTCTTTTTCTCGTTGGATCTGCTCATTCGTTCGTCGTCAGACGAATTTCGAGACAGGGTTTTGGATTTTTTCTTCTCATCAGCTTCACCCAAATTCCCATCCTCATCTGACGAATCAACGTCTGAAGCCACTAGAGCCTTCGCCCTCTTCTTTTTCTCGTTAGATCTGCTCATTCGTTCGTCGTGAGACGAATTTCGAGACAGGGTTTTGGATTTTTTCTTCTCATCAACTGTTTTAACCAATTTTCCATCGTCATCTGACGAATCAACGTCTGAAGCCACTGGAGTCGACGCCTTCACCTTCTTCTTTTTCTCGTTGGATCTGCTCATTCGTTCGTCGTCAGACGAATTTCGAGACAGGGTTTTGGATTTTTTCTTCTCATCAGCTTCACTCAATTTCCCATCGTCATCTGACGAATCAACGTCTGAAGCCACTAGAGCCTTCGCCTTCTTCTTTTTCTCGTTAGATCTGCTTATTCGTTCGTCGTCAGAAGAATCTTGAGACAGAGCTTTGGATTTTTTCTTCACAGCCTTGGCTTTTTTACTCTTGTCCCCATCTGATGAAGCATCAGAGTCTACAAATGATGATACTTTGTTCTTCTTGGCTTCTTCCGATTTATTCCTCTTCCTCCCCTCTGATAATTTCGAAGATTCTGTGCTGAGTTTCCTCTTTGACTTCCGGTCAGCATCAGAATCACTCCTCGATGATCTACTCTTCCTCTTCTTGTCCCTCTTATTCTCTTCATCTTTATCATCTCCCGACAGCAACAAATGGTCCGGTGATTTTTCACGAGAGCTGACACGTTTCGCCTTTTCCACTCTCTTCCTAGATTTTTTACTGGACTTTGGCCCTGGGGAGGAGACCTCTTCACTCGTGTTACCAGAGTCACTCAACCGCTCCTTCTCCCCAGCTTTTTTCCTCTCACCCTGTCTCTTCTCCTGGCGTTTCTTCCCCTCTTCATCATCAGAATCAGCGAACATGTCGTCATTGGAAGACCCCTCGGCATCACTTTTCCCCCTCCCCCTGTTGTCAACCTCAACAAGAGCCTCTGGAACCCGTGAAGCACGCCCGAAGGAGGAGCCCAACTGTTCCCCATCACTCGTACCCCCATTCATCTCCTCATCAACTGGCGAAAGGCTTTTATCTCCCCTCCTCCTCCTGCTCTTGCTCTTAGTCTTGCTGCTGTGTGCCTCTTCATCCTGAGTAAATATCTCAGCACTCTCGCACTCAGAGACCTCAGGAGTCCTCTCCACCGAGGAGCTCTTCTCTCGACTCTTGACTTCCCTCTCATCCTCATCACTCGACGAAGGAACAACACCTCTCCCCTTCTTCGTATTATTCAAACCACTTCGTGATGGTGTCACAGAGTCATCGATCCCATTGGTGCTGATGAAAATATTCTTGATCTTGGTCTTTTTACACCAGCTACCGAACTTGTTGACGAGGGTATGCTCATTGTCATCGATCTTCTTCCTGAAGGATGCAGCTGTGTTTTTGCACTCTGCTATCCACTTGGTCGCCTCCACTGGCCTGATCGTCTCCTTCTGGGAGTACTGTCGTTGGAGTGACTCAGCAGCCTCCATCATCCTCCTGGAAGTGGACTTCAGACTGTGAATGAAGTCCTGGAGGGAGTTCTTCAGGGAGAACACCTGTTGCTTCGATAATATCGTTCCCACTGGGCTGTCAGGCTCATCAGGAGAGTGGGTGAAGTCCTTCTCGAGCACTGAGAGTCTCTGGAGGGTGACGTAACTCTCCTTGATGATCTTCCTCTGTGTGAACTCCTTTCCAGATGAAGAGTCTGAATTCTGTCGTTTCACGTGATCCAGCCTCTGCGTGAACCTCTGGGTGCTCTTCCTCGAGTCTGAGGATCCTGCTCGGGTTCTTCTTGTTGGATGGCTCGTCGAGAGTTTGCTCTGACGTCCTGATGACTCCGGAGTCGAGCTCCTCTCCACTGAACTCCTCTCTGATGAATCTTTTCTTCTCGAGGATTTTGTTTTTCTCTGTTTTGACGATTTCTTCGGTTTTGATACTGATATCACCTCGATGTCATCGTCACTGTCCTCTTCGGTCTTATTCGCCGATGACTTTGAGGCATTTCGGGGGGGTCTTCTCCCTCGAACACTCGATGACGAGTTGGATTTTGATACTCTTGACACTTTAGAGCTTTTTTTAGACATCTGAGCTTTTATATCGTCAATGTCGTCGTCTTCGGAGGATTCTTCACGTACCGTTTTTTGTTTTTTCCTCCTTCTGAAACACAAGTATCCCAATCGAAAATATTTCACTCTTTGATGGGTTTTTTTTACTTGCATGCATGTTTCAGAGTTCTTCTCTTTATTTTTTGGTTTCATTGGTACGGTTTAGGCTGATTATTCGGAGCTCAATCTTTTCTCATTGGAAGTCTCATTGAATTTTCAAACTTCTTTTTTTTACACTCTTTATCACTTCGGTGGGCTCTCTATTGGGGACTCGATGAGGTGATCATGAAGAATTTATCATTATTAATTTTTTTAATGCGTGTGCAACAGTAAACATGCTTGTTAAATTGGCTGTTTCATGAATTCTACGGGAGAGTTGCGGTTTTAAAGTTGTTTTGTAATGCTATGGGGATGTGTTAAAAAATAATGGGGAAGATGGTGTAAAGAAAAAAAAAGAAATTTGAAATTTCAATGTTCGCTTTTTTATGTGTTTTGCATTCCGTGAACACCGATACTAATGAAATAAAAAAAATAGAGGGGAACTGAGAGAGTGAGGGGGGGCTGTGTTTTTTTACCTGGGGGATGCTGACATGAGGGTGGCGCAGACGCCTCGTGCCTCCCACAGGGGGTTTGTCAGGCAGACGAAGCACTTCCAGGTGGTTGTGTCTGCCAGCAGGAGCGCACTTGACGCATTTCTTTTGATGCAGTTCTGAAGATAAATTAGGTGGGTTGATTGTGAGGAAATTTTTTGGATCGTTTAGATGAATATCTTCGATTCTGGAGAATTTTTTCTATTTTTTTTGTATTTTGTCTTGAGATTTGGAGATATTCATAAAAAACTGGGCCTGGAGATGAGTGGATTTATACTGTTCTGTTTTGGCACTGAATTATGGAACTGTTTTTAATTAGTCACAGCTGCCTTTGAGTTCCTAATGTTGTGAATTGATTTCAGTTGAAGATTAAATTGCCAATAAAATATTCTAGTCATCGTGGAAATTCAAAAAATCTTATGAAATTTTAAAATACTGAAATGGCAGTTTGGGTCTTGAAACTCATTGGGCATAATGCAATTTAATTGAATATTCCAGGAATTAACTGTCGTGGGAATTTAACGATCAATACATGAACGAAAGTTTTTTGGACATCTCATCTTCCATCACGAAATATTCCGTATGTTACCTTGCAGAATGAGTACGGGCAATTTTTCACTGGACATGGATAGAGGGTTTGACAATGGTCAGATCCACACATCAAACATCTCTTCTTCCAGGCTTTGACCTTTAGACTAGACTTGAGGACACGAAACTGGTCACAGCAGGGCTGAAGTTACACAAAAAAGTACATTTTTTAATTATATATTTTGGTCAATCTCACAAGGCAAAAAGTTTATCAATTCGTGAGCTTGACGAAGTCAAAATCATTGTCAAAAGCTCATGAAATGACAATTAGATAACTGTTGCTTTGATTTTCTTCGTGTTATTTGATCCCTAGACTCTTCATCTATTGTTAAAGACCTCTCTTTCTTTTCAATAAGTAAAAATACTACACATTAATTGATTCACAAGTTTGGCAAAGCTAAAATAATGACCAAAACTTCACGAAATGACATCAACATTGTTTTCACTTTCTCCAACGTATCTTGAAATCACAGAGATTGTTGTCTACTCTTCTTCCAATAAAAATAAAATTCAATGAATAGATTTCCTCCCTGTCCAATGCTTTCCTTAAATTCACTTCTGAAATTGTGTGACTCACCTGACACTGTAGAATCCCCAAAAAAGGATGTGCATAATAATTATCAGCTTCAAAACTGATAGTATTACCACACGACGAGCAGGACAGTTTTCCTCGCTTCACCGACGTGACACCTGCAACAAGAAACGACGAGAAAAATGTGAAGAATTAATGCTTCAGAAGCTGAAACAAGCAGGGGACAGCGAGCATATGGCGTGTCAAGTGACAGTGAGCATGTCACTGAGTGATATCTTATTTTTTTTCGCCATTAATGTATTGATGGCATTGCGGGCTTCCGAATGGTCTGAAATATTACGAAAGTTTCTAGCTTCTCAACACTAACTAGCGGCAGAAATTTCAGATGGTTACTGCCACCTCCACGGGTGATATCAAAATTCCAATACTTCGAATACTTCGTATGAGCGGGTATACATATTTTCTGTCCAAATTTCAAGTTGATATTTCGATTTTTGCACAAGCTACNAAAAAGTCGAATATCTCCGAAACTACTCAGGCGATTGAACCCATCTTCAACACGAAACATTGTTATCATGAGAGGAAGATTCTGTCCAAATTTCAAGTTGATATTTCGATTTTTGCAGAAGCTAGAGTGTTTACGAAGATTTTCTATGAAAAAACGGAAAAACGCGAATATCTCGAAAACTTTGTATGAACTGGTATATATGTTTTGATTGATTTAGATAGAAAGCGTCGAAACGAATATTTCGAAAATAAAAAAATCAAAATCGGTCCACTATTTTGGAAGATATTTGCGAAAAACGATTTAAAAACGAATCGCTTTTTCATCAAAACTATTATATCGATCGGGCTGAAAGTTTGCAGCGAGTTAGTCCTCATTAAGACCTATAATCTGACGAAATTTCAGATTTTTTGGAATTACTTTAGCCACTTGATTACTCAATTTTCTAAAAATTGACCATCCTGGAGGGGGCGGACGTGGAGACATATAGACATGGTCGCCAAGCTTCGTATTTTTACGCTTCAGACCATTCTACATCATTTCCAATCAAAATTAGAGAATGTGAAAATCGAAGGATTGCAATGCTTCCACTCGGAAGAAAAAAATATTAAAAAATTGTTTTTGTCGTTGGCATTACCGCTGTAGTATGTAGCTCGATATGCAGATTCCTCGTCGGTGACTGTCGCCTCGCACATCTGAAAACACCGGGAAAAATCGTGAATTAGTTTGAATTCCGAGAGTATAGGACTATTTTCATTTTTTAACGACTATTTACAATCGTTACCTTTGTGTGTGATGGTCGCCACAGCCCGCCAGATTTCTCGACTCGATATCCCTCTCAATTGCGCGGTATCGCGGTTGAAACTAATCGATAAGTTTTTACGGTCATTCGGGGGAACAAATAACTAGTTAATATCTCCACTGATAAGGGGAGATGTGGATTGGGATGCTTGAAGTGATGACTTTGTGGTGTTTTTCACGGCAACCTTGATATTTTCGCCTGGCTCTTTTTTTTCGCTCCAACGTCGGCCATGTTTGCTTGCAAACGTCGATCGCAGCGCCTCAGTTTTCTGGAGGTAGGTCCAACCATTTCATAAATATCTAACGAAGATAAGCAGATAATCCCGAAAATCTATCAGAATCTATTGTCCGAAAATAGGAACGCTTTTTTATACCATAAATACAATTATGTAATTTCTTTTTTGGACAAATTTTCCTTTTTTTAATATTTTTTTAAGGTACTTCCTCAGTGAGTTATACTTGGTAAAAATTTCGCAATGAACTGAAGACCTAAAATTTGGGTCATATGTTGTTGAGCACATGTGAAAACGATTTCCAAAATTTCAAGTATTTTTTCCACGCGAATTGTTGGGATATGCATCGACAAAAACTTTAAAAAGACAAAAATTGAATGTTTGACGATGGATATCTCAAAAATTCGCGTGGAAAAAATACTGGAAATTTTGGGAGTCGTTTTTACATCTTCTCAACAACATATGATCCAAATTTTAGGTCTTCAGTTCATTGCGAAATTTCCACCAAGTATAACTCACTGAGGAAGTACTTTAAGCGCCCTAAAAAAAGATACTAAATGCTACTGAATGGAGCAAAAACAAAAATTGAAAAAAAAAATTTTTCTTTTCACATAAAATCATCGAAATAACCACATTATAATGATTAAACCCGAGAGTCACTAAGTGACCATGGTTTAGTGTAAAAACTAGATATATTACGTTAATTTTTTTTATATATCTGTCTTTTTTTTATGTAAACAATGTAAATATCCAGTTGTAGTTGTGAATAAAAACATGGTTTAAAAAAAAAATGACGAAAAGAGAAAATGATTTCATCGAAATCCAATTGAAATATTCCACATGAGAAATTTTAGTTTTCTACATTTCCCTGAGAAATAATAAGCTGTTGCTATACTTGAATGATAATCTCTTCCTCTTTATTGATTGATAAACAAACGAGAATATTAGGGCCTCACATCTTGTCTTGTATGAGGCAATGAATATACGGGAAGAAATACTCGATATCTGTTGAAATCAAATTTCACATACATTGAGAGACAAATATTTTTGCCAAACATCCGTTTTCTCAAGCGAAGTATTTATTTTTTCAATGCTGTATTTCTCCAGTCGAGTCAGTCCTAGGCAATCCTCATTAGGTTTCAATTACGTTAATTATAGTGCTCTAGAAGATGATCATGTCAGTTATAACACGAGTGAACTCCTTCAATAAGTATCAATATTAAAAAATTTATCGAAATTCTTCTCTCTAAAAAATAAGAAATTTAGAAAAGGCGAATAATTATTAGAGTTCATCCAAAGTCCTGCGCAAACTAATCAGGCTCGGACTAATTCGATTGAAGAAATACGACTTCGAAAAAATAAATACTTCTATCAAGTAAATAAATATTTGGCAAAAATATTTTTTCCGGTCTAAACACCTCTATAACAGGGCAGGTCATCAATCGCTCAAATTTTCGACAATCCTTCATTTTCGTATATATTCGTTTTTATTCCTTTCCTCATAAAATTAATTACACCGTTCATTAAAATTCATCAACAGAGCACTAAACGTAAAAAAAATTAATTAAAAATTCATGATGAATCCTCCTGGCTGCAATAAATACACGATCCCTTAGGTATTAATGTCAGAAAAGTTTCTCTTAAAATACTTTAATGTTAAAGCATCACGTGTTTCCTCTTTTAACTACACTACGATAGGCATTGTGCCAGTAGTGAAGTGGTAAATGTAACCGAACAGAATCCCTATTTCCCAAATTGCTCACGAACAAGTCAGCGTTTCCCACCTACAAAACATCAAGAATAATCCTCTGCCATTGCTTCAACTAAAAGAAAAGTCTGCTGTCCCTTCCCCTAGATTCTCGTAGATACCCCTGCATTCCCCCAACAGATGATCAAATCTCCGGAAAAAAAAATCCCTCAATCGCTATTTACCACTTCACCACAATTCCCTCAATAACACAGAAGCGAGTGAACTTTCCGTAGCTCCTCAGTGCCAACGTTGACATTGTGTGCAGCAGAGGGTCCCTCAAAGGGAATATAAATCTTGGCTGCCATCAGGCAGTCCCTCTCCTTCATGACAGTGGACATTTCTCTGCTCGGAAATACAGCGAAATTCGCCGGAGCCCTTCCCCCCAAGGTCCTGCGAATGGCGGTCTCCCTGACTTTATTAGAAAGCTCCTCAGCCCTTGCCATCAGCGTCCTCATAGCCATCTGCCTCTTGACGAGTTCATAAGCAGGTGAAGCCTTCTCCAGGACTGGCGGTTCCTTGTCAACCCTAGTTCTACTCAAATCAGGAACAACAGGATAAACCGACGCCTGCTGCACATCCTTCAGCAGCTGAAGCCTCTTCTGCTGCAGTTCCTGGATTGTAGCATCGACTTTGACCGGAGGAACCACTGGGAGTGGCGCCAGAGCCTCGAACTTGCTCCTCAGAGACTCAGCCAGTAATTTACGTTTGACCCTATTCTCATTGCTGAGGGCCTCCTTCAGCGCAGCAATCTCCTGCACCAGTAATTTATTGTCATAACCGAGTGGACTTCCCAGTGTGGCACTCTCTGCTGACACATTCATCGCCCCCTCCACCCCAGAAGGTATTCCAGGAATGGGAGTCGTCACCTTCTTCCCAATGGACTTCAGCTTCTCCTTCAACTGTCCCTTCTCCGATTCCAAACTATCGATATCCGTCTGCAAGTGATCCATCGTCTCCTCGAACTCCTTCTCCTTTCGTTTCAACTGATTCTGCGCCTCCTCGAGTTTCCTCTTGAGTTTATCGATATTCATCTCATGATCGTGCTGCTGAGTCGCCAGTTTCTTCTCAGCAAGTTCCTTCCTCAACGCCATCTCCGACAGTTCCTCCTGCTTCTCTCGAAGGGCTAATCTAGCCTCCCGAATGTCCACGTCCCTCGTCTCGAGTTTTCTGGCCAGTATCTTCGTCTCCTCGGACTCTTTCCTGACCACTTGAGCTCTCAGTTGAATGGGAGAAATGATATCAGCACTGGAGTCCGCTGTCTGGGCTGCATTACCTGCAATCGCCATTTCATTCTCACACTCCGCCATCTTCTGGGCCAGATTGGTCGCCATTTGCTGGACAATAGCCAGACTTCCTTTGATAGTGGTCACTGGGCCAAGATCGTCAGTGTCGTAGATCCTCTCCGTGGACATTGCAGCCATTTCCTTGAGCTTTTCAGCACTCAGTCCAGTGTCCAGATCTCCATTAGTGATAATGGTTTGAAGAGCTGTCTTCAGTAGATCCTGCAGGGTCTTCGTGATCTTGACTGCGCTCTGGTAGCAATTGGAGAACTGCTCGGGCCAGTCTTTGTCGAGTCCTAGGTTCAGTCCAGTGGTGGATGTGTTCGTGTGGTCCCTAGGTACCCTGCGTCGTGCTGAGTTGAGATTATTCTGGATAACCTCGCCTGTGGTCTCGATGTGCTGACAGAGAAGGCCAATATCCCCGCCCTCGCCTTCCAGAAGGGTTTTAACTGATGTTGCCTCAGTGACAATTGCGTTGCAGAGACTTCCCAGGGTTCTTGTGCCATTGATCACCATTCTTGCTTGATTAGCCAGGGTACTCTCCCCAAACATCACTGGGTACATGTTCGAGAAGTAGGTGCAGCACTTCTCGATGCCATCCGTCGGCACGTTCTCATCCAGCTGATCCTTTTTCGCCAGTTGAATTAGGAAGTCCAGGGACTTCTCCTGGGCTGCCATCTCAGGGTAGGCTGCCCCCACCTTGAGGAGAATCTCCGGGGAACAGACGTTGAGACTCGATTCGAAACTACCCAGGGACGTCTGGAGGGCGTACATGTGGCCACAGAGACGACTCCTAAACGCGTATTGAGCGACTGAATGCCCCTTCAACAATCCTGACTTGTCTACTTTGTCTATTGCACTGTATTTGTCCCTGACTTGGGAGATTATTATTTCGGTCTTCTGGATCATCCTGGGGATGAGTAGGAGGGTCATTATGGCGTCGTGATCGTTTCCGCGTGTGAGGAAGGCTGGGGGCATGAAGGAGAGGAGGTATTTCACGTGATTCCTGGCTTCATCAGCGTCTAGTCTCCTCAGCTCGAGGTCAACAGCTTTCGTTTGTGCTCGAGACTCCGCAAATGTCTTCTGGAAGTCCAGGATTTCAGCCAGTTGCTGCTCAGTCCCACCTGACTGAGAGGACTCTGTCGACTGCACTCGGTTTTGGAGCTGGAGGCATTGCTCCTGGAGTTGGTTTGTTAGTTCTCTGAATTTTGTGATCGTCATCTCACGATCTGCCAGGGTCTCCAGGGCTGCGTCCTTGTGGCGTTGGGCGTCTCGCGATGCTGCCAATGCCATGTCCAATTCCTCTCGTAGTTCTAGTTCAAGTTCTTTGGATGACTCTGCCAATTGGTCTGACATATCTTGGAGCTGCTCGAGATCAGACACTGCCTCCTCCAGCTGGGCCACACGCTCTTCAAGGGCCATTTTTCTCTCGCCCAACATCTCCACCATCTCCTCAGCCCCTAGGGCTGCGTCCACCTGCTCCTGGAGATCCGCTATCTGGTGCTCCATCTCCTCGACTCTAGCTGATAATTTCTCCTTGGTTCTTCCCAGCTCTAGGATCTCTGATTTCTTCTGGTCCAAATCCTTCTGGAGCTTCTGGAACTCGTGCTTCTCGTGGGCTGACAAGTCTCGCATCTTCACGAGGGTATCTCGGAGACGAGTGTTCTGTTGCTCCAGTTGTTTTACTTCGAAACTCGATGGGGCTCCTGAGGACACTGCACCACCGCTTCTCTCGGACATTTCTGTTCGCAGGATTTCCAGGTCGAGGGTTTTCTCCTCCAGTTTTTCTTTGAGTTGCTCCAACTCGATCTGGAGGGTCTCCGCTTTCTCCTCTGCCATCTCTTTGTCGAGAGTCGCCATTTCTACGGTTTCTGAAAGGTCTGCCATCTCCTCTTGGTAGACGTTCTTCGCGTGCTGGGCCTCTCGGGCTTCTTGGCGGGCTCGTTGGAGCTCCCGTTGGAGACTTGCCTGGGAAGAGAATCATTGGGATATGATTGAGATTTGATTTTTTAATGTGACATTGGGTATTTGCAAGAATTTTTGGTAGTGCTGGCTATGGAAATTCCGTGAAGAATGTAAAACGATTTTTTATTCCAAGAAATAACGGAAAATTAATTGACTGTAGTTAATGGAATGAAACAAAACGTTGATGTTTTTCGTGAAATTTTTAAGACTCGATTTTGATGGTTTAGAGTAAACAGGTCAAATTCTGGACGACTTCTACTTCCATTGAATATTCCATAAATAGTCAAATGAAAATTGCACTGATTATTTCACCTTTCAATAATCTTACTCGTGTATAATCATGTGGTCAATTGTTTTTTCTATTGATGGACATTCAATAAATAAATAAAAATACGGCCCAGTCGTCCAGAAATCAGGGGTTTCAGCTGTATTCAACTATTTCTTAATTTAATTATTCTTTGTTTCGTTATTTTCACTTCAAATAATTTTTTTCTGCTAATTGAAACATTCTTGAATTTTTATTCCAATAAATAACGGAAAATTAATTGGCTGAAGTTAATAGAAAGAAACAAAACGTTGATTTTTTGCGTGAAATTTTCAAGACTCAATTTTGATGGTTTAAGGTAAATGGGTCAATTTCTGGACGGGAGTTAGGTTCTGGACGACTTCTACTTCCATTGAATATTCCATAAATAGTCAAATGAAAATTGCACTGATTATTTCACCTTCCAATAATCTTACTCGTGTATAATCATGTGGTCAATTATTTTTTCTATTGATGGACATTCAATAAATAAATAAAAATACGGCTCAGTCGTCCAGAAATCAGGGGCTTCGGCTGCATTCAACTATTTCTTAATTTAATTATTCTTTGTTTCGTTATTCTCATTCTTGAAGGTATGGAAGCCATCATATCCCCATTTAGTAATTCTTTTATTTTAGATCCCACCACTAAACTCGAATTTCTCTTAACCGTCCAGCAATTGGTCGGTCCACCCTAGTTCTTTGGGAATTAAATTTATTCTGAAACTCTTCTCCTCACTCACTTGACTCTCCATGACCTTCGATTTAAACTCCAACAACTGTTCAAACTGAAGCTTCGTCTTCTCGAAATCCTTCATTCGCTCCTTGTCCTGCATCCTCTTGACTCTGAGTGTTTCCACTTTCTCAGTTAAATCACTGACCTAAAAAATCCGACGAATGAAATGTGAAAATAACATCCCGACCTCAAATAAACCGAATGATAATTTGTTGTGGATTGAATTGTTACCTGTGCCTTCAAATTCTCATTCTCCTGAACAAGCTGAAGATGACTGAGTTTCTCCTCGATATTGGAGGCACTGGACATGGAGCCAGCCATGGCTTGTCCAGGCACAAAGTGTGGCTTCAAAGTCTCCACGAATCCCGTCTATTTTTTTCCAATAAAATAACAATAAGTTGAGCAGACAAAACTCGTGAAAATTTCGTTTATTGACAGGATGTTCCTTCAATCTCTGCATTAAAAATTACTTCTGCTTCCATTGAAGAAACCCCCAACTATTCTCAAGCATAAGATGAGCAGTGTGGAGTTGTCAAGGTATCGAGTGAAACAATTAGTCGTTAATGACAGTCATCAACCAGAAATAAGCAATCACAAAGGATTAAAAAATAAATTCAACTAAAAATGTGATTAATCATACAAACAACAACTAAATAATCCTGTTAGTCCACAAGAGCTACATTAAAAATAGCCAATAATCCATAAAAAGAAGATATTTAGTCAGAATAACCATGAGATGTAGAATGTCGAAGGGGTAAAATAAGGGATGTGTTAACCATGAAGTCTATGAAGAAAATTTACAAAAAAAAATCTAACGATGATTGAGTTTGATGAGTTAATTAGTTAAATCAAACCTCGAGGGTGGAAAATAATTAAACACTGTGGTAATAAATAATTAACAGCAATGACAATTAGGTTTAAGTAACTGTAGTAAACATTAATGATAATTAATTACATTATTGCGATCGTCTTGAGCCTTTGGCCTTTTGCCGGTAGGCGAGCTCGTGCTAGGGGACTTCTGAAACACGTACGTGTATAGTACATTCAATCCCACATTTAACAATTAGTGATTCAACCGTCCACAAATCAAGGTGTAACTCAAACATTTTTAAAAACCAAGACATCACTAAATTCTTCTTCACACTGAATTCCTCTTGTTCATTAAAAAAAATCATCTCCTAATTGTTGTTTTATTTTTATAATAATAATATTGTCACGTCCACAGTCCATAGTCTAAGGTACTTAACATACAGAACAGAACAAGGTGCATAAGGAAAATAAAAGGTAAATGTGAGGTATGACGATTGAATTTACCTCGACGAATGAAGCACGTTTTACAGCCGTTGGAACTGGAATTCCAGATTCAATGGCATCTTTCCTCTCGTGAATTGAGCCTGAGAGGTTCTCTATGCTCTGGGTGCTCAATTGGGTTCTACTGCCCGCCAATGACAGCCTCGAACTGAAAAATAATTAGATTTATCAATCGATTGCCTTGGATGTCAGGTTCAATAGTGAAACGGGTGCTATTTGGTGGTACATGAAGCCCTGGTGATTGTTTGTGGTAGGCAGCAAGAGATGGGTATGATACTTTGAGCAGAGGGTGATCACACATTTTGGTCCTTACCCAGCGAGTTTCTCGGTATGCTGACGACTAGGCTGGGCGGGAGATGTTTTTCTCCTAACGCTTAAAACGAGCCAGCATGCATATGGGGTAAATATAATTATTGGGATTTTTATTTCAGATTTAAGGGAGAGTTCAGCTGTGAGGTGACGTGGAATCTAGGGGAAATGGATTATTCTTGGGAGAGCAGTTTTTTCTAGCTCTTGACATTGTCTACTAAAGTTCTCAAGAAAAATTTGAATTTGTTTTTTTTACTGCTAGAAATTCTTTGATATTTAAGTAAGAGGTTAGTGTGAGTTTTTAATGTTGCTCATTTGAATTCAACCTGAGATCATGTCGTTCGTGGAATTTGTTAGTTACCTTGGAAATTCAGCATAGTCAAGTTTTTGATTTTGAGAGAGCATTGAAATTTCGATGACAGTTTTTTGAATTTTTTAAGGCCGTGACTATTCGCACCATTGCGTGAATCACTCCCGTACACTCCATACACTCCACGCATGCGTGAAGTTTGTGTGTTTCACGCAGCCGAATTTTCATACTACTGTGTATTTCACGCAGCTGAAGTTTCATACTACTGTGTGTTTCACGCAGTTGAAGTTTTATACTACTGTGGGTTTCACGCAGTTGTATTTTTATACTACTCTGTGTTTCACGCAGTTGAAGTTTTATACACCGGTGTGTTTCACGCAGTTGCATTTTGATACGCCTGTGTGTTTCACGCAGTTGTATTTTTATACATCAGGATTGCGTTTTTCCACTTCCTAGGCCTTATACAAGATGAATTGAATTAATTTTTTTTGGCATGTTCGTTTTTCGCGATTATCTCGGAAACTATGAGAGATAGAGCCTTAAAACCAAATTTGGGAAATATTTCAGAAATATTCAAAAAAAAAATATTTTCAGGAAGAATTTTCAAAGAATATGCAGATTTTTCAATAAATATTTCTCTGTATCTAGGGGAGATATAAATATTGTTGAAAGAATATTCCTCCTAGATGTGTCTAGTTCCACCCCCTCACAACTGATTCTCAACGTAACAAAAACAAAAAATATTTCTAATCAAGATAACTGGGAACAAAACTTCATCCTCTATTGTTCAAGCACGAGACAGCAAGGAACTTACGCGGTGGGCTCGTTCCTCCTGCGGATGCTTGTGCTAGCATGAAATGACAGAGTTTAAGAAATGATTTAGAGATATCTAGCTGTTATAATTACCTTCCTAAACATCGATATACAGAGCGAAATGAAAACTGACTTTTTTCTCAATTTCATAACTCATTCATTCACTGATAAAACGGGATAATTTCTTTCCATAAAAAATTCATCCCCTTTCTGAATCAGAGGAAGATGAGGTAAAATAAGTCTTCTTACATCACCAATATCTCCCGACTAAATGATGCGATTGAAATAAGTCTATTCTTATTTAAAACCCAAAAAAATATCTTCAGAATGAAAAAAAAACTTCACTCTGTTGATCTTGAGCTATTGATTATTAAAACCGTATCTTTCCCCTATAAATATTGGAAAAAAGTCAAGTGCCCATTTTGCCCCACCCTCTTTTTGATACAAACGAGTGAAAATTTCTTATTTACGATTTTTTCATTCGACCAAAAAAAGTATTATTTATTATTATAACAGTTATTTTAATTTATTCACTCATTTGTTTATTTATTAATTTATGAACGAATATTTTTCTTTCAAGAATTAACATGAAAAAAGATCTTGCGAAATAAAATTATCAAGCTAAGATGAACTCGAAATATTCCCAAGTCTAGAATAAATTTATCAAAACAGATTGCTGATCAAAAATTGCTGATTCTCTCATTTCTAAATGCAAGATTACCTGTTGAGTCGACTTCGCGCCCTGGCAGCCCCATCATCAGGAGTGGTTGCAGTGCTCCCAGTTGACCCTGGGCTCGTGGGATCCTGTCTGTTCCCAGCGCTGTCCAAGAGCACCACTTGGGTCTGACGTACGAACATCCCATGATTCTCTGCACACTGTGACACAATGAATCAAATAAATGTGGACGTCCGCCTGAAAAGGGACCACTTTGTCGATATGGTGTTATGTATACTCTGATAATATTGATAAAATTCCGCACATTTTGAGCCCAAAATGATTTTCATAGTGTCAAAAATGACGTCGTTGAAGAACATGGAAAAAACACCTTAACATTGGTGGAAATGGGAGTTGCTGACACAAAAACGTGAATATCTCGGAAACTAGAATCGACAAAGTGGTCCCTTTTCATGTGGACGTCCACAAATAAGCGAGTCAATGAATGAATTAATCAATGATTGAATAAATCAAAGCACAAATAGACGACCCATAAAGCCAAAAAAATCAAACATCCATCTGTCAAATCACTAACCTGAAAGTACGATTTGTCTTTGATGGTGCCATTATTCTTCCCCTTGGGCTCATCAAGAATGACCCCAATCCACTTGCCGGCCGCAAAAGACGGATGTCCGATCCAGGCGATCTCACCCTGGCAGTCCTTCCCAATTATTTCAACCCTTGCTCCAACTCTCAATGACATGTTTCATCAAGAGAACAACATAAAATCGACTGACAGGAGTGGCGAGAGGCTTCAGTTGCTGCACCGGCCGCTAGTGTCGCCATTGTATCTCCCATTTTACCCCCACCCCCTTCTGCGCCTGACGAGTTGTCGTATTTCGCCGAGAATTCCACTGTTCCTAATTCCAAGCCACAGCTTCACTTCGGGAAAGCCGTTAGAGAAGAAAGAACAAAGGAAACGTTCAAACATCGAACAAAGATCGGTCTGGTGTAGCTTCATCACGTTCGCGATCTCAAAAGCCGCATAAATCTTCGTCCTAACACTCGAAAGACATTGATTGTCACCTTAAATCTGGTAAATATCGAACTTCAATCATTCGGCTTTTCCAAGAAATCGGGGGGGGGGGGCGAGGAGAACAAAGGGAGACTNGGGGGGGGGGGGGGGGGGCGAGGAGAACAAAGGGAGACTCAATAATCGAGAGAAAATGTTACGGACAGTCTCAAAACAATAATAATTATCACCTTCTTCTCCTAATCTTCGTCTTAACGGTCGAAAACCATTGATTGTCACCTTAAATCTGGTGAAAATCGAACTTCAATCATTCGGCTTTTCAAAGAAATCGAGGGAGACGCGAGGAGAACAAAGGGAGACTCAATAATCGAGTGAAAATTTTGCGGGGGCACCTCTGGGGCCTTCAGGACTCTATGAATCTCTGTTTTAACACTCTGAAAACAATAATTATCATCTCCTTCTTCTAATCTTCGTCTTGACACTCGAAAGACATTGGTTGTCACCTTAAATCTGATAAATATCGAACNCTTCGTCTTAACGGTCGAAAACCATTGATTGTCACCTTAAATCTGGTGAAAATCGAACTTCAATCATTCGGCTTTTCAAAGAAATCGAGGGAGACGCGAGGAGAACAAAGGGAGACTCAATAATCGAGAGAAAATTTTGCGAGGGCACCTCTGGGGCCTTCAGAACTCCATGAATCTCTGTTTTAACAGTCTCAAAACAATAATTATCACCTTCTTCTTTTTCTATTGTTGAATTATCACCTTGAATCAGTGAATATCGAACTGAGACCATTGGGTTTTTCCAAGAAATCGAGGGGGCCGCGCGGAGAACAAAGGGACGCTCAATAGTCAAGAGAAAATTGTTCGGGGGCACCTCTGGAGCCTTCAAAACCCCTAAATATCTGTTTTAATCCTGTAAAAACACTAATTGTCGCCTTAAACCTATTAAATATCGACTGTCGGCTGTTGGATTTTTCCAAGAAATCATTGGGGACGTGAGGAGAACAAAGGGACTCAATAATCTAACAAAAATCGTTTGCCAGGATCTCTAGAGCCTCCAAAACTGCATAAATCTCGATTCTAAATCCCGAAAACATTAATCATCACCTCAATCAATTGAATCCACTGAAACATCCCACAAAAACGATTAAACACTCGAGAAATCTTTGGAGAGGTATCAAAGTAGAACAAAGAAATCAAATCGTCACTTTCGAATCGCCAAAGCCCCTTAAATCTCCATTTTCCCTCTGAAAAATCATCAATCATCACTTAAAACCACTGAATTAGAAATCATAAATTATTAAACTACTTCAAGACATTCTGTTTCGTGAATCAGATCTCTAAGGACAAATCATAAGGCCATGGCTCCTCCCAAAGTGAAGCACACAATTCCCAAAGTCATTCAGAACGTGGATGATGAGATCAAAGACGATATCAAGGCCTGTTTCCTGGCGGGAGCTCTCAGCAAGAGAGAATTCAAACAGAAACACAGGAATTGCTTGCACATCAACTGTGCTGGTGTAATGTAAGTGTGAACTGGGGAAAGGGGGCACTTGCACTGAGTCGATTGATTTTTCATCAATTTTGCTTTTGCCTGCATCAATTTATTATTATCCTTCCAAGCAGAAAATCTTCAATCACATGATACCATTCACCTGATAATTTTTTTTGCAGGAAGGAGGTTTCAGCACGTGTCTCTTCACAGCACCCACAGCCGCAGGATGCCTTCCCCTGGGGCTTGGCGAAACGGATCATCGTGGGAGTCTTGAAAGTCCGGATTTACACTCTCGACGATGCAGTTGGTGAGAATTTCACTGATTTCCTCTGATTGATAATTCATTTATTCTCAAAGATGAAACAATGAATTACTAAAAAAATGATTATTGCTCTCGTTTTCATTTTCAGCCCAACACAACAGATTTCTGAAGGAGTTGGAGTACGTCCCAGACCTCCAGAAGCTGAACGAGCCCTGGGACCTGCCTGAAGTGTCGCTGGAACCTCCTGACATAAACGAGGTTCTGATGGATCCCAAATTGCTATCCCACATCGCTGACAGGGACATCTTCCAGATCGAGGAGATCGAGCACTTTCGCGATGACATAAATGATGCCACGAACTTTGGGTCTCTGACTTCGGAGGAGCTGAGCATTTACACCAGCAGTGACTGGATGAAGGCCATACAGGAGCAGGAGGAACGATTGGCACAGGGCAACCAGCTGAAGTGTATTCATCCTGGGACGCCGAAGAGGAAAAAGGCTCCATCACCAGGGGGTAATGGCTCTCCACCACCTGGGACACCCAGCAAACGTCCACGAGTAAGCATAATTCAACGATATCATGAAAATTTTTAGACAATTACACTTAAAAAACATTTTTTTACATCTCGATGAAGATTAACAAGATACTTTCTTATTAGAAATTAATCTATTCATGGAAAAGTCCCACCCAATTATTCTGCAATCCCTTTTTTATAAGATCGATAGACTAAAAAAAAACAGCAAAAATCCAGACACACAATGCACATCTGTTCATCTGTGAACAAATAATTTCATAATTTTTTTGGTCTGCAGAGGAATTTGGACGACGACTACCAAGAGGCCCCGAGACCTGAGGAAACTGCTGATGTGCCTTTTCATGACGCAACTGATGATTTGGCTGCTCCATTGCCCGGAGAATCCAGCGTCCCAACGGTCCCATCGATCTCACTCAATGATTTACCACTTCCACCAGATGACACACCCATACAAGCCCCACCAGCCCCTGCTGCACCTTCGCCAGTTCCAGAAGGAGTCCCACCTGCAGCCTCACCACGTCCACAACCTCCAAGACGTAGAGTTCGACCCCAGCCCACCCAAATTCCTGAAAATAAAATGAAGAAACGTATTGCTGATATTAATGTCGACACACTCGTGAGTAGAACGATTGCATTTACAATATTTATGGAAATTGAAATGAAAAAAGATATTGAAGCGATGAAAAATTGATTATTGTAATGATTTATAATAATTAATTAGTAATTATTATTAAATTAACCTCAGGAGGATTGATTTTTATGATTAGTAATTATTATTAAATTAATTATTATAAATCATTACAAATCATAGGGAAACGTATTGCGTATTGTTATAATAATTAATTAGTAATTATTATTAAATTAATTATTGCAATGATTGATAATAATTAATTTTTGTTTTTGAATTCTCTGTCTTACACTTGTTTTCAATTATATGAAAAATTAATTAATTTGTAAATAACGAAAATTATTGTTTTCGCGATAATAATAATTATCAATTATCTAATAACCATCGTATCCATCATATATTTATGAATTATTCATCAATAGCCTATGGAGGAGCTCGTGATTGACATAAGAAAAATCCAGAACGACGCTACAATGTTATTCAAACACCCATCGACTTCCTGGTTGGACAGAGGATATGCCCCTATCGCCAGAGTACTTGCTGAAGATTATGCAAGGCTTCTGAGGGTCAGACCATCTGACCAACTCGATTGCGGTATGATGTGTTATTCAGTACTCTGAACTATTTATGAGCTGCGAATGTCTGATGTCGTTATTCATGGATTGATTTTTATGATCAACAGATTACAGAGAAATGTGGGAATCAGTAGAGATAATGCTGGCGGAGGTCAACGCTGCAGCAGCTGAAGAACAGATTATTCACGATGTCTCTGCTCCAGAGGACAGAAATGCAGAAGGGGAGAATGTTATTGCAGATCCATCTGTGCCTGAAGCACAAATGTAAGTGAATATTTCGTGAATATTTCCCGATATTTAGCTTTTTCCTAGTTTTTATTATTCTAAGTATTATTTATTATTTTTATTATTAGAGAATAATTAGCTCGAGGATTTGAGATTCAGATGGGTATAAATGGAAATGTTTTGAGAACGAAGACAATTGTGAAAGGAAAAATAAAAATATATTGACTTTTAATAAAATCAATTAATGAAATTTTAACGTAATTGCTCTCAAAATTCTATTGAAATTCCAATCGAATTTCAATAGAATTTTTTATAGCAAGGTAATATCTTGAAATGTAATGTGGATAGCGAAATTTTTGTGAAGACCTTTTCGTTTATTCATTTATTTCATTTTATTCATCAAAAATGAATCTATCCTCGAATTAAACTGATGAACTTGAAGTAACTATGAATAATTTGCAACAATTGTCGATAATTACAGTGTCCCAGAGGTCTCTGTTGAGAATGTGCCAATGCCAAAAGAAGCTACTGACAACGATGGTCCTGGGGTTGCCACTGGTGAAGATTTTGAGTTCAGGGTATCACAAACTAGGAGGAGCCAGAGCAGGGAGAGTCGATCGGCTGGAACTGAAGCGAGCAGTGAGCCATACCCTCGTCCCATCGGAATGACTAGGAAGGAGTTCCACGAGGCACTGAATGCCAAGTGGAAGGAGAAGATGGAACGTTATAATTTGGCAGTTGCTCCTCCTGTTGATTTCGATGAAGTCGTCAAGCCAGCAGAACGAACTCCACTGGATTACACTCTGGCGATGTCTTATGCCATGGGTAAGCCTCTTCTGTTATCTTCTATTAGCTATTATTTGTTCATGCATCGATTTAATTCTGTGAAGTTGATGAAGTTGTTAATTGTATGTGTTGTTTAATTTCAGATTCTATGATGAAGGGAAAACTACTCGTCCAACAGGTTTCTCCATATGGGGTTGTCAAGCTGTCCCCACGTGGTTCGTAAATATATTTCATGTTAATGTTCTCTAAGGCCATGGGGAAACGTATTGCACTATCAGGCACTAGAGAACATTCTAATTTTTACAATATTTTTCTATTCATCTGGATTTAATAGTCTAGAGATGTTTGTAAAGAGAATTGAAATTTAGGAAGGAGTTTTCTCATCATCAGATAGTTCTTCTAGATTAATTTTTAGAGTTTGTTACTGATTCACTGTTATTTGAGAACAGTAGTTGCAGTGTTTTTCATCAATTTTAACGTTGCAAGATGAGATTCGTGGATAGAATTGCCAGATATAGGGAAGTATTGTTATATTTATGGACTTGAAGAAGATTGCAGATATTTTAGCTTTGTTAGTCCTCTGAATTGATTTAGGGAGTCGAATGACAGTCACAGGGGAATTTCTAATCTAAAGATAATTTAATATACTTTTATAGTATTTTTTAAATTTACCTTTTTTGAGATTATTTATATTTACTGCAGTCAGAAGAGATGTATGGACGGGAAATTTTTTAATTTTAGGAGAGAATTCTTGCGCACAAATGCAGAATAAATTTGTAAATATTTTTATATGTTCAGAATTTAAGTTCTCTAGAGCAATTAGAGATTCACGGAAGACGTTAAAGGACATTTTAATTCATTACTTTATTCTTGTTTATTCCTCCAGATCAATTTAATTCAAGTCAGATGACATCAGAGGGGGAATTTTCACTTCAGAATTTTTGTTTTGTTTTTTATTTTCAAAGATCAGTAGTCGTATGTACTGCAGTAGAATACTGTCTGTAGCTTTTAATGAATTGTAAATATTGATATTTGGAGAGGGGATCCCTAGAGATAATTGTCAGAAGAATTCCTCATTTCCTATTTTTACTTTGATTTCTGTGGTCAAATGCAAATCATTGAAATATGTAAGTGGAATTAGCACATCACAAAGTGCCATTAATTATACAGTCGTTTGTACACGTTCTGCCAGTCGATTAAAGGATTCAAGGGACAGTAGAGGGTATTTAATTATCCATGAGCTTTTAAATCAATGAATCTGTTTTTCGTTTATTTTTTTTATAAATTGTCTACTGTCTTTACTGTTGTGAAATCTAAGTCTAGTTCGTACTTATTTTAAAGTTAATTGTATGTTTCAATTTTTGAGGATGAAATGCTCATTGAGAATTCTAAAACGAATTCCATCAAACGAGAATGAAATTGAAATTAGAGAAGACTGAATCATAATTTATTGAATGCTCAATACCAAAATGCAAAAATAGCTCATCGTATGCTGTACTAGTCTATTAGGAGATTCGAAAGACAGTAGAGGATATTTAATTATCCATCTTTTAATGTTATGTTTTTTAATCATTGATCACTGATTTTGTTGTTTTCTATAGATTATCTACTGTGTTTTTATTATGAAACCTGGTTCATAGTATTTTATCTAAAATGAATTGGACATATTAATTTGTGGGGATGAAATTCTCATTGAGAATTCGAGAATGAATTGCCCGAATAAATTAAAATGCGTGTGTCGGTGCAAATTTAATAATTCATAAGTGCTCAATTGGAATTTATCAATTGCGCAGTGAAATGCCAAAGTACCTTACAGCACTAAAAAACGTACAAATAAATTCCCACAACAGTATTACACACTGGGTTACCAATCGTACGATTTTTATTTTCGTTCTGTTAAATCTCATTAAAAAATTCCAATAAAAAATGTAAAAAAAACGTAAAAATATCGCATCACTATTATTGACTCCGTAAAGTTAATCAACGCAACACAGGAGCTCGAGTCACGGGTCGTCCCTTCTCAGCACCACGGGCATCTCCCGATTTCGAATTTTCGTCGGTCACAGATTCCAGAAATCGTTCGAACTTGTAGAGGCGATTCAAATCAGTTTGGATGAGGTTTATATATCGCCATCGCAGGTTTCTGAGGTAATCGATGTAATGGGGGCTGTTTTCGTCGATGTGTGGTGAAGCTCTGAGGGTGTCGTCACGATCCTCGTCATCCTCGGAGGCCGAGGCTTCACTCGAAACCGAATCGTCGCGTGTCTGCTGCAAAAATCTCATTTTGCACATGAATTCATTGACTGCACGCACGAAAAATTTTAATAGAAATACCTATCGCATTTGTTGGAAAATTCTATTGAATTTCTATTAAACTTTCTATTAGTTTTTGGCTCATTCTATTGACATGTTCAATAGAAAACATTCAGTAAAAAAAGTCAACAGAATTCGATTTTTCTATATAACTTATTCTTTTCATATATTTTCTATAGAATTGGCTCCACTCAAATTTTCTAAGTTCTTTTCATTCTATTTTTCTTTTTTTCTCATCAAGAAAAACAAACGAAAAAACTTAGAAAATTTGAGTCGAGGAAATTCTATAGAAAATATCTCAATAGAATAAGTTACATAAAAAAATTGGATTCTATTGACTTTTTTTACTGAATATTTTCTATTGATCATTTCAATAGAATCGGCAAAAAACTAATAGAACAGTTCAGAAATTCAATAGAATTTTCTAACGAATTCGATAGGTTTTTCTATTAAATTTTTTCGTCCGTGTAGTTGAGGGTTATTCATACAGTTTTAGAATTTTTTAACTGAATTTTCCACAAAAATTTTCATCTTGTGACAATTCCTCTGAAATTTTAAGGAATTTCGTCATTTCAAATTCACTATTTGATAAAAAAATTGATACAATATTTAATACTGATCAATTAACGTATAATATTGCAAAATGATTCAATCAAAATTAATTAAAATTAACAATCAATTCATTAGAAATTGATTAAAAGGAAAATTCTACCTGAAGTCGTTTTTTATCGTTCAGTGGGCAGTCTCGAGCGTTCCTCTGACCCCTTCCCTCCATCTCCTCGACGATCGAAGTCTCCGTTGCACTCGTAGTCGTCTCCGGGGTTTTCACGATTCGTTTAGAGTGCGTCCAAGGCTCGCAGATTGATATCCTCGCCAAATCCCTCTCTAGACGTTTGTTCTCCTCTTCTTCCTCATTATCGAGGTCAGAGTCGTCTTGGGGCGTCCTCGGACACATCTTCGAATTCAATGGGTTTCTCTTCCTCTAATGAAGAAAGAATAATCTGCTAATTAATAATTGCATTTTATTTTAACGAATTTGTGAAGAAATGATTGCACGTAAGAAAAAAATTCATAGAAAAACCTCGCGAATTCGTCAGAAAATTCTACTGAATTTCTATTAGATTTCGGCTGATTCTGTTGAACAATTTTGCGGCTTATCTGCGCGTTTCGCTCAATAGAAATGTTGAAATGTTTATGAGCACATTAATCTAGTGAGATATTTCTTTGAAAATTCCTCACCTCAAATTTTCCAATTGTTTGTTTGAGTTATTTAATGAAAATAGAAGAAAATGAGGCGATAAAAATTGAGAATTCGTGTCGAGGAATTCCTACAGAAAATGTCTCAATTGAGAAAGTTTTCATAGAAAGACGACATTCTCATTTTTTTCTAGAAAATAGTTTCTATTGGACGTGCGAAGAGATGATTATACTTGATCGGTGAACCGTTTCTCCTGCTCGAAGCAGCAGACCTCATCCTTAAGGTCCTCTAGCTCATTCAGGCACCTCTGGGCTCTCAGTTTCCCCTTATCTTTCCTATTTCGTCTCGTGTCAGGTCTCATGATCTCGTTCTCCTCGGGTATAGTCTCCACGCAGTCATACGACATTTCCTCTTTCTTCTTCTTCGAAGATTTCTCCAGGGACTTCCCCGGACACCGCTCCGCACAGTGGGGGAGCTCCGGTGGTTCGAAATCGTGGCTGTACGGGTCCAGGGGATGTTTTCGATTCCTTGGAAATGTCAGGGGACTTCGGGATTTGTGCTTTCGAAATTTTCGAGGCTGCAATTCGGCTTCTAGTTGTTGGTCTGAAGCTGCTGCCAGTCTCATGTCTTTTCTGTCGGGCTTTCTGAGAGGGGAATTATTTTTTTGGGCGGTCATTTTATAGAAACCGATGAGGAAGCTAAATAGAAAATTTTATTGCAATCTCGTCGAAATTTTCTTTTGGAAATTAATTTTATCAATTTTTTTCCTAGAGATTTTTTTGTGCGAGAAAATCAATAGATCTTTATTTTCATATGAAAATTCCTCTTAATCTTCTAGATTAATTTCTTTTCGTCACATTGAAGAAAAGAAAACAGCTAAGAAATTTCTTTCTGAGTTTTCATTTGAAAAATTTCACTGGATGAGATTCGAGGCTGTAATTCGCTCATGTCTTTTCTGTCGGGTTTTCTGAGAGGGGAATTATTTTTTCAGAGAGGTCATTTTACAGAAACGTATGAAGAAGCTCAATAAAGAATCTTGTTGCACTCGTCAAAATTATCTATTGGAAATTAATTTTATCATTTTTTTTGTTCCTAGAGATTTTTTTTATACGAGAAAATCAATAGATCTTTATTTTCATATGGAAATTATTTTTTCTGAGAGGTCTTTTTGAAGAAACATATGAGGTAGTTCAATAAAAAATCTTATTGCATTCGTCAAAATGATCTATTGGAAATTTATTTTACCATGTTCTTTGTTCCTAAAGATTTTTTTATGCGAAAAAATCAATAGATCTTTATTTTCATATGAAAATTCCTCTTAATCTTCTAGATTAATTTCTTTTCGTCACATTGAAGAAAAGAAAACAGCTAAGAAATTTCTTTCTGAGTTTTCATTTGAAAAATTTCACTGGATGAGATTCGAGGCTGTAATTCGCTCATGTCTTTTCTGTCGGGTTTTCTGAGAGGGGAATTATTTTTTCAGAGAGGTCATTTTACAGAAACGTATGAAGAAGCTCAATAAAGAATCTTGTTGCACTCGTCAAAATTATCTATTGGAAATTAATTTTATCATTTTTTTTGTTCCTAGAGATTTTTTTTATACGAGAAAATCAATAGATCTTTATTTTCATATGGAAATTATTTTTTCTGAGAGGTCTTTTTGAAGAAACATATGAGGTAGTTCAATAAAAAATCTTATTGCATTCGTCAAAATGATCTATTGGAAATGTATTTTACCATTTTCTTTGTTCCTAAAGATTTTTTTATGCGAAAAAATCAATAGATATTTATTTTCATATGAAAATTCCTCTTAATCTTCTAGATTAATTTCTTTTCGTCACATTGGAGAAAAGAAAACAGCTAAAAAATTTCTTTCTGAGTTTTCATTTGAAAAATTTCACTGGATGAGATTCGAGGCTGTAATTCGCTCATGTCTTTTCTGTCGGGTTTTCTGAGAGGGGAATTATTTTTTCAGAGAGGTCATTTTACAGAAACGTATGAAGAAGCTCAATAAAAAAATCTTGTTGCACTCGTCAAAATTATGTATTGGAAATTAATTTTATCATTTTTTTTGTTCCTAGAGATTTTTTTATGCGAAAAAATCAATAGATCTTTATTTTCATATGAAAATTCCTCTTAATCTTCTAGAATAATCTCTTTTCGTCGCACTGAAAAAAAGAAAACAACTGAGAAATTTTTTTCTGAATTTTCATTTGATAAACTTATTGTTTATATTCTGTATTGATATTTTCCTGTTGAAGATTACTTTTTCTACGGAATTTTAGGATATTTAAATTAATGAAAACATGTATACGTGAAATTTTGGAAAGGACAATCGTGCGACGGAAAATTCTGCAGCTTAAAATCCCGATGATTTTTAAAATTTTCGAAACCGTCTTTCCACTCTCGTCTTCCATTCCCAGTCTTCGTACCGCGACGTCGACCCTGGGGCTCTTGACAGCAATAATTTAGGGGATCATGCACCTGCGAACGAGGTTAATGAGTTATTCCGATGATATTTTAACTGTCTCCAGTGTTTATTACGGTGTCTTCGAATTCACGAGGCATTCTGCGGGAATTTCAGCTCCCCAATTTGGAAGAAATTCATGGGAATAAAATGAAAGGTATTTTGTACAAAAATCTTGGAATAAAAACCATTAAAAAAATAATGAGCGAGTGACAGATTGATTCATGTCAGCGCGATTGTTTTTTACGATTAAAAAAACATTGAGTGTGAAATTGTCGGAGAATGCGGATTGCGTGTGTCACGCAACCGCGGAAATTCTGTGCCTTTAAATATTTGAATAGTGGAAAAACCCTTTTTTATGTAGAGCTCAATTGAAAATTAAAGCAAACGCTTTCGAACGAAAGAATTTCACGGAAAAATCCAACGAAATCGCGTAGAAAACTATTGTTTTCCTATTAAACTTTCGATTATTAGTTTTCGATCGATTCTATTGAGAAATTCAGCAGCTTATCTGCGGGTTTTGTTTCAATAAAAATGTTCCATGGAAAATACATCGAGGACTAGTGATCCCATCATCGAATAAAAAGTGCAATTTCGAAATGTTGGGGAGAGACATCGAAATAAAAGCGAGGAAAAAAATTCGGGAGGAGCCGAAAATTTTCATGAACGAGTTGGCTTATGGAGTGCCGCAGAAGAATTCTGTTCGTCCTCCATCCGTTCCCACAGTTGGAATGAGTAAAATACAGGCGAAAGGGTGGAAGGCATTCTTCATTGAATACGCGAGTTCCGCATCGTTCCACGGGCTCAATCACTTGGCTGCGCCTCGTAGACATCTCTTCGAACGGTAATCGAAACACTCCAGTATTGAGAATTGAAATTTAAGGATTTTTACAAGTATTTTTTACACTTTCAATCATCAAATTTGTCAACTGAATTGCGTGCGAAAAATTTAAGGCAGACCATGAATATTTACCGTCGTTAAAATTACATTTTGCACCTTTGCATTTTGTTCAAACATTTTCATTATTGATAAATAATTGAAATAATTGAAACCTTATTTTTTAGGCATGAAATCGAAAACTGAATATCTGTTTTATTTCATTTAATTTTATCAGCATTTCCGTCTTCACAATGGAATTAATTTAATTGTATCCATATAAAAATGTGATAAACGTAGACGGAAACAAAAAAAATTTTTCAATGTCTCCGGAAAGTTTTAAAATCGATATATTTTTTCGAATAATGGAAGAATAATAGAAAAATTTCTAGCTTGACGAAACAATTGTCCAATATCCAGGATCCATACACATGCTTTTCTCTCGGAAATCTAGTATTTTTATTTTATTTTTTGGAAGTGTCGCAAATTCTTCACGTAAATTTGAGTTAATCCTCAAAATATTAAAAAAAAAACGCGCAACCTTTTGTTTTTGTGTCTTTTTTTTAAAGGAATCATCCAAATTTGCTGTCTTTTAAATGAAACAATAAAAATTTCTTGATAACTGAAGAAAAAACATCTGATTTAAGAAGACATTGATGAAAAAATTGATGAAGAATAATTTAGAATTGATTCCAGACAGAATTCTTCAAAACTGTCAATTTTTCATTCCAAATTTCAGAAACCTTGTCTGTTTTTTAACGAATTCTCTCTTCCAGGATTGGCACAGTGGTCATCATCATCATGTCGTTAGTGGCACTGGTCCTGCTCTCCCTCCACTTCTGGGAGGAATACCAGAATTACCCCATAGTCATCATTCTGAACCACGGTTTCCACAACTATAAAATTGTTCAACCAGCGATTGTTGTGTGTACAAAAAGTGGAGTTGATGAGGAAAAGTTCCCTGAGGTTTTTAAGAAGTAAACGCCTGAACAATCTCTAAAAAGCAAATCAGTAGCGAAGTGGTAAAACGGTTTAAGTCGACTTATCTCCCAGTTGTGTTTTTTGAAGAATATTTCCGAATCTAAGGGAGACAGCGAAATTTTCGTAATGACATTTGTTGTAGCACTCCACCGGCTCTACAAAAAAGGTTATATCAACAATTTTGCTATCTCCCTTAGATTCCGAGATATTCATTGAAATTTGGCCAATAGTAAAAAATGACTTGTACCGTTTTACCACTTCGCTACTGAAATAATTTATGCCCTTCCCTTTCAGATACGGCATTGAGGATACAGAAGAGCTTCGAAAATTCTTCATGGTGATATCTAGAGAGCCGTACTCGTACAAGTTGGAGAGCCCTGAAACCGTCAGTGTTCCCTCCAGCATGTGGCTGTCGATCCTGAACGACTTGAAGCCAGAAATAGAGGACGTCTACAAGACAAAAGATGCCTCGTGGGTCATCACTGAGTGGGGATTCTGTAACAGTTTCTGCAGTTACGCTGCGCCCTATTCCTCTTTCGAGTAAAATCATTGCATACGCCATCACTGCATGCACCATCACGCACGAAAAAATCGTACAGAAATTTTCTATACGGATTGCGTGTAGAATTTCTATAGGATTTTCGTGTATGATATTAGGATATTTCTATACGAATATTTTTTATACAAATTATTTCTGTACGATTTCTATAAGTTCGATCCTATAGACCCACTGCCACATCTATAGAAATATTTCGTATGGAGTTACGACATTTCTCTACGTTTCTCTCTGGAGCGTTTAGACATCTTTCGTATGAAAACAAAAATTTATGTAAAAATTTATGTATAGAAATAATTCGTATAGAAAATATTCGTATAGAAACATCCGGATATCATATCCGGATTTCTATAGGTTCGATCCTATAAACCCACTGCCACATCTATAGAAAAATTTCTTATGGAGTTATGGACGACATTTCTCTACGTTTCTCTCTGGAGCGTTTAGACATCTTTCGTATGAAAACAAAAATTTATGTAAAAATTTATGTATAGAAATAATTCGTATAGAAACATCCGAATATCATATACGGATTTCTATAGGTTCGATCCTATAAACCCACTGCCACATCTATAGAAATATTTCGTATGGAATTACGACATTTCTCTACGTTTTTCTCCGGAGCGTTTAGACATCTTTCGTATGAAAACAAAAATTTATGTAAAAATTTATGTATAGAAAAAATTCGTATAGAAACATCCGAATATCATATACGGAAATCCTATAGAATTTCTATACGCAATCCGTGTAGAAAATTTCTATCCGATTTTTTCATACGTGATTGCTCTATCGGATCGATAGCTTCGTTCATTCTTTTACTTTCCAGCTATTGGATGAGTGATAACTGGACTGTAATACCGGAACCTCCGGAACTACCATTCTATGAACACTTGAGTCCAATCTTCAATCTTCCCATTCATGTGACGGCTTATGATGTATTCGTAAGTAATCCACGAACGAATTCTAAAATTCAACTCGTAGTGATGACAGGTCTAAATAACAGCGTACAAAAATAACTCAGTACAATAACATCATAAGTCAAAGTCAACACAGAAAATTATATCGTGGTCCCTTTTTGGCCAAGAGCTGAAAATTGAAATTTAATTGCCTTACCATGCTCGTGAATTTATAGAAATACTTATATTTAAATTAATTAAAAAAAATTAATTGCCTTTAGAAGGAAGGTGGAGAAAAAGGGAGGTCCCGGTCATCTACCTGGTCAACCATATTATTGTATTGTGTTGTACCAAAGAGTTTAAATTCACAAACTGGCAACCTGGTCCCAACTTGGTAAGAAAGGTGGAGACCCACTGGGAACATTGGGAACTGGAGGCACTGTGTTGAATTGTCGTGTGATGAATTATCGGGGTGGTGAATTGTCGGGTTGATGATTAGTCATTAATTAATTTTCTGTCAGTGTAGTCTTCTCCAATGGCTAATATCTCTCTTCATAAATGAAGATATTGAAATTTGGAGATGGATAAAAACCAGATCCACTTCGTCCCCAATGAAAAAGTGCCTCGCTCTTCCATTCTCTTTTACTCAGATCAGCTTTGCTCATCCCGGCAACATTGTTGACTTCACGAGGATTACGTACCTGGCGAAATTGCAGTGGCGGACCGAGCTCGCCATTAACACCGAAGAAATCGAACCCTCCAGTGAAATCAGATCCCTCTCGTTCAAGCAGAGAAACTGCAAATTCCACGATGAGCATAAACTCACGATGTGGCCTATCTACACATACGCCATGTGCAAGAGGGAATGCGTTTATAGAAGAATGTTCAAACTCTGTGGATGCCACCACCACTTCGCAAGACCTGTTCGTAAGTTCTTGAGGCAGACCTCTATTCATTCAAGAAACGTGAACAAATTAAATTGAATTCAATCGATTTTTATAGCTGGAGTGCCAACGTGCGACCTAGCGCAATTGCGCTGCGCTGCTAAAAATATCAAAGCCATTTTGGGTGATAATAATGAGGGTGCGGGAGATTGTGGCTGTCTTCATGACTGCCATTTCATTCGTTATACAGAGGGCCGAGTACGCTCATATTTTCTGTAATCAATCGAAATATTAGTTAAATTTTAGCACCGACACTCCTTTTTTCCGATAAAATCACCCGTTTCACCCAATTGAGACCCTTAATCTTCTGATTCATTTGATGTTTGTCTTTTTAGGCAGTTTTAGGGCGATTGATATTGCCTTAAGTGATAGCCGAAGGCCACTGTTTTCTCGAAATTTTCAAACAAATTTCGTGCTCAATATTAATATTAAAATTAATATTATTAGCAAATATAAAAATTAATAATAAATAAAAATAAATAATTAACCGACGCTGGTGGCTGTGTGGTTAGAGTGTGGGATTGGCATGCGAGAGACCCGGGTTCGATTCCCGGCTGGGGGGGCCAAAATTTGTGACACTTTAAATCTCACGGTTTCATTGTCGAGCGGGAGTCTCGCAAGAGACGACTATCTGGGCAGGTTTTTCCCTCAAATGAGGTTTTCCCTTGTCCTTCGGCGAATGCGGTACAGGGGGTTGGGGGGTGCGAAGGGAACAAACCGTAAAGACCGGAAAGGGTATACGAGAAGAAAAAAATATAAATAAATACTTAAGATCAAACAATTAAATAGCCGCAAATACTGTTGACTATTTAATTAATATTTTTTGAACGCAAAGCACATTGATCTTCACTGTCGCCTAGCAGATTCCTTTGTCCTTTGATTTGTAAAAATATTGATAACTTACAGCAGGAAGTGTGAGCAAAAATTTGTGAAATTAGCGGCATTCTGTTACTCCTTAAGGAATTCTCAGTACTTCGGCTATTTTTCTCCAGTGAAATGGTTTTCTACTTTTGTAATGGAACATCAGAGCTTTCATTTGAGCCCCCTTTGACCCCAAGTTTCCAGACATTTTACAATGATTTTATTATTTAAACTTTGCAGCTCAGAATTTGACTCTCGATATTGAACCGTTGGAAAACATTTTGAAAATGTAAAAAAAAAATGGAAAGTCTTGGAGGAAGATTGACTTCGTCACGTCTGTAAAAAAACAGACATTCGGTTGTGTGCAATAGGTGATTTTGTCAAGATAATATTGTGTCCGTGTTGAATTGTCCCCAAAGCTCTCGCCCAATTCTTCATTCATCAGTGATGTCTTTGATTTTCTAGAGGTGAAAGAACCCCCATGGAAGTCACGCTGGATGTGACCTTTCAATTTCCAAAGGACAAGTACATCAACGAACAAGTATTCGGCTTCGTAGACTTCCTGGCAGCTGTTGGTGGAGCTGCTGGATTGCTTCTTGGCGCGAGTATCCTCTCGTTCGCTGAATTTTTCTACTTCGCGACATTACGATGCTTCTGGTATTACAGGAAGATGAGAAGTGAGAGAATCAGAAAACTGAGGAATAAAAGGAATAGCTTGGCTAAAATCATGACGGAATTGAAAAAACCCATTAGTTAAGGGACGACTGAGTGTAAACATGAACTGAGAAAAAAATATTTTTGCCAAGTATCCATTTACATGAGAGAAGTATTTATTTTTTCAGTACTGTATTTCATATTTCATACTTCAGTAGTGAAGTGGTAAAAGGCGACAAGTGCACTTTTTTTCGAAATTCATAATATTGTTATTACCATTTAAAAATTAATATTTCGATGTCATTCACGCAAAATTTTTTATTGTTTTTTAAATGCATTTATCTCCTTTTACCACTTCGCTACTGATTTCCAATCCTCATTAGGTTCCAATTATGTCAATTATAATGCTCTAGAAGACGATCATGTTAGTTATGACCTTGAGCGAACTCCTGCAATAATTATCAACATTAAAAAATTGATCAAAATTCTCCCCTCTAGAAAATAAGAAATTAAGGAAAAATGAATAATCATTAGAGGAGTTCATCCAAGGTCATGTGGAACATAGTCATCCTCTAGAGAAATATGATTCCCATAATTGAAACCTAATCAGGCTCGCCTGGGAATGACTCGATTGGAGAAATACGATTTAAAAAAAAAAAATACTTCTCTGAAATAACTGAATATTTGGCAAAAATAATTTTTGTTCTCAGTGTTGCATCTGAAAATAGTTTCTAATTATGGAATTTTTCTACTTCACGACATTACGATAATTCTAGTATTACAGGAAGACGAGAAGTGTAAGAATTAGAGAGCTGAGGATTGAAGAGAATAGTTTTGCTAAAACAACGACGGAATTGAAAAAATCCATGAATTAAGGGACAACTGAGAATAACCACTGTATCGGAAAAATAGTTTCTAATTACGGATAGAATAAATAAAATCATCGGATTGATTTACATAATATGGATACAATAGACTTCTTTTATATACACGAAGAATTTGGCCTCGACTTCACCCACTCTCAGCAACATTAAAGGTCGTCATTATATCGCAGAAGGGAGAGCCCTGCTCTTTCCCAGCTGCCTCGAAGCTCCTCAGGAAAGCTTCCCTCTGTGATTCATTCGAAAGCTGCAAAAAGCCGAATCAATCATCCACCCGAAGATAATCTTTTAAAAATTCTAACAAACCTGCTTATAAAAATCAGCAGCAGCGATGCACAATATCTTCTTATCCTCATACTCATACTTTCCCATTCTCGATTGTACATGTGGAAACCTGAAGACAATACCATTAAGGAAGAAATAAAAGAGAATCCACGAATCCCAGTGAAAGTGGTGGCCCGTCTTATTTTCCTCGACATTTTTTCCCCAATTTTTCTTCCCCGACATTTGTCCCCCCCAAATTCTCCTCGCGTCAATTTTTCCTATTCTACTTTTCCCACTTCACTTTTTCCCTTTTTAATTTTCTGATTCAATTTGTAGGGGAGGGTGGGGCAAAACGGCCCCCCTTCAATTGTCAATAACTTGTGAATGACATTGTGAAAATTCCCAGTTTCAACTTCATTTTGAAGATAATTTTTCATTCTTCAAAACGAGCTCTAACTCATCCCAATCGGATTATTGAATCGGAAAATACTGACGATTGAAGGGGGGCCGTTTTGCCCCATCCTCCCCTATATTTTGACATACATTTGGTCATTTGGTTGATTGTAATGATAAGTGGGGATTATCCTTCTTTTGTAAGCCTCGACCGAATTACGATAACCCGGTCGTTTATTAACTTTCGAGTGTGTATTGATTTTTTTAATGAGAGGGGGTAATCGTCGGCTATCGGACCTGAGTGATGACCGAAAGCATTCAACTATGACAGTTTCAATAAGTTGATGAAGTTGTTAATTTCCATGGTTAACAATAAGAGGAATAATTAATGGGATGTTGGAAGAGTTCAGCAATACTAATTTATTCTCAAATCGCGACGTTTCGCTGCAAATCGCAGCTTCTTCAGGCTCTTGACAGGTTTAGTACGTAGTCACTATAAACTCTAATAAAATGTGCGTGGAGCAACGACAACATAATAATTGATTAAAAATTGCAAAATACTCTAACAATAACATCGGGGTCTGCAGCAACACCTGTCATTAATCACAACCATGAACTATAGTTTCAATAAGTTATTTGCGCGGATAGTCGCCGCACTGCCTTTGGAGTTTATCGTTGAAAGGGAAGAAAATGTTAATTGTGGATAATCATCTCCATTACTTGCACAGTCATGTTAAAAATTATTCGTGGAAATGTTCTCGTTCTGGTGATTTGAAATGATCAGGGAGAAACTTCACTGTTCGTAGGGATTATTATTTGCTCAGGTATCGATGGCAAAAGAGGAGACGGTTTGTTTTCAGAAAATCTGTTGGGGAAGAAAGAGACAAGGAAGAAATGGCAATTGGCAGAAATTCTGGGAAAAAATATGGGGGAAAAAGTGTCGAGGAAGAAAACTCGTGGAACCGTGAAAGTAAATCCCAGCAAAAATATAACAAAGGATACAGGGCCCTGAGCCACTTATTCGTTGACGCACTAACGAAGAAACACGACAGGCACCAGGTGGAGGTAACTAGCGGTAAACTCTGGATAAAAGAAGGCAAACTGAACACAACCCAGTCCTGCAGGAGAGTCAGCTGATCCTCAGTCCCAGTGACTCGTTCGCAAACCTTGAAGACAACCCCAGACACCAGTCTCTGATGCGGCTGCTGTGGCGACAGGAACTCCCCAATGACCTTCGTCAGAGTCTCAAAAGGAGGGAAGAAATCCCCAAGGATCTCCGACAAGACAGCGCAGAAGATCCTCACTTCCATGCTCTGCCCCTTCTTGATCCTATCAAAAACAGCAGAGGTCCTCTCGATGGTCCTCATCAGGGCCTCAGGCTCGATATCAGGGAGTGGCTGCTCCTCCTTGACGACAGCAGTTCTGTTGAACCTATCAGCAGCCTCGGAGTACATGCAAGTGAGCAGCAGCCTGAATGCAGGAATGGCAATGAGAGGGCAGCTGCTCTTCAGTCTCTCCAGGGAGACCTTCACAATCTGATCAGCAACCCTCCCAACAACACTCTTGGCAGCCACAAGCCTCTCCAGCCCCTGGAGAATAGTCCTGTTCATCGCTACAGAAACAGTCCCAGTTGACACGAGGCCGAGTGCCAGTTCCAGAACAGCTGGTGCCTCAGCCTCAGGTGGTGTGTCCTCAGCATGCTCCAGGAGGAAGAACACAAGAGCCCACATGGTCCTCTGGTGCTCCTCACTCTGGTCCTCAGTCCTTCCTCCACTCTCAATGTGTTTGTGGATGTACCTGATAGCCAGTGGATGAACGACGTTCATCGTCTCCTCGCAATTCGCCTGAACCGCACTCTGAAGAAGAAATAAAACCCCATGGAGTGTTGCTAGTCTCCCTGGTAAATAACTCGTCTTCAAGCCATTCTCAACAGCCCTCTTCACTTTCTCGAGGCTCTCGATGTCCAGTGGTGTCAGCACAGCTGCCGATTTGCAGACAGCAAAGACCAAAGTGCTGTGGAGAATGTCGTCATCAGTTGTGTGACACCTCTCCATTTCCGAACAAGTATCGAACATCCACTGGAACTGTCCCCTCTCCACGAAGAGGTCTGACGTCGAGATGATGCTCCTGACGACTTCGTTGAGGAGTCTCAAAGGTGTTCCTGAGGATGGCAGCAACCACCTCGTATACAGCTCTATCAGGAACCTGATGCAAGAGTCGAGATCGAGGCAGTCTGAGGCCAATGCCTGATGCCTTCTCTCCTTCAAAATGAGAACAGCAGCTGAGAGTTTGTCTTCGTGAAGGGAGCACAAGGCCCAGAGGTACGAAACTGATAACTGACTGTAAGATAATTCATCGAATCCAGTGGTCAGTCTCTCCCTCTCGATATTCCCTCTCGTGAACAAGTGCTCGAGGCCCAGGGAGTCAACTCCAGAATTGAGAAAGCTGTCTCTGGGAAGTCCAGAGTCCCTCGAGGACTGGTACTTCCAGGACAGCAGATCCTGGATGATGTAGAGTCTCTGCGATGCTGGTTTCTGGAGGGAGAGAGGGGGATCTCTGCAGTGGTGCATGGCAATGCTGTTGACAGGATTCCCAGGGTGAGGGAGGATTAGTGTTTGTGTCAGTAGTCTTGTGATTCCCTGGACTGCTAGACTCGTCGATTGGATGCTGCTCCCCTCTGATTCACCAGAATCATTCTCACTTGATGCTGCACTGAGGACCGACAGCAACGCCATCCAGATCTCCTCGAACTGGAGACGAGAGGTCCACCCCAGGAGGGTTATCCTGTAGACAAACTGTCGGAGGACGTCGATCTCCTGGAGGAAGTTGGATTCAGCGGTTGAGAGGAGCAGGGGGAAGTGGCAGAGAGTGGGGCCAGAGCCATCGATCATGCAGCCGTGCTTCCAGACCAGGGGAGGGGTCAGCACGAAGGAGTTCACCAGGTCTTGCCTGCTGATTATTATGATTAATGCTGTCACTGGGTTCCTGATGAACTTGGGGATGTTCAGGTCGTTGGTTCGAGAGGAGTGGTCGGTTTTTTCCAGCCATGAGATCAGCCCTGACATCTGCAGGCAGGCGAGGGCGTAGGGTCTCGTTGAGTCGGTCTTCAAGGCCTCGGCGAGGCCTCGATCGTCCACAGGGGGAAGACTGAAGTCTGATGACTCTTCTGGGGATATCCAGTACTCCAGGAGTTTAGTCAGGGTGTTGGAGGCCGAGCAGACCCAGGAGTAGTGGCACTCACTCCCAAAGATCTTGGAGACTCTCTCGTTCTTTAACAGCTCTGTGGCACACGTCAGCGAGAGCTCCAACTCGTGGGGCTTCAGGGACCTCCTGAACGTCATCCAGTGGATTATCTCCAAGCAGAGGACTGCAAATTTCGAGAGGTCTTCCTCCTCGAATCGTGGAGTGTTGCAGGCTATCCCTCGGTTGTTGAACTCCCTCAGGCTCTCGAGGTGGGCTGTCACAGCAGGAATCAGGGTGAAGACTCTCTCCCAGAAGATCTGGTCCTCCACCAGGGCTCGGAATTTCATCGAGTACTTGAGTGTCTTCGAGTTCTTGTCCTCTGTCATCCAGGGATCGTAGACTGCGTGGGGTTTTGGGAGGAGTTCGATGATGTTCCTAACGTGAATCAAGAGACATTGACGAGAGGATTGATACAGGGACGACAGACATTCTGAATTTTCTCCTGTCGACGACTGTTTGCTTTGAATCGAGAAGTCTGTACTTTTCACGAAAGCTGTTCTCCTCGTGTCCTCCTCGAGGCTCAGTCTTGTCCCCAGTTTGATGCACTCCACCAGGATCCTCAGGTCGAAGTTCTTGGACATGAGGATGTCATCGCAGTCCTCGAGCTCGAGATTACTGAGGAGTTCAGCTGCTTCTGATGAGTCTGGGGGATTGCTCGTTGAATTGCAACACTTGAGTTTCACCTGGGAGAGGTACCAGGCTTTGTCGAGGTGAATGTTCTGGACTGCGGAGGGATTGAAGGGTCTGCAGTGCTCCAGCTCCAGGGGGGAAATGTCGTAGAATCTCGTAGCCAGACTGTTGATCATTCCCACGAGTAATCCGTGCTTCTTGGCGAGCCTCGTGGACTGCAGGCTCTCCATCAGCTTCAGGAGATCCTCCTTGGGCAGTTGATTGAGAACCTCCTCCCCAGGGAGTGACAGAAGAAACTCCACTCTCTTCGCTGCTATTTTAGACGCTGTCCTCCCAAGAACCAGATGACTCAGGGATATGAACCTCGGGATAATCGTCAGAATGACAGCACCACTCTGGTCCTCGTGGGCACTCTCCAGGGCCCTCAACAATCTCTTCACAAATGAAGGTCTGGATAGGTCCAGACATCTGGCTGAAATCGCCTGGATGAGGAGTCCACTGGCCGCTGGGTTCCTGTGAACAGCAGCTGTCACCAGATCACGAACAGGGGGCTCGTTGGCCAGATTCATCGTCTCCTCGATGTGATTCATCACCAGCCACGTCAAGGACTCTGCGTCATTCATGTTCTCGCAGATGTGATCGCTGAATAAAATCGTCGCACACTGTCTCACAATTTTCGTATCAATATTCACGGTTTTTCCTTCTCTTTTGGGCGACAGGCTCCGACTTTTTCTGCCCAATGTCTTGGACCAGAAGCCCTCGCTGCTGTATCCCAAGAGGGTCATGAGGTATGTCCACTGGGTCGTCAATATTGGACAGCTCTTCATGGATATTTCAAGCATCAGGGAATTGAGTTTCTCGATTGGAATCAATTCCTCGTCGTTCAGCATCTGAATCGTGGCATTTGCCACTTTACAGTGGCTCCCAGACTCGAACATGTGGATGCACAATTGAAGAAAGAAAGCCAATTCCTGGAGGAGGTAAATCCCCTGTCTGTTGTGGAGAAGATTGTCCCGATGTTCAACAGAATTAAGGGTCAAACATATTTTGGAGGAAGCCAGGAAAATCACTCTGAACGCAAAAATCGCGAGGATTCTCTCTGGTGACAGTGAGCAGGACTCTACATTAGTTGCATTAAGGGGATCAGCAGTGTCGTAGATGGTGAAGGTGTCTGGTAGGTCCAGGGTGTGCACCAGCTCAGTCATGAAGACACTGAGCTCAGCCAGCCTCGACAGCATGGCTTCCTCCTTGGCGTAAGCAATCAGAGAAAGCAGAACGATGTTCACCATCCCCAGCCACCTCTCTAGCTTGATCCTGGACTCGTTGAGCCCCGGGGGAACAGTGAAGAGGATCTTCAAGAGGGGATCAACAGGCCTGAAGCAGCTCGGTGAGACAGTGGAGAAGAGTTTGATAACAGCAACTCCAGCTGTTTCCGATTCAATCCTGATTTTTCCAGAGGCCAGGGCAGGCAGAACGACGTCCATCGTCATTCTGGACCACTTTCTCCACTTCTCCTCGCCATCCTCATCGCTCCGACACTCAGAGAGACACTGGGCGAGGAGTTCGATCACTGGGTGATGCTCAACCAGTCGAAGGAGCATCGACATGAGGTACTCCCTGGTGGTGTCCAGTTCAGCCTTTTCTCCTGGTGTTTTCGATGCTGACGACCTCGCAAGAAAGATGTCCTCAATCACAGGGACCAGAGCTGGAATGCAGTGGGTCGTTGGGGGCTGCCCACTGGCCATCAATCCATCACACAACTTTATTATCTCCCTTATATCGATGATCATTTTGGAGTGAAATTTTTCGTACGACAGATGCACCAGAAATCCGAAGATCTTCGGGAGGAGCTGCTGCACCTGGGGGATCTGGGACTCCTCGATGAAGGGAAATTGTCCCAAGACAAAGTCAATGAAGGTCTTGTCAGTGTCCAGGAGGCAGTAGTTAACGTGAAACTGCACTAGCTGCGACAGCAGACTCAACACCTGGCACTGGCAGGAAACAGAGCTAGTTGTTGTGTACTGATTCAACGATTTTATCACCATTGTCTCGAATATCCTGATGAAGGACACGAAGAAGGCCTTCTGATTGCTGGTCCTCGCGAAGGACTTGAAGGCCAGCACCATCTTCCTGTCGGAGTCCCTTCGACTGAAGGAGGAAGTTGACGAGGACCTCGTGAGCTCGTTTTCATTGCTCCAGGAGTTGTTTCCAATCGACTTTATCACCTCAGCCATCTGTCTTCCAGGTTTCTGGAAGCAGCGATCGTACAAGCCTCTTCTCGAGTCCTCAGGGTTTTTTATTCTGTCGTCGGGGCTCCTGATGTCCTCCAGCTCGTCCCAACGAGCAGAGAGATTAGTCCCGAATAAGGATTTCAGTAATTGTCTGACACACTGAACAGTCTTCGTGGACGACAGCGCCAGGGTTGTCTCCAGGTAATGCAGCACTTCTTCAGCCATTTTCCTGGCCTCGAAGGTGCTTGCCACCTCCAGAATCTGAGACAGAGCCTGGAGGGTCGAGTCCAGGAGCCCCAGGTACATCTGACTGGCTTCAACATCCAGGGTTGACACGTAATTCACGTGAGCTGCCTTCAGGATCTCGTGGAGCCTCAGGTAATGAGGAAGACTGCTGAATCCACCAATGGGCTCCTTCGCCCTGAAGGAGTTCGTGAGGACATTCTCCTTCTTCTCCTTCGGTTTGTCCTGGTGAATCTTCTTCCTGGGCGAGAGGGAGGGAGTCGTTGGCAGCGAAGGGAGTCCAGATTTTCCACTGGAGGCCACCTGGATCCCATCGATCACGTGAACAAAGATGTTTATCAGCCTCATTATGTGCACGAACAGCAGCTCCAGGTGACGATTAATCTCCCTGTCCTCGAACAATGCCCACATCTTGGAGACGCTGTCACTCTTCTCGTTCAGATCGATTGTCTTCAGGTTTCTCAGGGAAATACCGGACATTAAATTCCCCGCGAGGATGATCATGTGCTTGTGGGTGAGGAGATCAAGACTCACTGGATCGGACGACAGCAGAGAGATTGTTAACGAGAGAAGTTGGGTCCCAGTGGGGGACAGGTGATCAGGACTCGAAGGGAAGTCGATGGATTCACTGGCGATGCTCCTGTTGCTGGCGTGGACCTTCGACGTGGGTTTTCTAACGAGTGTCTTGGCTTGACGACAGTCCCAGGCGTCTGGGTATAGAGTCGTTGGGTAGAACTCGCTGAGATCGCTCAGAGTCTCGAAGCACCCGTAGGACAAATATCTGGGGGGATAGGTGAAGAGCTTCTGGACGAGGAGACCGACGATGATCGACAGAGAGTCCTCAAAATTGTCTCGAGTGTTCTGTCTTCTGGTATCAGTGTAGAAGGAGAGAAAGGGATCGACGAGGCTGTTGACGAAGAACTTCTGGTCCAGCTGGTACCCCCTGGAGTCCAGGTTAATCGTGATGAAGGGGTTCAGGTACTGCTCGATGCACTGCGAAGTCCTCCTGAGGCACTCGTCCTCGTGAGGGGATTGATGGTACGACGTACTGATGAACTTGACGAAGGCTTTGGCAGCTGCGTTGCGAACCCTGGGGTCCTGGTCGCCCAGAAGTTTGACTAGAATTTGAGTGACGTCTGACTGGAAGGAGGAGGAAGTCGTCAGGTACTTTATCGTGATGAAGGGGAGATCACTCAGGACTTTTGACAGGTTCATCTTCACGAGGAAGTAGGGGTTGTCCGACAGGGGGAGCAGCTTGAAGAGGATCCGCAGGGAGTGGTGACTCTCCTCTGACTGGAGGAGTGATGTGAGGCAGGTGTCCAGGGACTGCAGAGCCTGACGAGAGGTCGTCGCTGATTCATCTGCCAGGGAATCTATCAGGAGATTTATCAAGTAATCTAAATCGATGATTCTTCCCTCGCCAGTCTGCTGAATCTCCTGCTCCAGGGAATTGTAGGACCCCCAATACTTCACGAAAACCGAATTCAGGAATAATCCTATGATCATGGCCACGTTTCCCCGCAGTTGGGGGTCTGAGTGCTTTGAGAATAGCAGAATGTCGGAAATCATCTGGGGATTTTTGCTGGAGTCTCTCGGGGATTTTTCCAACGTTTGGAGGAGAATGTTTGGGTAGTGCCTGATGATACCACAGATGCAGGTCAGTGCCAGGGACTTCACGGAGACTCGAAATAACTTATCTGGGATTAATTCGGTGGGCCTTCCTGCCAGCAGGAAGCACGAGGATAAATAACGACAGCAGAATTTCAAAGGCACGTCTGCATCTGATGCACTTCCGACGCTCAATCTGGATGTTTCTTCTTGGGGTTTTTCCTTCGTTGATGGTTGGGAACCTGAGGATGTTCTCTCGGGTTTATGGTCCTGAATCGATTCTTTTGGACTGATTAAATCCAATTTCACACCTCCAGGACCTGAAGAATGTGAAGTTTTGTTAATAGAAAGGAAATTTGGGGGAAAGTGGGGCGCCAAAATGAGAATAAGAGGAACATTAAATTATGGTTTTTTGTTCTGCTCTGCCCCTTTCCCCGTATACACTAAAAGAATAAATATTTATTCAAATAAGTGTTGTTTAAACGAGGAAAATGGCACGTTAAGGGGAGAATACTATGAGTTTTAAAAGTCGCGGGCGATTGGAGTGAGATTTCTCATGCATTCAAGATCGATTATGTGTCTAAAAACGAATAATTAGTGCAAAAAATTAATTGTTTATTGCTCGTTCGCTCCGCAGACGTTTAACGTGTTAAAAACAGTTCAGGGCCTCCAATTTTTGAGCTGCAGAGGTTTTTTTTCAATAACAATTACGAATTAGTTAATTTCGGTTTGTTTAATATAAAATTTGCCATTCATATAAAATAGGCAAAAAAATTATCTTTAAAATATTAAAAATAAATTCTCGATTATTTCAGAAACATGTTTTGGACTATTTTACATGAATGGTGCAATTTTTTATTAAAAAAACAAAAGTAGCTGTGTAGGAGTCGAATTTCAAAAAACTAATTCGTAATTGTTGTTACGTCGAATTTCAAAAAAACTAATTCGTAATTGTTGTTGCACACATTTTCAAAAATCTTGAAAAAGGCAAACCTCTGTAGCTCAAAAACTGGAGGTCCTGGACTATTTCAAACATTTTAAGCGTCTGCGGGGCAAAAGAACAATAAACAATCAATTTTTTTTCTCATAGTAGTCTCCCCTCAAAAATTACAGAAAAAGAAAATCTAGGACTGACCACTTGAGTCCAATAAAAAATGAATAATGACGATATTATAGCAATCTTGAATCTAAGTGACGAAATATTTCTTGATAAACTAGGCAGGCACCATCTCCCGAACGATCCACCGCTTGAGCCAGATATTTCGTCCCCATTCAAATTAAAATCAAGCATTCTTTCTCGGTAATTACAACACGTGCCTCATTCCCTCAACCCAGCTATCGCTAAATATAATTTTGTACCTACTATCAGCATCATTCCTCTCCCTCCCGATCTCCTCAGTCTCAGTCGAATCACTAGAGGACATTCTCAAGGTCCTCTGGAAGGAGCCGATCCTGCTGCCCCCAGAAATCCCACTCTTCGAGGTCAATTGCCCCACGAACTCCTCATTAGGGGAGCGCAGGAGCTGAGCCAGTGTCTCCAGTGCAGCATTGATCACGTTATGATCGGAGTGACACTGGACGTACCTCAAGCAGAGTTCGTAGACCTGAATGAGGCAGTCCAGTCTGTGGGCGTCTGTTTCGTGATCTGACTCCTGGTGCTGATCGACGTGGGGGAGCATTACCCTGATGCAGCCGAGGATGCCCACGACCAGGTGGAGATTCTCGTCGGTTCTGTTCACCGATATCATCGTGTCTATGAGGTGCCTGAGGGCGTAGAAGAGGAAAATCCTGGGCTTTCGGCAGTGCAGACACGTCGCAAGGATCATGTTGCCAGCGTTTCTCCTGAAAACAGCTTGGGGAGAGCTCAAATTGGGGTAGAAGGCCTTGAGCAGGGTCTTTGCGTCCTTGTCCGTCATGAAGGCCCCCAGACTCTTGAGGATCAAAGGGAGGGACTGGGCGAGGGTGTCGATTACTTCCTCCTCGGGCCTCTTGGCGATGGCCACGATGGAGGGAATCAAGTTGGAGATGTAGGCCTTGCCTTTTATGGGCCTTATGGTGTGACTGAGGAGACCGAAACGCTTCAGGGCTGCCCGGAGGGACCGCGAGCTGGCGTTCCTGTGGATCTCGTTGTACAACTCGAATTGGATCTTCAGGACGTTTCCGTCTGAGGTCGAGCGGATTATTCGGTTCAGACACTCGTCGGCGATCATCCGCACGTCGGATTCCTCGTCGTTGCAGAGGGAGAGGAGGGTTTTTATCGAGAGGCCCAGCACCTGTGCGAAGTTTTTCGTGGTTTTCACCCCGGGGGAGGTCATGCCGTTGACTATCGTCGTGCAACTGGCCATTTTCTCCGTCCGCCTGACAAAGGATTTTTGAAAATTCAAGCGAGTACTTCGTTTTTGGGAATAGAAGTGGATTCCAACGTCAAAAGCTCGTTTCTGCTCGTTTTTTACAGAAATAAATCGACATTTATGAAGATAGAAAACTAGGCTTATTCCGAAATCAATCTAAAAAAATTGATTACTTGTTCATCATCTCTAAACTGTTTCCTAGCTAAGCAAATTACCAACAGTAACAATTCCTAAAAATTTTCCCTGAGAGCCACTCATTACAGATCAACAAAAAAAAAATTATTATTGTTTCAGGAAATCAAGAATGATGAGATTAGTAGAAGATCATCAGAACAGAACCAGTCGTAAACTATGAAAACACCCACTACGAAGATGAATCAAGTGTCAATAAATCATAAAGAATTCAATTGTTGATTCGCCCTTCCCCCGCCCAATTAAAAATTGACTATTCGCTTTGCATTGTCTTAAAAAGTGTTTATTTACCTTCCAACTGGGTCCAGCCCACTCTGCCCCCCCTGCGCAGCATTCAAGCTCTCAATAGCCCTGAGAACACTAGCCACAGCAGCCATTATCACCAAAACCACCACTCCCGACCAACAAATTCCACTTTGTATCCCAATGTTATTATCTTGCCCCCGGGACTTCCAGAGCTGTCACTCCACCATCTCTCTAACCTCCAAGACAGCCCGACAAACAAAATACGTATCTCCCCTTGATCCGATCAATTAGCCCCTCATGCATAGATATTCCAAATTTTTATTTTTTTCCTCATTGAAGTAGTTTTGAAGAAAATTGCGAGCTAATAAAAAACATTTGCTAGTTAGTACTTTTTTTAAATAAATTTTTGGAAAATCACCTCTGAAAAAAAAGGCGTTATCCCCTCTATTTCATTATTTCCAAAAAATTTTATCACCAATCGATAGCAAATTGTTTGAAGATGTTTTTGCGAGTTGAGAAAAAATCGTCAATGCAATCCTATTATTGTGTAAATTAACAATTGCAATTTCAACTGAAAACCAGAGTTGATGACCAGAGTTTGTAACAGAGATGTCAGACAAAATATGAATGTTTTTTTTTGCTCAAATGAAAGAGCGGCTCGAAAAATGGCGTGTAGAAGTCTTTAAAGATGACAAATGTCTCTAAAGATGATGTCTGTTTTCAATTGAAAAGCGCAATTGTGACAACATTGTCCAGTGGGGTCTAGGAGTCTCCCCTGGTTCAAAACCATCTTTAGAGGCCCTAGCACGCCATTTCTCGACCCGCTCTTTCATTTGAGCTCAAAAAAACATTCATATCTTGTCTGACATCGCTGCTACAAACTCGGGCCTACAACTCGGGCCTTCAATTGAAGGCCCGAGTTGTAGACCCGAGTTTGTAGCAAAGATATCAGACAAGATATGAATGTTTTTTTGAGCTCAAACGAAAGAGCGGGTCGAGAAATGGCGTGCTAGGACCTCTAAAGATGGTGTTGAACCAGGGGAGACTCCTAGAACCCACTGGAAAATGTTGTCACAATTGCGCTTTTCAATTGAAAACAGACATCATCTTTAGAGAGATTTGTCATCTTTAAAGACTTCTGCACGCCATTTCTCGACCCGCTCTTTCATTTGAGCTCAAAAAAACATTCATATCTTGTCTGACATCGCTGCTACAAACTCGGGCCTACAACTCGGGCCTTCAATTGAAGGCCCGAGTTGTAGACCCGAGTTTGTAGCAAAGATATCAGACAAGATATGAATGTTTTTTTGAGCTCAAACGAAAGAGCGGGTCGAGAAATGGCGTGCTAGGACCTCTAAAGATGGTGTTGAACCAGGGGAGACTCCTAGAACCCACTGGAAAATGTTGTCACAATTGCGCTTTTCAATTGAAAACAGACATCATCTTTAGAGAGATTTGTCATCTTTAAAGACTTCTGCACGCCATTTCTCGACCCGCTCTTTCATTTGAGCTCAAAAAAACATTCATATCTTGTCTGACATCGCTGCTACAAACTCGGGCCTACAACTCGGGCCTTCAATTGAAGGCCCGAGTTGTAGACCCGAGTTTGTAGCAAAGATATCAGACAAGATATGAATGTTTTTTTGAGCTCAAACGAAAGAGCGGGTCGAGAAATGGCGTGCTAGGACCTCTAAAGATGGTGTTGAACCAGGGGAGACTCCTAGAACCCACTGGAAAATGTTGTCACAATTGCGCTTTTCAATTGAAAACAGACATCATCTTTAGAGAGATTTGTCATCTTTAAAGACTTCTGCACGCCATTTCTCGACCCGCTCTTTCATTTGAGCTCAAAAAAACATTCATATCTTGTCTGACATCGCTGCTACAAACTCGGGCCTACAACTCGGGCCTTCAATTGAAGGCCCGAGTTGTAGACCCGAGTTTGTAGCAAAGATGTCAGACAAGATATGAATGTTTTTTTGAGCTCAAATGAAAGAGCGGGTCGAGAAATGGCGTGCAGAAGTCTTTAAAGATGACAAATCTCTCTAAAGATGATGTCTGTTTTCAATTGAAAAGCGCAATTGTGACAACATTTTCCAGTGGGTTCTAGGAGTCTCCCCTGGTTCAACACCATCTTTAGAGGTCCTAGCACGCCATTTCTCGACCCGCTCTTTCGTTTGAGCTCAAAAAAACATTCATATCTTGTCTGATATCTTTGCTACAAACTCGGGTCTACAACTCTGGTTTTCAGTTGAAATTGGAATTGTTAATTTACACAATAATAGGAGTGCATAGACGATTTTTCCTTAACTCGCAAAAATCTTCAAATAATTTGCTACCGATTGGTGATAAATTTTTTTGGAAATAATGAAATAGGGGGGATAACGCCTTTTTTTCAGGGGTGATTTTTCAAAAATTTATTTTTAAAAAAGTACTAACTATCAAATGTTTTTTATTAACTCGCAATTTTCTTCAAAACTACTTCAATGAGGAAAAAAATAAAAATTTGGAATATCTATGCATGAGGGGCTAATTGATCGGATCTTCTCCCCTCCACTGCCCCAGCACAACGCACACTGTACACCTGCACCAACTGTACCAAACTCGTGTGTTATTCACAAGTCACCTCTCTGCCCTCCCATTGGTCGATTCCCCAAACTCGACGAGCGATTGATCCGCTTCGCAGCCCCACTCTCCCGCTCATGTGACCTTTCCCCATTAGCGCAAAACTCGCCAGAGGGGTCTATTATTCTCCCAGAAATCTCGTGGCAAAACAACAACAGACGTTCGAGTCTCTCGTGCAACAGTTCATAAAAAAACCCGTGAAAAATTGTTGAAACGATCTCCACACAAGTGTGAACACTCCAGTGATTGTGTTATTGTGAGCAATTGCCGATAGTTCCTCGCTCGACAAAATCCCGGACTATTTAATTCACTCGTGATATGTGAAAACATCCATTGGCTGATGAAAGTCATGGTCATCATGTCTAGAGATCGTGTACTGCCAAAGGGCCCCGACGACATATGACCCGTGCATAAACATCCACAACCGTATTTCTTCATTTCCCCGCATTGACACGTTCCCCACAATTTTTCGGCCACGACCAAAACAAAGATAGGCGTTATCCCCCACCCGCGGGCGCTACCATTTTATTTCTATCGGGCAGAAGAAGCAAAGGAAAAAAAACAAAACCGAGGGGTACGCGGAGGACCACAAAAACATTGGGGGTTTTTGTGGAACACGCGGTGCAGGAGGAAAACACTAGACCTCGGAGAGTGCATAGACGATTGAAATCGTTTGTCTCCCACGCGTCGATTGATATTACACGTGTAATCACAGCGGCACGTGTTGGCCGATTATTTTGAGATTGTCATAGAGCCGTTGGGAGCCACCATTTGTATTATTGACATTCGTGGGGCTTTGTTTACTCTTCTGGCGCACAAATTGTCGAGTGATGAGAGAGCCTTTGTTCGTGGATTGTGAGAATTTGTGATTTAACGAGTTTAATCGTAAATATTAATTAGATAAGTTGGTAAGTCGAGAGTGAATTCGGAGGATATTGGGGATATTGACGATGGGGGATATGAATTACTCGGATTATCTGCTCGAGTTTGGGAGCAGTGCGATGGACACTCTGGTGAAGCAGGAGCCTGCTCAGGGTCTGGAGATGAGCTCGTCGTCGGCTTCAGTGCCGATACCGGGGGGCCATCGGGGCTCGCGTGGTGTTTACGATCAATTTTCACCTTCTCCACTCGCTGTCCCCTCCGTCTGGGGGACCAGACCCGATCAGGACGACTCGCAGTTCAGGATTGATTCCGATCAGCTGGGGATGGGCTTCAAAATGGAGGATGACGATATCTTTCAGGTGGACAAGGCCGATTTGATTCAGGGGCCCACGTTAGCTGAGCTCAATGCCAATGACGATATTCTTCTGGGAGATCTCAATTTCGATGATCTGCTGCTGCCTGAGGATCGACTGCAGCCCCTCAGGACTGATGCCAACATCATGCAGACCAGTGGACCCCTGTTCAGCGGGGGACTCACCAACTTTGCACCCAGCAGCTTCCCACAATCGACTACTTTGTACAGGAATTGCCCGCCTTATGCTGCTAACTCGGGGTTCAACTTCAATGGGATTGGGCTGATTGATAATCTTGAGGCTGTCAGCCCACCTGCTTATCCCAGCCCCAGCACCAGCAATTTAGCAGGTTTGTGGGGTTTCGGGTGTGGGGGGAGGGGGGCTGGGGGTGAGTTTGGCGTTGTTATTCTGAGATAAAGTAGATAAGAGGGTGATGGGTATCTTCGCGATTTGGCTGGATAAGGCTTTGTTGGTGTGGAGAACAGGTGACTCTTTTGAGGGGCAACCGATTTTTTCAACAAATTTCCTGCCGAAAGTTATCGATATTTTTATACAATGAAGCACGTTAATCTCTAGGAGGCGATGATGAAGATCAATGTGCTTTTGGTTTAAAAATTACTAGTAACTTCGAGCAGGAAATTTGGGTGAAAATTTTGAGGAAATTCTGGCCTTCTGTTATCTCTTAAGGGGAACAGAATCCTGCTAATTTGCCAAATTTTTGAACAAATTTCCTGCCGAAAGTTATCGATATTTTTACAGATCGAAGGATATTAATCTCCAAGAGGTGATGATGAAGATCAATGTGCTTTTGGTTTAAAAATTACTAGTAACTTCGAGCAGGAAATTTGGTTGTAAATTTTGAGGAAATTCTGGCCTTCTGTTATCTCTTAAGGGGAACAGAATGCTGCTAATTTGCCAAATTTTTGAATACATTTCCTGCCGAAAGTTATAGATATTTTTACAGATCGAAGGATATTAATCTCCAAGAGGTGATGATGAAGATCAATGTGCATTGGGTTCGAAAAATGTTAATAACTTTGAGCAGGAAATTTGTTTAATAGTTTCGAGGAAACGGTGGCCTCCTGTTACCCCTTAAGGGGAGACTACTATGAGTTTTAAAAGTCGCGGGCTATTGGAGTGCCATTTCTCATACGTTGGAGATCGATTATACGTCTAAAAATGAATAATTAGTGCAAAAAAATTAATTGACCCCGAAGTTTATCTGATTTTCACTTCAGAACAAGCGAATCTAGGAGTGGATAAATATTTTTAAATCATCAGTAAACTCGTTGGCCCCTAAGAAAAATTTTCTCATATGATTGTGTGACCCTTACACTCTCAATAAACCCCTGAATTGAGTGCTGGGGAATATTCCGTTAGTTTCAGCTTGATATTTCCCTTCACCCCTCAACAATCACTTGCTTATCTACTTAATCCCAGCCCCCCGGAAAAAAATCGACTATTAACCGTTAACAGGCTCTTTGGATTCGTGTTACGATGTAGGTAGTTCAACCGCCAGTTCGTCGACGTCACCTCACCCCGTCGTGAGACCCACAACCCAGTCGACTCTCCACGAACTCCTCATGAGAAAAGCTGAGAATGCACCCACCAGTCCCCCCTGCAATCCGATGGACACGTCCTCGCCGATGGAGACTGGTGGCACACAGATAAAGTCCTCTAGGCTCTCCATGTCGGCTCCTACCCAGTCGATGGGGATGGAGCAGCTGTGGGCCAGACGAGAGCCACGTCAACATCTCTTGAGCACCAGTAGCATTGGAGTTGTCGAGGCTGGATCCACCAGCAGCCTGAGCACTGGTGGGGCACTCAGTCCAGATCCTCTGGGGCACATCGAGGGCATTGCACAGATCGATCCACTCAGTCATGATGAGTATGAGGACAGTGATGACGATAGTGATCATTATTATGACACTAGTGACAATGGTGAGTTGGCAATTAGAGAATAAAAAATTACGAAAGGAAATTTAAAAATTGTGGGGATAATTCGCCTCAAAAACAAATTATTTCAGGGGGAATTAAGAGAATTCTTTAGTATTGATATTTTTTGTCAATCAAAAAAATTATTATGACATTGGTGACAATGGTGAGTTGTCAATTGGAGAAGAGAAAATGACGAAAGGAAATTTCAAAATTGTGAGGATAATTCGCCTCAAAAAAAAATTATTTCAGGGGTAATAAAGAGGGAATTCTTTAATATTGATATTTTTTGTCAATAAAAAAAAATTATTATGACACTAGTGACAATGGTGAGTTGTCAATTGGAGAAGAGAAAATGACGAAAAGAAATTTAAAAATTGTGAAGAGAATTCGCCTCAAAAACAAATTATTTCAGGGAAAAATAACGAGGGAATTCTTTAGTATTGATATTTCTTATCAATAAAAAAAAATTATTGTGACACTGGTGGCAATGGTGAGTTGTCAATTAGAGAATAAAAAATGACGAAAAGAAATTTAAAAATTGTGAGGATAATTCGCCTCAAAAACAAATTATTTCAGGGGGAATTAAGAGAATTCTTTAGTATTGATATTTCTTATCAATAAAAAAAAATTATTGTGACACTGGTGGCAATGGTGAGTTGTCAATTAGAGAATAAAAAATGACGAAAAGAAATTTAAAAATTGTGAGGATAATTCGCCTCAAAAAAAAATTATTTCAGGGGTAATAAAGAGGGAATTCTTTAATATTGATATTTTTTGTCAATAAAAAAAAATTATTATGACACTAGTGACAATGGTGAGTTGTCAATTGGAGAAGAGAAAATGACGAAAAGAAATTTAAAAATTGTGAAGAGAATTCGCCTCAAAAACAAATTATTTCAGGGAAAAATAACGAGGGAATTCTTTAGTATTGATATTTCTTATCAATAAAAAAAAATTATTGTGACACTGGTGGCAATGGTGAGTTGTCAATTAGAGAATAAAAAATGACGAAAAGAAATTTAAAAATTGTGAGGATAATTCGCCTCAAAAACAAATTATTTCAGGGGGAATTAAGAGAATTCTTTAGTATTGATATTTCTTATCAATAAAAAAAAATTATTGTGACACTGGTGGCAATGGTGAGTTGTCAATTAGAGAATAAAAAATGACGAAAAGAAATTTAAAAATTGTGAGGATAATTCGCCTCAAAAAAAAATTATTTCAGGGGTAATAAAGAGGGAATTCTTTAATATTGATATTTTTTGTCAATAAAAAAAAATTATTATGACACTAGTGGCAATCGTGAGTTGTCAATTAGAGAAGAAAAAATGACGAAAGGAAATTTCAAAATTGTGAGGATAATTCGTTTCAAAAACAAATTATTTCAGAGGAAATAAAGAGAATTCTTTAATATTGATATTTCTTATCAATAAAAAAAATTATTATGACACTATCGTTATTATGACACTAGTGACAATGGTGAGTTGTCAATTAGAGAAGAAAAAATGACAAAAGGAAATTTAACAATTGTGAGGATAATTCGCCTCAAAAACAAATTATTTCAGAGGAAAATAACGAGGGAATTCTTTAGTATTGATATTTCTTATAATTAAAAAAAATCATCTTTCATGAGTCGACTTGGAATTGCACAAAAAAAAAATAATGTTAGGAGGAAAAATCAAAGTACCTCCAAAATAGCAAATAAAAATTTCAACAAAATCTTTTATTTTTCAATGTTTCCCCAAATTAGTAGTTTTATTATAATTCATCATAAAAGTGGAAAAATTGCAGAGACAATTTCTTCTAATTCTTAAAAATATCTTCAATATTTTTAGAAAGTGGAGGAAGTGACGGTGAGGATCAAGGCAGTATTAAAGGAAGCAGTGAGGGACGTGAGCCAAAACACAGCAAGAAGGAGAAGTATTTCTGGCAGTACAACGTACAAGCTAAAGGACCCAAAGGCCAAAGACTCGTGGCACGTGCTCGTCTGGAGGATCCACATGTCCTCAACCAGGCAACCGATCCAGTTTTCAGTCCTCACTGTGCACTCAGGGGCATAAAGCACAGTGGCAAAGCCAGAAAGGGCGATGGAAACGATCTCACACCGAACCCGAGGAAATTGTACAGCATTGGAAGGGAGTTGGATAAGTTGGCTCGTGTTATCAATGACATGACACCAGTTTCAGAGTTGCCATTCACTGCTAGACCAAAAACAAGGAAGGAGAAGAATAAATTGGCTTCCAGGGCTTGTAGATTGAAGAAGAAGGCACAACATGAGGCGAACAAAATTAAATTGCATGGGTTGGAGCAAGAACACAGTCAGTATTTTCTTGTGGGAATCATTATTATTAATTATCGTGATTATTCTTAATTATTATCAATTATTATCAATGATTTTCTCATTTCATTGATGATTAATAATTATTATCAATTATTATTTGAGCTCTTATTGGATTTATAATTAATAGTTAATGAATTATTAATCAGTGATGAATCAATTGATATTTTTGTCGTTAATTTAACTGAAAAAATTGTTATTTTGATTTTTAGAACGTCTCATTCACGGAATATCCCAGATAAAACACACCCTGGCGACGAAACTGACAGAACCAAATCCAGAGCATCAGGATGAACTCTCTCGACAAATGGATAAAATCGTTAAATCAGCAACAAGTGAGTATCACCCTTGAAATATTAACAATGAAAACAATATATTTTATAATATTTTCGTCTTTTTGTGAAGAGGGTAATCCTTTTGTTTCAGAAGTACGCATTGCAAGCCACTCAACCGAATTCGTCAATAAAGTCCTCGACAAGGTGAAATCAGGGGTTCCCGATGGTGGCATTGATGACTTTTAGTACAGAGTTGTCAAACTGTTTCTTACACATCGAGTGTGTAATTCAGAGAACGAAAGACAGTCTAACCGTGCACACAGCGATACATATATTTTCATGGTCCTCGTTAATGAATCAAGAGTTTAATTTTTTTAATTATTGTTTATCGTCCATTTGGAGTATAAAATTATCGTCGTTAGGGGAAAGTCAATTTGAATTTTTGTTATTACGAACGAAAGGGGAAAATTTGAAATTATGTTTGTTTTTCATTTTTTTTAAGGGGAGACTGCTACGAGTTTTGAAAGTCCTGGGCTGTTGGAGTGAGATTTCTCATACGTTGAAGATCAATCATGTTTTAAAACGAAGAATGAGGGCAAAAAAATGATTGTCAATTTTTTTTCATGGAAACTACAATTATTTCCCATTGATATTTTAATTGATACATGTTTTTTAGTTATCAACATTTAAAAAATCCATTTAGCCCCACTCTCCTCTATATAATTGATCTTTCACGTATGAGAGATCTCACTCCCACGACTTTAAAGAGTCACGATAGTCTCCCTTCAACGCACTCTGGGTGATATTTCAAAAGTTATTGCCTTAGTTTAGAGTAGAATTTCCTCGAGTGAAGGATAGTTGTCTGACATGGTCTACCTCAAAAAGTAACGCTATACCTGCAGAAAAAAAAACAAACCTTTGAGAGAGTATAGAGTATACATTATCTGAAAATATTATATAACGATATATACTATATTTTACGTCTAGATATTAGGCTGCTGGAACAGCTCTGGTAGCTGAAAGCGCTTCTATGATAAGAGATTATCGTGTAATGATACATGAACATAACTTTTGATTTTTCAATATATTTTATTAATATATTCCATAGATATTATGTATTACGCCTACTGTTAATCAAATCGGATGAAATGGGACGCAAAGAATTTATCTTTGTACTGTAATTTTCACTGTGAAAATAGAATCCTCGAATTTTATGTCAATTGAACATTGCCTAGGATGATTTTTTTACGATAATGCGGGAAGAATAAAAAAAAACAGGGGGACGAGTATACGAGTATACTTTTTGAAAGAAAAGTAGTTTTTTATGACACGGATTTTCGCTCGTCGCAATGGCATCGGCTTCAGGCGTTTTTTCATTTTTAATATGTGAACATTTTTCATCGCCTATTACCGATACAGTGGATTTTTACGTTTATGTGCCAGATTATTTTAAGGATAAGTCAACAGTTGATTCGTTACTTTTATTTTGTATCTTACCTTACGTTTTATAATCTATTTTTCCACGAACGGTTTATACTTGTTAAGAAGGTGTTTTTTTTTCGTTTGGTTTTTATGAAAAACAGGTACAAGTTGTAGTTTGATACTCTAAATTTGTAGGATATTTTGTCGATGTAAATAGATGTGATTTTTTTAAGTTTACGAGAGTTTTTTCTTTCCTTTTTTTTCAGTAATTTACCTTCAAGGTTTTGATCACGAACGAGAAACACGCAAATTTGAACAGAAAACAGAATTGAATACAAAATTACCGATGAAATGAAATTATGGAACCTTAGAGGTATTATTGTATTTTATTCACATTATATGCATAATAAATGTTCTATCACGTAACATGAGTGTAAAGGAATTATACATTGTCTGTACAAGGCTATTGTATGCGTAATAAAAGTGCAGAACTACAATGTTGAGTAAAATATTATTTATATTATCATTCAAAATAATACAAGGATTTACTAAAATTGCAAACAAAAATCACTTTGACTTTGTGCATTAGTATTTAATCGTCTCATTCTTACAACTTATTCTATTGACTCGATAAAATGGCACGAGGGCCTTTACCTGTAAAAAACAATCACAAAGTACCTGACGAATCTACAAAAGGGAATAAATAAAATGCATGTTTTCAACATCTGCTGGTGACGTAGTTGCGCGACTAGATTAAACCGAGTAAATCCACTTCATCCAAACAATTAAACATCAATTAATCGAGTAACAAATCACGTTAAGATCTAAATAGGCAAATTTTTATGTACACGTCTCAAAGCTATTCCTTATATACAAAATAATTCGAAGTAATCCGGGCGAATAAGCTTTAAAAATCCTCTCAATTGAGTGAAATCCCCTGGATCCAAGAGCTCAAGTCACTCGTCTCCTCGCAGTCAATGCTCAACGCCTGCTTTCCGCTTGTCCTCGAGTCTAGGAGGCTCTGTGCAGCAGTGCGACCAGTCAAATACGCCCCATGAACAGTACTGTAGAACGAGTGCGTGTGTTCGCCGCAAAGGCAATGAGAATTTTCCACTCATTGACTGGGACCCACAGCCATGGCAGAGTACATAAAGAAATGCGTAATAAAACTGCAGAATTGCAATTTTGAGTAAAATATTTATATTATTCAAAATAATACAAGGATTTACTAAAATTGCAAACAAAAATCACTTTGACTTTGTGCATTAGTATTTAATCGTCTCATTCTTACAACTTATTCTATTGACTCGATAAAATGGCACGAGGGCCTTTACCTGTAAAAAACAATCACAAAGTACCTGACGAATCTACAAAAGGGAATAAATAAAATGCATGTTTTCAACATCTGTTAGTGACGTAGTTGCGCGACTAGATTAAACCGAGGAAATCCACTTCATCCAAACAATTAAACATCAATTAATCGAGTAACAAATCACGTTAAGATCTAAATAGGCAAATTTTTATGTACACGTCTCAAAGCTATTCCTTATATACAAAATAATTCGAAGTAATCCGGGCGAATAAGCTTTAAAAATCCTCTCAATTGAGTGAAATCCCCTGGATCCAAGAGCTCAAGTCACTCGTCTCCTCGCAGTCAATGCTCAACGCCTGCTTTCCGCTTGTCCTCGAGTCTAGGAGACTCTGTGCAGCAGTGCGATCAGTCAAATACGCCCCATGAACAGTACTGTAGAACGAGTGCGTGTGTTCGCCGCAAAGGCAATGAGAATTTTCCACTCATTGACTGGGACCCACAGCCATGGCAGAGTACATAAAGAAATGCGTAATAAAACTGCAGAATTGCAATTTTGAGTAAAATATTTATATTATTCAAAATAATACAAGGATTTACTAAAATTGCAAACAAAAATCCCTTTGTCTTTGTGCATTAGTATTTAATCGTCTCATTCTTACAACTTATTCTATTGACTCGATAAAATGGCACGAGGGCCTTTACCTGTAAAAAACAATCACAAAGTACCTGATGAATCTACAAAAGGGAATAAATAAAATGCATGTTTTCAACATCTGTTGGTGACGTAGTTGCGCGACTAGATTAAACCGAGTAAATCCACTTCATCCAAACAATTAAACATCAATTAATCGAGTAACAAATCACGTTAAGATCTAAATAGGCAAATTTTTATGTACACGTCTCAAAGCTATTCCTTATATACAAAATAATTCGAAGTAATCCGGGCGAATAAGCTTTAAAAATCCTCTCAATTGAGTGAAATCCCCTGGATCCAAGAGCTCAAGTCACTCGTCTCCTCGCAGTCAATGCTCAACGCCTGCTTTCCGCTTGTCCTCGAGTCTAGGAGGCTCTGTGCAGCGGTGCGACCAGTCAAATACGCCCCATGAACAGTACTGTAGAACGACGAATGCGTGTGTTCTCCAGCGAAGGCAATGAGTATCTTCTTCCTCTCCTGAGGCGAGTAAATCGGCTCTGCCAGTGCCTCAATATCCAGTTGACTGGCACCAACAGCCATGGCAGTGTAAGACCCCCTCGTGTACTCCTGCGAATGCCAGGACGTGCAGATGCACCCCTTAGGCGCCGGCACAAACGGATCATTCAGGAACTTCCTCAGAATCATCGTGCAGACATCAGCAACCTCAGTCGTGCTCAACGTCTCCATGTACTCCGCCTCCTTCCCACTGATCCACCCCAGCAACAGCGTGTCCGACAATTTGGTGAAGGAGTATATCTTCCTGTGCCAGGTTTTGCTCATGTCCTGGCGCTCCTCCTCAGACAGCCCTCGATCGTCCCACAGCAGCATGACCTCTGAGATGTCAGGATTGAGGAATGGCCTCTGGTACTCCAGAAATATTTTATCTACAGTCCCAAACATCAGTCTCCCAGTGGCCTCCACCTTGTAATCCGGCAATGGTGGCTCGAATAAATCCCTGATCCTGTGCTTCAGCACCCCCAGGGGGAGGGTGCATAGGACCTGCTCAGCCAGAATCTTCTTTCCGTTCTCGCACGTTATCTCTATGCAGTTGTTGTTGTAAGTACAGTTTGTTTGGCTCTCACTGGGGGTCTCCTGCCACCTGATCTTCTCCACCACGTGACGGAGGAGGATCTTGTCCTTGGGAATGTGCTTGGCAATGGGCCCCAGGATCGCGCTGTATCCCCCGGGGAGGCTGATGTTGCCACCCTGGAGCTCTGCGTACGACCCCATCTCCAGTAAATCGACGTCCTCCATGCTATCACAGCCAGTTATGCAGGTTTCTCTCTTCAGGAGGCAGTCGAATAACAGTTGGCGAATGGGGCGTTTGTCCTCGGGTAGCGACGAGAGGTAGAGTTCGGTTTCCAGGGCTACGTGGGCACCGACACTGGCGATACCGTCGGGGGGGTTGTAGGCACTGAGAAAGTACTCCTCACATCGTCGGAGGAAGCAGACGTAGGCCTCGTATATCTCCTGGAGGACGGGGAAGGGCAGCTGCTTGCCGTCCTCGGTGGCTGCCACCACTTTGTGGGGCTTTGGACATCTCACTATGTTTATTAGACCGTTCGCCATCGCCAGCTCGAAGATCGGATTCCCCAGGACTCCGTGGATCCAGTTGGCGCCCAGTTCGACTTTTTCGCCACCTGGAACAGTCGGTAGATCAGCGATGGGGTGGGAGTGCTTGGATTTAGGGGCCTTGACGCATTGCAGCTGTTGTCTTTGGGGGATTGAATGGCCAGTGCATTCAAAATACTGATGCATCGAAAGTATTCGAGGGTAGGGACGAAGCGATCACGATTTTTTGGGGGAAATGCAATAGGGCGGTAGCATTTCAATCATTTTCTCTGCGTTTTCTCACTTCCAGCTGAAATATCTGGATGTAAGTACACTCAGAGAGAAACAAACACGTTGTCAAACAAATATTGTTTGGGCCAGCAAAATCGCTAGTTGGAAATTGCCAAGAACGAATTTGTTTGGTTCGAATTGGAAAGTCTCAAACATGAATAATTGTTCTTCTTTCGAGAGAAACGAAATATTTGGCTCAAGAGGCGGATAATTCACACCAGACGGTGCCTTTTCAGGATCAAAATATCTCATACAGAGGAAAATTTATCAACAAATATTTTATCCCTAAGTTACAAAATTGCTATCATATCGTTATTATTGTTTCATTTAAGGGTTCATTTGTTGTCTGTGATTATTAGACAGCCGGAACGAAAAACTACTATCCCTTGCTTTGCATAAAACGAAGATTTTTCGGGAGCAAAATACGTATGGGAGTGCTAGAAATGACATTTCTTGCGTGTACAGAGAATGCAATTTTTTTTCAACTACTAAATCTATTTATTTATTTTTAACGGAATTCGTCGCAAGAGACTTGCGACTGGCCATCGCCCGAGGGCCTTCAGCCTGGTATTTACAAGTTACATATGTACAATGTGTAAATCGCAGAAAATAAGCGAAAAGATAATAGGTAATTCAATATTCAATTGTTTGTTAGCATTATATGCTTAAGATGGAAAAATAAAATGTTTGACATTACTAAATCTATTTTTGCGACAAAAATTTTTCATTCCGGCGCACTTTCTGCACGTTTGGCACAAAAAATCCTTTTTTGATCATTTTCAAAAAACTATTTGCTTGGCACAAGTAAGACTTGTTTCAGAGCTTTGTCGTTTCTCTCAGTGTATTTTATGAGACAAGGGGAAGAGAACAAAATGTAAAAACCCGAGTGTACATCTGGAGCAAATAAATTGAATTAATATTCGGGGGTCCGAGTAGAGCAGAAATACCTGAAGGTTGAAATTCTGTTGGAATTATCGTTCACCTTGTAATAAAATGGAAAATAACCAATGGATTTAATGAAGTTGCAAACAAAAATCACTTTTCTTGTGTGTCTGATTAGTATTCAATCATTTCATTCTCCCAATTTATCCCATTGACTTGATAAAGTGGCGCAGAAGAGCCTTTACCTGTGAAAACACTCACAAAGTGCCTGATAAATCTACAAAAAAAGTAAATAAAATGCCTTCTTCATCAACATCTGTTGGCGACCCAGTTTGACCAGATCAAATCAACTAAATCGACTCCATTGAAACAATTAAACTCCAATTAATCGAGCAACAAATCACGTTTTCCATGCCCATGCCTCAAAGCTATCTCCCTATACAAAACAATTCGAAATAATTCCCCTGAATAGGCGCCAAAAACAGAACTGTGCCTCAAAAATCTGAAGTAAACTAGTCTGAATGTCATTCAAGAATTGGAGACACCTCTGACAAAAATGTTCTGATATCTTTTTCCCATAGGACACGTCGGGATCATGAAAACGAGGTTAATCAGTCTCACCAAATTCAGTAGCGACTATTCGTCCCCCAATGCGACCCCTCGCCTCCAGGATAACGAAATCATTCTCGTTGTTCTTGAGGAAATGATTAGCCGCCGATAGACCAGCCATTCCACCTCCAATAATGCATATTTTGCAGGGATATCGGTCATCCACCGATTCACTAGTGGATGCCGCCATGTTCATGTCATCACACGCGCTCGCAACTGTCAACTAACAACACTTCTCGTATTTTATCGGTTTTTTTTTACTTCGAATGGGTTCAGTGATGGATGCGACGATTTATCGCCGAGATCGTCTCGCCGTGACGAAAGTAGTTTAGTTTCGAGGGGCTTCAGTTGTCTTTTTGGATGATCTCGGGGGGAATGCGAGTGAAAATTCTCGGGTAATCGGGGGATTTTGTGATTGCGTATATTCGGGAACAGCTGTTTACCACGAGGTTATGTGTATCCTGCCGTCATGACTAGAGTCAACAACAAACAAGAGACAATGAGTGATGATGATGAGTGCATTGTTGAGGGGCATCAGCCTGGGGGCCCCGGGAAGAGGCACATCAGGTTCAGGGGGGATGGCACGCCCTCCAGGAGCGCGGAGGACAGGGTCCAGGGGCTGGACCCTCAGGAGAATCGTCCAGAGGCGGCAGGGGGACCTGAGATACCTCCGAAACCTGGTAATTACATAAACTCTACTATTTTTGAGCGATGACTCCTCTGGGGATTCTGTTATTGGGGCTCGGAATTGTTTTGCAGGCGTGTCAATCTTCGAATTCGTCAAGACTGAGCTCACGAGGGGGTACCAATTGGAGCATGACGAGGAGAGGTTCTCAGCGAGGAGAGAGAAAATTTATTCCTTCATGAAGATTCCTAGGGAGGTCGAGAAATTTATGTCTTATGGATTTTTTCAGGTAATTGTCAGGGACTTTCGGGGGTGGAGTGCATTTATTGGAGGGACATGGATTTTTTTTATTGTTGAGAGCTCGAGAGGGGCTGAGGCAATTTCAGCGATTTTTTATGAATTTTTGAGGGGCTTTTGGGGGCTTTAAAGTGAGATTTGATTGATCCCAGTTGCTTTGTTTGATCAGGAGATATTCGCAATTTGAGAAGATCCATTTCCTCACCCTCTCCCACACTGGAATGTTGAAAAATTTTGTCTGAAATTTCCGGTAGTTTTTGGAATTTTCGTCGGGTTAAGTTACTACTGAAATTTCAAGGAATTGCGTCATTGAAAGTTCAGAATTTCGTGGAGAAGTCAAAGAGAACTGTCAATTTTAGTTCCATTTTTCCAAATAGAACTGGAATAGAAATAAATAGAAAAAAAACAGAAAATTTTGGTAAATATATTCTTGAATTTTTAGGAAAGTGACATTGAATGCGATTTAGAGGGAAAAAATCCTGAAATTTCAGATTTCGCTGAAAATTTAATGTAATTGGCCACTGAATATTCATATTAGATTGGAAATTCAAATAAATTAAGGAATTCTCGTCTTTATGCTGCTTAAAATTCTGGGATTTTACTGAATTTTCAGTGAAACCTGAAATTCATGATTTTTTCCCCTAAATCGCATTCAGTCTCACTGTCCTGAAACTTAGTAGTCAACTGTCCATGAAATTTCATTTTTTCAGTGTGAGAAAAATAATTATTTTTGCCAAATATCCATTTACTTGAGAGAATTCTTAATTTTTTTCAATATCGTATTTCTCCAGTCAAATCATTTTCAGGCGATTCTCGTTAGGTTTCAATTACGACAATTATATTGCTCTAGAAGACGATCATGTTAGTCATGACCTTAAGTGAACTCCTTCGATAATTATAAACATCAAAAAATTAATTGAAATTCTTCCCTGTAGAAAATAAGAAATTAAAAAAAAATGAATAATCAATGGACGAGTTCACTCAAGGTCATTGCAACATAGTCATGCTCTAGAATGACTCGATGAGAGAACAACGGATTTGAAAAAAAATGCAAGTGTAGAATAAACTTACTTTAGGAGAAAGAAAAAGTTTTTCTTTCTCATTTCGAAGATATTTTCTCAGACTTCAGAATGAGAGCCGATTCATTCAAATCGTACAATCCGGGCAACAGATATTGATAAATGAAGAAAATCTATTTCGTCATCTGCTAATGAACTACATTACTTTTGTCTAATTGCAGTGTGCAGATTCATTTTTATTTGTCTATACTTTTTTACCATTGCGATTTCTGATGGCTCTGTGGGCAATCATCAGTCGACCCCTCAAGCATTGTTTGAGGTGAATAAAGCAGAGAATTCATTCAATTCCCCTGATGACACATTTTAATCTGCAATGAAGTTAATTGTCATTCTAGGGGAAAGAAAGGTGCGAGAAAAAAGGAAGAACCTTTTCTGCGCCCAGCTGAGGTCTGTGATCTACTGAAAGGAGTTGTTGTGGTGGGCTGTTGGGCAGCAACGAGCAAAGTCGACACGTCGATGATGTATCATTTGGTCAAGAGTCAGTCGGTTATAAAACTGTACATTTTTTATAACATACTGGAGGTCGGGGATCGATTGTTCAGTGCCTTTGGGCAGGACACTATTGACGCTTTACTGTGGACCGCCACTGAACCCAGGTCAAGATCACAGTCCAGGCATCGGCAGCATCTGGGGACATTTCCCCACTTGCTATTTGCGTTGACCTATGTCTGTATCCTTTTTCCATGCGTTTAAAAAAAAATATTTCTCAACTTTCAGGAGAAAAATCTTGAAATTTCAGAATTGACATGAAATTTCTGAAACATTTAATTACATTACAATTAATTTTACATGTAATTCTTGAACTATTTGATCTTTAATTCAATTTAAATTCCCAATATTGAAAATTCAAATTGCCAACGGTGAAAAAAATGCGTTTTTTGAAGTGAATTATCATTTGTAATTATTTTTCTTGACGTTTTCATTCAGTACTGCACAGCATTCTGGTGCTGTTCCAAGCCACAACTCTCAACGTGGCTATAAACAGCAGCAATAAAGCTCTGTTAACAATTATGATGTCGAATAATGTAAGTTATCGAATTAATTGCATCAATAAATTGATTCCCAGTTGATGATAAATATCAGAAATGATTGAATTATTCAATGCTTTCAGTTTGTAGAATTAAAAGGCTCCGTCTTCAAGAAATTCGACAAGAATAATTTATTTCAACTAGCCTGTGCCGACGTAAGAGAGAGATTTCACCTGACGATGCTCCTCCTCGCTGTGAGTCTTCAAACGATGAAAGAATATGCGTGGAAAGCTGATCGCCTAGCTGTTCTCCTTCCTGATTGTATACTCCTAATTGTTGCTGAAATTCTTGTTGATTGGGTAATATTTTCCAGAACAATTAAATTTACGTTTCGAGGGATTCGAGGGAAAAATGTCAAGAGTTTATCGTTGAGAATTTACTCAACAAAATGTTGAGATGAATGAACAATTGAAAATACATTTAATTTTACTTGTGAGGAAGTTGAATTCGTCACATCTTGATAAAGCTCATCATAAATCCTCAATAAAAAATGATTTTAGAGTGAATTATCACAGCTTCAACCTTCAAAAGTTTTTTGACATTCTTTCCCAGAATTGATATTTTTTAAATTAACAGTCAATTAACAGTAAATTAACAGTTAAAAAACGTATTCAATTCATATTAAGAAGAAAAAAAATTTTTCCAGAACAATTAAATTTACGTTTCAAGGGATTCGAGGGAAAAATGTCAAGAGTTTATCGGTGAGAATTTACCCAACGAAATGTTGAGATGAATGAACAATTGAAAATACATTTAATCCTCAATAAAAAATGATTTTAGAGTGAATTATCACAGCTTCAACCTTCAAAAGTTTTTTGACATTCTTTCCCAGAATTGATATTTTTTAAATTAACAGTCAATTAACAGTAAATTAACAGTTAAAAAACGTATTCAATTCATATTAAGAAGAAAAAAAATTTTTCCAGAACAATTAAATTTACGTTTCAAGGGATTCGAGGGAAAAATGTCAAGAGTTTATCGGTGAGAATTTACCCAACGAAATGTTGAGATGAATGAACAATTGAAAATACATTTAATCCTCAATAAAAAATGATTTTAGAGTGAATTATCACAGCTTCAACCTTCAAAAGTTTTTTGACATTCTTTCCCAGAATTGATATTTTTTAAATTAACAGTCAATTAACAGTAAATTAACACTTAAAAAACGTATTCAATTCATATTAAGAAGAAAACAATTCTTCATATCTCGATAAATACGGCAAAATCATCGTAACCAGTAATTCGAGAAGAAAATGCACTGAATGCAAAGTTATAATCATCATTTGGCTACTGAATTCACCTCCACGCTCTCAACAAACAATTTTCTATGCACCCCAGGTGAAACACGCCTTCATCACGCGCTTCAACGAGCTCCGCTCCACGGTATACCGAGACTACACAGTGAGTTTAGCCTACGACATGGCCCAGACCCGCCAGGAGACGGCGTTTTCCGACCCCTCAGACCTCGTGGCACGTCGAATGGGCTTCATTCCCCTGCCCCTCAGCGTAGCCATCGGCAAGGTCCTCTGCACAACCCTCACCCCATCAGCCAAGCCCGCGAACCTTCTCCTCTTCTTCCTCGGGTACTTGATCCTCGTGGCCCTGAGGGTCCTCAACAGCCTCATCATCCTGGGAAAGGCCTGCGACCTGATCACCTCTCACACCAGCAAGAACAACGTCAACCCTACGAAATCAACTCCCCAGAGGATTCAGAGGTCCACCAGCGTTGTGGACCAGAAAGACCCCAATTGTGCAATGGCAATGTTTTCAAACTCAGCTGTCAGTCTCAATAACGTATGTCTGAACGAGGCCCTGTTGAATAACGATAAAGCACAATCTCATTCTGAGGAATTTTCCACTAAACATGTGGTCAGAGCTGAGAGCGAGCCTCTCCTCGCTCAATGACACGACTTCAAGTCTTACGTAATTATTACGTAGCCAATTTTTTTTTTATTTAAATGATCGTGTACATACGCTGTACATAATGACGTTGAATAAGGGGTTTTGATATTTCTCCGTGGGAAGAAATCATTGTGATTGTGCTGTAGAGTTTTAGAGTCACCTGATTTATATATATTTGCGGTGTTTTTGTGGCAGAGGAGCGATGCAGCGGTGCAGTGCCTGTTATTTTTTCGTTCTATTTTTTCATGCCGCGAGAATGTATGATTTTTGCTTTGGCATATTAATAGGCGGGGTGGGGTAAAATGAGCAGTTTTTGATTTTTCCATTTTTTTATGAAGAGAATATTTGTTTCTGGTTGTAATGAGTCGGTCTGGACTGATCTCAATCGACAAATTTGCTTATGAGTTATGAGTATCTTGTATAAATTGGGAAATGCTTGTTTTATCTTCCCTTCGCCTGCAACTCTTTATTTTTTAATGGGACAGTTCAAATTATGTTGCTAATGTAAGCTAAGAGAAATTTTTGTTATTGAATTAATAAAATGGTAATAAAACAATGCAATGTATAATTTTTGGGTGGGGTAAAACGAACAGGTTTCAATTTTTCAATTTTTTTATGAGGAGAATATTTCTTTCTGTTTATAACGAGTCGAGGTTGATCTCAATTGACAAATTTGTTTATGAGTGATAAATATTTTGAATAAATTGGAAAATGTTTGTTTTATCTTCCCTTCGCCTACAACTCTTTATTTTTTAATGGGATAGTTCAAATTATGTTGCTAATGTAATCTAAGAGAAATTTTTATTATTGAATTAATAAAATGGTAATAAAACTATGCAATGTATAATTTTTACTTTGTTATTAATAGGCGGGGGTGGGGTAAAACGAAGAGTTTTCAATTTTTCCATTTTTTTTATGAAGAGAATATTTCTTTTTGGTTATAACGAGTCTCGATTGATCTCAATCGACAAATTTGTTCATGAGTTACGAATATTTTGAATCAATTGGAAAATGTTTGTTTTATCTTTCCTTCGCCTACAACTCTTTATTTTTTAATGGGATAGTTCAAATTATGTCGCTAATGGAATCTAAGAGGAATTTTTATTATTGAGGAAACTTTAACATAAACTTTTCTGTACCAAAAACGAAAATGATAATAAAAAAATGCTATGGTCTTCATACTTTTTCCAATTTTTTTTTTACAAAGAGATCACTCCTTTCTGTTAATTAATGAGTCGACACTGATATTAATTGATCGATTTATTCACGAATTATGAATGTTTCGAATGAATTAAAAAACGTTCGTTTTATCTTCCTTTCACCTACAGCTCTATTTTTTAATGGCATAATTCAAATTTCATCGCTAATGTAATCTAAATGAAATTTTTATTGTCCAATAATTCGTAAATGTAGTTTTCTCTATAAAAAATCACAACGATAGTGAAAAACAGCAATCGTCTTCAAACGTTTTTCGATCTATTTTTTTAACATCGATGAATTTGTTTATGAATTATGAATGCTTCGAATGAATTAAAAAACGTTCGTTTTATCTTCCTTTCACCTACAGCTCTATTTTTTAATGGCATAATTCAAATTTCATCGCTAGTGTAATCTAAATGAAATTTTTATTGTCGAATAATTCGTAAATGCAGAGTTCTCCATTAAAAAGAACAACGATAATGAAAAACAGCAATCGTCTTCAAACTTTTTTCGATATATTTTTTTAACATCGATGAATTTGTTTATGAATTATGAATGCTTCGAATGAATTAAAAAACGTTCGTTTTATCTTCCTTTCCCCTACAACTCTATTTTTTAAAAGCATAATTCAAATTTCATCGCTAGTGTAATCTAAATGAAATTTTTATTGTCGAATAATTCGTGAATGTAGTTTTCTCTATAAAAAATCACAACGATAATGAAAAACAGCAATCGTCTTCAAACTTTTTTCGATATTTTTTTTTAACATCGATGAATTTGTTTATGAATTATGAATGCTTCGAATGAATTAAAAAACGTTCGTTTTATCTTCCTTTCACCTACAGCTCTATTTTTTAAAAGCATAATTCAAATTTCATCGCTAGTGTAATCTAAATAAAAATTTTATTGTCGAATAATTCGTAAATGCAGATTTCTCCATTAAAAACAACAACGATAATGAAAAACAGCAATCGCCTTTCTTGTTTTTTTTCTTTTGAAAATTGATGTCAATCGATAAATTTGTTTATGAATTACAAACGCTTCGAAAGAATTAAAAACCGTTCCTTTTATCTTCCTTTCCCCTACAACTCTTCATTTTCTACTGTGACAATTCAAATTACTTTGCGAATCTAACTAACCGAGATTTTAATTATTGAATAAAATGTAGAATAACACAGCTCTGTTGAAACCAAAAATACCGAAAAAAATTGAATAAAAATGGAGCAAATTGTCATTCCCCTTCCCTCGATTGCCGAAACAACGACAGCATGGCATTATTGCCTCAGGTGTAAAGAAGGAGAAAGTGAAATGAGATTATGAATTTGAAAACTCCGAGCCAACTTGAGATAGGTACCTGACATATGGCAGACCAGTGACTTGGCGGTACACCAAAGGGGACCTGAAGGACGACTATAAACATGGCCGCCCACTAGTTCGTGGGGAGAACTAGACATTTGAATTTCCTCGATTTGCACTGGGGACTGAAGGACCAGGAGCACTGACAGGTCACAGATAAGGTAATTGCCCAGTGCAGCTCCAATTTTCCCCGCTAATTACAGATACTGTGGTGTAATCCTTGATTTCGTGACGAATTTGGGGTGATTGCTTACTAATTAACAGAGACCCTTGACTTAACCCTTCGAACTCAGCTGTCAATATTGCTCTATTTCATCGCAAACATCTGCCTTTTGTTTATTTTCATCACGACAAGACCCGAGTCTTCCAAACTCATCGATAAACTCCTGATTAGACGATTGCTGACAATCTTCTCTTTTGTTTCGATCTCAATGTTCGTTTGGCGTAACAGACGCTCGTGTGTTTGTTTCGTAACAATACACATCCGCACAAATGTCAAAGAGTCACGTGATGCTGCCGCAGGGGCTTCCCAGTGCCTGTTTATTACTGGACTGTACACAATATCTCGAAGAGGCCGGATATTTAGAGAATAATACTCGATATATTGCAGAGTTCTGGTTGTGGCTGATGTAATACCTGGCAAAACACTCAAAAACACTTTTCTTTTGGTGAAGATGGAGTCGTTCCTGGCCCTGTTCGACACTGGGGAACCCAAGGGCAAGAGGAGGGAGTCCTGGGGAAAGAACGACTGCGAGACTCGGGGGAATGACGAGGACAATGAGGAGAGCTTGCCTCCAGAGCCCGAGCAGGGGAATATTGAGTATAAGTTGAAGCTGGTTAATCCGTCTTCGCAGAGGTTTGAACACCTGGTGACTCAGATGAAGTGGAGACTCAGGGAGGGACATGGAGAAGCTATTTATCAAATTGGTGAATTTTTAGGTGTTTTTTTAGAGATATTTAGGGTTTCAGTTTTGTGAAGAGTGATGAAATGACGTGAGTCATCTTGAAATTGGATACTGCTTGGATTCTCCTTCTGATTACAAGGGGTTCAGAGAAAACAAGTCTTTGTGGAATTAATATCTCAAGTTGCAGTAGTTCAAGCCAAATCTTCACTTGGTTTTTGAGAAATATCTTCGGTTCTGTTGATTTTTTTTTTAGTTAAATTTCCCGTGATTACACTTTTTGGAAATTGTCATCATATTATAGTTGCACTGAAATTTCAAGGGATTGAGTTATTAAAAGTTCAAAAGTTTAAGGGAAATGAGTGAAAACGTTAAATTTCAGTTCATTTATTTCACGAAAATTGATAAAAATGAGGGAAATTCAGGTAAATTTGTTCTTGGATTTTCAATGAGTAAAATTTAGAGTCATTTGGTACTGTAACTTCACGTTCTCATTGACAATTCAAGTAAGTTTGGGAATTCTCTTCTTCCCACTGCTAAAGAATGTTGAATTCCCTTGAATTTTCAGTGAAATCTGACATTTCTGATTTGTTTTCTAATAGTGTAACTCTCGTTTCACTCCAGAGTAAAGTTCCTGAGGAGATTTTCATTCTTCGATCCCAAAATACAGAAAAAAATCTAAAATCGCGATGAAGTTTATTATTCTCGTTTCGCAGCGTTGACTTCAAATCAGATCTAGTCTTTCAATAATACATTTGAATTTAATGCAGATGGACGAATTCCTCTAATGACCTTTTTTATAGCCCCGATTTTGCTCTACAAAAAAATAATTTACGAAAATTTCACACTTCCCCTCCAATTCCAAAGAGATTTACCAAAAACTGAACCTTTTTGTTGCTTTCGAAACAAAAAGCGTTTGTTGGAAGCCTTGTATCTGACCGATTTTTCGATTTCCTAATTTTGATTGCAAATGGTCTACAATGGTATGAAGCGTGAAGAAACTATAGTTTTAAGGTCATGTCCGTATGTATGACTAATTTTTAGAAAATTCAACATAAATACACTGAAATTTGTAGTAAAAAATCTGAAATTTTGGCTCATTGTAGATATCATTGATTCCCTCAGATATAACAACAAGTTTAAATTTAGTTTTGTCTCAATATCTCAAAAACTGCACCGATTTCAATTTTCCTTCTTTCAAAATACTCGTCTCTATGGGCTCTACCTAGATCAATCAAAATATTTATACCCATTTATACAAAATTTTCGTGATATGTCCATTTTTTCGATTTTAAAATTTTTTCAGTCTTGTTAAAAATCAAATTCATTTCATTCGGTTATAATGAATACTCTAGGAGTGGAGGACAATGGGAGACTAGCAGGCCTGTCCCGAGACGAGATGAAAGCCTCCCTGAAGACCCTGAGGGACATGGCATCCCGCCTGGGAGCGACCACCCGAGTGCTTCGCGAGCGAATAGCAAATGCAAAATCAAAAAAGAAAATCCACGACGACAACTCCACAGAGAGGCGAGTGGCCGAGGTAATGGTAACAAAACTACGCAAGGGTGACCGAGACGATCAGGACAGCGTGATCGATCTTCGATTAGCAGTGGTGGGGTCCCAGGACGCTGGTAAATCCACTCTCCTGGGTGTTCTGACACAAGGGGAGCTGGACAATGGCCGGGGGAGGGCACGACTGAACATGCTTCGTCACCTCCACGAGATTAGGACTGGAAGAACGTCTTCAATATCCCACGAGATCATCGGGTTTGACACTGAGGGTCACGTCCTCAATTACGCCGAGATGACGACTGCTGAGGAGATCTGTGAGCATGCATCGAAGGTCGTGACGTTCATTGATCTTGCTGGGCACAGGAAGTACTTGAGGACAACACTGCTGGGGCTCATGGGGTAATTATAGTGAAGTCTCTTAAATTATAGTGAATTTGGTAATGGAGAGAAATTAAGTTTTATTAATTACGAAACTTGAGATGAGGGATTAGTGAATTTAGGCAGTTGTAGTGTCATTAATTGGTAAAATTTGGGAGAATATTAAATATGACAAGATTATCCACTACTTTAGCAATGGGTGATGCCATTCAAATCATTTGTAATTAGTTTAATAATCAATAATATCCTTAAGACAATTTTTCATTAGAAATACTTTCAAAATCATTATTATTGCACATATTTTATCGTTTTTATTACATTTTTGAATGATTGTTTTATGAGAAAATCCCTAATTTATTTCATTCAATCCATCGTTTATTGATTATTACGAAACTTGAGACGAGGAATTAGTGAATTGAGGCAGTTATAGTATCATTAATTTGTAGAATCTCGGAGAATATGAAATATGACAAGATTATCCACTACTTTAGCAATGGGTGATGCCATTCAAATCATTTGTAATTAATTTAATAATCAATAATATCCTTAAGACAATTTTTGATCAGTAATACTTTCAAAATCATTATTATTGCACATATCTTTTCATTTTTATTACATTTTTGAATGATTGTTTTATCAGAGAATCCCTAATTTGTTTCATCCAATCCATCGTTTATTGATTATTACGAAACTTGAGACGAGGAATTAGTGAATTGAGGCAGTTATAGTATCATTAATTTGTAGAATCTCGGAGAATATGAAATATGACAAGATTATCCACTACTTTAGCAATGGGTGATGCCATTCAAATCATTTGTAATTAGTTTAATAATCAATAATATCCTTAAGACAATTTTTCATTAGAAATACTTTCAAAATCATTATTATTGTACATATTTTATCGTTTTTATTACATTTTTGAATGATTGTTTTATGAGAAAATCCCTAATTTGTTTCATTCAATCCATCGTTTATTGATTATTACGAAACTTGAGACGAGGAATTAGTGAATTGAGGCAGTTATAGTATCATTAATTTGTAGAATCTCGGAGAATATGAAATATGACAAGATTATCCACTACTTTAGCAATGGGTGATGTCATTCAAATCATTTGTAATTAGTTTAATAATCAATAATATCCTTAAGACAATTTTTCATTAGTAATACTTTCAAAATCATTATTATTGCACGTATTTTATCGTTTTCATTACATTTTTGATTGATTGTTTTATCAGAGAACCTCTAATTTGTTTCATTTAATCCATCGTTTACTCGAGAGAAAATATATTCGAAATCGTCAAAAGGACAATTGGACAAATCATTTTACATCCAAAATATGAATTTAAATTGATACCTCTTCAATGACAAAGACTAAAAAAGGACTAGTAATTGTATTTCCCAAGAAATGTAAAAGAACTGTTATTCGGAACAGGTACTCTCCCCACCACGTGATGCTGGTGGTGGCACCTCCCCTGAACGAAGCTGCTCAGGAGCACATGGCCCTCTGCCTGGCGCTGCACCTCCCCTTCTTCATTGTGATTACCAAGACAGATCTGGGATTGTGCGACCATCGGCAGACACTGATGCAGCTGGAGAGCGCTGTGAGGGCTCAGGGCTGCGACAAGGAGCTCGTCCTTTGTAGCAACAACAAGGTTCTCCCTCAGGACTACGAGTCGAGTATTATCCCTGTGTTTACGGTGAGTTCTGTGACTGGAGCGGGACTGGAGGAGCTCACGAATTTCATCAGGGACCTCTCACCCTCGGAGTCCTCCAACGACGATGCTGAACCTGGCACCTGTCTCTTTCAAATCGACGAGACGTTCAGGGTGGCAGGACTCAGTGAACCTGTGCTCGGGGGGCTGCTGGTCAAGGGGGCCATCGCACCTGGGGCCAGACTCCTCGTGGGACCCCTCCCTGATGGCGAGTTCAGCCCTGTCAAGGTGGTGAGTCTGCACAGGAACAAGGCGCCTTGCTGCGTCGTCAGGGCCTCCCAGAGTGCTAGTCTCACTCTGGCGCCGAGCACCAATCGAGAGGGGCTTCCTCACTTCAGGCCGGGGATGGTCCTCGTCAGCGTGGGCGATCATCCACATGCTACTGTTTTCTTCCAGGTATTTTCTCTCGCACACTTTTTGGAAAATTTTTATCGTATGGGGGAACAGGCCAATTGCTGGACGGTTAAAGTCGCTCTACTCTTCGGCCGGGCTACGCTGTACTTTTGGATATTTTCAGTTTTTTAATTTTTCAACTAAATTGCATGGAAAACATTGAAAAAATTCATACCCAGTCAGTATTATCTAAATTAAATTTCGCAATATATTGATATTTTTTCAAACAGGAGGGAATCCTATAAATGAATAATAAAACTTGTTTGCAAAACGGTGGATTATTTTTTATGAGGTGTCAAAAAAATTCTTGATTTTTTCACATCTAATGAAAAAAAAACAGATTTTAATCTTTGATTACAATGGAAATATTGATTTTCACGTAAGACACTGGGTTAAATCCTGATTTTTTAACATTTCTTCCTTGAAAAACCAAAACGATAATTAAATTGAGAAAAAAAATAGAATTCCGAATCTAATCGAGTTTTCTGCAATTTTTTTGCAATTTTCAATAATCTCTGCATTTACTTTGCATTTACTTCAATCGTTGTAATAATCTTAGGATCTAAAATTAAAGAGTCACCTAATTGTGTAGCAGACAGAAATTATTTGATGTGAAAATAACATAACAAAGAATAATTAAATTAGGAGATAGTTGAATGCTCTATAGATAAAATTATTTAAGACGATGGGTAGGTAAAAATACTTTGACATCATTAAAAAAAGCAGCACTATTTAAAATGTTTTATTCTCATTCAGGCAACAGTTCTGGTTGTTTACCACGCCACAGCAATCTACCCCGGCTTCCAAGCGACAGTCCACGTGGGAAACGTCCGACAAACCTGCGTAATAGAGGGAATAATGGACATAAAGGAGGAGGGCCTACAGACAAACGAGACCGCATCAGTTCTCTTCAGGTTCGTCAGTCACCCGGAGTACCTCCACGTTGGTATGAGACTGCTCTTCAGGGAGGGGAGGGCCAAGGGGATCGGTAAAATCACTCAGGTGTTTCCACTGATAGGCTCTGAAAACAGCCCCCAGTGAATCAACATTTCGTTGCATTCAGATTGAAATTATTTTCTCTCAAAGTTTTTCGTCTTGACATGTTGGAAAATAACACTTGATTTAGCGTTTCAATCTCTGAAGCTCGGTAATGTGAAGTATTGAAGCGTTTAATTGTTGGGGAGTACTTTAACATCGACACAACATTTCCTCCACAAAATGAGCTATTGCACAGGACTAAAACCTTAAGGGGAGACTAACATGAGTTTTTACAGTCGAGGGCTATTGGAATGCGATTATTCATACATTGAAGATCGATTATATGTCTGAAAATGAATAATTAGCGTAAAAAAATTAATTGTTCAAAATGTTAAAAATAGTTTAGGGCCTTCAACTTTAGAGCAACGGACGTTCTTTTTCTCCAAAATTAAAAAAAAAATGTGTGCAATAACAATTACGAACTACTTTTTTGACATTCGACTCCTATACAAGTGGTTTCATTTTTTTTCAATGAAAAATTGCACAATTCATGTAAAACAGCCCAAAAGTGTTTCTGAAAAAATTAAAAATATGTTTTGAATATTTTAAGGATAATTTTTTTGCCTATTTTCTATGAATGGCGCAAATTTTTACATTAAACAAAAGGAAAGTAGTTGTGTACGAGTCGAATTTCGAAAAACTAATTCTTAATCGTTATTGTACACATTTTTTCAAAAATTTCAACACTGAGTGTGTGCGGAGAAAACGAACAATAAACAATTAATTTTTTTTGCAGTAATTATTCATTTTTAGACATATACAATCGATCTTCAATGCATTAGAAATCTCACTCCAATCGTCTGCGACTTTTAAAACTCATACAGTAGTCTCCCCACAACTTTTTTACACATTTGATGTTCTGAATTGAGATTGTGATGGAAAATTAAATTAAAGAATGACAAAAAAAAGTTAAAAATAGTAATAAATATAAAAAAATTAATGTGATGGCTAATTTTGCAGACAAAATGCTGTGTCAGTATTAAAATAAACCAAGCTGCTGTGGGCTGTACTACCCTCCACAATTAACCAGTTGTGATGTGATATAAGAGATAATTTGAGATAAGTGACAGAGGTAAATGTATATAATACAGGTTGTACTTATAGTGTAATTGCATACAATGTATCGATGTGGTATGAAGGATATTTACCACGAGACTCTCGGAATGTTTTCTGTTTGGAACAAGAATATCGTTGATATTTTTGTATAAAGAAATATTACTTGGGTCAAACGAATGCTTTAGCTACAGAACTAATTTATGTACCAAAAAGTGTAATAAATCTTCAGTTTCCATTTAATTGAATTCATGATCAGGCTTTCGTTCGGGGACTAGAGAGAGTGGGGGAGGGGGTGCTTTTGATTGATTTCAGTCGGTGGCGGATCGACTTTGTGTGTCAGGCCAGACTTGTTGCTCTATCCAGTCGAGGAAACTGAAGACTGAGGTGTAGCCGGCTGGGGTGATGCTGCCGCAGCTCTTCCCGAATGATGTGACACCGATGACAGTGTCACCCTGGGTATCTATCATCAGGAGGGGGCCTCCGCTGTCGCCATTGCAGGAGTCTGCTCTTCTTGTTTTGTCTCCGTCGACTGCGCAGATTACAGTTTCGTCGAGACCTCGGGGAATTTGACGGACCCTTCGGTAGGACTCGGAGCATTCAGAAGGTGCCACTAGACTGTTGGAGATTATTTATATTTAATAGCGATTCAAACTCTGATCATTCAGATCTCATTGAATTCAGATCTGATTCATTGAGTAAATTATTTCGGTGGTGAGGGATTTTAGGAGAAAAGTTTTCCCAAAACATCATGGCGTACGTCGTTGCGGAAAACAAAATTTTTAATTTAACCATTTAATTAAAATTAAATTTAAATTTGAAAAATTTAAATTTAAATTGAATTGCCCGAAAAAAAAACTATTCTTCATTGATAATGTCTTACGTGAATTCTAATTTTGACGAGAGTAAAAAATTAATCCATTAAATTATCTACAATTATTTTCTTGAACAATAGTTGTTCGTTGCAGTAGGGCATTCTGTACATTCGGGGTACCCAGAAACATAAATTATTTATCACAAAAGTTTGGCATTGACGATAATTCTCGTACTTGGCATAAAATTTTTATTAATTTTTATCATTTTAATCTTCTAGCTAATCTGGAAAACTTCATTTTCTCATGAGACGATGTATTATTTTTCCACTTCTGAATGAATTATATTTTTCAGAATATATTTCTCCATCTCAACATCCGTTTAGAATAAATTTAAGATTTTCATTTTCAAAATTTACGTTAAGTTTACACGACTTTAACCGCACGATAAAGAAACATCAATGTTATCACTTACTTCAGACTTGGTGTTCTCAGCAATCTATCCGTCACCTCTCCATTGGCACCAGTGTGTCCCCACCCAGCGACATAAATCGAGACATTAACATTTATCTGAATCTCACTGATCGGTTTCGAGAGGAGACAGATCGGTTTAACCGTTCTCGCCCACTTGAACGGATCCGTCAGCTTGAGTAGTGCAATATCATTGTAAATTTGACTGCGTTTGTACTTGGGATGTGGGATAGCGCTGTCCACCCTGATATACTGTGCACCCTCAGCCTTGGGGTCGAGCGATTCAGCTCCAACTCGCACCTATCGACATTGGTTACGCATTCACATTTATCTGGAGTGATTGGGCTGGCGGACAAACGATGCATTATAACATCTTCATTACCAGAACTGGGACACGACTGTCCTGATTGTCGACGCAGTGCGCCGCTGTGAGAACATAATTCGGGGCGATTATTGCCCCACCGCAGTCGTACAAAATAGCTCTCTCTGGTAATTTGGTTTTGTCGATGTACCCCAGGGCTACCATGTACGGAAATTGGTCGGAGGTCGCCTCGATACCGGCCACGATGTTGGGGGTTGTTATGGGGAGAACGTCATTCGTGTATTGTTGGCAAGCTATAAATCAGAGGTCATCAGGGGGAGACTACTATGAGTTTTAAAAGTCGTGGGTTATCGGAGTGAGACTTTTCATACGTTGAAGATCAATTATATAGATCTGAAAACGAATAATTGGTGCAAAAAAAATTTTTTTACTGTTCGTTTGCACGAAAACTGTTAAAGTGCCAAAAACTGGGCCTCCAATTTTTGAGCTACGAAGGATTTTTCAAAATTTCAAAATTTTCGGTATCAATGCACAAATTAATAATTCGGACGCACACGGATTCACTTTGTTCCTGAAAGAAAAAAGGATTTTTTTCAAGCTATCCTTTAGATTTTTTTCCCGCATTCCAGTAGTTTTTTTTACTCTCGAGACCATTCAATTGATGAACAGAAACGGTGAGACCCATTTTCTTATCATTATAATTCAGTAGTGAAGTGGTAAAACGGTACAAGTCAGTTTTGAGTATTGACCAGTTTTCAAGGAATATCTCACAACCTAAGGGAGGTACGAAAATTGTTGTCATGATCTTTTTTGTAGAGCCAACTGAGTGCTACAATAAATGTAATTACGAAAATTTCGCTATCTCCCTTAGATTCGGAAATATTCCTCAAAAACTCAACTGGGGGATAAGTCAACTCAAACCGGTTTACCACTTCGCTGCTGAATTAATTCCGGCAGAAGCGTGCAGGATAATTACTGGGAGTATTGTGACAGGTGTTTTCGTCAATTAACTATTGCGGAAAAAAATCCAGATTGAAGAAAACAGTAAATCAAATAGTGGAGCGATAACGCTTCTACGAATTCATATTAATCTAAATTTCCTAGAAGTTTGTGACTACTTGTAAAAGCGAAGAATTGTTCGCTCTTTGATAATGACCTAAAATTTTTTTAGATTCTTCTTTTATTTTGATTGCGAAGAATGCGGATATTTTGAGGAATAAAAAGGGTCAACGCTGGACTCTGAGTTATTTTCGTCAAAAGAATTCCTCCGTTTGTTATCAGGAACTGATCAACGGTTTTTAACGGCTTCAAATGATCAATCGATCTTTCCTCCCCTCCCATGCGACATTGACGCTCATTTACAACTCCCGGATGCGATTTTCTCGACGATCTCGAAGTAAAAATAAGATGAGAAACGACAGAAGTAATTAGAACCACATAAAATCAAGGACTCGACTCCCACACGTATGTGAAAAATCGTATAGAAATTTTCTATATGGATTTCGTACAGAAATTCTGTAGGATTTCCGTATATGATATTCGGATATTTCTATACGAATTATTTCTATACATAAATTTTAACATAAATTTTAATTTCCATACGAAATGTTTCTATACATGTCGCAGTGAGTCGCATAGGATCAAATCTACAGAAATCGTATAGAAATAATGTGTAAAAAAAATATCCGTGCATGCACGAAAAAATTTAATAGAAAAACCTATCGAATTCGTTGGAAAATTCAATTGAATTTCTATTAAACTTTCTATTAGTTTGTGGCTGATTCTATTGACATGTTCAATAGAAATCGGCCAAAAACTAATAGAACAGTTCAATAGAAATTCAATAGAATTTTCTAACGAATTCGATAGGTTTTTCTATTAAATTTTTTCGTCCGTGTGTAGAAATATCCGAATATCATATACGAAAATCCAACAGAAATTCTATACGCAATCCATACAGAAAATTTTTATACGATTTTTTCATACGTGCATTCGTGGAATAAAATAGTTATTTATCGTTACTCCGATGGGTCTTCTATTCTATTTCTGTTCGTGGCGATGTAGAGAGAGAGAGAGGAGGAAAAAAACACGTGTAGGAAGAAAAAAATGGGGGGAGTACCTAAATCGGCGGGTCGAATTCCAATTTTTTCCTGAAGTTTAGTGGGACAACAGACGATTTCATCTAATCCATCCCACCCACATCTTGCGGACTCGGCATGTCTTCTGCCCTGGCGAACCTCCACTATCCGAGGGGGGCATTCTTTCAGTAGTTTGCACTCTCCGGGCTCTCCGGTTTCCATGCGACAGTGGTTTTCTATTCGGCATAAATGAGCGAAATTGATCATTTTTAATTGAGGAAAAATGTGGAAAAGCGAAATTTGGGGTAATTACATGTGACTCTCAGGGGATTAGACATTTGTTCTAGTTGGTATTGACATTAGTTTACGCTCCAGATCGTGTTTATCAATTGGCGGGAGTGGGTGACCCGCGGGTTATCGGGGAAAATGTTTATTTGGATGAAGTAATAACGGAATGAGTGAATTTGGAAAATTCTGTGGAACGAGATAAGTCAATTTGATGAATAGGCTGCTGTTTTACGAATATATATTTTTTTATTATAGCACGAAACTTTATAAGTTTATTCAGCTTATCAATATAAAAGAAAGAGTTATAATAGAAGAAAAGAATATGCAAAATAAAAAAAGGGATTCATATAAATTCGTGGATAGATGCTGTTTACATTGGTGTCATACCTGGGTTTTATACTCTTATTTTACTTTCGTTTAGACGATTCGTGATGATTTGTGTGCATTTGAGGGAGGAAATTATTCCTTTGTATTATGAATATCTTTGGATCTGAGGGCGATAGGAAAATTCTTTATAAGAACATTTTTGTGGAGTGGAATGAGAGCTACAAAAAAGGTCCTCAGAAGATTTTTGCCATCTCCCCTCATTTTCAAGATTCTTCGCAGAACCTAACGTCTGAATTCAATCGTTTCGTTTCTCATCAACTGGGATTCAGATTCAATTTTTTATGAATATCTCTGGATCTAATAGAGATAAGAGAATTCTTCGTAAAAACATTTTTGTAGAGCGGAATGAGAGCTACAAAAAAGGTCCTCAGAAGATTTTTGCCATCTCCCCTCATTTTCAAGATTCTTCGCAGAAACTAACGTCTGAATTCAATCGTTTCGTTTCTCATCAACTGGGATTCAGATTCAATTTTTTATGAATATCTCTGGATCTAATAGAGATAGGAGAATTCTTCTCAAGACCTTTTCTGCAGCTCTTTTGACGCTCCACAAAAAAGGTCCTTACAAGAATTCCGCTATCTTCCTTCAATCCCGAGGAATTCCCAAAAAACCAAAGCCTAAGTGGAATTCAATTATCTCGTGCAACCACTTCACTACTGAATTGATTAACATTCAATTATCTCTGAATACACAATTCAACCATATTTGAATGGCAATAGCTCGGCATTGCGTTATCAAGGTGGGCTGGAGCTGCCGTTCACAAAACAGATAATAAATAGTCATATCCCCTGGCATTTCAATGCCAAACAAGCCATCAATTCTCGAAATCATTGGGAAGCAATTCCAATATCCGGCTCGGACTCGCGCAATCCCACATATTGCAGAAGGGGAATTACCGTCATCTGCCTTTGCGGCACTGGAGCACAGACATCCCAACCACAGCAGCCACAAGCACACGTGAAGTCGGGCGACCATAATTTTTGTCGAGGAAAAACGATCACTCTATCAACTTTATTTTTGAAATTTCAAATTACGTTCAACGCTCGATGTTCCGACACTGAGTAAATTCCCAGTCGCGTCGCGGGTTTTATTTAAATCGGCAGGAGGCGATGTGTGCTCGAGCTTCACTCACACATTCTTGAAAACTTTCCTCGTATCTACTTTTGACATAAAAACGTGCGGACGGGAGACCTCGTAACTTGTTTACACACAATGACACATGACTGGGCGATATTTGCATGTCTCGCTTGATTAGAATTTTTTTCAATAATTTTGAGTTTGGGAATTAGATATGTCGAAAAGATTCGAAAAAACTCAACAAAGTTTTTTATGTTAAAATTATAGACAGAGTTGTCTTCTTCTTCTGGATAACAATGTTTATCGAATGCACTTTGATATTTTTGAGTACCTCTCAAACTTTTTAATGTAGCCCTCTATTTTTATTTTTATTGTTGAAGTCTGTTCACAGGTGAATTAGAAATTTGAAAATCGTGTATGAAGGAAAATTTGTTTGATTCATTTTCTTAAAGCTGTTGAAATTAATTATTATCCTTAATTACCAGAAGAATTGGCTCAAATTTATCTCGAACATGAAGAAGTGAGTGAACAGCCTCAATTCCCAAGTGGAATATAAAGTGAGCTTTTGTATTTATTGTATTAACAAGCGCCGACTTCAGTTTTTTCCAATGATTTTTAACTTATAGACGGAATTATCTTCTTCTTTTTGATAAAAATGTTTGTCGAATGCACTTTGACATTTTTGAATACCTTTCAAACTTTTTAACGTAGCCCTCTATTTTTATTTCTATTGTTTAAGTCTTCTAACGGGTCAATTATAAATTTAAAAATCGTGTGGAAAAGAAAATTTATTTCAGTTCCTCAAAGCTGTTGAAATTAATTTTTCTTGATCACCAGAAAAATTGGCTCCAATTTTTCTCGAACATGAAGAAGCGAATGAACATCCTCAATTCCCAAGCGGAATATAAAATGAGCTTTTGCATTTGCTGCTTTAAAAAGCGTCGACTTCCGGTTTTTTCCAATGATTTTCAATTGAAGTCGCAATTGTATTGACCGCAAGGTCGAAGTAGCCTCTCCTAATACAGACTTCAATTTTTATTTCTCAATTTTTTAATGCAAATGTCAGCTCAATTTCCCTAATTTTTAAATTTGTATTCTTAAAAAAAAAACAATATTCATTCGAATTCCGCGTATCGTTTATTATCTATTCTGAGTAGTCGATAAGGCAGATCTCGATCCTCGAGTGCATCTCGAGAATCTCGAGGAATCGTTTCGTTGAACTCTCACTCCAAGTATATATCGATCCAAGTACGCTGAGGTGTCCAGAAACTAATCTCAGCTGCTTCCGCATAAAATCCCGAATAATCACCCCCAAAAAATGATATTTCCGTGACAATCAAGCAATCCCAAGTATTGTTTACATCCACCAGTCACGCATTTGTTGGAGCGAGGCGAAATCCACCCAGACGCACAACAAAAACAAAGGGAACGGCTGGTTATTGGTGAGTTTCAGTCGGCCATATTTGCCCAGTCGATTGCAAACAATATTCCAGGGGGATATTCTCATCTGGCAGGATGACGGAAACTAATGGAGCTCCCAATTCAAACACAAAAAATGGAAATTTCATTTGTGGCGTTGTGGAAGGTAGTTAAACGTCTATTAAAACAATTATACAGTTTCAACCTAATGAGTTCTGACACTTCAATTTTTTTTCAGGATTTTATGGAAGACCTTGGACGACGGAGCAGCGTAAAGATCTCTTTCAAAAGTAATTTTTCTTGTTGTTAATTCAGTAGCAAATAGCCTTTCAGTTGACAATTGGTTTTTGTGGAGGTGCTTCATTGCATCCAAAGACACTAATTTTTTCATTTTCATTTGATTTGATTTTATTTTTAATTTCAATTAATGAAAAACTCCTCAGCCTCTTCACGGCGATATGCAAGTTTCATTCGTTATTTGAGGAAAGAGTTTTATTTTGACAGTTTTTTTCAAAGAGTTTTTCAAATAAAACTCGTTATTGGAGATTAACTCGTTATTGATTTGATTTTGTTTTTAATTTCAATTAATGAAAAACTCCTCAGCCTCTTCACGGCCATATGCAAGTTTCATTCGTTATTTGAGGAAAGAGTTTTATTTTGACAGTTTTTTTCAAAGAGTTTTTCAAATAAAACTCGTTATTGGAGATTTCTCTCTTTACTTTGACAATATTTTTTTTAATGCATCTTTTAGTGCTGCTAAAAAATTTCGAATGTCATTAATAAATAAATATATTCTTGAGTTTCCAATTAGCAAATTTGTGAATTAAATTCCCTGAGACAAATTTGAAAAAGAAAATCATGAATATTCAGCGTCATTCAAATTACATTATGCGCTGAGTTCTTATTTTTTAAAAATTCCTTGTTTATAAATAAATAATTGAAATTGTTTCAACTTCTGGAAACTTTATTTTTCTAGGCATAAAATTGATTTCTGGTAAAATTCTGAATATGAATAAATTTGTTACGATTCCGAACTAATGATTTTTATGGTGAAAAATTGATAAATTATTGTTTATAAATTATTTACAGAAACTGCTTGGAATTTTCAAAATTGCACTTTTTAAATTATTTCATCAATCTTCCTGCAAAAGCAAACTTTCTATTTTTTTTTCAGATTTAAAAAATGTGTTCTAACAATTCAATATCGAGATTCCAATTCAGACCTGCGAACTGTAAATAACAAAATCTGTAAATTTAGGGTCAAATGGGGCTCAAACGAAAGCTCTGACGTTCGCCTACAAAAATAGAAAAGCATTCCACTAGAGAAAAAATAGTCAAAGTACTTGTACATCTTTAATTGAAAATTCAGTGTTATTAGGCCCTGAATATTCACCTTGATTCAAAAATTCCCGTAAACTGTGAAATTTTCGTTTTTATTCTGTTCAAAAACCTGAAATTTCATCGAATTTGTCTCCAAAAACGAAAAACCTAAAGATGCCAAGTGGCCTGTCCCCAAGCTATCAATGTTGTTCCAGCACCCTAACCCCCAACCAACCGATTTCTCCGTTTCCAGGATGAAGAAATGGGGGATGGATTCGTACCTGTACGCCCCAAAGGACGACTACAAGCACCGCGCGTACTGGCGCGACCTGTACACAGTGGAGGAGGCGGAGCACCTAACGGGCCTGATAACGGCCGCCCGCGAGAACGGCATAGCCTTCTACTACGCGCTCTCCCCAGGTCTGGACATCACGTACTCGAGCGTGAAGGAGGTAACGGCCCTGAAGAGAAAGCTGGAGCAGGTCTCCCAGTTCGGTTGCGTGGCATTCGCCCTCCTCTTCGACGACATCGAGCCCGAGATGAGTGAAGCCGACAAGGAGGTGTTCCAGTCGTTCGCCCACGCCCAAGTATCAGTGACAAACGACATCTTCCACCACCTGAACCAGCCAAAATTCCTGCTCTGCCCGACGCAGTACTGCGCCACGAGAGCAATGCCCAACGTCTCCACATCAGAGTACCTGAACACCCTGGGCAGCAAATTAGCCCAGGAAATCGACATAATGTGGACAGGTCCAAAGGTGATCTCTCGTCTGCTGACAGTGGAGTCTGTCGAGGAGATAACCGAAGTTCTCAGACGGTCCCCAGTGATCTGGGACAATCTCCACGCCAACGATTACGACCAGAAGCGAGTGTTCCTGGGTCCATACTCAGGCAGATCCCCAGACCTCATTCCAAAGCTCAGAGGAGTCCTGACGAACCCCAACTGCGAGTACGGAGCCAATTTCATTGCTATTCACACACTGGCGCAGTGGAGCAGGTGCAATGTCGATGGAAAACGTGATCTGAGTCTCAACGACACTGTTTCTGCTGACATTAAACTGGAGACTGAGACAGAGGACGGAGTTGTGGGTGAAGACGTACCCTCGACACTCTCTCCTAACATGTACCATCCCAGACATGCTTTGAAGAATGCTATAAACGATTGGCTCCCTGAGTTCAGCAAGAAGAAGGCTGCCTGGGGGGTCATTGCCAAGCCCCAGCCAGCTGTCGCCCCCACAATTCCCATCCCAATTATTCCCTCGATCAACACCTGCATGAGTCTGACCACCACCACCAGCACTGCTGTCGTTTCAGTGGCGTCAGCGCCAGCTATTTCCAATGCTAATCATCTTCAGGCACTTGCTGAGGTCTGCTCCAATGTCACTGAGAGCTTTGCACAGCCCCTTCCAGGACCAGTTATGAATTCTTTAATTTCGGAGACGAAAGTCGTCAGTGAACCTGTCATTCCCAGTGTCAATGCCCCCATGGGAAATTCTGGGGTGCAGAACAGTGGATCCACTGAGCCCATGGATTGTAATACAACTCCCAGTAATTCACCTGCTCATGTGGCAAAAATTCCTACTGATGATGACGCTATGGTGGAGAATACTTCCACGTGCAGTGGGACATCGGGGAGCATGCAGGTGGAGGTCGATGGCACTTCTCCCACGATCAATGGGAATCAGATGATCGTGGAGAATGATTCGGAGAATCATGAGGGCGAGGGGGGCGACGGGGGGGAGGTCAAGGATGTGGAGAAGAGACTCACTGTCGAGGATCTTTCGTTACTTTGTGATCTTTTTTATCTGCCTTTCGAGCATGGGGGACAGGGAATTCAGCTGCTGCAGGAGTTCAATTGGCTCAAGAGCAATGCTCATGTGGTCATCAGGAAGAGCAAGGAGGAGGAGGCTAATTGTAAAGCTGACGTATGTATTTATTTATTTATTTATTTTCGATTAATTCATACTATTTTATTTTATTTTATTTTATTCCAATTTCCGTCACAATTTCTTCACAATTAGATTCATTTAATTTTATCCATTCTAATTTTATTATATATATTTATTTTTTCCTTAATTCACAAGTTGCAATTTTGAATGGAGCGGAATTATGTTAAAGATCAATGAAAAGTGTTTTTTTGTGATCACAATAAACACACAAAACAAGTCATTCGAAATCTCATTCGGGTAATAGAAAAATCTCTTCATGTATTCCCGAAAAAATTTTAAATCCATCTTTCCATATTATGAAAAGGAAATGAAAAAAGAATCAGAAAGGGATAATCGGCTAGAAAATGGATTTTTTTTCTTTTATGTCGACGGGAACTTCGAATTACTTTTTTTCTTCAAGTATTAGAGGACTATCAATATTTAAGGAAGAAGAAATTCAAAAAATGTAGAAAAAAATGGGCGGGAAGAGCTAAACAAATTAATTTTTCAATGTCTCCTCAAAATTTTGAAATCGATTTTTTTTTAATAATGAAAGAATACCCATAAATTCGACTTCTATCCTTGTCGTTGGATAAAATGAATAGAGTAAATAAAAAAAGTTGAGAATTGGAGATTACAAATTTTATCGGATTATTATTATGTAATAATGTTTGGATTGTTGTGGATACATTTAACATCGTGCACTGTTGGAAATAACTGACATTCCATGAACTAGTAATTTTTGGAATAGTAAGATTGAATTCAATTTAGAGGGGAAAGAATCATGAAATTTCAATTTCATTAAAAAGTCACTGAAATTACTTGAAGTTTCGTTGCAAAGATATTATTGTATTTATTCTATTCTTTAGTAAATTGTTTAATAATTTTTGTTAAAGGTCGAGGAGTGGCATGCACGAGCTGCTAAAATGAACGACATGTGCAGTTCAGTGAATCGTTTATTTCAACGTCTCACCTATTGCAACAATCGAGAATTGCTCTACGATCTTTACTCCTACATTTGGGACATGAGCGGAGTCGTATCATTGTTGAATAGTTATGTCAAGTGGTTGGGTGAGTGGTGGTATTTGATTATCAGAAGAATTCATTACCTTGAATTCAACATGTTTCGATTATCACTGATATTTCACGAGTGAAAGAAAAATCATGCTCAAGCCTTTCACGATCGCTTTCTTTGATCGTTAATCAATCAAGAATTAATTATTCACAAAGATTTTTGTGATGATCTCGTTATCCCCTGAGTGCTGATGTTGATCAACTAGAAATCAATCTCTTGTAATTCGTTACTTGATTTTCAGAAGACTGTTTGCAGGATTGGTAAGTTTTTTTAAAATTATTTCACATTGTCAATTTCTTATTCAATTGTTATTAAAGAAAATAATTCCTCAAGTGAATTATAATTACAATTATTGATTGTAAGTATATTTCATTTTTATAACATAACGTGTTCAATTTTTTTATTCAATTATTATTGAATAACACATTAGTTTCTTCTCTAATGAATTAAAATTCCCTTCATACTTATGATTGAATAGGAAATTAAAATAGATATTACGTTAATAACTAAAGAAGTTGAAAAACAATCCATGAATATTCGTTCTGATAGTTGAAAAATTATTTACCAAAAAATTCTGAATCAGTATCGAGCATTCACTGGTTGAAAATCGTAATATCTGCAGCAAAATGCGCGTCATAACTGTTTCACCCAATTAATTGAATTCATCATTGATTAATAAGTGACACTGACAAGCTCAAGTGCCGAATATCTGCACCTACGCTTTAGGAACGGATGTGGCATGCGCGTAGATTGATAAATTGGCATCATCAGCGCGAGTCGAGCGACTCGAGGAAAATTGGTGATTCAAAATTTTTCACTGAAAATTCAGGGATAAATTGTGGGGTAATTTAAGACAGAGAGCTGATCTGGAATTATTGAAGGAAGCAACAGCAAAACGACCAATGACGATACAACAGCTTTCTATTTCAGTTGATTTTTATTGATCGGCAGCAATTGCTCAGGACACGAGACATTTATTTGTGGCTTTCTGATGATTTTTCTTCCAGCCGCACCTCGGGAAGGAATTTATCGAGTGGCTTCGTCCACCCATCAGTTCAATGGAATTCAATAGCTAGTGATTGTGCAGGTGAAACTGCAATTCCATTTGCCGACAGATATATTCCTTCTTTACTGAACACTCCAATGATCTGAAAGGGAAAATTAAAATTATTTATTCTATCATTTTTTTTCTTTTCCTGTTGATAGCGTTTGGCAGATTTCCATCGACGATGACGACATTTACCCAGGGGAGCTACACATGTATGGGATTTACTTTTCAATAAGTAACTCGTGGCAACAGCGCGCGACAAACAAAGTATCGATCATTAGTGGAAAATGAGGAAAGAAAGAGATTATTGAGTATTATGTAAAGTCGATGCACTAATGATCGAAACTTGGACTTTTGCATTTGTCATTGATAATTGTGGATAATTGCGCGTAGAGTCAGGCGCGTAGATCAAAACTAACTGGGCAGTCACAATCTCTTGAGCCTCCTTCAATTATCCCATTCCCTATTTTTCGGCTCTTGTACTAATTTATTTTGCTTGATTACAGACATTTTCCAGGAGTAATAGAATGTTTTATTTCAGGCGTTTTTCTATCATTTGCACGGATTTCTACCTTTCCAGACCTTTTGCCAAGAGATTGTGATGCGCGAATGAGGACACAATATAGTTTTTCAGGGAATTTAATTCTTAATTCTTACGCTGTTGGAATTTTCGGGAATTTAAGTGATACGATTAAAACTTTTAACGTCTCACGGAATGTCTTATTTATTCTGGGGGTCAGTGTAGTTGATTCTTTCAGTTTAAGCAATCGGTGATATTTTAATTGAATTTTCAACAGACTGAGAATTTAGAACCATAATGGCCTGAAATTTCACAATGCTCAATAAATTTTATTGTCATATGGCCTCGTAAATGTCAATGTCATTGAATATTCCAGACATTAACAGATTAATCAGCAGACGGGCGCAGGGAAATTTCACCTAAATGAGTCGTAGAGAAAATTTTTTAAATTTTTCTCTGAAAGTTCAAGCAGAATTATCAGTGATAATTTTTATCAACAATTCGTTGATGCATTTGAATGCACAATATTGGGTCCTCACTGCACAGCGTATATTAACAGGGAGCCTCAGCGCAGCGTTATACGTAATAATTAAAATGGCGACTTTCACAAGTTTGAAAAAAAAATGTTCATTTCAAATGGGACAGGGTTCTCGAATGGATGGAAGGAGACGTTCATGAGTGGAGACCAAGAGCCCTGGGTCTTCAGGGGAGGATTGACCGCCGATTTGCAGGTTCATTGCCACGAAAATAAATAAAATCGAGCTCTCTCATGATTTTCGTTATTCACGAGGTGTTCTTATTCTCCAGAGGCTCATCCCAGTGGACAGTGGGAACGATTTATTCATCTACAAGGCGCCTGAAATTCCAACTAGTAAAATATACACCATCAGACCTTATCTGCCATCAGACGAGGATGCTGTTTATGCGGTGTGCAACAGAATAACTGGAGTCAGTGGAACGTCAGCCGTGGCGGACAGGCTCATCGGTGGCTATTTGACCCTCAGCCCAGAGTTTTGTATGATTGTGGAGGACGATGAGGGTATTGTGGGGTATATCGCAGCTTCGTTGAACGTTAAAACGTTTAATCAGAAGATGGCTGTGTCCTGGATACCGGAACTGCAGGCCAAGTATCCACTGGAGGACATCACGAATGATCTGCCTTCAAGTGTTCAGGTACAATCACATCATTGTAATACATCCAATTGAGCAGATTTTTTAATTAAAGAATAAATTCTCCATTTTTTAAAAAAGATGAGTTAACAACACTCAAAAAGAAGATGAGTAATAATTCATTTCTTTTCAAAGATAGATAGATGATCTATTTAGATTTATAATATTCACAGAGGAAAATGAGTTTCTCAATAAAATTCTCTCAAAATAACCGAAAATGTCACTTTATCCAGGATTATTTGCTTCTCAGATTTTTCATTGAAAAGTGGAAATTTCTGTGTTTGATGGTTGTGTAATTATTACAGGAGGCTATAAGATATTTCCATTCATTTACAACTGATGTCCCGGAGCAATTGGCTCGTCAGCATCCGTCACAGATAATGTGTTCAGTATTACCTACTGTTACCGATCAGTCCATCCCGAAGAGACTGATAACTTGTATTCTTGCTGCCTTGAGAGCGAATGGTAAATATCTTCTCTCGTTTCATTATTTTATTAGAATGTTGTGGGTAAATATTTATGACGTCTTCGTTCCTCCCATATCGTTCATCTCTTGAATCAACTGTTGAATTTTTAAGTTTTTTTTTTTAATTTTATGTAATTATTCGACTCGATAATTGGGTTTATGGTGTCTCACACAATAAATAAATGAATGAGTGAATGGATGAATGAATGAACGAATGAATGAATTTATAAATTAATAAAGAAATACATTGTCATCAATTAAATTACAGGTTCATTTGGCGTTCACACAACAATGTCATCAATAGACAAAGAATCCCACGAGTTTTACGGTAAACTAGGATTCGTAGATTACAATCCCGGCCAGGATGAGAGCCCGGGTGTCGTCGTCATGTGCAGAAGCTTCTAACAGAGGGCCAATTCATCAGTAATATTCGTCAACAAAGTTTACCTCCTCGGACCTGCACCAGACCGAACAGTAGTTTAACTTGAGAGACAAAAAAAACTACATCTGCGCAAATTTTTTAAACAAACGGACAAGTTTAGGGTTGAATTTATACTGAAACAGGTACCACTCTGGGAGTGAAGTTTCAATGACTCGAGAATAACATGTTTCAAACCCCTGCCAAGTGGAAATTCATGGAGAAAGGCAGCTCTCTGTAAATAATGTAAGAGAATTGAGGAATTTATCGTGAATGGTGAAAGGTGCGTGCCTCTTCATATCATTGATTCATCAAAAAGTGCAATATTCTTTATTGCTCCTTTATTTTACACTGATCTGCACAAGTTTTATAGGAAAAATCATTTACTCGGCATTTGAGGATGAATTGAGTCGTGATTTTTATTGGAGAATAATTTAAAAGTCGATTGCTATGTAATCGAGAGATTGATTGAGCTATCGTTGGCTTGAGAGTGGTATGATTATGATGTAGTTTCAGAGGGTACCAGTGAGGATTATTTTATCCAACTTTTATACTGACACATCCTGGGGATGAATGCTTGTACTTCGATTGCATCGAGACCACTGAATATCAGATCATCCAGACGAACGTTTTTTTTTTCAGTTTCGAGACACAAATTTGGAGCACAATTTTTTAGCCAGTTTTTTTAATTATTTTTATTTCGTTTTGGTTTAGTGATGGGATGATGGTCTAGCCAGTCGTCTCGATACCGTAAACTATGCATTGAACACTGTATGAACTGCTAATCCTTATCAGACAACCATGTGATCAATGATTCATCTGAATTAAAAAATTGTCAAGACTGAGTCTGTTGTGTTTTTTATTAATTTTAGTCATTAAACTATTATTGATGGGGGTGGGTCGTAGCGTTTGGAGTTGCTGGAGATTGGGGGGCCATTGTATTTCCTGTAGGACGCGTTGTTCTGCCGTTTCAGGGCCTGAATCTCTTCGTAAAGGGTTTCGATCTGAAAAAAATTGGCTTGCTCATCACTATTGTTCTTCACTCTTGTTTCAAGCGTTTTATGGGGAAAAATATGGACTTTACCCTTATTATTTCCGAGTGAAGTAATTCCAATTGCAGGTCAGCATTCAGGGAGGCAGACTTATTCTTCGATTGGTAATGCTGCAGGGATTCAATTATCTCGAACATTTTTTTATCCATGTCTCCAGAGAGTTTGATATTCCTTCGATTCGAGGGGTTCGGGGGTTTTTGCAATTTCTTTATGGTGAGGAAGGGCGTGTCGGAGCAGTCGATATCGTATGGAATTCCTTCTGAGGAAATAATAAAAATTCAGTAACAGGTGATTTTTTGGGATTTATAAATTTATCTCAAGGTTGTGGAAAAATTCTATTTAAGGTCCGGGTGGATTATCTTTCGAACGTGATCTTCATTGTTTTTTTCATTTTGATAATCTGAAATAATCTCCAATTGCTATCCAGTTTTACATAGCCCTGGAGTCTCCAAATATTATGATTGTACAATCAAAGTTTTTAGGGACTCCTGCGTGATGTAAAATCCAATGGAAATTGTGATAAATTTTACATTACGAAGATGGAAAAACAATCGAGATAACGTTCGAAAGATAATCCACCCGGGCCTTAATTGCCAGGTATAATCAATATTTAGTCACATCTATTCTCAAGAATTCTGAATTCAATTTTTACGAATGTAAAAATACCTTGTGTTCGACTAGCAGCTTTCTTCATGCTTTTTTCGAAACTTCTGCGATCTTCTCTCCACTCCCTCAAAATCTCCCGATCTCTGTAATTCACGAACATAAAAATCCCCAAGTTATTTCATACGAAAAAGTGAAATAATGACATTAATCTGGAATTCACGTGGGATTAGCCCCTTGAAACTCTCCAATTTATCATCTCACTTTGTCCTCTGGATCTCAGCAGCCTGTTTGATGAGGATCTCCCTGACTTTCGAAATCCACCGAATTTTTTCCTCCAGCGTAGAATCGCCTCCACTACTTCTGCACCTAAATACCACAAAACGTTGAAACCAAAGGCATAACTAAAAATAAAAAAAGTGCATTAAATTAACGCCGAGTTTTTCTAGTGGGGAAATATCCCATGGGTCGATTATCCACCCCCAGATAATTCTCGATAAATGCGAGGATCCAGTCGGGATCGTTAAGCCTCATGGGCCGCAATTTAGTCATTATTCTGTCATTCGTCATGACGTTATAGACTCGCTCCTTGACTTTGACGTCCTCCAGTCTCTTAACGTCGCTCGTAAAATTCCTGTTGATTATTTTGGGAAGTTTAACACCCTTAGTTTTTTTCTCCTCGACAGGCTCGATATTTGCGACAACTCCGACGTCTTTTCTACTCGGCGTCGAAGACCCGGAGGACTCTTCCTCGTCGCTCTGACGTTCCCGCATTTTGATTTTTATCTGCTGAAAGTCGATGAAGCAGTCCCACTCGTCGGGACGACTCGAGTGAGTCGAGGAGTTCTGGATGCGCTCGCGACAGTCGTCACAGATCACGTCAGGAGTTTCGTTCATCTTCGAAAGGTAGTTCAGTTCTAGGAGGTCGTATTCTTTTGAGTACAAGGGTTCGTACCTGTTACTTCAACTACTTCTGCACCTAAATATCACAAAACGTTGAAACCAAAGGCATAACTAAAAATGAAAAAAGTGCATTAAATTAACGCCGAGTTTTTCTAGTGGGGAAATATCCCATGGGTCGATTATCCACCCCCAGATAATTCTCGATAAATGCGAGGATCCAGTCGGGATCGTTAAGCCTCATGGGCCGCAATTTAGTCATTATTCTGTCATTCGTCATGACGTTATAGACTCGCTCCTTGACTTTGACGTCCTCCAGTCTCTTAACGTCGCTCGTAAAATTCCTGTTGATTATTTTGGGAAGTTTAACACCCTTAGTTTTTTTCTCCTCGACAGGCTCGATATTTGCGACAACTCCGACGTCTTTTCTACTCGGCGTCGAAGACCCGGAGGACTCTTCCTCGTCGCTCTGACGTTCCCGCATTTTGATTTTTATCTGCTGAAAGTCGATGAAGCAGTCCCACTCGTCGGGACGACTCGAGTGAGTCGAGGAGTTCTGGATGCGCTCGCGACAGTCGTCACAGATCACGTCAGGAGTTTCGTTCATCTTCGAAAGGTAGTTCAGTTCTAGGAGGTCGTATTCTTTTGAGTACAAGGGTTCGTACCTGTTACTTCAACTACTTCTGCACCTAAATATCACAAAACGTTGAAACCAAAGGCATAACTAAAAATGAAAAAAGTGCATTAAATTAACGCCGAGTTTTTCTAGTGGGGAAATATCCCATGGGTCGATTATCCACCCCCAGATAATTCTCGATAAATGCGAGGATCCAGTCGGGATCGTTAAGCCTCATGGGCCGCAATTTAGTCATTATTCTGTCATTCGTCATGACGTTATAGACTCGCTCCTTGACTTTGACGTCCTCCAGTCTCTTAACGTCGCTCGTAAAATTCCTGTTGATTATTTTGGGAAGTTTAACACCCTTAGTTTTTTTCTCCTCGACAGGCTCGATATTTGCGACAACTCCGACGTCTTTTCTACTCGGCGTCGAAGACCCGGAGGACTCTTCCTCGTCGCTCTGACGTTCCCGCATTTTGATTTTTATCTGCTGAAAGTCGATGAAGCAGTCCCACTCGTCGGGACGACTCGAGTGAGTCGAGGAGTTCTGGATGCGCTCGCGACAGTCGTCACAGATCACGTCAGGAGTTTCGTTCATCTTCGAACGGTAGTTCAGTTCTAGGAGGTCGTACTCTTTCGAGTGCAGGGCTTCGTACCTGTTGCTGGGCCGGTAATTCCGCGATTTTTCCCGGGTAGACAGCGTCTTCAGGGATTTCGAGAGGGCTGACATAGATGAGCGATTCAGGAGTCCAGAAGATCTCGAGGAGGTGAGCACTGGCGGATCGTCGCAGAGGATCGTCGACGCTGACTTCACTTCTGCAATATTTTAGGGGCATTATTGGGATCTCAAGGACGCGGATTGACGATAAATTGAGTATTTTTGCTGTTTTTTCATCACTTGTGCGTGAAGTGAAATTAGACTTTACAACACGAGGGAAATTTTCCAAACATTGTGATGAAAAATAGGGTTCGACAATTTCACACCAATTTTTCATCACAAATTTCCACATAATATTCATCTGAAAATTTAACATCATTTTCAAACCGAATATTCCACAGATTTTCCAAATGAAAAAACCCACTCCACATTCAACATTCCCTGGCTGAAGGCCCTCGGGCGATGACCGCGTTGGCAAGTTAACCCTTGCAACGAAAAATCGGTGAAATTTTTTTTTAGGGTTCGACACTCGTGGGAAAAGTGTTCTTTGATCCTTGGGGGGATAGCACTCGCCTTCCCTTCATCAAAAAATATATTTAAAAAATATATAATATGGGTCAATTCCATATATTGTTCAAATTTATGAAGACTATACAAAAAAATATACAAAACATACATTTTATATATTTTTTTGACACCCTTTTGTAATATTTTTTTTGTATGATTCGTCCAATTTATATGAAAAAAATTATAAAATATGTTTTGTATATTTTTTTACATAAATTGGACCCAAAAAATAAAATAATAATAATAATAATAATAATTGTAATTGGAAAAAAAAAAATTGAATATATGTTTTGTATATTTTTTTATATAAATTGGACCAATTTAAGATATTTTTTTATACATTTCTCAAAATATAAATTTTTGCGTGTGGAACTGCGAGCGCTAAACGCCTTCCACGGGTTCAAATAGTAGATTGTGCGCCAAGGGAGGAAAATATGACATTCCAACTCGCGTGTGGATTACTGCCCGTCTACTATCGAACCCTATTTTTCATCACAATGTGCGAAAAGTGGGATTCTGCGCTTAGCGTGCGTAAAATCTCACTTTACGCACAAGTGATGAAAACATTTTTACTTAAAGTATTTCATTCGAGAATGATAAATGATGACATCGCCCTGGGATTCCCACAGAACGTCTATAATAGCAATTGGATTAGGTAACAATTTTTCTGGAACTTTTTTAGATTTCGTTTTCAAATTATTAATAATCCGTGTGCCACTGAATTTCGAATTAAGGTCATTATTTTTAATGAATTCATAAAATATTCGGTATGTTCGGATGTTCTCAACTGGAGGCTTCAATTCTGTGGGATTACCTTGGGGAGGGGTCACTGGGTCATTCGGATACTCCATATTCCATTCTTTCCTCAAGAAATTCATGGTGGAGGCGAGTCCTTGGGCGATTATCTCGGGGGGAGGGGAAGTCAAAGGGTTGCCGGCTGTGTGGAGTGTCTTCAGGTTCGGTACGAGACCTGAAAGGAATGAATTCACATATAACTTCACGATTTTCATTAATTTTTTTGTTTAAATTGTTGGCCATGAGCGAAAAATTCGGTTTCAACTGGCGTTTGATAGCTTTTTATAAAGTATCTGGGACATATGGCGTAATGTTCTTCTCTGTTTTGCCGTGATGAATGCATCATTAAGAAAATAGAAAAAATCAAAGTTCACAGAAATTTCCAATGAATTAACGAAACAAAAATACGTACAGAGTTCCAGAGGTAATTTTTCGATTCTATTCCCTTGAAGTAAAATCGTCTCGAGGCATTGATGATGTTTAATCGTCGGCGGAAGTGTCTTCAGCCAGTTATTCCGGACGTCCAGCCACTGGAGGAAGCTCAGGGACGTGAATAGTTGCTCTGGTAATTCGTTGAGGCTGTTGTTCTCGAGATACAGCATCTGAAAATTGGGCGAATCCCACGGAGAAAAGGAAAATCAACTGTTAATCAACTGTAATAAAAATGAAGTAAAAATTTTTGAACTGCACCATAATAATTAGCTGGAAACTCGATAATTTTACTAATTGTTCTAATTGTGTTGCAAAGAGGGAAAATTTATTCTTTGTCTCACATTTTTTTCTAGTCAAAAATTGAATTTAAAAATTAAATAAAAATTAAATTTCGCTTTTCAATTACTTGGATTTAACGGTAATTTATCGTGTGATTTGTTCCCCGTGCAGGAGAATTTATTTGGAATGCAATAAAAATCATATTTTTTACGCGAATAGTGCAGCTGCTACATTATGAAAAAAATAGTGCCGCTAAAAACACTAATTTTTCGCGAAAAATTGTGTTACAAAAGCGGAAAATCGTTTTCTCTCTTATATTTTTCCTCGATTCAAAGTAAAAATTCAATTTCGCTTTTCGCTTACTTAGATTTAACAGTAATTCAGTAGCGAAGTGGTAAAACGGTTCAAGTCGATTTATCTCTTACTTGAGTTTTTGAAGAATATCTCCGAATCTAAAGGAAATAATGAAATTTTCGTAATAACCTTTTTTCTAGAGCAAATTGAGTGCTACAAAAAAGGTTTTGACAAAAATTTCGCTATTCTCCTTAGATTCCGAGATATTCACTAAAAACTGGTCAATAATCAGAATCGACTTGAACCTTTTTCCACTTCGCTACTGAATTTATCGTGTGATTTTTCTCCTGTGCAGGAGAGTTCATTTGGAGTTCGACAATGATTATATCTTCTTACGCGAATAGTGCAGCTGAAACCTCGCATATTTTACTGTTCGTTTGAGACAGATTAAGTTAACAAAAGGGAAAAATGTATTGTTTGTCTCATATTTTTCCTCGATTCAAAATAAAAATTCGATTTCGCGGTAATTTATCGTGCGATTTAGATCTCTTACGCGAATAGTTGACAGTTCTTCGAGTAAATTGCTGGGAAACTCGATGATCGAGGCGTTCGTCATGTCGCAAAACTCCTTATTGATTATCGGATTTCTCTTCGGAACCGGCGGCATGAGGATGAGCGGCTGCGGGTCGCTGGGTCCGGTGGCACTCAGTCTCGATTTCTTCCTCGTTTTCTTCTTCGTTGACATTGTAGAAACGTCCGACGCACTGTCCAGAACCACGTCGTCAGCCACTCCGAGCTCGGCGGCTTCATCCCTCACATCTTTATCCGGGATTATCAATTTTGGAAAGCCAGACCTGCCTTCCTCCGGCATTTCTATCTGGGAATTCCCCACCTCCAAATCCACTTCTTCATCGTCAACTATTTCGTCGTTGAGATCAACTTCAGCGAACGCTCGCCAAGGGTGAACGACACCGTTGACGGCTCCGTTAGTCTCGTTTGAATCAACAATCTGGGTCTATTGCGAATGGAAATTATTCAACTTCAAAAAAGATTTATGACATTTTTTGTTTGAGGGAGAGTACACTGAGAGAAAAACAAACACGTTGTCAAACAAGTCTTGTTTGGGCCTATAGAATCGCTAGTTGAAAATTGCCAAAAAAGAATTTGTTTGGTTCGAATTGGAAAGTCTCAAACATGAATAATTGTTCTGCTTTCGACAGCAACGAAATATTTGGCTCAAGAGGCGGACAATTCACACCAGACGGTGCCTTTTCAGGATGAAAATATCTCATACAGAGGAAAATTTATCAACAAATATTTTATCCCCAAGTTACAAGATTGGTATAATATCATTATTATTGTTTCATTTAAGGGTTCATTTGTTGTCTGTGACTATTAGACAGCCGAAACGAAAAACTGCTATCCCTTGTTTCACATAAAACAAAGATTTTTCGGGAGCAAAATACGTATGGGAGTATCGAATAAGGAGAGGAGAGGAAATGACATTTCTGGCACTACTTTTTAAAATGTTCATAACGGGTTGAAATGTTGATAAAATTCAATAATTTTTTTTTCATTGCAAAGAACAATTCTTTCCCTTTGTGATGAGCCTAAACTGAGCTGAATTGATAAATTTGTTTCTGAGTTATGAGTAATTAAAACAAAAGTCTAAAGTGTCCATTTTACTCTACTGCCCCCTAAATCTATTTTTGCGACAAAAAATTTTCATTCCGGCGCACTCTGCATGTTTGGCCCAAAAAAATCCTTTTTGATTATTTTCAAAAAACTATTTTCTTGGCACAAGCAAGACTTGTTTGAGAACTCTGTCGTTTTTCTCTCAGTGTAACTCCAACGAACTCCTTTCCGAAAAAGAAAAAATTGGAAACAAAATCTTCAATTGAGATGAGTCTGACTCACATCAAAGGAGAAGAATAATTGTTTTCATTACAAATTTTATTTCATTGAATAATTGAATAACTTGTTAACATTTTATTAAAGTAATAAAACGTGAAAAAATGAAAAATGAAAACTTGCACCGATCAAAAAAAGAAATCTGATCTCATAAGCAATTCAATGAGTCATGAATATCTTTGAAGAACGCAAATGTTTTTATTTTACCCGCGTCCCCGATTATTCACCTCAGAGCTCGGTCCACCCCCCGAAGTATCCTCCCGATGAAAATTTCCGCTGACATCTCCATCCACCGCGCCCTCCTCCCCCAATTCCCTCCGAAATCCCTCGTGACTGGCGACTGCCTTCCCCTCTCTCCTCTCCCCGCCGAGGCCGTAATAATTACTCAATAAACTCTGCGTCAGGTTTTCCATGATCACTTTTCAATTTTCACCCGGAAAAGTCCTCACAACCACTTGTTTACCCATCACCATGGCAAAAATTCCAGCAAATGTTGAATCAATACCTTCCCTCTTGCTCGAGAGGGGACTCTCCCCAATTTTAAATGAATAATAACAATGTTTGAAAGAGTAATTATAGGAAGTAATACTGAATTATCTCATGATCTCATACAAAAATGGTTAAAATCAGTAGCGAAGTGGTAAAACGGTTTAAGTCGACTCATCTCCCAGTTGAGTTTTTGAGAAATTCTTCCGAATCCAAGTGACACAAAAAGAAAAAATTGTTCTTTGTACTGAAAAAAAAATTATAGAATTTTATCAACATTTCAACCCCTCATTAACATTTTAAAAAAAGTCAAAAGTGTCCGTTTTACCCCGACCTCTCATAACAATCTTGAAAATTCCCGCTCCGCGCAGTCGCAAGTCCGGCAGCACGCGTCCTTCCGCTGTTGCGCGCGCATCGGCGTGTCCTCCGTCGTTTGTGTGTGTTTGTTTCACCCGAGTCGTGTCGAAAGGAGAGAAAAAAAAGAAGAAGTCACCGTTGACCGATAGCCCCCCTGACAAACGTGAGTTCTGGACACAATTCAAAATCCAAATAAACATCAGAAAAAACGACCTTGCACGTCGAGGTAACAACGAGAACCATTGCCCCGAGGTATTCCTTTCTAGTTGATCAGACTATTCGCTCGAAATTTTGAGAATTGAGGGCTCTGCCTCGTAGCATTCCAAACATGTTTCGCACGCAATGGTAACGTTTTGTAATTGTGGAAAAAAATAACTGCCTCACGTGCAAGGGAATTTCCTCGTTCTTCTTTGATCGTTTTATTGAACGTTAATGGGATTTTTCTGGTGTTCTTTTCCAGCAAAGAGCACGACCACTCGGCATTTTACAAATTCTTAAATATGGAGCAGAACCACAAGAATAACGACTGCTACTTTTTCTACTACTCGACGTGCACGAAGGTGAGTCAACCCTAGATAATTATTCTCGACTCTTTATCCACGTGTTTTTGGTGATTAAAACGATGGGTGAGTACTCGTGAAGGGACTGAACTCCTCGCTGGTAATTCCATATTGTATGGAGAGGTTAGGTGCGGCCATGTTGAAGAGAATTTCATTCTCTGGAATTTTCATGAGTCCTGAGAATAATTCTTATCTGGAGTTTGTGTAGATCGGGTGTTGTAGTTATTTATGACGACAGTATTCTGATTTTGTCGAAGGCACTGTCGGCTAGCATGAAGAATGCTAGTTTATCTTGGATTTTTTGGGGAACAGGGGTTCATGGATTTTTGGTCTGTTGCAGGGGGACAGTTGTGCTTTTAGACATGAGCCCTCGGCACTGGGCTGCGAGGTGATGTGCTCCTACTGGCAGCAGGGCAACTGCCTGAATGAGAAGTGCAACTTTAGACACATGGAGCTCAAGGTATTACTTTTCTCTTTTTTTAACTCGTTTTTTTCTTCAGTTTTGGGTCATCTCTTGGCAAAATTACCCAGAACTCATAATAGCTCCTTCATTTTTTCTTCTACTTGATGTTTTGGGTTGAGATCTCGTCTTCAGGAATTGTAATTCCCACCTTCAATTAACAAGATAGGGGAGGGTGGGGTAAAATGGACACTTTAGACTTTTTAAAAATCATTTATAACGCAGCAACAAATTTATCAATTGAGCTCAGTTTCGGCTCGTCACAAAGGGAAAGAATTGTTCTTTGTATTGAAAAAAAATTATTAAATTTCATCAACATTTCAACCCCTCATTAACATTTTTAAAAAAGTCAAAAGTGTCCGTTTTACCCCAATCTCCTCTACATATGAGGTATTCCACGCCAAATGAGTCAACCGTTGACCCTCACCCTCTTGGAAATTGATGGCGATTTTTTCTACGATTGGGGGGGCTGAAAAACTGTCTCAAATTTTTTTCAGATTGAAGATATGATTTTTTTTCTCGTTTTTTCGTTTTTTTTTTCAATAACTTGAGTTCTATCCATCCGATTTTGATTTATTAAGCCTCAAAATTTTTCATTTCTTACTGTCTATAATAATATTTTTAGTAAATTTTTTTTTTCGATTTTTAGATGCTCACAATAACGAATTTTCGAAACAAAAAATTGAAAAAGTTGAATTTGGAAAATTATGTCACTTTTGATTCGTTTCATTTTTTTTCAGTAGTTCTTATGATCAAAACAAGTATTTTGAGCCGTCATACAAGTTGGGAATCGTTCTGGATCTATTTTATTTTCAATTTTTTCCTTTCGAAATTCCGGAAATTTGGCCCCTCAATCGTAGAAAAAATCGCCATCAATTTCCAAGAGGGTGAGGGTCAACGGTTGACTCATTTGGCGTGGAATACCTCATATGCAATTTATGTCAATTATATCTCCATTCCACATTGTACACCTTAAACTCGCAAATGTTTAGTTTGTGGTGCTCAATTCGACATGAATAATTCAATAATGTGCAAGAGACGAGATTTCAATGCAAAACATCAAGTGTTACGCCAGTTTTGAGGTACTAATGCCAGGATTTTGATTTCAATCCAGAAAAATCGCAAGTCGATTGCGTGTTACTGGGAGTCACAGCGTGGTGGGTGTAAGAAGCCACATTGTCCATTCATGCACACCCAGCCACGTCCAGGGGGTGAGACAACCCCCACAAAAGCCACTGAACTGCCAACAAAACCAGTGAATCAAGAGTGGTCGAACCGTCCAGGTAAATTTTGTTTTTCAAACGTTAAATACGATTTTTTTGCTGAATCTCTTGAAACTGATAAAGAAATTGGCCCAGATGTATTTCTCTGCAGCTTTCACCTCATTCTATTCACCTCCGAATTGAAGATATTTTTAAAAAATTGAATAATAATTCAAGTTAAGGCCCGCGTGTCTCATCTTCCGAACGTGACCTTTTTTTTTTATTTTGATAATCTGAAATGTTCTTCAATTGCCATTCAGTTTTACATAGCCCTGGAAACTTCAAAAATTATGATTGTCCAATCACGAAAATGTTGAAGAAAACTGAACATTTCAATATTGGGAAATAAATCCAAGGGAAAATAGGGAGGAAATTGCAAATTAATAATTTACAGTATCGAATGACTGTCCAGACGTCATTTGTCTCAGTGGCCAATGCCTTTCGATCGTTAGTTCCCATGATAAATAATCCATTTACAATTTCCTCTCTGTCGAACTTATTTCCTAATCTTTATTAAAAACACTCTTTGAAAATGTTCAGTTTTTTCTACCTTTTTTGATTGTGCAATCATAATTTTTAGGGATACCTACGTGACGTAAAACCCAGTGGAAATTGTGGTATATGTTAAATTATGAAGATGGAAAAACAATCGAGATAATCTTCGAAAGATAATCCCCCCGACAAATAAAAAAAAAGACAGACAGCAAAATGACAGTGACAAAAACCAAACGACGAGATGTCGTTCATTGAATAGCAATAATAACCCCTGAATTTAAACTAAAAAACAGATGACGGTAAATTCGATGGAAGTGGAACAGAATCAGACCAAGGACGTGGTAGCAGCGAGGCAGGAAGTTTCATCGGCAGTCCAGCTGTCGATCCTCTTATCGTCAACTTTGACGAAGGTATGAGGCTTTACTAGCCCCCCCGTCGTCCATCTTTCAACGTACACTACCTCACGCCAGGCACTCTATCCCTACCGTCTAGCCTACAAACAAATTTGAATCTCCGTAGTACAACCCTCGGTATACGTAATCGTATGACAATACCGATTGATATCGATATACCAAGTAGAGTTAATCTTGGTACTAGTGTTGCTAGTGGCCTCAATGTAACGCAGACAAGTGTACAGGGTATGCAGCATCAGCATCACCACCATCATCAGCAGCAGAGTGCCATTGCAGCAGCAGCAGCGGTCTGCCATCATGCTGCCAGACATCCTTATGGGCATCAGGGCCCCTTTCATTCCCATACACATGGTCAAACGTTACAATTGCATAATCAACCGTCAACTTCACAGATTCAGCGCAATTATCCAACTGTCCATCCTGACACTGGTGCACAGAGTCAGAGGGCAAGGTGTCCATTTCCATTTGGACTCGGTTTCACCTCCTACAGGAGATACTAAATTCAAATCCCCTCCCGTCCCCCCCCCTCGGCCCATTTTTTGTCGGAATTTAATGAAACGGTTTGTGGTAGGGAAGACCCACGAAATTTAGCCTGGCGATGAGCGTTTGTCCTCGATCGAGGGTAGTCTAGTGCATTTAAATATCTCGTGATTGATGCATCACGTTTGGGAAAACTTTCATAGAATTACGTAGCGAATTCACTGGGAAATTTTGGTTGATTGGATTGATAAATTCTCCCCTTTTTACAGTGGAGAATGTTTTATGGAAAAAATTCAATAGAAATTCCTCAGCTCAAATCTTATGTTTTCGTTTTGTTCGATTTTTTTGGTGAAATGGAAGATTGAAAAAAATTTGGGAAATTGATGTCGAGGAATTCCTGTAGAAAATGTCCCAATGGAAATTCTTCAAATAGAATCGATCAGAAACTGACAGAATTTTCCATCGAATTCACTGGATTTATCTGTGAATATTTTTCGTTCGTGCTATCGAAAATCTATTGTTAACATCATATGCAAATGATCGAATTCTTTGCTGAATATCGGAATTTATCCAGAATAAACTCCAGCGATATTTATATTAGTCAAATTTTTTCACTAACTAGAGTTTTAGTGAACTTTCACGGTATCTATGGGGTCTCATCACATCTGTACTCCATTCTTTATTCTTCCTTTTGATGATTCGTAGAGGTAGATGTCAGAAATCATTTCTTGATTCTCTTTTTCTCTCATCCTTTATTCATGACTAAATGATTCATGAGACTAGGTAATTAGGGGAGTAGACGAATTGTGAAAGCACTCTGGGATTTATTCACCAAGAGTGATTAAAATTATTATCGAGAGTTCATTGAATGTGAAATTCTTGCATTTATTTCCACGATTGAACAGAGGAGTTTATGGTTTAACTAATTTTCATATTGTTGTTATTAATTATTCAATATTGTTAGCCCGATGGATTTATCAGAGTGCGTAAACAATCATCAGCTGTTGTTGCTGATATGCCTTCATATGTTTTGGCTTTTTACATGATACTTCCAATACATGAGAGAAAATACTTGAAAAATATAGCGAAAGTAAATAGTCGGGCAATGGGAGTTTAAAAAATAAATGGTCATTTTTATTTTCCACTTATTTTGACCTCAAATCGTTGGTCTCAGAGACATCAACGTCGGGATTAATATTATCGTCGATTTCTGGTAGAATAGATTAATTTAATTCATGAAAATGTCTAGGTGAGAGTGGACTTTGATTAGGTTAGACAGACCAACGGAGTAAATCAACACCCTGTTCTTCTATTTTTCATTAATCTCGTAATTAACGAATTATATACGAGCATGTACATCTATATAAAATTCCCGCGTGAGCTTTCAGTGTATAACCGCCTCTTTACACCGGTGATCCTCGGCTTGCATTATTATTGTTTTGTTTATTATTTTGTTTCATTATTTTTTTGAATCTTCGATGAAGAGAACTTCTTTATTTCGCAATTGCAATAATTGGAGGATGGAATTGCCGCGAGAAATCATGTTCCCCAGGCCTCGTTGATTTCGTTGGTGGGAAGATTATAAAATTATTTTATTTTCTGTTTAGTTTTTTCTTAAGTACAAATTATGAAAACAAATCGACACATAGCTTCCACGAGCAACAGAAAGATTTATTATTAAAAAAAAAAACACAGAATGAAGTGATTAAGTGTGTGAAACCCTCGTAGTGGCATCTGCATCGGCTCTGGCACTTTCTCTGGAGATTCATCGAAATTTTGCGTGAACAATTGATTTTTCTTTGGTTTGACTGAGGCATTTGCCATTGCGACGGTTGTGTTTCATGATATACAGAGAAGAAACTTGTCACTCGTGCATATATTTATCGGAAAATATGGAAAAAAAGGGATGATGCGAAAATAAATTGAAGTGATCATGTAAGTATGAGAAAGAAAGATCAGATCTGTGTATATGTGTAGACGTATTATGCATATATGCACGTATGTGCCTATGTATGCGTACATTTAGTTTACGTGTGAGCAAACACAAAGATTGAGAGAAGATTTAACACAGACTTATAAGACACGAAAAAAAAAATACAGAAGTTATATTTGAAGAGGTAACGCAGCTGCGTAATGCGTAATTATTATTACATATGGAGAAATCGATGTAAACGAATGACTAAAGCTATTACTTTACGTTCAGATGATGTTTAAATTTCAATAAACTTCATACCACGAGTAATGATAGAGCAACAATTGATTTAACGGTGGGGCAAACATTAGTTATTTAGTTCGGGATCAATTCCCTGTAATCTCGAATTTTTTTCTTCGTTTTTTTTCCTTTTTCTCGATTAAACTGAATTCTCTAAACTTCTGTTGCTTCTTTCTTTTCCAGTTTCTTCCCCATAACAGACGAACTATCTCACACTGCTTGGGGACACGGTACGCCTGACTCATCATCATTATTCGGGGGCTGGAGGGAAGACATTATTATCAAACAAACGTTATTCACAACGACACACATTGCAACATTTTTATTTCTCGTGAAATCATGGAACAATACTATTTTTTTTTTTTCGTTATCAAAGTTTTCTTCTGTTGATTCTGAGTTAATAAATTTACTCTCGTTGAGAAATAAAAATCGCTCTCGTCTCTTTACTCCATTCATACGTTTATAAATTGAAACGACATTTCTGCATTTTTATTTCTCACAAGATATTATCTTTCGTTATCAAACTTTCTTCTGTTAATTCTGAGTTAATAAATCTCTATCGTTGAGAAATAGAACTTATGTTTGTCTCTTTACTTCACTCACACGTTAAAAATAAAAGCGTCAGGCGTGCCGGCCCCCCGCCACCCCATTCCCCGATTCCTCGTAATAATAATTTTAAAAACCCCAAGATTTATCCAAAATCCCAGGCGTATGTTTCAGAGTCTACGAGTCCTCGTGCACTTAATCAAGACAAAATTTTCCCAAATGCTCTCCCAAATAGATAAGAATATCCCGAAGATTGAGAAGAGGCCAGACAGCAAGAGACTAAAGCCAAGAGATGAGAGAAATAGAGAATTAGAGACCTTTCGTTCGAAATTAATGATTGAAGATTGAAACATAAATACCTGGGACGTTAAAACGAACTAATCGCCAACACCATGTTTCTTCGTGTGTTCTTGCAGAATCGGACAGTGAGGGTGTTGCACCGTCGCCGAAAAAGGCGCACCAGCCAACGAGGGTGCCGTACTGCAAGACTTACGAGGAGATCAGACTGGAGGAGATACAGGCGGAGAGTGCGGCGTACTATTCATACACATCCAATGATTATCCCAATAGCTCTGGGGGTGGTAAAGAGAAGAGGGTGACGAGTATAAGAGCAGCGAGGAAGACAGTGTGCCTGTACTCTCTGGGTAAAAACCAGACGAAATCGAGTGACGACAGCTTGAGCTTCAAAGTGCTGACACTGGAGGAGATCAAGAGACGAAAGAATCTGGGGAATCCCAAGGCCGAGACGCCCGAGACAGTTGCCCTAGAGGCAAAGCCAACGGTGAGGAGAAAAGAGCCGGAGGTTTCACTCGCAAACGCCATTGAGACCCTGACAGAGCTGAAAAAACTCGAGAATGAGACACCAGAGTCACGAAAACGTGCGCTGGATGGGGAAATCGGGGCAGGTGGAATTAGCAGTGAAGCCAAAAGGCGTAAAATCAACCGAAATACGACAGTTCCACCTGTGAGACTGAGGAGATCACCCAAGAGATTCAACCGAACTGAAACACAGACGTCTCGGGTAATTGGTGATAATGAGGGAAGAGACAGTGAACCACAGGAGTGTGATAATTCGAGAACTGAGATTGAAGTGCGTCTCTGTGACAGCAGCACTGATGATTCATCTAATGTTAATCAAGTTTCGACTTCAGTGGGTGGGACGACTGGGGCGGGTGTTGAGTCGGTCTTGGCTGATCCCTCGGATGAGTTGAAGCTTGATCAGCTGATTGATGGACACACGCACGAGGAGGACGTGGACAGCGCGTCTGATGATATTCTCAAGGATATCGATGCTCTACTGACCGAGAAAACAGTCTGAGGAATCGGGAGATGACTCATTTTATGAATAAGATTGAGAACTTTCGAATGCTCATTTCAATGCGAATATTCACGTGGATGACGATGCAGACACTCGATATTCCGGGCTTGTGACTCTCGTGATATAAGAGTTTCGCAAGAGCCTTTGGCCTTGGTTAATCGTCGGTCATCAGTGGAGAATACTATGATTTCTGGCGTCTCTTTTGATCGGAAATCCTCACGTCTTTCTTAAGTATTTAGATTATTAGATGATTGGATAGAGGAAAGTAGATTTAGTTATTAATAAATTTAACGCAATTCGATTCCTAGTTTTAGTCTGTCACGTGTGAACAATTGCCTTGAGGAAGAAGGTTCCACCAATTGTCAACTGGACATTTCAACAGATTTTTCAACTGCGCCGTTTAAACTGCGACAAATCCACTGGGATTTTTTTAACTACGACACTTAGACTAGGTTTTAAACAACTGCTGATTGATTCGACTGAATTACCATTAAGTCGCTTGGTGATGGTTATCCCTTCCCATTTTCCTTTGTATTTATTTTTGGGGATTCGGTTGATAGAGCGACACGAAAGATCTTTACAAGATTCAACACATGGCGAAAACACCTGTTGTATTGTAAAAACGGCAGTAAATATTTTTCAAAAATACATTTGAATCGTTGAAGCTGAAAAATTTTAGTTTTAATGTCGCAGTTGAAATGTCCAGTTGATAAGAGGTGTCACAAAAAAAAAAGATTCAGATGGTGGGACAGGGGTCGAGTCTGATGGAAACATTGAAAACAATTCAGAGTGAATTTACAAGGGAATCATTGTTCAATGAAATATAAGATTGTTACATTTTCAATGATATTTCTTCAGATCTATGATACATGATTCCTACCCAAGAAACTCCAAGGTAAGTTTATTCTCTTAATTACTAGGTTTTAATTTGTCGGCTGTTTGAGTGAAATTTGTTGGACAGTAGTAGGACGGTGAAGAAGGGTTCTCTTTGACTCTGATTAAAGCACACTCTATCTATATTTTATTTAGAATCGTATAATTGTACGCTTAAAACATTAGTCTGGCCTAAAAGACAAATCACAATTCGGTCAATTAATTATAATTTTTTTAAAAATTCTTTTTCATTCTGTTGATTAAATTTCCAGCTGTTCTCTTTAGTTCACAATTAATTAAAACTCACGGGTGATCATATACAATAGAGACATGTAATTATGTATACAATAGCGAATCGACGTTTAATTAAATCTTTGTTGCCATCTTTATCCTGCCAATGCCGTAATTAATTATAATGGAAAATAGTCGGGGGGGGATAAATTTGGGGTGTGCACACACGACATTCATCGACCGATTCATTATTATTCCTCTTCATCTCATCACTTTCTTTTTTTTTTCGTTACACGAATATATAAATATTACTAATAATATCGACTTAACAACTAGATTCCTTCATTTCGAATAATTCTTTGATTTACCTACCTCCAGGTTTTTTTTTCTTTCTACAAATGAAATAAGTTTACTAAATGATTCTTGTGATAACAAACTTAACGACGCTCTTTGACTTGACGCTTAAGAGACCAATTTTCTTTTTGTATATATTTTTTTATGTGTGAGGGTGGCAGTAGAGGTGATATTGAGATCGTACACACGAGGACCGGTCTTTCATGACGCTTTTGGGTGTTGGTTATTACGTTGGGGTCGACGTGGACGATCACCACGGTCACTGCAGCCTCGGGGACCAGTATTGGGCTGACATTTCTGGCGCTGGTTGCCCTGGCACGGCAATTGGTACACTCACGCCTGGTGATATCAAGCCTGGGGGATAATTTTTTTAGTCATTTGGGGTGCAGCGCAGCTGAGAAGCACTAACTTTTTGGATTGAAAATATGGAAATTATTCGAGAGCTACTGTCATTGATCTGCGGCTGCCAATAATTTCTTGCAATTCTCAATGTCATTTTTTTTCAAATACTCAACAAGATTGTTATTTTGCAGGGAATTTTGTTGCCGTCGCATACTGTTGAAAGATTACTCCCGAAATTTCGAGGAGTAAAACTTGAAATGTTCACAAGTATCCGTTCACGCGAAATTTTGAGATATTTTGTTACTGAAAAAGCATTTCGAAAATTCAGGGAACTATCCGAATTTTCAATCGATTGAAAATTCAATTTAATGTAATTTTAGAAAGCCCAATTTTTTTGAGTTTCCGAGCGATTTGATTTAAATTAAAATCAAAATCATAACACTGGAAAGTCAAATGCATCTTTGCTCAATGTCTAGAATTCTAGATTTCGTTGTCAAGTTATTAACAATCAAATTTTCTTCTTACGAATGAAATTCTATGGGGATCATATTAATTGAAAGAACAACATGAAATCTTTCCAATTCAACTGAAATGTTCCTTTTCCAATTAAAAAATCCTGGCAAACGAAATCGAAAAAAAATCTGAAAAAAATTTCAGTTGACTACTATTTTCAGGGCAGTGACACTGCGATTTAGGAGAAAAAAATCATGAAATTTCCGGTTCCACTGAAAATTCAGTAAAATCCCAGAATTTTAAACACCATAAAGACGAGAATTCCTTAATTTCTTTGAATTTTCAATCAAATATGAGTATTCAGTGCCAAATTACATTGAATTTTGAGGGAAAAATGGATCTGAAATTTATAGTCCTCTTTGATTTTCCCCCAAATTCTGAATTTTCAACGACGAAATTCCTTGAAATTTCATTGGTAATTAAATTCGATAAAAATTTCCAAAAAGTGTACGGGAAATTTCGGGCAAAAATTTTGACCAGTGTAGCAGCTGCACTGGACGTTCTATAAAAATTTCGAATCAATGTCATGATTTTTCCCGCAATTGCATAATTTTCTCCACTTAAGGACAATCTTCTCTCCTTTAAAAACAATATTTTCAATTCCTCAACTACTTTTCCCCAAGTTTATTGAAATATATGTGGCGACACGGCAATGATCCTCCACCAATTCTTGACTTCCATTTTTTGGGACAATTGTAATTTTTTTCTGCAATTGACATCCAATCCAATTACCCGATTGTGTCAGGCTGTTCTTATGGTAATCCACGGGCGTGATGATAGCCGAGTCCCACGTGCGGCTAGAGAGCTAGCAGCGAGTGCAGTGAGTGCGGTAGACACTCACCAGTCGAGCTGGCATTCTGGTTGTATTGATTCAAGCCAGTTGTGTGATAGGGTTGCGTTGGACTGCAGGAGGGACGTCCACCGTAGCCGAGGTGCAGAGGCTCGTAGCTCGGGGGTCGGGCAACACCGCAGGAGTAGCCATTGTCGCGCTGATGGAGGCAGGCCGCTGGACTCGGTCCCACTGTCATGCCAACTGTCATTCCCATTGGACCCATTCCTCCGGACGACAGGGAGGACATGCTGGTTGTGTGCTGCTGGCTCTGTTGGCCGGACATGGTGAAGCTGGGCATTGACGTCATGGGACTGGAATATCAATAATTCACGAAATCATTAACTCTCTATCTCTGTATATTATAATAATACAAATCGACTTCTGGGGATAAGAATTTGGTACTCGAAATTGAGACCCCGGAACTGAGAGCCACAAGGGTCATGAGGGTCAGAATAAGGGTCACGAGAGTTGGATTAAGGGCTACAAGGGTCAGATTAAGGGTCAAAATGAGTGTCACAAGGATCAGATTAAGGGTCACGAGGGTCACGAGAGTTGAATTAAGGATCACAAAGTACAGCTTAAGGGTCTAAATAAGATTCACAAGGGTCAGATTAAGGGTCGCAAGATTAAGGGTCAGGTTAAGGGCCCAAATAAGGATAACAAGAATCAGATTAAGGGTTTGAACAAGTGTCACAAGAATCAGATTAAGGGTCACGAGGGTTAGTGTAAGGGTCACGAGAGGTAGATTAAGGGTTGCAAGATTAAGGGTCAATCGGGTCAGATTAAGGGCCCAAATAAGGATAACAAGGACCAGATTAAGGGTCACGAGGATCAGAGTAAGGGTCACGAAAGTTAGATTAAGGGTCCAACTAAGAGTCACAAGGGTCACTAAGCGTCAGATTAAGGGCCCACATAATGATAACAATGGTCAGATTAAGGGTCTAAATAAGGGTCACAAGGCTCAGATTAAGGGTCACAAGAGTCAGATTAAGGATCCAAATAAGGGATATGGGGGTCAAAAAATAAGGGTCAGATTAAGGATCCAAATAGGGGTCACAAGGGTTAGATTAAGGATCACAAGGGTCAAAATAAGGGTCTCAATATCTTCCTATATTGAAAAAATCCAAATCGACTTTTGGTGATGAAAATTTGGTGCTCGAAACTAAGACTCCAAAATTAAAGGCCATAAATAAAGGGTGAAAGAAGGGTCACGAAGGGTATAATGGGTCATCATGAGGGTCACGAGGGTCAGATTAAGGGTCGTGGGGTTGTGTGATGCAAACAAATATATATAAAAAAAAGTAATGGATGAATTAATCAATGAGTTTCTTTATATTCTCTTTACCTGTACGAATCCGGCATGCTTGGTATCCCTGGATACACAGCGGTAGGAGCGAACCCATGATGAATTCTCGGTGGTGATGGTGGTCCCTGTGGAGGGGCTTGACCACCGAGAATAGAGGGCGGTGGGGTCAGATGCCCTAGACTAACAGCCCCAGTGTGCTGCGGTTGCTGTTGGGGTGCCTGCTGCTGCTGCTGTTGACTCGATTGCTGTTGTCCACCGTTGTCCCTCCTCTGTGTCCTCAGTTTCTCCTCGCGTCGCCACTTTGCGCGTCGATTCGAAAACCATACCTGAAGTTAGTGGACGAGAAAAAGAAAAAAGAGATACGAGATCGGGTCAATTGTACAGGAACTACGGAGTGAGATAAACAAAAATCAAAAAGTCAGAATTGTCAGGAGAGGAGAGAAATTAATCGGTCAATTGGTCAATTGTTTGGGGTAGTGTGGAAAATATTTACCTGTATTCGCGCCTCGGGGAGACCTATTTTTCCGGCTAATCTCTCCCGGGCGAAGACGTCTGGGTAGTGCGTTCTCTCGAATTCTTTCTCAAGGGCGTCGATCTGCTCGTTCGTGAAACTCGTGCGGTTCCGCTGGAGTTTGCGTTTTAATCTTAGTCGCGCTTGATCATCGTCACCACCACCGGATACACTACCCGCATTGCTGTTGTCTCCACCACTGTTTGTCTCGTCTGAGTGAGCTCCACCTTCTAACTCAGCCACTGAAAACGAAATATTGAGAGTTATTTGATTGGATTGTTGAGGGTTTCGAAGAAACCCAGAGGAGGCCAAGTGCATTTTTACGATAGGTCATTGTAACGGGGAAAATATTTCCTGAAATATTGCAGATTGTGTCAATATTTAATTGACATCTTTTTGAATAAAGATGCACTGTTGGAATTTTTTGAAAATTCAAGTAATAATTGCTGTTGAATGTTCAATGGTCCGAATTTTAATTCAGTTTGAGAACAGAATTTCGTGGAATTTTTTATTCGTTTGGGAAATTTAACAGGATTGATTTTTTCATTTTAGGTAATCATTGGTATTTCAATGATAGTTTGAATTCTTAAAGACATTGTGAAAATTAAACATGACATTTAATAGAATTTTCATAATTGTCGTTGGCATATGGGAAATTGTCAATTAATTGCTGAAAGGGTTGAAATATTGAAAATCTCATATTTAATTAACATCGTAAATAAAGAAACACTGTTGGGGTTTTTTATTCAAATAATAACTGCATTTGGATATTCAATGTTATGGCCTTTATATGAGAGAAACAATTCAACAATTATTAATGCACAAATTAAACAATTCGGAGGCACACAGACTTTTTTAAATAATTATTTAGCGTATAGCATCCTGCTTTCCATGTAATTTATCCCTTATAACAACGTCTAGGGTTGAATGAGCGGATAGTCCGATAATAAAGAATATGAACATACCATTCCAAAATAATTTCTTTCATTGAACATGAAAATAAAAAATTTCAAATTGGAGTTATCTTTGTAAAAAAATACTGAATCGTGATCAGGATTCCACTACCTTTAATAGGGGAAACAATGAAATAATTATTAATGCACAAATTAAAAAAGTCGGAGTCACACGGACTTTTTTTAAATAATTATTTAGCATATAGCATCCCGCTTTCCATGTAATTTATACCTTATAACAACGTCTAGGGTTGAACGAGCGGATACCCCGATAATAAAGAATATGAACATACCATTCCAAATTACTTTCATTGAACATGAAAATAAAAATTTTCAAATTGGAGTTCTCTTTGTAAAAAAAACTGAAAATATCAACAAAAAAAATTGAGCGAAGGTAAAAGTAAAAGAGGGTCGTTATCAGGATTCCACTACCTTTAATAGGGGAAAGAATGAAATAATTATTAATGCTCAAATTAAAAACGTCGGAGTCACACGGACTTTTTAAAAATAATTATTTAGCGTATAGCATCCCGCTTTCCATGTAATTTATACCTTATAACAACGTCTAGGGTTGAACGAGCGGATAGCCCGACAATAAAGAATATGAACATACCATTCCAAATAAATTTCTTTCATTGAACATGAAAATAAAAATTTTCAAATTGGAGTTCTCTTTGTAAAAAAAACTGAAAATATCAACAAAAAAAATTGAGCGAAGGTAAAAGTAAAAGAGGGTCGTTATCAGGATTCCACTACCTTTAATAGGGGAAAGAATGAAATAATTATTAATGCTCAAATTAAAAACGTCGGAGTCACACGGACTTTTTAAAAATAATTATTTAGCGTATAGCATCCCGCTTTCCATGTAATTTATACCTTATAACAACGTCTAGGGTTGAACGAGCGGATAGCCCGACAATAAAGAATATGAACATACCATTCCAAATAAATTTCTTTCATTGAACATGAAAATAAAAATTTTCAAATTGGAGTTCTCTTTGTAAAAAAAACTGAAAATATCAACAAAAAAAATTGAGCGAAGGTAAAAGTAAAAGAGGGTCGTTATCAGGATTCCATTACCGCAGCAGGACGAATGCCGAGGCGTTGGCAAAGTTGTGTGAGGAAAACGAAGCCGCGGGGAAGGAGGGAGTGGATGCCGTGGCATCTTATCGCAAGCCCTCCTCCCCTTATATAATACATAGTTGGATATATGTACAGTTTCCACCTCTACTATACCGTTTTCGAGCTAAAACCCACTGACGCCCGGACGCGCTCACCCAGAAAGCTACGATAAGGTTTGCCAGGCGACGCCTCTCCCTGCTCCTCTCTCGCCCAGAATTCCTATACGCACCCCTCAGAGTCCTTCGTCCCCTCACCCCTTCCGCCCCTCGCCCTCCGAGAGAAATATATACATCCATATTTTCCGTGGGGCTATCACTATCGTTTTCATTCCTACTCGCAGTCACCATTCATCTATAACCTTTTCTCCTACCCCACAAGACAATATTCGAGCGATAATAAATGAAGGGTTGAGTTTATTATGTAAATGTCGACTTTGATTTGACTTTTGACCATTTTTTTGGGGGTCGCGATGACATTTTCGTAAATTTTCTGGAATTAACAGACTCTGGAATACGACTCGTTTTAGAAAATGTGGCTGTATCTTCCTTGTAGAAAGAAACATTATTATAACAAAAAATAATGATGTATTATGGAATATTTATCGTAATATTTAAAATTTTAATGTTTAATTTCCATTCTTCTTCCGAATCGTTTAGGGTACAATTGAAAAATTAGAAAGTTTCCGTTTTAGGAAGATTTGAAAAAGTCATCATTCATATGTAACCTTTTCTCCTACCCCACAAGACAATATTCGAGCGATAATAAATGAAGGGTTGAATTTGTTATGTAAATGTCGACTTTGATTTGACTTTTGACCATTTTTTGGGGGTCGCGATGACATTTTCGTAAATTTTCTGGAATTAACACACTCTGGAATACGACTCGTTTTAGAAAATGTGGGCGTATCTTCCTTGTAGAAATAAATATTATTTTAACAAAAAATAATGACGTATTATGGAATATTTATCGTAATATTTAAAATTTTAACGTTTAATTTCCATTCTTCTTCCGAATCGTTTAGGGTACAATTGAAAAATTAGAAAGTTTCCGTTTTAGGAAGATTCGAAAAAGGAATTCAGTAGTGAAGTGATAAACGGAGATAAGTCGACTCATCTCCCAGTTGAGTTTTTGAGGAATATTTCCGAATCTAAGGGAGATAGCGAAATTTTCGTAATTACATTTATTGTAGCACTCAATCGGCTCCACAAAAAAGGTTATAACAAAAATTTTGCTATCTTCCTTAGATTCCGAGATATTCATTGAAAACTGGTCTATAGTCAAAGTTGACTTATCTCCTTTTACCCCTTCGCTACTGAATTATTTATAAACTATCAATTTTTCACCCTTAGCGTCCTTTTTTCGGACTCGAAAAAAATTTGTTCAAATTCAGAATTTTACCAGGAATCAATCTCATGCCCAAAAAAATCGGTTTTCGGATTTTTTTATTTTTAATTATCATTTATTTGGTAATTATTCATTTGTAAGAAGAAAATGTTTAAAAATAAATAACTCACAGTTTTTTCAAACTTTTCGCACACACTTTAATTAAAAAATTTGATGATTGAAAATCGCCAAATCTACAGTGCAGTCTCTACAAAATGATAAGAAATTATCAACAAACACCAACAAATAAATAAATTAGGCTTCCAACAAATATTCATTAATAATAAAAAATTCTCATTTTTGAGAACAACGAGGCGCGAATCTTCAATAAATCCCTTATCGTTTGTTCATTCATTAATAACAAATTCTATTATCAGTAGAATTTATTTGAGCGCAAATCCAAAATAATAACAATTAATTCACCACTGTTGTAACCCACAGGGTCCAAATGATCTCCTCTCTTCCTCAATTCAAGAATTAATTATCATATATTTTTTCACCACCGGAAGTGGTATCAGTTGTCGAGGAGTTTAGAATCAGCCAGCAGTGGAGATAAGCCAAAGTCTTATGACTCTGGCGAAGAGCCACACCACCGAGGCAGTAAACTTGCTCGCGGATTACGAGAAGCAGCCAGAAACGCGCAAAGTTTCTCGGATGCTGTTGCTGCTGTGCGTCGTTAATCGGTACAAGGAGGTAAAAGGGGATGAGAGTTATCCAGAGGTTGGGCGATGGGGGAGGGAGGTGGGGGCGGGGTGAAGGGGTGAGGGGGTAACATGCCACGCAAGGATCCTGTACGGGCACCGCAGAGCATCGAGGATGAGGTTAACGCGACGAGGGTGCTTTAAGCAGCAATTAAAACCACCGTGTCTTGCCTCCGCGTACTCTCAGTTCTCTATATAACGATGCCAAACCCAACTGCGTAGGACAACTCGCGAAGCAACTTCTGTACACACTAATGCAAGAAGCTAAACTCCTGCTCTTGATATCTTTCGAGGGAGGAGAGGGATACAGCGCCTAGTACAGCACTTTGCGAAAAGTTCCTCAACGGTGTTGCCGATTCACGGTTCAGAACGTTTATCTCGGGAAAATTGTAATTTCGAGATGTTCCTTTGGATATGTTAGGGCCGTTGCAAATGAATACTGAATTTTTGTGTGAATTTTTTGGGGCAAATTGAGAACATCTTGTGACAGAACTCGTGATATTTACATTGAAATTTCAGGAAAATTCGTCGTGGAGAAAGCACAATTGAAAACATGGTGAGGAGAAATTGGAAAAATGAGGGGAATTGAGGTGAATGTTTTTTTGAGGTTTAAAGTAATTGAAAACTCAATTCTGTTGGGGGCTTTTTGGTTTATTTTTAGTTGAGACTATTACTTGAATTTATTTGATATTACTTGAAGATTTGAGTCTTGTAAGTTTTTTCTTGATTTGAATTCAATGTCACTGGAAATCAGGAAATTGGTAGGTTTATCTCGGAAAAATTGTAATTTCAAGATGTTCCTTTGGATATGTTAGGGCCGGTGCAAATGAATACTGAATTTTTGTGTGAATTTTTTGGGGCAAATTGAGAACATCTTGTGACAGAACTCGTGATATTTACATTGAAATTTCAGGAAAATTCGTCGTGGAGAAAGCACAATTGAAAACATGGTGAGGAGAAATTGGAAAAATGAGGGGAATTGAGGTGAATGTATTTTTGAGTTTTAAACTAATTGAAAACTCAATTCTGTTGGGAGCTTTGTATTTTATTTTTAATTGATACTATTATTTTAAATTCGAATTC